CACCCTCAGGTGGAAAGCAGGACTTGCGGAGGGGTGAGAAGGTCAGGCTCAGCTGGAAAGCAGGACTTGCTGTTGGTAGTTCGCGCTTTCAGGACGCCACACTTTGTGCGGACGTAGCAGGCAGCTGTGGAGTGTCTGTAACGGAAGCACGTCCGGCTGAAGCGGCGGGAAAGGGGAGAAAAGGCAAGCAAAAGTGAGAGCCGGACAGAAAGACCCGCAGAACAAGCTTCGGACCACAGAGGACGCATTACAGCGACGACTGTAGCAGCCCGCGAAGTCAAGGAGCCTGAAGAGTCGTCGCTCGAAGCCCAAACGCGGACAAAGCGAGAGAAAAGGCGAGCGAAGAGGTTTAGGCGAAAAGTCTTGCAAGGTGACGAAGCTGCTACGGCGCGGGGCGTCGTGGGTGCAGTGTGCGGCAGTGAGAGGTACGAGTGTGTTGGCGAGGCAGGTGGAACCGGAAGGAAGGCGGTGGAGAGCAGCAAGTCAGCGAGAGGTCCCAAGCGGGACGAAGTTCAGCGAGACACGAGCGTACACGCAAGCCAGTTGCGCACGTTGGAGAGGCGCCTGGGGACCTGTACGCGCGAGTAGAGCGTGTTAGCGGTCGTCCAGACCCGGTAACGAGAGCGGGAAGTGAAAGAGGAACGGAAAGAGCGGACGCACTGGAGCGTGGCGTCGCTGGACGGCAAGTCCTGCTGCGAGAGTAAGCGAGCGGGGTCAGTACTGCCCTCTACACATGCTGCCCAAGCGCTGGCTCACCTGCTACTCCCGCATCCGCTCGTCGAGTTCTGGCGCGAGGAGGAGCTATCGGATTCTCGCGTCCACTTCCCGCTTGTTCCGCCGTCCAGCGAGCGCGCAGCTCTCCAGGGAGCTCACGCACTGTCCTCGCACCCGCACAATTCAGCCCGATGCCGCGTGCAAGCCGAGCGAGCGAGAGAGACGCACCTGAACGTCGAGGCCGTGCGGCTGCGGTAGGCGGCGGCAAGTCGGGCGGGCGAGGCGAGAGGAGGTCGATACAGCCGATAGCAAGGACACCGCAAGCTTAGCAAGTCCTCAGAGCGAAGCGAGGGTTGTGGAGGAGGAGAAGGAGCAAGTCGCGCGCTTCAAGCTTCTCCCACTGCTCCCTTGTGCTCGTACCGGCTTGGTACTGCTGCCAGCCACCTATCGATCTCTCCTACGCCCCCGTTACCGCTCGCAAGCGCCCCGACTCGCCGTCGCATCCTCATCGCCCAAGTTCCCATCCTCGACCCGACAACGCACACGCCGCGATGGAGGCCCTGCTACCGCCTCCAAGCGAGCTCGTAAGCGCGATACGAAGCACCTGCGCCACCATTACGGCCCAGGGCGGCATCACCGTCCGTCAGTCTCCCTCTCTCCACCTCGCAAGCCTCGGATCCGCTGACACCTGCGCAACTCGCAGATTGAACCCGCCAAAATCGACGAGTACATCCAATCAGTACCGCAGGAGGACTGGGAGCGCGAGTCTGGGCCGGAAAAGCATGGCGTGCGGTTGCCGCTCGTGTTCGACTCGGTGGAGGAGGAACTGGACGTCCTCGGGTGCGTCTTCTCGAGCTGGCCCTCGTCGTATGCGACCCGTCTGGTGTTGGCTGCGAGACAGAGACCGGGCGGGGTTCCAGAGGCGGACGCACGGGACGGATTTGGCGCCTGGAAACCATCCTCGCACAACTCAGCTGACTGTAATCTTCCAAGCAGCACCCTCGGCCTCCTCAACTTCCTCAGCGGCCACCGACACGCCCTCCACCGCCTGACCGGGCGCGGCGCATTCTCGACAATCCAGATGCTCGTTCTCTCCGCCTACATCTCTTCCTCCGACAATCCCGATTCCTCCATCCTTACAGCCCACGGCATGCGTCAAGCGACAGTCGCGCAGCTCGCAGACCTCGCTCGCATCGAGACGCACGTCGAGAAGGCGCATCCAACCCTCGGAAATGCCGTCAAGGTTGGCGAGAAGGACGACGAGGCGTTCGAGATCCTCGGGTTGCTGGCGGGCGTGCTGAACAAGACGGGCGAGATGTTGGAACGGCTAGGGAAGCGGTCCATGGGGGCATGGTTGTTGGAGAAGCTCGTCGAGGCGGAAGGAGGCGGCGCCAAGCTGGTGCACGACGTGAGTCCAGACCGTCTCGCCTGTCAGCACTTCTCCCGCGCCAGTACTGACCTCTAAGCATGGCTTGCGGTCTCCATAGCTCGCCTCGACCTTCCCCGCCTTCCGCGACGTCCACCTCGTCGACAGCCAGCCCGTCTTCATCCTGAAAAAGGCCCTCTGGCTCGTCACAGTCATTTCACTCGCCTTTCGCACACGAGAACTGTCCGATGTGCCCTTCAAGGTGCCCGACATCTCGAGCTTCCCGGTCTTTGCCGACAACGTCCTCCCGAGTGCGTTGCCGTGTCTTCACCGCCTGGTGCCCAGCATACGCTCTACTCGGTGCCTCGACTGACACAACCACTTCCTCGCAGCCCTCCTCGTTCACCACGGCATCCTCGACCTATCCGCCTCCTCCGACCCCGCCCTCCGCTCGCTCTCCCTCTCCACTCCCTCTTCACTCACCCTCTCCTCCGCCTCCGCAACCCGCCTCCGCGCCGCCTCGATCGTCGCCTGCTCAGCCATCGTCTCTCGCGCACACGAGCTCGCCACTCAGCTGGGCAAGGAGTGGCTGGCGAGTTGGACGGAGCAAGAGTTGGATGGGTGGCTGTGGAGCGAGGGGAAGCGGGCGGATTTGCGGGAGGTCGAGCGGATAGCGGAGAAGGGGACGGTGTACTACTGAGCAGGGCGCGGCGGCGTAGACTATCTTCAACGCACTGCGTTGCTCAAGGACTCGTGCAGATCTTTCTCATCTCGCTCGCCAAGGCCGCTATCCGACTCGCACGAGCTCGCAAACACGTCGCATGTAACGAGAGGCTTGCTATGCTGCGGTTTCACGAACGAGGAAGAAAAGGACGACGTTTGAACTAGGCGCACGAAAGAAAGGGAACGAGAACGCTCGAATCAAGGAAGAGGAAGACTGCAATCCGAAAGGAACGATGCGACGAGCAGAAGAGGTTGCTTTTGAGTGTACTGCGATTGCTGCGCGGTTTGAGGAGAGTAAGCGCGACGGACGGCTGACGAGCGGGAAGAAAGCGACGAACCTCCATCATGCCCTTTACGCCCTCAACCCCCCACACTCCACCAACACGACCACCACCTCAAGACTCCCACTCAATCCCACACGAGCGACCCTGAGCTCGGGTCCAAACTCGCGTTCATCCCGCCGCCGACAACCTTGGGCGGCGCGGGCTGGGGTTCCGATCCGAAGAAGTTTTGCGAGCGCGGGCGCGCGCGTTGTCGGGCGAGAGAGTCGGCGGCGAGCCTGGTGAGCGACGGGGAGAGAGCGAGCGGGTCAGCGAGCGAATCCTGCGTGCGGCAGTTCCGTTTGTGCGAGGAGATTCGTCGAGTGAGCCGTCAATCTGTCCCATTCGATCGCACCGGCGTAGCATCGCAGTCCCGAGCATCCCAGCTCCTTCACTCGCACAAAGCCGCATCAAAGTCCCGCAGAGAACGACGGAAAAGGACCGGAAACGCACCTCGCCTTCTCCTGTTCCTTCCGGTACTGTCTCAGCCTGTCCTCCTGCTCCTGCTCCTTAGCCTCCTTCGCTGCCTGCTCCTTCGACTTCTTCGCCGCGTTCTCGCGCTGCTTCTTGGTGAGCGGCGCCGCCGGGAGACCGGGGATGGTGCGCGCCGGTGCGGCCGAGAGAGGCGCCGAGGACGGGGTGGACGGTCGCGAGGGTTCTGCGCGAGCGTGCAAGCACCGTGAGCATGCCGAAAGAACAAGAAGCGAGAAAGCGGACCCACTCTTGGACGTAACGGCCTCCCACTCGCCGTCGTCGTCGTCAAAGGCGTCGGGGCGCTCCCAGCCGTCCTCGTCCTGGCCGGGGACCTTCAGGAGCGACTTGGGGTCTGCACCGGCCTTGCCGCCGACGACCTTCATGACGCGCGCGACGTGCGGCTGCGAGTCGAGCGAGTCGTCGCGCATGTCGGCGGCCGGGTCCGCTCGCGTCGCGGCAGCCTTCGCAGCGGCATGCTTCTCGGCGTCCGTCTTGGCCGGCGCCGCCTCGCTCGACGAGTTGGCGCCAGACGTCGAGACGGACGGTCCTCCCTTCGCTGCCGACTTGGCCTTCTTGCCCTTCTTCTTCGAGCCCGCGACCGACTCCTGCACGACCTCCTGTACCGCCTCGACGGCCTTCTTCACGGCGGGCGGCGGGTTGTTGACCTGCTGCTGGACGGCGGTCGACGCGGCGTGGACGACCTCGCTCGCCTTGTCGACGACGGGCTGCGCCGCGTCCTGGACCTGCTGGACAACGCCCTGCGCCTTCTTCTTCTTTGCCGCGCTCTTCTTCTTCGCAGGCTGGTGTCCACTGGCGAGCGAGGACGCTGTCGGGTGGGGCGAGTTGGCGGAGGGTTTGGACCCGATGTAGGCGACGCCGGCGACGAGGGCAGAGACGAGCGCGATCTCTGCGATTGTCGTGTACGAGATGGTGATGGATCCGGAGCTCATGGCAGCCAGCGAGCGAGCGGAGTGAGGTGGTCGAGCGACGAGGACGTGGACGACGAGGGAGAGGTCACTCGACAAGCGCAGACTGCTTCGCGCGCAGCATGGGACAGAGTACTACACTCTCACAAGTCTACTGGTGCCACTCCCGCCTTGCCCTGTGCGGTTCCCGACTTACGCTCGACTCGCTTCCTCCACTCGTCCGAACAACTCGCTGTCGACGCCTCTCTCGCTCTCCTCACGCCCTCGTCGAACAGACAGACTCGACAGACATGCCCGCAAGCTACACTTACTTCGTCTCGGGTGCGCACGCGGGTCCCACACTCGCCCGTCGCCTCGCTCGCTGACACTCTCGCTCGCTCACCCATGAACGCATCGCTCGCACTTCCACACAGGCGCGTCCCGCTCGCTCGGCCTCGGATACGTCGAAAAGCTCCTCGCCTCGTCCCCCTCCGTCAAGGTCGTCGCAGGCGTGCGCAACCCCTCCAGCGCCTCGCAACTCGGCGCCCTCGCCTCGAAGCCCGAGAACAAGGGCCGCGTGCTCGTAGTCGCGTTCGACGTCGACAGCGAGGAGAGTGTCAAGGCAGCGGCGGAGAAGCTCAAGAATGACCCGTTATTCGAGGGCGGAGTGTTGGACGCGGTCGTCGTCAACGCCGGCGTTTTCGTAGGAGGTCACAAGCCGCCCTCCGAGATGTGCGTACGCGTCCACACTCCTTAGTATCGCTCGCTGACAGCCTCGCACGCCGCAGGACCATGGACGACGTCCGCGCCAACTTCCGCACGAACGTCGAAGGCGCCATATACACGGTCCAGTACCTCCTCCCGCTCCTCGAGCGCGGCAAGGGCAGGCAGATCTTCTTCATCTCGTCCATCGTGGCGAGCTTCCAGGAGTTCTACAGCCAGATGGCCGCCGGCGTCAGCTGTGAGCCCACGCGTGTGCTCTTTCGATCCGGCGGAGGAAAGCTGATCAGGTTCGTGCCGGGGCAGACTCGATGAGCAAGGCGGCGCTCAACATGTACGGCGTCAAGCTGGCGCGCGAACTCGGTCCTGTGCGTTCCCCTCGAGCTGGACTTTGTAACGGACGGAACCCTCGGGACTGACCTTCGCACCGCGATTTTCCTCTCACTCGCCGTGGGACGCTCGCAGAAGGGCTTCACGGTTCTGCTCGTACACCCTGGGTGCGTCTGAGGCACCTCACCTCCGTCTCGTCGAAAGTAGCTCGACTGATTTCTTCGCCTGCGATTCTCTTCCCTCGCGCGCACAGCTACGTCAAATCCGACATGGTTCGTTCTCCCCCTCTCCTCCCCTCGATCTCAGCTCGTTACCAACCCCACTCTCCGCCCGCAGAACAAGTTTGACAACGGCGGCGAGATCTCGGTCGAGGAAGCAGTCACCGAAGCGTTCGTCTCCCTCCTTCTCCTCTTTCCCTGATTGCGAGGCTGACGAGCGAGATCGCGCAGTACGAACAACGTCTTCCTCCCCGCCAAGCCGGAGTGGAATGGACGGTACATCGCATACACGGGCAAGGACTTGCCCTGGTAGACTGGCACCGGGCGCCGAGCGACCGGTCCAGGCGACGTAGAGCCGCGTCTCGACACAGAAGAATGGAATGTAATAGACCAGATCAGTAGCAAGACCGAAACTCTCGCGAGATTGACGAGGAGATGCGGAACGAGAGGCGAGTTGCACGAACTGCTTGGGAGGAGAAGCGACGATGGGGGTATCTGCAACGAACGGATACATGCAGAACGAGAGGAATGGGGTATACAACGGAGGGAGAGCGCGCCCGTCACTCGACAAAGATCTCCTGGTAATGCGAGAGGATCGTCTCTATGCACTTGCACTGCCACTGCATGTCCTGCAGTCCCCCTCCTGTCGTCGCCCCATTCGCGCCGTCCGCACCACCAGGGGGCGGATACATCCCCGCCAAATGAGCCGGCGGCGCACCGAGCAGATTCGGCCCAAAGACGATCGACAAGTTCGAGACGCTCATCTGGTTGAGGTGTTCGAGCGCGGCGACTTTGTCGAGGTGGCCCATGAGGAACTTGAGCGTAGCGTAGTTCGGGTCGGGCAGGTCGTTGACGCGCTCGTGCAGGCGGATATGGCGGAGGCGGTCGTTCTCGATTTCTGCGCGGCCGGACGAGCGTGAGCGACCGAGTCTTGCACGAGAGAGAGAGAGAAGCGTATCACTCACTCGCTGCATCGATGAACTGGTGGTAGAGCTCCCATGTGAGGAGCGGTTCGGGCAACTCGCGGAACCAGAGCTTGAGGACGGCCGCAATGTCGTTGATGTCGCTCAAGTTTTCGTCGGAGAGCAAGTCGGTGCCTTCGAGGTCTGTGACGCGTGGGAAGTCATCAATCAGCGACTCGAGCTCGCCAGCTTACCGTCAGCCGACACCGCCGCCGCGACTCACCTCGATCGAGCGCAGTCTTCAACCGCTGCACCCTGCTCGTCGTCCCGCTGAGCCGGTAGATGCCCATTGAGTCGAGTCCGTGTATCTCGATCGCCTCGGCACACTTCTCGAGTATCCGCGGGACTTCGACATTGTCGCGCGCCATCTGCTCGCCGAGGTCGACGCCGAAGGTGGGCTGCGAAACCGCGGCTGCAGGGATGGAGGCGAATGACTGCGAGCCGACGTTGTTGCTCGAGGGCTGAGGTGAGAGGCTTGGTCGGGCGGGCTGGGAACAGCGAGCGTCAGCATCCCGCTCGCTCGCCGAGATGAAAGAAACGACAACCTACGAATCCCTCCTCGGCCGGCCCATCTCGCCGGGGTCCACGCTGACCCGACATCTGCCAGTTGAGCGCATACTGCTGCATGAACGTCTTGAAGTCTTCCCGCACGTCGACCGCGTCGATGACCGCCTTGATGCCCGGACCGTCCTCGATTGTGACGGGCGAGACGGTCAGGCCGTCGGTGACGAGGAGGCTTTCGAAGATGTAGGCGTAACGAGAGAGGTGGTATTGCGTACCGAGATCCAGCTCGTCGACGCTTTCCTTGAGAGACTGCGAGCGAACGACCATCAGCATGCTTGCGCGGCACGAGGTCCGATGCGCATCGCACCCTGAGTATCCGCGGCAGCTGGAGATTGAAGTACTCCTGCCTGACCGACTGCGCACCGGCGACCTGCGCACGGTACGCATCTGAACTTTGGCCCATCCGGCTCCGCACCTCCTCCTCCTGCTTGGCGATCTGCGCCGCGTTCTTCGGACCCTTGAGCTTCGACATGGCCTTGCCGAACGAGCGCCCTTTCGACTTGTCGGCGGCGGACGAGCCGGAGTGCGGGACTGACGACGGCGTGACCACCTCGCCCTGCTTGAGGACGAGCAGCCGCTCGAGTTCTTCGGCGGCCGAGTCGAAGCGGATGCGGGCCTGCGCAGACAATCGTCAGCTCGCGTTGAGCGTCGACGACCTCGCTACGCACCTTGTCGACCAGACTCTCCTGCTCCTGCAGCCCCTTCTCAAGCCTCGCGCCGAGCTCCTTCGTCGCCTTCCGACTCTTGTCGACCTCCTTGCCGACCGTCGCAAGCTCGTCGCTCATCTCGTTCAGCTGCGACGCAAACTTGAGCCGGTTGTCGCCGAGGAGCTCGTGCGTGCGGAGAATCGAGATCCACGAGTTGACGTAGGAGCTGCGCGGGTCGGCAGGTCAGCCTGATATGTGAGCGCAGGGGAAGCGATGGACGCACCCAGCCTTGCCGTCGCCAACACTGTAGCTCTCGATGCTCGACTTGGCGAGCTTGGCCATTTGCCGCGCATACTCCTCCTCGATCTGCGCCCGCTTCTTAAGAAAGTTGGACGCTTCCTGCGAGGGCAAAGTGTGTGAGCGAGCACAGTGCGGCGAGGAAAGCTTGACGCACTCGACATGACGCCATGCTCTGCTTCATCCGCTCGAGGAGCAGAGGCGTGCCGCACTGTGCGCGGTCAAGAAAAGCGAGTAGCGGTCAGCGATTGGAGTAGACGACCGCATGAAAGCGATTTCGAACGCACGTCCATGTCGCACAGCGCCCTCAACACGCCCTCGTCAAACCCAGTCGGCACGAGATCCTCCTGCTGTTCCTGCGTCGGCGCGACACTCAACTGCCCGAGCTCACTGTACCCTCCACCTGCAACAGTCGCCAAGCTCGGTCTGCGAGTGTCCATCCCAGTTGAGGGCCGTTCGGGCTGCGCACCCGCTTGGTCGCCCATGATTCCCCTTCCCAACCCTAGTCCTTTTCCTCGTCGTTCAAAATCGTTTTCAGGTAGTCGTGAGGATGACGAGGTAGGCGAGACAGCGCGAACCGGACCGAATGGGTCGTAGGAGACGGATCCGGACGGGGCGTTGGAGCTGGACTGGCTCGGGTTTGGCGAGGGATCAACCGTGCCTGCCAGGCTTCGCTGAGGCATTGCAGGCGAGGTGCCGTTCTGGTCGTAGGAGTAAGATGAGCCGGTCACGCCGCCTGCGCTGTTGTTCGAGGGCGAGCGGGAGAGGGACGAGGAGGAAGGCGTCTTGTGCAGACCGGGTGCGGCGAGGTGTGAACGCGACAGCGACGATGGCGTCGGAGGGTCGCGATTCAGAGCGTACGAGGATGACGACGGGTGATGAGGCGGAGGAGGAAAAGGCATGGAGAAAGTCGGGATGTCGAAGGAAGTCCCCCCGGCGTTCGAGTCGATGCTTTGCTGGCGAGACGTAGGGAGAGGGTACTGTGCCGGATCAATCTCGCGCTGCGGAAGCGGAGTCGACGAGGGTGGCGGGCCGGGAAAGTACTGCTGGTACGCGATCTGCGACGGCGAGAGCGACTCTTGCTCCTCGTCGTCCTCGCCAATATGGTCGCTTGTCTGTCGCCCCGTCATACCACCTCGCGAGCCTTGCGCTGGACCGGGAAAGACGAGCCCAGATCCGCTCGCGCCTGGCAGTGCGCCGTTCGCCGAGCTGAACGACTGGTTGCGCGAGCTGGTCGGCGAGTACGGGTCTTGCGCATTCGCCCCCGACTGCGAAGAGCCGGAAGGCCGTCGAGCATCGGCGGGGAGGTTCGAAGACGAGCGCGAGCGCCCGGAAGAGAAGGAGGTTCGTGAAGGCGGGTCAGGAAAAGGGTTCGACATGGCGGCGCAGCGGGTCTGGCGAGGCGTCTAGGCAGGCGAGATGTATCGGACTGCGTGGTAGATTGTCAGTAATCGCAGATTTCTGGCGATCCCATTGCTGCGAGTCGAGGAGACGCTGGGAGGTGAGGAACAGGTGTCGCTTCTTCCGGCGGCGCCAGGACATCTTGGCGACGTCGATACAGCCCTCTTGTACATCGCCTATGCTCGCCGCATGCCCCGGACGACCTGCTCCACTCGATCCAGCCACGCCAGACGACGAGGCCCAAGAACCGCTCCCGCCAGGATGCTCGCCAGCCAGTCTGATCAAACGAGTTCGCGTCCAACGCACCTCTGAGCTCACTTTCCCTTCCTCATAAGCCGTCCCGCCAGGGATTGGCCGTCTCGAGGGTCGGCCGTGTGGGGAGGAGAGAACAGGTAATGTCGGAGACGGCGGCGCGCGTTGGGAGGTTTGTACGGCACGCCAAGCAATCTCTGCGAGTCCAGTTAAGCAATCTGCAAGCCAAACAGCCCCAGCGAGCGGTGTGAGGGCGTGTGCAGTCGTCAAGAGGCGCGATGGTCTCGAACGGGTCAATTGAGGCTCCCGCTCCTGGAGAGATCGCTATCTGGCGAGGCAGGCGGCATTGCACGGTTGCTATAGAGCCCTTACGCTGTCCAGTCGCCCGAAAGAAGCGGGTCGAGGGGTTGAACTCGCCGCGGTCGGGTCGCGGTTCGCTCGTCTCGCTCTGCTACAACTCGACGCACGCACAAGATGGCAAAAGGTGCGTTTGGTAGGCTGCAGTATCGCTCTCTGGATCGCGCTGACCGCCTGCCCCGCCACCCCGTTCTCACGCGACTCTCCCACACCCTCTCTCCGTCATCCGACCGCTCAACTTGATCCGTCTCTCGCTGGCTCTGGCTGCGGACAGTCCCACGCTCGTTCCGCCTGCTGGAGGAGCTCGAGAAGGGCGAGAAGGGTATCGGCGACGGGACGTGCTCGTACGGCTTGCAGGACGGCGAGGAGATGTCGATGGAGAAGTGGAACGGGACCATCATCGGGCCGGGACACGTGAGTCGTCAGTGTTTCTCTCTGTGACAGTGCTGCATCATGGCGAAGAGTAGACGGGACCAGGAGCGGGCACTTGTTCGATTTCGAGTCCCTCCTCGACTCCGCTGTCTCCCTGCTCCGTGCGACTGACACTCTAGCACCCGCAGACCGTCCACGAGAACCGCATCTACTCGCTCTCGATCCGCTGCGGCCCGCAGTATCCCGACGTCCCGCCCGAAATCACCTTCCTCACGCGTATCAACCTCCCCTGCGTCGACCAGAGTACCGGCAAGGTGCGGCGCCGTATCACTGCACCTCCTCGCTTGTCTCGCGGGTTCGGACTTGCGAGGTTGCTATAGTTCGCGAGGCGGAGCAGAATTGATCGTCTCTCCCTTTCCCGCAGGTCTCGCCCAATAAGCTCGGCGTCCTGGCGAACTGGAAGCACCAGTACACGCTCGAGACGGTGCTGGTAGAGCTGAGGCGGTGAGTCGTCGCGCAGGCTCAGATGCGTGGTCGGCACGACTCGCCGGCCAGCCTTTTGGAAGGCACCCGCAAGACACGCTGACACACCCGTCTCTGCGCAGGGACATGGCGACACCGCAGAACCGCAAGCTCAACCAACCAGCCGAAGGCACGACTTTCTGAGCCCGCCCCGCATCGCTCCGCCTTTCGCTCCTTTCCATCACGCATCTCTCCCGCGGGTTTTCGTCTTCTGGTCTGTTCGCCGCCATCCTCCTCGCTTTTTGATGTCGGCTTTGTGCATCCGGCTGCTGCTGCAACTCATGGACCTTCAAATCGAGCCACTCTGCCAGAGAAAGCTGTTCTCGTTCGGCTGACGAAGAACAGGCTCGCGTCGCAGTCTCGCAATCTCGCACAAAGTTCTCGCGGCAGCTCAAGAGACCCTTCGCACGCTACACCACCGCCCTGCTATGTCCACAGATTCCGCGCGGTCCACCAAACCGTCTCCTTCTCCCTCACCTTCCTGACAAACTTCAGCACGAGCGCATCACGCTTCTTCTTGTCCCCGCCCGTGAGGTCGTCAATAAAGAGTCCCATCTCGGACTCGAGCCAACGCGGTCTGAGGGAGAAGAGCTCGGCGAAACGTGCGGCGGGGTCGGGGGAGAGGGAGGAGGGTGGGAGGTATTGGATTGTTGAGATGGGGGGAGGGCGGTGGAGGTGGATGCCCTGCGGCAGTAGGGTCAGTAAGAACGCAAGGAGAAGGTATTGGAGCGCGACGCACTGCCAGCAGCGACAGCTCGCAGAGAGGCGCGAATCCTCCGGCCAGGTCTTTCCACTTCGCGACGAACGGGTCGAGCGGTTGTTGCCCGAACTGCGCAACCAGCAAGTCAGCGATCATCCAGCTCAAAGGTGAGAGACGCTCCGAACGCACGCCTCCTTCCGCCAGCAAGACCACCCCAAGCTCCTTGACCAGTTTCGCCGCATCCAACTTCCACCTCTTCCGTCCGCCCTCGACCTCATCGCCATACCACGCGAGAACCTGCCTCGCAACCTCGTCGTTCCCGCAATCGACCGCGTCCATCGAGTCGAGCAAATCCTGCTCTTCCGCTTCGGTCCAGACTGCGCCGTCAACAAAGGGCTTGACATCCTTCGCCTTGCCCTTGTCTTTCTTCTTCGTCGCGCCGTTCGAGTGTGCAAGTGCAGGCGGAAGCGGAAGAGACGAGAGAATGGACGGGAGGATTTGGGCGAGGAACGACGGCGGGAGGGGCCGGAGGCAACCGTCGAGCGTGACCACTCGCTTGCGGGAAAGCGCGCCGCGAATCTCGGCGTCGGAAGCGGGGATGTGAGAGCGGAGAGAGTCGAACGTCGGGTGCTGCGCAGGCGAGAACAGGTCTTTCGAGTCAGCCAGCGAGAGAAACAGGAGAAGGGTTCGAAACGCACCGACGCATGCGCTTTCTCCTCCTCCGCCGAGTCGCCCGAGAACTCTGCACCCTTGAGCAAGCCATCGAGCTTTTCCACCCTCGCGACTGTCGGGACAACCTCGAGCGTCTCGTGCAAGACCGCCTCGATCTCGATAGCGTCCGTCCTGGCCTTCTTGCGCGCCGGCTCGCCGTTCGCGTTGTCCTCCCCGACCTCCATCGTCCCGTCCAGCGCGCCATCCCCGCCCACGAACCACTTCCTCCGCCCTTTGCCCTCCCCACGCCCGCTGGCGCAAATGCACAACGAATTCGAGTTCTGCACGCCGCGAATCGAGTACGTCTGCGTGGCAGTGACGAGTACAGCCGAGTCGGACGGGTCGCCGCGGATCTCGAGCGGTGCGAGGAGGTTGTCGGGTGAGGTCGAGGAGAGTTGCTTGAGGAGGGCGGGAGGGAGCGCGAGGAGTTGGTACGAAGCTGTGCCTGTCGAGGCAGCGTCGGCTGACTTGTCGGCAAACTCTACGAGCCGTTCAGCCATGTCCAGCGCGAAGCAGCGAAGTGTCGAAGGCGAAGAAGGAGGGACGCGACGACGAGGCGACCCGACGCGAGCAATTCTTGCGATGAAGAGTTGAGGGAGTCGCAGGTTCAGCGACGACGAGTACAAGCTTGGAAGAGGCCAGACGAGACAGACGAAGAGAGAAAAGCAGAAGTGGCACGGCTGAACGCTCCTTTGCAGACGAGAACGACCCTCTTCGCTCGCCAGACGGAGGTAACGACGAAAACAGCAATGAATGGCACGCATACGGCCCTCGAATGGTCAGAGTACGACGCGGAAGCCCGAAGGTAAGTCCTCAGGCGGGCAACATTTCTCCCTCCTCGGCCTTTCCCTCCTTCGCCTCCTTCTCCCGCTCCTTCAATCCCCAGTTCTCCTCATCCGTCTCAGTCGCGAGCGCGATATCGTTCATGAAGAGCGAGATGACGAGTCCGGCGCACGTGATGCCGAGGCAGAACCACCAGATTGTGCGAGTCGAGTCGGCGAAGGCGGCTTTGACGGACGTGCGGATCGGTTCGGGGCTGCCCGATCATATCGGTCAGTACACGATGGTTTGAGAAGAGGTCCACTCGACTCACAGACCCTTGATGAGCGGGATAGCTGCAAACGCCGCATCTCCGCGTCCGCCAAACTGCGATGCGAACTCCCTCGGCAGCTTCTTCGCCAGCTGGTTTTGGAGGATTGTCGAGCCAACAGTGATGCCAAAGACTTGACCCAGTGAGCGGATGAAGCCGAAGAAGGCCATCTGTGGGAGGGCGAGGTGAGTTTGCGAAGGTTGCGCGGAGAGAGTGGAACGCACGGCGAGCGGCTGCTGCTGGACGGGGATTGGTGCGAGCACAGGGAAGTTGAGGCCCGCGTAGAGTGCGCCAAAACCAATGCCAAGAAGGATGGGGCTGGGAGGAGAGCTCAGTCAGCGCAAGTTCCACCGCAGAGGGCAAGGAAGCAAGACTCACAATCCAGCCCACATGCCCGTCTTCGAGTCCCACTTGAGGAGCGTCATCAAGCCGAAGCCGATCACGATGAGGCACCAGGCGACGACGTTCTGCGCCTTGTACTTGCCGAGGACCGTGACGGACGCGCCGGTGAGGATGGCAAAGGGTGCGATCGTGCTGCAAGGGGCAGCGTCGTCAGGATCGCACAAGGGACCGTCACGAGGTGTGGTTCTCTCACAAGCAGAGTGGGAAGAGGTCAATGCCGGCGCGGATTGGCGACGCGGTTTTGGCGGCCTGAAAGTACGAAGTTGGGTAGAAGTAGCTGCGCAGAGCCCTCGGGAGTCAGTGCAAGCCCAACCGTGAGCGAACTTGATTGCTTACATGACGGCAAGAACGGCAACGCTGTGCAGGAAGCAGGTAACGTAGCCGACAAGCGCCGTTGGGTGCGTGAGGATCTCAAAGGGCACGGTTGGGTACTTGACGACGGAGCGTTCGAGCGCAAGGAAGACGCCAAGTCCGACGATGCCGAGGATGAGTGGGACGAGGACGTGGTAAGACGACCAGGCGTAGGCTGAACCGCCCCAGGTCAAGCCGAGGATGAGCGCGGTCGCGCCCGCAACGAAGACGACGTTTCTGTCGAGTCCAGAGCATCAGCACCGTCCTACTGGCTGTGTGGACTACGCTAGCGAGCGTACGCGTAGTCCATTCTTTCGAGCTTCTCCTTGAGCGTCGTCTGCGGCGCCTTGATGTTCAGGAAGACGACGACGAGCGCAAGCGCGAGGCCGGTGAAGGGCAGATTGACTGTGTATCAAGGGAATCAGTAGCTCCCAACGAGATGAGACGAGGGAAGGACAGCGCACGGTAGAAAAGCCACCTCCAAGCTCCGGCGGTCGCGAGTCCTCCGCCGATGGGAGGTCCAGCGACACTCGCAATAGCCCAGACGGCGCCGAGGATGCCCATGTAGGCTCCGCGTTCGGCGAGAGGGACGAGGTCGATGACGATGATCTCGGACTGCGGGCGTACGAGGGAAGTCAGCCGAGTTCAGGTGGGCGGAGAGGAAGAAGTCGACGGACCATGGTCAAGATCGCGCCTCCGCCGATGCCTTGGACGGAGCGACCAGCAATCGCCATCGCCATCGACTGCGCACCGCCGGTCAAGGCGCTCCCAAGCGCGAAGATCAAGAGAGCGGCGACAAGAACGGGTCGGCGTCCAAAGATGTTGGCGAGGCCGCCGGCTGCAGGACTCGAGTCATTAACTGTCAGGAGTCGAAAGCGACAGCGAGGCGAGGCGCACTCCATGGGATGAGGGCGGTCGAGGTGAGCGCGTCTACGAAAGCGACCAAGGTCAGTGCCCGCTTGTCGAGCGTGCTCAACGCCGTGCTCAACACTCACATGCCGAGCCAATCCATGAGTAATCGGCGCTCTTGAAATCGTGGGCCACTGCAGACTGAACGTTAGTACAGAACCAAGAGGAAGTGGGCGGAAAGAGAAGGAGGCGCACTGTCGGGCAGGATGGTGGAGACGGACGTCACATCGAGAGCGCTCAAGAACAGCTGTCGTGAGAGAAGTCGCTGTCAGCCGCGCAAAGCGCACGAACGAGCGAAGTCCGCACGCACCGAGAAGCAGAGCGCGACAAACACCATCCAGAAAGCGAGCGGCTTCTTCGCCTTTGGGCTCGAAGGCGAGTTGGCTTGGTCATCTGTGGACGTCGGCGAGTTCTGGCCAGTCGAGGCAGTCTGGCTGAGCCGCGACGAAGCGACGGGAAGGTGTTCGTTGGCGATCGAGGTTGGCGAGTCGAGCGAGGCAGCAGAGGTCATCGCGGGCAGTGTGCGTGAGCAGCAGAGATGGGAAAGAGTACAGAGAGCAAGTCGTGCATGACCACGGGAAAGACCTCGCTGGGAAGATGAGCGGGAGAGATGCGCGGCGTTCGGGAACAAGAGAAACTTCCGTCGATCGCTGACCAACGTTGCGAGGCCGACCCTGGGCGCATCGCTCGATCTCAAGAGTGTGCGCGTGAAACAGCAGCTGGGCGGACACCGGGCATGCGGAGCGAGAGACGGAGGAACGGCGAGCGAGCGAAGCGGGAGAGAGGAGCGTCCTCTCGATGACAAGTACATCTACAACAGGGTCGAAGCAACGAAAGAAACGAATGCAGAAAGGGTATGCGTCCTGCGCGAGCCGCCTGGGGTATCCTCCACCGCCTCAACACGAAACCACCGACGACGGATCCTCTCCTCGCCCGCCCAATATGCGCCTACTTGGGCGGCAGGCGGTCAAAGATGCTGGGCTGGTCGGGCTGCTCAACCTTCTCGCTCTGCACCTTGCGCTTGACGCTGTCCATGATGTCCGAGACGGCGGATCGGTCGAGGTCGTCGCGGGCCTTCATGAGCTGCTCGGTAAAGGCGAGGTTCGGGCCGTACTTTTTGCGGAATGGCCAGTACTGCGCGAGAGGCGAGAGGTCAGCGGAGAAGAAAGGAAGAGATGGACGGCGCACGCACGTCGAGGAAGACCATCATCTTGCTCGCGCTCATCAGGGTGAGGACGCTCTCCAGGACGTCAAAGTAGCTGACGAGCTCCTGCTTCGGCTTGTACTGGAGGAAGAAGCCGAACGCGAGGTCGATGTCGCTGCGCATGCGCTCGCACGCCTGCGGGACGCGAATCTTGCCCGCGCGGCGGATCGCGGTGAGGTACGTGATGAGGAACGTGTCGAGGATGTCTTCGATGAGGAGGTCGAACAGGTTCGGGTTTAGGTGCGCCTGGTAGTCGTCAACCATGTAGTCCTTGAGCGTCTCGACGATCTGCTGCATCGGGTCCGACCCGTCCTGCTGCGCCGTGTACCAGCTCGCCTGGAAGAGGACCTTGGTCGCCGGTCGCAAGTCGTGAAAGACGATGTCGATGAGGACTTGCACGCAACGCTTGGCGACGTCGAGATACCCGTCCATCGCGTCGTTCAGCTTGTCCGCGATCGCCGTCTTGTACTTGGCGCTGACGAGTGGCTCGAGGCGGTTGTTGAGCGCCTCGGTAAAGTCGGCCGACTTGATTTGGTCGTTCGCGAGCGCCATGACATACTCGGCGAGTCCGCCAGGGACATCGTCGGTGCCCTTCTCGGACGCGTTGACGTGCCGGCGGTACTCCTGGTCGATGAGCTTGAGCCACTGCGCCTGCACGCCGCGCATGACCCGGTTCGCCTCGTCGACGACGCGCGAGAGGACCGAGGCCTGGTTCGAGTCGAGCGCGAGGTCGACCTGCTGGTTGAGCATTTGGAAGAGGATGACGGCGCCTTGCATGCCGTAGTAGCCGTCTGGATCCACCTCGGGCGCCTGCTCGCGGGAGACAAAGTCCGACACCTCGGTCTTCATGAGGTTGGCCGTCCACTCGTCCATCTTCTTCGTGATGACAGCGAAATAGTCGTCGATGAGGCGCGACTCGTTGCCGTCGAGCAGGACCGGCTTGAGCCAGTCAGGGTCGACGCCGAGCTCCTTAGTCATCGTCTTGTGATACTCCTTCGTGAACTGGGAGAGGCGGAGGAGCGTCGCGGCATCGGGACCCGACTTGACGTATGTCGCGAGAAAGTCGTAGAGCGCCTTGTGGTAGCCTTTGACGCTGCGAGGTGACATGGTCAGCGAGGCATGGGCTTTGGACGGACGGAACGGAGCGCACTAGACCTGCTCGATCTGCGGAAAGAAGACGGGTCAGCGGATCCCTCGGTACAGGTGGACGAGAGGCACGCACCTTCCAGTCGTCGGGGAACTTGTCGACGAGCGCGTCCCGCACCGTCAAGACATCCTCGTAGATCCACTCGAGCTCCTCGACCCACCGGACGCCGTCCTCGCCCGCCCGCCTGAAGCTCTTCTCGACGTTCGTCCTGCACCCCTCACGGATCGCATCGAGGACCTTGCTTCGGTAGTGCTTGATCGTCCGCGCATCCGCCTGCAAGCTTCTGAACCTGCTCGCAACATCGACGTTTCCCGCCTTTTTCACCATCCGGATCGCAATCGCCTTCTGATCCCGCGCACCCTCGAGCTCGGCGATCTTGCACAGCTTTACAGCGACCGCTGCGTTGCCGTTCCGCGCGAGCTCGAGCAACTCCCGCGCGAGGTGGAAGTAGTGCGCCTCGAACGCCTCCATCGTCTCGCCTAGTCGCTCAAAGTACCGCTCGAGCGTCTCGCGCGTCGTCGAGCCGCTCGCGAGCTGTTGAGAGGCCGGTGCGGATGGGTCGGGCGACGCGACTGTCGAAGGTGCAGCGCTAGACGCCGCCCGTTTCGCCTGCGCGAGCGTCTCGTTTCGAAACGTCTCGAGCTCGGTCAAGTGGTAGTGAATCGGGAGGAGGTTTGGCGACGGTCCGAGTGGGTCGGATCGGTCGGCGGAGAGCAGGTCGGACAGGTGCGAGAGGCGCGAGTACATGGAACGGAGCGACTCGATCATCTCGAGCGTCTGCGTCAGCCGTCGGTGGACAATCGAGACCTGTGACGGTATCAGTGTCAGCCAGGCTCTTCTACGGATACTCGTCACGGTCCGTTCTATCCAGTCGCTCCTGAGGCAGCACACGAGAGCGCCGACTGACCTCGACGAGCTTCCCGAAGCCGTCAATCTGCCCGCGCGGGTCTCCCATCTGGTGCTCGACCTCCCTGACCTGCTCCTTGAGCGACTCTGTCGCGTTCTTGGCATCCCTCAGCCCTGCAAGTCCCTCCTTGACGAGGTCGACCTGTTCCTTTGCGCGCTGCGAGAGGGTCTGCTGGAGCTGCGTGCGCTCCTTCTGGATTCGCTGGCGGAGCAAAGGGATACGTGTGAGTGTTGGCGGAGTCGACAGGTGCTGCAGGACGCGCTCCGAGGTCAGCTGTGCGCGTGCGATGAGGGCGAGGTGGGGAGACGCACCTCTGCGATGGCAGAAGCCGCTGTTGGCTGGTGCGGAAGGATGGCAGCAGCCATCTCGAGTCTAGGACACCACGGAGCACCCAGACCAGGCCGTCCAACGAGTTGGAGCCGACACGCAGCGAGAGGTTCGCGAGAGAGATGAGGTTGGCTCCGTCCGCACACTCGCTCTCGCTGGACTCGTCCAACGCTAAGCTTGCATGCTGTAAACGCGCTCGCTAGACCCGCACGCAACCTGCACACGCCCGCCGCGACGCCAACGGGGACTGAGCTCCCCGCCGTCGATGTCACTCCTCGTCCTCCGCACGCACGCACACCGCCAGACCACGCTCAGACTCGCACACAGGACCGTCTTCCACTCGCTCGCACCGACACCCGCATCCATGGCGAGCGCCGCGTCCTCCTCGCTCCGACAGCGCAACCCCGCCTCGTCCGCATCGTCGTCGCGCGACTTGCACCTTCACTCGCACGGCAGCGGGGATCACGGGCACTCGCATGGACACTCGCACGGGCACGGACACGGCGGCCACTCGCACGGAATCGAAGAGACGCAGCAGCTCTCGTCCGCCTTTGCCTCCCTTCGCAACCCCTCGCAACTCGACCCCGGCTCGCGCATCACGCTCGTCGGACTCGTCGCCAACGTCGGGTTGACGGCGCTCAAGGGCGTCGCGGGGTATGTCCTCGCGAGTTCCGCCCTGCTGGCCGACGCGGCACACTCGGGGAGCGACTTGATTGCGGACGTCGTTACGCTTGCGAGCTACAGGATCGGGCGGTGGGAGCCGAGTGCTAGGTACCCGTACGGATACGGCAGTGAGTGCACGCTTCTTCACTGCGGTCTCGTCTCTCCCGCTGACTAGGACTGTGCGCAGAGTTTGAATCTCTCGGCTCGCTCGTCGTCTCCTTCCTTCTCTTTGCGACAGCAGCCGGCATAGGTGAGTCTGACATCCCTCGCACTGCCTCCCAGCGCTAACGACGACCCGCGCGCGCAGGCCTGCACTCGTACCACCACCTCCTCCTGTCTCTCGCCACGATTCCCTCGATCCCTCCCGACCTCCTCGCCTCACTCGACTTCCTCCCTCACGGCCACGTCCACGGCCCCGAAGCCTCCTCTCACACCGACAGCCCCTCGTCAGACGGGATCGTCGACGCCCGAGCTATGTACTTCGCCGCCGCCTCGATCGTGATCAAAGAGTGGCTCTACCGGGCCACGCTCAAAGTCGCGCGTCAACAACACTCGAACGTGTTGCTCGCGAACGCGTACCACCACCGCTCTGATTCGCTCGGGTCTCTCGTGGCGCTGATCGCGATTGGCGCAGCGCGGGTTGGGTACCCAATGCTTGACCCGCTTGGAGGGCTGATCGTGAGTGGGATGATTGCGAAGCAGGGATGGGATGTAGGGAAGGAAGCGTTGGGTGGGTTGGTGGACCAGGTGACGGATGAGAAAGTCGAGCCGAGCGTTTACGAGGCGATCCGCGGACTGAGTGCGCACAGTGCGGATATCGAGGCGTGGAAGGACCAGAGGGTTAAGAAGGGAGGGATCTTGCCCTCCTCCTCCGCCTCCGCCTCATCCGCCGATGCAATCCTCCACCCCGAGCCTTGCTCCCCCTCCCCCTCCTCCGAAGAACGCGGCACCCTCCCAATCCTCTCAATCCCCTCAATCCGGCTCTTCGCCTCAGGTCCCTCACTCCTTCTCGACATCGAGCTGGTCCTTCCCTCGTCCTTGACTCTGCGCGAGGCGAATCAGATTGAGCGCAGTGTGGCGGGGAGGGTGAGGGAGGTGGTGGGGGAGGAGAGGGTGAGGGAGGTTGTGGTGCGGTTGAAGGCGGAGGAGGAGGGGGAGCATGAGCACGCGCATGAACATGAGCACGAGGGTGGGGAGCGGGAAGAGGCGGGAGGGAAGAAGGAGGAGTAGATGTGCGCAACGAGGTAGAAACGCATGCCTTTTGTTGCCGTTCCTCTCGCTTCCCCTCGCATCAGTTCGGTCGGGGAGAGTGTCCATTACGCTTAGAGGAATGAGGCTATGGAACGTGAGCAGAACGACGGCGCTATCTTCTAGTGGTACCCGCCTTGCGGAGGTTGTTGTTGAGCTGCACAACACGGGAACTGTCAGTTCCGCCTGCTTGACTAGCACAGCCGAGCAACTCCCTGCTAGAGGGAGGACTTGGCTCGACGAGCGGACGAGAGCTCACGATACCCCATCCCCTGCTGCGGCACATACCCACCCATCGGAACCTGTCCCCCTCCATACCCTCCTCCGCCGTACCCCGGTGCTCCTCCCATCTGTCCAGGCCCGTAGAAGCCGCCTGGTTGAGGGGCTACGGGTGGCGCGGGACCGGATTGAGAGGCTTCCCATTCTGCGCGATCCCAAGCGTCAGCGAGGAAGGAGGGGAGGGTGCGAGAGAGAGGGAGGGAGGACGAACGGCAGGTCGAGCAGTGGTAGATGTGGGACGAGCCGAGGGGGATCAAGGGGACGAAGCAGCTGCGCGCGCGCAATGGCAAGGCGTCAGATCTCACCGGTACGACCAAGGGCGAGGTCAGCGGTACTGACAAGGTGAAGCAGTTCCGCTCTTTCGTTGGGAAAACCTGTAGGAGATTGGCGGTTTAGCGAGTCGAGGAGGAAGCGAGCGGAACGGGGAGAGCGAGTTGTCGCACCGTGCCGTTATGGCACCTGCACCCGCCCAACCGCTCAACAATCGTCAGCGAATCCTTGCTAGTCCTCGTGACCCTCGGTACGGTGCGCACCTTGGGCAGATGTGCGCCTGTCCGCTTTCCTGCGAGAGTTGGCGGTCGCACCCGCAGGTGAAGATGAGGGGGATGAAGTCGCACATCGGGCACTGCGCTGGGTGTTTCTCGAGGTGCTGCGGTGTCGAGAGGGCTGTGAGGGCCGCGGGAATGGGAGGGCGAGTTTGGAGATTCGCAATCGAGGAGGCGGCGAGATGACGAAGGGGTCCGACGATGGCGCAAGTTGAGCGGGTACGACGAGTGCAGACAGTCAGCAGGACTCGCTAGAGGGCATGTCAGGTGAGCCGCACGCACCTTTTCGCCAAGCGAGAGCGAGAGGAGGTGCCGTCCGAGAGGTCGGTCAACTGAGCGAGGCGGGAGGTTGCGGGGTGGTGTGAGGACACTTGCGGCTGAGTTGTAGGCAGTCCCTAGCAGCTGGCAATCCAGTAAACCGCTTGTCAGCCGTGTGAGCGAGTTGCGAGCGGTGTCCGAGACGAGCGAGTCGTTCTCGGCGATGAGGACGGCGTGCGATGCGGGGCGGCCCGACGACGAGCGAGCGAAGGCAGCATCGTATCCAGCTGTAATCAGTGCAGTACTATCACTACAACGCCAAGGTAACCCTTACACGGCGACAGAACGAGAGCCGCCGCGCGAGACCACGCTGTTGCCAAGCATCGCACCGCCCACCGAGTCGCTCGCTCTCCCTCTCTGTCTCCTAGTACACTCGAACAGACTCGCAGTTGAATGGTCGACCCCCTCACCGACGTACCCGACGAGCCAGACGATAGTGGCCAATCCCCCGCCCATCCTCACCCTTCCGCGCCAAGCCTCGACGCCCACCATGCCACGCACGCATCGCACGCCCAGCTGAATCCCGAACAGCTCAGGCAACGCCTCATCAAGTCTATCGCACCCGCCACTGCTCACTCCGGCGACGATGCGACGCCGCACCACCCTCATACGTTGCGCCCGACCTCGTCGCTGCCCAACCTGGCACGCGGCCACGCGGGAGGGAGCGAGTCGCCCGCCCACCTCGACGACGACGCGATCGAAAAGGTGCACCGCACAAACACCCAGGTCAACCTCGTCCGTCCCGACTTGGCACCCTCCTCCCGCCGCTCGACCTTCTTCCCGCCCATTCACGACGCCGACAACGACGCCACCGCCGCCCCCGTTCCTCCACCCCGGCCTCCCTTGCTCGCACCGAAGAAGCCCCTCGGCAAGAACCCCTCCTTCCGCCAATGCCTCCTCAACGTCCTGCGCTACTCGCTCCTCAACGCCCTCCTCGTCTTTGTCCCCGTCGCATGGGCCATGGGGCTCTCGCACCAAAGCGCGACAGTCACGTTCATCATGAGCTTCTTTGCCATTGTTCCGCTCGCGGCGCTGCTTGGCTTTGCGACGGAGGAACTGGCGCTAAGGGTTGGAGATGCGTTTGGGGGGTTGTTAAACGCGACGTTTGGGTGCGTCGGCGACCCCTCTCTCCTTCAAAATCCCTTTGAGCTGACCCCGCCCCCACCGCACCAGCAACGCCGTCGAGCTAATCATCGGTGCGTCCCTTCTCCTCCAGCCTTTCGCAACTGCACTTCGAAACTCACCTCTCGCTAATGCCACTCGCAGCCATCCTCGCCCTTGTCAAAGGCGAACTCGACGTCGTCCGCTCCTCGATGCTCGGGAGTATCCTGTCGAATTGTTTGTTGGTGGCCGGAGGGGCGTTCTTTGTCGGTGGAATCCGGTGCGTGCGCGTTGTCTTTCGAAAGCGGCGGGAAAGCTTGACAAGAAACGGGCGCACGCAGGTTCTACGAGCAATCCTACTCGCTCCGTGCCGCCCAAACAAACATCAACCTCCTCGGTCCGTCCTTTCCTCTCCCCCTCCCCCTCCCCCCTCTCTCTGACTAACCGAACGAAACGCCTACAGCCATCGCCGTAACAGCTATCGTGATTCCCGTCGGTTTCCACGCGTTCATCAGCGCCGAAGGGACTCAGACGGAGGATTTGACGGACGAGAGTGTGTTGAGGCTCTCGAGGGGGCTGGCGTTCATCTTGCTCGCCGTCTACGGTGCGTGCGCATGCACCGTCCCGTCCCCTTATCTTCCTTAGCGAACGAAGCGAGACTGACTTCTCCCCCTCCCTCCCTCGCCCGCTCTCGCTCACGCTTCGCAGCCTGCTACCTAATCTTCCAGCTCTACACCCACTCCTGGCTCTACGTCCCGCGCCCCACTCCCTCTCCTCGGCACCCAATAACCGCCGCGCAACTCCTCCTCTACGCCGATGGTCCGCAACCGCCGACGGAGGGGAAAGTGTTTAGGATCCCGAGTTTGCCGAGTTGGGGTGGGAGTTCGAGTTCGGGGAGTAGTAGTGCTGGAGGGGCGGAGAGTTTGAGGGTTAGGAGTCGGAGTGTTTCGGCTACGGAGGAGGCGGGACTAGTGCAGGCGGGAGAGTCGACTCGCCCTCCGCTCTCACCGACGACTCTCCACCCTACCACGACCTCCGCGACGCCCATCAGCCCCGAGGTCGACCTCGAGAAGCAGGATCATCCGGCCGAGGGAGTCGAAGCCGAGCACGAAGAACCGAAGTTGAGCGTTTGGTTCGCGCTGGGATTGTTGGTTGTCGTGACGGGCTTGACCGTGCGTTCCTGCTTTCTTTCGTCTCCTCGCGTCTCGCCAAGTGCGTTGAGGGACTGAGATTTGGCTTGTGTGCGCGCAGGGCGTGACGGCCGAGTTCCTCGTTAGTTCCATCGATGGGTTGACGGCGACGGGCAACGTCAGCAAGGAATTTGTCGCGTGCGTTGTCAGCTTTCACTTTGTCTGTCGTGCGCCTTCTCCGCTGCACTTGCTGCGGCGAGAGACGCTCCGACCGACACTTCGAATGCTGACCTTCGCAACCTCCCGTTCCGCTCACTTCGCGCAGCCTCATCCTCCTGCCCGTCGTCGGCAACGCCGCAGAACACGTCACGGCCCTGGTCGTCGCGCGCAAAAACAAGCTCGACCTCTCTCTCGCCGTCGCAGTCGGCTCGTCCCTCCAAATCGCCCTCTTCGTCATCCCGGTTCTGGTCCTGCTCGCTTGGTGTATTGGACAACCGCTCGATTTGGAGTTTGATAGCTTCGAGACGCTGTTGGTGTTCTTGACGGTTTGCGTCGTCAACTGGGGTGCGTTCTCGCTCTTCCACTCCTCCTCCGAGCGACACTGACCATCTTGAGCGCAGCCATTGCCGACGCCCGCACGAACTGGATGGAAGGTGCGGGACTGATGTTCGTCTACATCATCATCGCCACTTGCGTCTGGTTCTGTGCGTTGTACCGCTTTCGCGTCCTCTTTCGCGGGACGAGAACGAGCTGACGAGGGCTTGCTCCGCTCGCAGACCCCGGCTCAGCTCCTTCGTCGCCTGCTTAACCTGGACCCCCTCGCCTTGTGACTAGCTCCTCCGCGCCTCGAAATTCGTGCGAAACCATGTACCACTCTTCTGTACTCGTAGGACTCTCGTCTCCCGCTTCTCTCGACTGCAGCGTCTCGAATCACTTGCACTAGAGAGACCCGCCCGTTCTACTGAGGAACCATCCACTCCGGCCTCCACCCAACCTCGACTTCGACGACCCAATTCTCCCTCTCCCACCTCTCCTCGACGATCCTCACAAACGCATCCCACCCCTCCTTCTCCTCGACGGCCCTCTGCGCGTCGGGCGGACGAGCAGCGAGTTCGATGGGGAAGAACCACTCGCCGTAGACTTCCCAGCCGAGTGAGAGGGCACAGGACGCTTGCATCACGAGTTTCGTGAGCTCGCGGTGGCGGAAGAGGTGGTAGTAGCGGTTGAAGGTGGCCGGTGCGGGTGCGGGTGCGGCGGGTGTCGAGTCGGTGGAAGGAGATTCGGTCGTTGCTGCTGTCGAAGATTCGCCCTCGCCTTCGGCTCCCGGCTTCCGCCGCGCCCGCTTCTTCGGCGCCTTCTCCGTTTTCTGCTTCGCCTCCTGTCTCTCCCACGGCACGAACACATCCCTCCCCTTCTCTTCAAACTCATCCTCCTCCTCTCCATCCGGGCCAGCGACAGGTACCGCACCCTTCTTCCCTCCCGTCGTCCTTCGCGCTGAGCGATCACCACCAAAAATCGTGAGGTCTTGTTCGAGTGACCAGACGACGATGAGGAGTTTGGAGACGCGGTAGGGCGGGTCGAAGGTGGAGGGTGGAGAGGAGGGGAGGACGGACAGGATCATTTGCTGCACGGGAAGTAGCGGATTAGTCGCGACAATGAAGGCGGTGCAAGAAGCAGCGCACTTTGACGGCCTCAATCCGCCGCGCGTGAGTCGCAAAGTGGTGGATTGTCGCGATCGAGATGGCGTGGTCCTGCGCGAAGTTTCGATGAGCTTGCTGTGGACAGTGAGGACAGTGAAGCACTCACAAATGCCCCTCTCCGCCAGCACCGCAAGTCGACGCAGTCTCCCCTAACGACTTCGTGCCCCTTCCCCTTCGCAATCCCCAGCAAGCCGCTCGACATGTCAAACCCGATAGGCAGCATGTCTCCCACTGGCACGCGCTTCGCCTCCTCCGCTCGCTCATCGTGGGTAGCCTTGCCTTTGCCCTTGCCCTTGCCGCCGCTCTGCCGCCCCGAGCCTTCCGCGTCCTTGCCTTCCCATCGCAACACGCTTCGACAGCCTAGGTATTTCCCATTCCCTGTTCCCGCGTCAAGGACAAGACTTCCCTGCACGTCGTTCAAGCCTGATCAGCCGGCGAAAGAGGGGTAACAAGAGAGGAAGCGGACGCACCGGTTCAAGCGAGTCGAGGAAGCGCTCGACGAACGGCCACCGCGTGTGTCGCGTCCGAGAGAAGTCGGCTGCGATTTCTTCGTAGACGGCATGGACGTGCGCGGATTCGAACGAGAGGGCTGAGGGTGTAATGGACATTGGATTCGATGAGGATCAGAGAAGGGGAGAGGGACGGAGGAGAGCGGCGCGGGAAGGAGTGCGGCTTGAGTGAGGTGGTCTATAGCGGTCTTTTAGCAGCCTGGTGGTCCCAACCGCTCAGTCAAGCGAGCGCAAGCGTGTTGTCGAGGTCGAAAGAGCGCTCAATACAAACTTTGTATTCGTTCGCCTCCACTTTTGTATTCCACGCTTCTTCACTCGTCATCCTGCCCAGCTCTGCGAGCAAGCCTGCTGCTGGCACAATCGCTGTGCTGCTTGCCCCAAGTCGCCCCTCTCGCCCGCCAATCACGACCGCACACGACTGGCGCCGTGACCTCGTCCGTCTCGCGAGACTCGGTTGACGGATCGCAACTCGACCTCGCCAGACAGCTGGACCGCCTCGGGACAGACGGGATTGTGACTGTGGTACGTGCAGCTGCCCTCCTCTGCGTCGTGCGAGGCGTTCGAAGCGAGTTGCGCGGGTCGTCTTCTCGACGACACGCTCGCGAACGGCGTCTCTGCGGCCGCAGCGGGTCTTTCGGGCCCGATCAAAGCGTGCAAGGGCTGACAGAGACTCTCTTCGCTACCTACCGCGCAGATTGCACCTTCTCCGACCGTTGGACGACGTCTGCAACCCATCGAACCGTCTCATCGCTTGTCGCCTCGGCACCCGCCCGCTCTCGCTTTTAACGCCGCTTGACGGGCTTGCACTTCGACGACAGTGTGCTCCACAGCTCAGAAATTGACTGACGAGGCGAACGAGCGCAAAGACGGCGACTCCGCGGCGTGATGGCCTCGGTCTCGTCCCCTCCCCACTCTCCACCTCACGGCTCACCAACCTCGCCTCACTCGCCGTACCAGCAACTCGCCGACGCAGACCACTGCTTCCCGCCGTCCTCTGCACAGCCGATCCTCGGGTCGACGAGGTCGAGGAGCGGGTCGCGGACGTATCGCGAGGTGCAGGAGGAGGAACGCAGGGAGCGCGAGTTGCAGAGGCAGAGGACGCGCAGTCGTGAACGAGCTGCGGCAGAAGACGCGCTCGAAGGGCGCAAGTCGAACGAGCATGCACTCGATCACGGCGCGGGCGAGATGAGCATGACCGAGTTGCGGGCGGAGGTCCGTCTGAGCTCGTTAACCGCCTCTCTCGCGTAGACTGACATTCTTGACCCGCATTACAGATGGAGACTCTCCTCTCACTGCGACGACGGTCGATGAGCCAGCCCATCGCCGTCGACCCAGACCTTCCGCCGACTCTCCCGCCAACTTCTGCTCCTCCGCCTTCCGCCAAACGACCGCAGCTCACTCTGACCATCACGCCGCCTCACGAGTTTGGTCCTGGTGGCGCGCCTATCTCGCCGACTGCGCCAGTGCCAGCCGAGACGGGCACGCTCGTACGGCGTCGCTCGTCAGCTGCCGGACGACTACCCTCCGAACATCCTGTCCCTTCACCTCCGCCAGTCCCTTCTCCTCCTCTACACTTTCCTTCTCCTTTCCCTACCGCAACCACCTCGACCTCGACCGCACCTTCATCCGACTCGTCCGCCTCACCCTCAGACACGCCCTACTCTTCCTCACAGGACCTCTTCTGGCTACCCGCAAGCCTGCATCCCGAGCTCGCACCTCAAGAGTTTAAGGCCTTCATCCGCGACCAGACGCGTCCCGAAGCACTCGCGCGACGGAGCTCGCTCAGCGCAGGGGGAAACCGAGTCAGTCGGCGAGCGAGTCTGTTAAGGGGCGAATACAAGCCGAGGACGGACGATGGGGTGGGCGAGAACGAGGGTGCGGGGGTGAAGCGGACTGCGAGCGATGGAGGACGGAGGGAGAGGAGGAGCGTGCTGAACTTTGAGGAGTTGACGATCAAGGACTTGCAGAGGTTGGAGGAGTTGGCGGGTGCGCCCGGCTGTTATCTTGCTGATGTCTGTATGTGCTGACCCCTGTCTGCGTAGCGAAAGCTGAGGCAGAAGGTACGACGACGGGCGAGGAGGAGGAAGGCGAGCGCCTCGGCCGCGTTCTGCGGCGAAGTCTCAGCTTGAACCCTCACCGCGTTGCCGCCGCCGCCGCATCCGCCTCCGAGCTCGGCACAACTCTGCAGTCGACGCCGGAAGAGACGAGCGACCAGCTGTCCGACGAGGCGCCCATCATCGTTCCTCCGCCCGGCCAGATCCTTCGCCGCAACGCCCGCACCAAGATTCGCAAAGGCAGCATCGGCAGCGAAGTAGGTCGCGGCGGATCTCGCTTTGGGCCGCAACGGCGGTCTCGGTCCAGCACAGGCGACCTCCGGGCGTCAACCTCGTCGACGACACTCTCGACGGCGGAAGACGGAGAACTCCCCGCTGGCGACATCAGCTTCGACGAAAGTGTCGAGAGCGAGGAGACGCGAGCGGGCGGGCCGGCGCGTCAGACGACACTTTCGTCGGCGGAAGACGATGCTGCGACAGGCGCATCGCCGCCCAGCTCCGATAGCCAGCATGTCCCGCGACACATCGAGGTCGCGTCTCCCGCACCTTCGGAACCTCTCCGACATGTCCTTGTCGACAAGCCGATGGAGGACGAGCCGCTTGCGATGCCAGAACCCGTCGCCGCTCAATACGGCCCGGCGGTCCTCACACCTCCCGCCGTCTCCGACTCGTCCTCCTCCTCTCCTTCTACCATCTCTCCCGCCTCTCCCGACTACGACTGGGCGACACACCACCTTCCGACTCCTGCACCTGCTCCTCCGCCGCCACCCGAGCCGCAGTACACCGTTCACCCGCAACATTCTCTCCGCTCCGACATCCCACCTCCGCAGGCCGTACCCGTCCCTCTGCCTAAACGCAGGGACAGCGTGTCTCCCCAGGGACCCCGACCCGAGTCGCCGAAGCCGAGTGTGAAGGAGAAGAAGAGCGGATGGGCAAGGCTGGGTCTCGGCAGCTCGGAGGACAAGGCGAAGAAGAAGGGCAAGGGGAAAGAGGACGCGTCGGAGAAGACGAAGGAGTCGTCTGGCTTTCTCGGAGGCCTCTTCGGTCGCAAGCGAACGGAGGAGCACGAGCGTCCGCCTCCTCGCGCTCCCTCGCCTCCGCCCGAACCTCGCATCCCGCCGCCTCCGCCCACCGCCTCGGGCGTCTTGCTGCCGAACGGCAAGTACGCCAACTTCTACCGCCTGCCGATCCACGTCGAGCGCGCCGTCTACCGCCTCAGCCACATCAAGCTTGCCAACCCGCGACGACCGCTTTACGAGCAGGTCCTCATTTCGAACCTCATGTGTGCGTTGCGCTGGGCTTTCGAGGCTGTAGTGAAGTCGCTGACCAGTCTTGCGCCGCAGTCTGGTACCTCGGCCTGATCCAGAAGCCTGTCGCTCCTCCCCCCGCTGCGCCGCCTGTCCCGATCCCCGGCATGCGCAAGCAAAACCGAGACTCGAGCGCGTCGATGGACTCGCATTCGGCTCCGTCACCGCCAGCCGAAGCTTCGCAGCGACCGCCTCTGACGAAGGAGGCGCCGCACAAGCGCGTCGGGCTCAGCAAGCCGAAGCGTGCGGGTGCTGGAGGACGCACTGCCGAGACGCCGATGCGAACGCCGAGCTACGAGGTGCAAAACCAGCAGCTTGTCGAGGAGCAGAACCAGCGATACTTCCAGCAGCAGCCTTACTCTTCCTCTCCGCCAAAGACGCTCTTTGCGCCACCGCTCTCGTCGTCGGCAGCCGGCGAGCCGAAGCGCACGAACGAACGGACTTCGGCGCCGTCGGTCATGTATCCCTCGCCCGCGCAGAACACGCCCGGAGGATACGGTTACATCCCGGAAGACGACGACGACCGACCGCTCGCTCCTTCCGCACCGCCGCAACACCAGCAGCAGCCCTTCCGCGAGTCGTATCCACCCCAGCGACCTGCACCTGTCCCGACGCACACTAAGAGCGGGTCCAGCTTCGAAGTCACCTCGCGCGCCGGCGGCTCGCCAAAACGCCTCTCCGGAGGTCCCGCCGACCCGCGCTTCCTTTCCTCCTCGCCCCCGTCGGCTCAGGCGACTGATCGACGCCAATCGACCCTCTCAGACAAGAGCTTCGAGGAGATTTACGATGCCTACGCTCCCGGCTCGCCTACAAGTCCGCAGGCGCCGACGATCGATCTGCCACCCTCGTTCGCCGCCTCGATGGGCGCGCCTGTCCCACCAGAGAAGACGGGCGGCTTCCTCGGCTCAGTCGCGCCGCGTGGGTCGTCCCTCAAGGCCTTTGGCGAGGTCGGCGTAAGGCCTCGATAGACGGCGCCCTTCTCACACGTTCCAGCAGACACTTTCTTCCGCTCGTTCTTGCATATACGCCGTCGTCAGTCGCACACGCTTTCCGCTATCCTAGGGTTCTCGCAGGTTCATCGTGCATCGCAGGACATTCTCGCGCCGGAGGTCGCTGAGACGGGTTCTGTGCGAGTCAACAGCATATACAGTGTTGCAGCGGGATCTAGAGTAGTAAGAGAATCATCGAGAGCCCCCTCAGGCCGCCTGGACGTTGTCGCCCTTGTTGGCCTCGCCCTTCTTGCTTCTGTCCGGCATGGCGCTAGCCTGCGAGACGAAGAGGAGATTTGAGAATCAGCAACTAGCCATGCAGAGCTTGGTGACCCATCTGGATGCGAGAGGAGTCTGACGCACCTTGGCGTCGATGGCGCGGAATTGCCAGGCCCATCGAGTATTGTAGAGGAAAGGGCGGTGATCGAAGCGCTGGTCCTCGGGCGAGTACGCCTCGGCGTGGTACGACGGGGTGAGCGTCGTCATCTTGTGCCTGTCAACAATCTGTCAGCATAGCACGTAATGAAATCGGGTGAGAGAAGACTCGCCGGTTGATCGCGTACATCCTGAAGAAGTATTTGACCTTATCGGCGATGTCGGTGGGGCTGAGCCTGTGTCCCCACTCGATCGCGAGCTTGTTGAACATGCCGTAGGGACCCATCTTAGACTGCTTGCGCAAGCGGCCGTAAATGGAGAGCTCCTCGTAGGTCATGCCCATGTCGATCTCGTCGGACTGGACGTAGTCCTTCGTGATCGGCTCGAGCTCGGCGGTCGGCGTGGCGTTGAGGAAGCTGCGGCGTGGACATTGTCAGCAAGTGCGACACCGCAGCGGGTGAGGATGCGCGAGCACTCGTCGAGAATGGGCAGCTCGAAAGCCTTTCCGGCCCAGGCGATGAAGCGCTTCAGGTCGACCTTCGAGATGGAACCGATCGGGTTGATGTCGGCGGCAGAGCAGTCGTACTTCGTGTAATACCCACGCAGCCTACGAGCAGAAGGCGTCAGCACGGAACGGAAACGACGGCGGACCAGGAACCCACGCCTCGTCAACGTTTGCGCTGCCCAGTACAAGCAACGCGCCCGTCTTTCCGCGCACCCAAGGCAGCAATTGCGCAAAGAGGTACGCAAGTAGCATCCGCAGTCGCGCTTGGATGTTCTGCAAGGCGAGGTTCTCGGCGTTCGAGCCGCCGTGGACCTTGTACTCGGGCTTCTTCCCGGTGACGAAGGCGAAGAGGGTGTGGATGGCGGCAACGCAGGCGTCCATGTTGAGGTCGGTGTGGTAGCTGTGCGAGGAGAGGATGAGCTCGCGACGTAGCGAGTCGAGGTCGACACCAGGAACTCACGCTCCGATGGCCTCGGCGAGACCCTTGGCCCTGTTCCGCGTCTCATCGCTCGAGTTCGACGTTCCCATGTAGCATGTGTGGAAGATACGGCCGCAGAACTCGCGCGGGTCGATCGGGACATAGGACGAGTCGGCTGCTTCGCCTGCGATTCGTCGCGCGTCCTTGATGACCGACTCGTCTGCGATGGAGAAAGTCAGCGTGCTTCTGAACACCTTGGCGGCCGCACTCACTGCCCTCCGCCGCAGCCTTGGCGACCAGCCTGCACATCGAGTAGACGATTGTCGCCGTCGCGCACGAGTCGATGCCACCGGACAGCGGAACAAAGTAGCCACCCATGCCCGAGCGACGGAGGTAGTCCCACAGCCAACAAGCCGGTCCGTATCTGCGCAGGAGGCTCGTCAGGCGAGAGGCAAGCTGAAAAAAGCTGAAAGGACGCACGCAACCTCCTCCTCGGGCATGTTGTACTCGAACTCGCCCTCGTGGTCGACCTGCGTCTCGATCAAGTCCTCCGCGTCCTCCGAGCTGAGCCTCGTTTCCGCCCTGACGCGCTGGAAAGCCCCCTCGTGTCCCGCCGCCTGCATACTCCGACTGCTCCACGTGCGGTGCGAGCGGATGTCTTGCAAGTGGACGGTCGCTGTGACGACTTCGACGTCGTTGAGAGAGAATTGCGAGCCTTGGGCGATGACTCGGCCGTTGAGCGTGATGAAGGCGCAACCATCGTAGTAAAGGCGGTCGCCGTCGCAGCCTTGCTGGTTCGCGTAGAGGTACAGGCCGCCGGACTGCGCAGGGAACAAGGTTAGCGTGGATCACGAGAGAGGTGGGGAGAGTACCCGCCTTGAGCGTCGCCTCCTTGATCAGGTCGATACGCGTGCGAAGCTTGCGCAGCTCGTGGTGTGAACCCGACGAGTTGGTGAAGATCTCGACGCCGTCGAGCGCCATCTCAATGTGGGGACTGCGTGGCAATCTGTGTCAGCGGGGCATCGCAAGTAAGCAGGACAAGACGCACGCTGCTGGCGTAAACAGCTCCTCGCACAGCTCGACACCGATGCACGTGTCCTGCGTGCTGACGACCGCATGACCGATGGGGACAGTCTGCTGGCCGGTGACGTCGACGATCATCTTGGGTAGGTGGAAGTCCTCGGTCTGCTTGTGCTTCATCCACGGCGAGAACCAGCGAAGTTCGCGGTAGTTGCCGTCGTTGGCGAGCCACATCTTGGGGCGGATGAGGAGGATCTTGCGCTGGTAGAGGATTATGCGGCAGTTGTAGAGGACGTTCTTGTGGACGACGGGCCTGCGACAGAACTGCGGTCAGCGTGAGGTAAGGCTTCCAAAGTCAGTCCGCGCACATTCCGACGTCGACGACCATATCATATGCATCTTCGCATTCGAGGATCTTCACGAGAACCTGCCACGAGTGGAGCTGGGTGTCGCCTGAAGGTGCGAATGATTAGTTCGGCGACTCGGCAGGGAAGTTGAGGAGATGCGCACCTTCGAGGAAGTGATCCTGGCATCCATAGGCACTGCGGGCGTGCTGAATAGTCAGCGAGTCGCAGGAAAAGAGCGAGACCTCGGACGTCATGTCCAGTCGAGGAGGAGGATAAGCGCGCGAAACATACGTGATCTCGAGTTCAGGACCGATGCGCAGCTTTGCTCCCTTCTCCTTGGCAATCTTGATGGAGCGGAGGATGCGTTCGAGGTTTCCTGCGAGCCTCGGCATCAGTTCGACTGGACCTCGGGGACCGACGAGAGCGGAATAAGGCTGCGTACCGTCAAAGTCGAGGGCGTGCTGGTTCAGCGAGCAGGTTGCGACGGTGATGAGTCCTCCTGCGGGGTGTACGGACGCAGCTGAGGGTAGCGAGAGGCGTCGGCAAGTGGGGAGGAGGCGGCGAGGGAGAGAGGATGAGCGGGTGGTTCGCCTCAGCTTAGCAGGTCAGCAGAGAGTCGCGCACCCATCTCTGAGTCCCTTCACGCTCAGCGAGGCGTGTCAAGCGGTGAGCGGCGAAGCGTAGAAAGTCAACCAGGACTCGAGATGACAGCTTGACCTCGCTCGTCTCCCTCGCCCGCTCAGACTGCCTTGTTTGCCTGCTTGCTCGGTTTCCTGGACGTGTCTGAAGCTGCAGAAGGCGGAGCGAGGGCGCTGCTTGCCGTTGCGATTCCATTCCTCCCCCTCTGTCGCTTCATCAGTGCAAGGAGGATTCACCGCCAACTCGCCCCATAGCGGTTGCCCAGTGCGCGAGCAGCGCCACACGAGTCGTCAAGATGCGCTTCCGAGCCGAGATCTCGAACCCGTCGCAGTTCGCGCGCCTCATCTCGTCCCTCTCCCCGCTCGGCAAGTCGGCGACACTCAAGCTCACGGAGGAGACGACGCACTTGATCTGCATGCCAACCGGGACGAAGAGCGATGTGCAGGTCTGGAGGTGTGCGGGCACCACGATTCTGTCAGGGTTGAGCTGACCCTCCTCGCCTTGCAGCCAGATCGCCAACGTGAGCCGCTCTCCACAGGCCGTCGGTACTCCGCTCACCTCGCTCCCGGCAGGACTCAATCTTCAACACATCGACGATGCGCGTCGAGTCGAACAACAACAACGAGATCTACCTCCAGCTCTCGCTCGACCACCTCGCCAAGGCTCTCCGTTCCGCATCGGTGAGTCCGCCTTCCTTTCGTTCTGAGGGGCCATCGGCTCACTTGTGTGTGCGACAACAGGGCGCAACGCAGGTCACGGCCAAGCTGGCGAAGCGCGGTGGGAACCAGGGCAAAGGCGACGGCGCTTATCCCGTCCTCTCGCTCGTCATCGAGTCGTCGGTGCGTCGCCGCACGCACATTCGGCTCGGTTTTCTCGAGACGCCTTACTGATCGACTCGTTCGGCGGACGCACAGAGCCGTCTCGGCAAGCGCCTCGAGATCACGCAGGACGTTGCGGTCAAGGTGCTCAAGACGGACGACCTGAAAGAGCTCAAGGAGCCGCTGTGTCCTCAACCAGAGGTGCGTCGTGCTCTACACCGGCGAATGTCCCCGAGCCTCGCTTCAGACTGCCCGCTGACTTCGAGCCGCCTTGCCGCAGGTCATCGTCATCCTCCCCGCCCTGCAAAAGCTCCGCACCGTCACCGAGCGCCTCAAGACGATCTCGTCGCACGTCACGATCAGTGCCAACAATCTCGGCGAGTTGCGGTGCGTTCGGGCCCACTGCCTCTCAAGTCCGCCTCGCTCTTGGCGCGCCGTACTGATCGCAGAAACTGGCGAATTGTGCACAGGCTGCGAGCTGAGGCGGACGAAGCGAAAGTCGAGACTGAATGGCGAGGCCTGAAGCGGCCGAACGGCGAGTGTGCGTCCATCTCGCTCTCTCCGCCCTTTCCCCGCTGACGCTTCCCGACACTCACAGCCATGACCGCCGAAGTTGACGACCCAGCAGAGTTCTTCTCCGTCACGCTCGACACGAAGAACCTCCTTCGGTTCCTCAACACCTACGCCGTCGCGACAACCACTATCGCCTGTTCGTCCCCCTCTCTCTCCACACCTCCCGCTCGCTCATGCTCGTGCACGCAGGCTTCTGCTCGAACCACTGCGCCATCTTCTATGTCTACGTCGGCGAGAGCAAGGATAAAGTCCAAGGCGGGGTACTGACTTTCTACGTCCCGGCGGTCAAGATTGACGGGGACGACGAGGACTAGCTGGGTGGGCGCTGTCTGGGTTGTATAGGGTATAGCGGGTCGTGTTGTTGTAATCGTCGACGCTTGCGTTCTTTTTCCTTCGAGTCACGGCAGTCGGGGTTGAGAGCGCCGCTTGGAGTCCGCTCCGTCTGTGCCCTCACGCGCTTGCCGGCCCGGTCGCTCGCTGAAGCCTCGCAGCGAGCATCATCGGCGAAAACTAGCAGGAGCGTTTGCAAGGAAGGCGCAACTCCCTTCGCACGGGCTTGACCTTCCTAACCCTCACCAACTCTCGCTCTTCTCCCTCCGCGTGATCAGGACAGGATAGCATACAAGTGCAATGCGAGCGAGAATGAAAAAACGAATGACTGAACGAGTTGGACTATGGGTATCGCGCCTCCCGCCTTTTCCCCTACCTGCGTCCTCCTCTCGCTTCGAGAACTCGCACTCGCGACTCAAGCGCAGAACTGCACGACAATCTTGACCTTCTGCTCATCCGCAGTGCGCATGTCCTTCTCTACCAGCGCCTTCTCGAGGGCAGCGAGGTCGGCGGTAGAGGCGGGAGAGAGCGTGATGCGCGAGTCGTGAGGGAAAGACGAGTCGGATCCGCTGCACCGCCAGAGTCCGTCAGCTCACACATTATAGATGGCGAGACTCGTGAGCGAAGGTCACAAGGAAAAGCGCGAAGACCCACCTCTTCACCAAGAACGCCTGCAACACGACTGTTCCCTTACCCTGATCAGCCCTTCTCTCCCAGCGACGACAGAGGAGATGAAGCTGACGCACTGAGAATGACAGCCATTTCGGCCTGGTACTGCGCGTCCCAGTCTGCAACGGCAAGACGAAGGAGAGGCCACATGCTTGCGATGCACCCTGCGCGTCCCACCTCCGACTCATCAGCTCCTGTTCCAGGCCAAGAGAGGAGGTGAGGACGCACCGACCGTCCCAATCCACACGACTGCCCTCTTCGCCCCTCCCCACCCCTTCCTACTCTCAACATCCGCCTCCTCATCGCTCCACAACGCCGCGCTACCCGCCATCACGCCGATCGCGAGGGGTACGAGGGTGAGGAACGTCAAGGCGTAGAGGTAGGTTGATTCGGGGTTGGGGTTGGGGTTGAGGAGGAGGGTGGGAGAGCGGGAGGAGAGAAAGGTAGGGTGGAGGAGGTAGAAGAGGCATAGGGCGTTCCAGATTGAGGCGCTGCGTGCGGGACGTGGTCAGCCTACTTTTACGTCGCAAGAGGGAAGAACGAAGGACGCACGCAATACACTCGCCGAGCAAATGCACATCTGCCCTCACCCGCCAATATCAGTCTCCCTCTCGCTCATCCTCGAGGAAGCAAACACGAAGGCACTAGTATACCCCTCCCTACTCGCCTCCTCCCTACTCAAAACCCACGGCAAGCGTTTCTCCTCGTCCTCGGCGTCGGAGGGGAGACGGATCGCGCCTTCGCGGTCGACGAAGCGGATGAGGCGGGTCTTGAGCACTGAATGGCGAGTCTGGGCCATGGGAGCGAGCAAGGGAGAGCAAGAAGGAGAGAGGGAGAGGGAGGCGAAGGCGGGACGAGGAGGAGAAAGGAGGAGAGGTGTGTGCGCGCCGAGCAAAAGGGTGCGTGCGGCAAAGGACGCCGCGGCGAGAGGGACTGTGCGGGATAGGAGTGGGAAGCGACTTCGAGGCGGATTAAGCGGAGTTGCGAGCGGCGAAGGATGCGAACGAGGCAGAGCCAAGGAGGCGACTCGCGCGAGAACGAGGACGGAGGGAACGAGTGTGAATACAACAACTGCGGGCACTGAATAACGTCGAAAAAAACGGGACTGAACAACCTGCGAACCCGTTGTGAGACGAGACGGCAAGCGAGAAGGGCGAACAACCGCCCCTACGCTGGCGGATCTCGTCCGCGCTCCGCCACACCATCCTCCCCCGCTCCTCCTCCTCCACCCACACCTTCGACCCTCCTCGCAGCCGTCCCAGTCCCACTCGCAACCGACTCCCTCCGCCTGGTCCTCTCCTCCTCCCCGCCCTCGTCCTCACTCTCCCCTTCACTTGCACTACTCCCCTCTTCCTCGTCCACCTTTGCACCCTCCGCACGCTGGAGGACCTCCTCACCCTCTCCCACCTCCTTCGAATACACAGGCAAACCGAGACCCTCCTCGCGCTCTCGTTCCCTTCTCCTGCGCTCTCGCCGACGCGCTCGACGCTCAGCCCTTCTTCGTTGTGCGTCGTCGTCTGGACGAGACTGGGCGAAGGCGGTAGCGGCAGACGCGAGGACTGCCGGACTCGCTCCTACCCCTTGGCTCGCTCCTCCCGCGTCCGAAGAAGCTCGTCGGCCCGTCCCGCTCCCGCTTCCGGCGAAAGCGCGCAAATTCCTCCCGAGCTCGGTCACTTGCGCGATCGTGCTCGGTGAGGGCGCGTGGTTCGGATTCGAGCCTTGCGGAGGGGCGGCAGCGGCGGCGGCGGGGGAGGAGAGCGGTTGGAGCGGGACTGGATGAGCGAGAGTGGAAGAGAGGGTGGGAGGAGGAGCGGGCGGTGGGTGGCGCTTGAAGAAGGATGAGAAGCGGGAGAAGGGAGTTGGGCGGGACGGTGGAGTTGGTGCAGTCGCAGTCGCGGGAGGAGGAAGGGCGGGCGGTTGGTCGTAAGCTGGCGGCGGTACCTCGTCCTGCTCGTCCTCTTCTCGCTCGTACACACTGTCGCCCACCGAGCTCCCCCTCGACTCGACCCTCCTCAGCTCCCTCTCGCGCTGCCTCCTCGCTCGCCGTTCGGCGTGGCGTCTGTCCTCGGCGGCTTGGAACGCGAGCAAGCGGTTACGGCGGAGTCGCTGGACGAGGCAGAGTCGGATGAAGACTGTCAGAGCGAAGCAGGCGAGGACGATTACGACGACTGCTCGAACGAACTCGTCTTGTCAGCTGGGAGAGTCTCGAGAGCGAGCGAGAGTGGATGGGACGCACTGTACTTCCATATGTCGAATGTAGTCCCGCTCGACTGGTTCTCGCTGTCTGGCGAGCCCGTCTGCGAGGGGAGGAAGCGAGTCCCGTCGGTGTTGGCCTGCGAGGACGACGACGACGAGGAGGTGGTGGTGGTCGGTGTGGCCGCTTGGCGCGGTGCGAGTGCGGGCATCCCGAGTGATCCCTGGCTGTGCAGTCGTCACTCTGCAAGTCTTGTCCCGGCCAGCGTGAGTGCGCTGACCGTTTCTCACCGAGAGCGGGTCCCGTCGTGGGACTTGGCTCTCTCGCTCGACCATCACTCGCACTCGCCAGACACTCGCAGTGAGCACCCTCGAGCACTCCCACACTCTCACTCAACACAGATTGACAAGCGCACACCCGAGACCCGCTCAAACACCCGTCCGTCCTCTGTCTCCCGCAGTCCGATGACGCCCTCCCTCACATCGCACGCTCATCCCACTCACCCTCGCTTCGTACTCACCGTGCAGACCACCCAAACACACATCCGACAATGCCGTTCACCGTCAGTCTCATCTCGCTCCGTCTCGAGGCGCGCGCGCAGGGGCGCCGCAAACCCAGCCAGCCCCTCGCTCCCCTCACCTCGGCGATTCCGTCACATCCTGATCAACGAGGTTTTGGCTTGGAGGACCGCTGTGCTAACCTGTACGAATATGTCGCGCAGGCCTCGGACATCTGCAAGATCATCCTTGCCATCATCCTCCCGCCTCTTGGTGTCTTCCTCGAGCGTGGCTGCGTGCGTCCCTCTCCTCCTTCTCCAGGCTCTAAACCGCGTAGCTGACACGCCGTGCATTGTGCAGAATGCTGACTTCTGGAGTGCGTCCTCACCGCTGAGCCGCCAGGAAGTCCCGACTCGCTGACTTTCTCCCCCTCCTCCTCCTCCCCCGTCCTTTCTTCCTCTTTCTTCGCGCGCACAGTCAACGTCCTCCTTACGATCCTCGGCTACATCCCCGGTGCGTTCAGTGCCCTTTCCGCCGCATCCTCCCGCCATCTCCGCCCCATTCCTCGCCTCCTGGACTTGGGGACTTCCACAGACGCTGACGACCTGCTTCAAAATACACAGGCATCATCCACGCTCTTTACATCATCTTGGCAAGTAGAATAAATCTCTACGCACTCAGCATCATCCCCGAGACTTTGCGCGAATCCAGCGGGACTCGTTTCGCGATATTGCTTTCCTCTCTTGATGCATACTGACTCCTTCCTCCTCCTCCATGGTCACAGAAGTACTAAGCGCACAACACAACCCTTGGCTGTGCGTACAAGTCGCCCTAACTCTCTCGGCATCGTCCGCAACCTGCCGCCCCCAGTCCGACCTCTGCCTGTTCCGCCTACTGACTCCATCGCCCTCTTTGGCAATCCACAGCAGTACCAAGCGCCTCAGTACCCCTCCCCTTCCCCTAATCGACACTACCTCTCTGTTTCTCACGGAACGGACACTTCCTCCTTCTCAACCTGTAGCTTCTTTTCAACCGCTTCCTTCTTCTTTCACACGCCTGCGTCTGATTTGAACGAGATCTAGCTACCTAGCAGACTGCGCCTGAGATGAGAGGAGAGCGGGGGTACTTGCGAGGTCGAGGAGGGAAGAGCAGACTTTCGTCCGGGAGAAGGAGAGCGCGCGAGTTGAGTTGTTCAAGGGTCGGTGATGGACTGTCAATAGCTGGAAGTGTACGGAGTAGCAGGAGCGCCATACCGCAACCCAGTCAAGCAAAGGTGTGCGACCTTAAGAGGGAGGAGGAGGCGAGGGACGGATCTTGCGGCGCATGCACTTCCCGAGTCGTTCCTGACCTGCACATCGTGGTATAGACTCTTTGGAAAGGGCAGAAGTGTCTGGGCGTGTTGAGCGAGTAACAATGGAGGAAGGGCAAGTCGGGAATGTGGAGTTCGTCAGGGAAGGCGGGACGGAACTAGCCTTGTTGACCCAGGACCAGCAGCAGCCTCGTCGCCTCAACGGCCCAGCATACAAGTTAGTAGCAGGTATAGCGGAGTCTGTCTTGAGACGTGAAGCCAGAGAATGAGACTTCGACTTGCAACCTTCCCAACTCGAGCTCCGCTGTGCGCAACGATCTTGTCGACGCCTCGCTCCCGCTCCTGCTACATTGGTTTGCTCTCCGCGCATCCTTGAGGGGTCTTCGTGCCTCTGCTAGCACTGCTCAAGCACCCGCATGCACAGGTCCTCTCCGCTGTGATCTGCTTCCGTTGTGCGGTTCTTATTCCAGCAGGGTTGCGGGATCCTGCCAACTCTCTCGTTCTTCTCAAAACAGATACTGATGTGCTCATGACATGCTCAAGCATCCGACTGCTGGGATCCTTCTCAACCCTGCCCTCCCATCCTCTCCTTCCTCGCCTCCTGGACTTGGGGACTTGCACAGACACTGACGACCTGCTTCTGGATACACAGGCATACTCCAAACTCTTTACCTCATCTTGGCAAGTAGAATAAATCCCTACACTCTCAGCAGCGTTCCCGAGACTTTGCGTAAAGCCAGCGGGACTCATTTCGCGATATCGCTCTCCTCTCTCGATGCATACTGACTCCTTCATTCTCCTCCGTGGCCACAGAAGTACTAAGTGCACAAGAAGACCCTTGGCTGTGTGTAACAGTTCAGTCAGAAGTGTCGGAAGAGACGAAACCTTCGCTGTTACCGCGAGTCTGCCTGTACGGGTCGTTGTGGTATGGTCCGCCGGTCACACGGTAGCAAGGTCCTGTGCCAACGCGTACCGGCAACGTCGGAGGTGAGTACCGCTGGTTTGTGGCAATGCGGACGCGCGCGTAGCCAGGCTGAGGAGGAGGGGCAGGCGTGGCAGTGCCGAAGTTGATGGGACGCAGTGGGAAAGTCGCATTTGAAAGGAGAGCTTGACGGAGGTCGTCAGCCCATCTGATGAGAAACTGGTCTGAACGGAGGAAAGCCAAGGGTGATGAGCCATTCTCCTGCGTGAGGAGAAGCAGAATAAGAAGCAGAACTCACGTTCAATCGGGTACTGCTGTCCAGTAGTCGGATCCTCCAGAAAGAAGCCCATGATTTGGTCGATCTTGAAGGCAGGGAAACCGCCAGCCCACTCGAGGGAGACATATCCACCGAAAAGCTGCCCCTCTCCTGCCCATCCCACTTTGCTGTCGCCGCCTGACTCAGGTCCTAGGCCCTCAGGTGTGCTGTCCTCGCTGAAAAAAGCTTTGGCTGCCGCGTGAACGAGCTGGTGAGCGATGACGATGATCGCGATGATACAGTGACCAGAACGCTCCACGGGGGAGGCGGCATGTGGTTGCTGCTCGCCTACACTATCAGTCCATGTGCGTGAGGGCGAGTGAGGAATGATGGAGCGGCTGAGGGTGTCGGGCAGGACTGAAGGGAGCGGCTCACCTGTAGCCACTTGTCCATGTCTGCCATGACATACTCGCACAGATAGATCACGTTTGCAGACTCACGCTTCTCCACGACGCCCCACGCGTCATCTAGCCGGTCCCAGATGCGCAGTTGGGGAAAGTTCGCTTGGAGATATTCTGCAACTTCATCGAGAGACGGTGGGGACGAGCGAGGACAGGTCCGAGGATCACGGAGGGCATGGAAATTGCGCAAGCTGTTCGTGACAATGGAGATGTACTGGGTGTGGGAAGCGAGAGCGGAGCTGATGAGGTGGATCTCGTGGTAGAGCGCGGGATCGAGACTCGCGGAGTAGGTGTGGACGATAGCGTTTGAGCTCCAGTGTACGAGCGAGAAGGGGAAGGTACTGGTGCTTGTGCCGGGCGTCGAGGTGGTGTTCAGGGTCGGCTGCTGCAGAGGCGGGAGAGGAGCGAGGAGAACAGCGGCCGGGGGCGTATGCTGGCGAGTGCTGGGCTCCGCGCCAGTGCCGTGACAGCTCAAGCAAGTCAACAGTTGACCCATGTCCGAGTGCGAGTGGTAGAGGACAGAGTGGAAGCGCAACTTGGTGAGCGGGAAGTTCAGGCCTCATCGGCATTGCTCGCTGTGCTTCATAGAGGAGCAGGCTGCTGTATGGCCCATACAACGCTCTCCACGCCATGCAAATCTCACTCGAGTTGACAGCGGACAACTCGTTGAGAAAGCGAGGGAAGGGAGGAGCATCCCGCAGCTCTGCTCGATTCAGCCGGTACGAACACTGCACGGCTCTTTACACAGTCGCCGCTGACCGGCGTCTACTGCTGCGCCTGCCCAATGTTCCCCTTGGCCCACCTCGCCGTCTTGACGCCCAACTCGACCGCGGCCTTTCCCCAGTCCTCCCCATGGTTGTGTCCCTTCTGTTCCTTCCCGACGCCCGCACGCTGCAACGCCTGCTCATCCGTGTTGCAATTCAAGACGCCGTAAATCACCGGCACACCCGTGTCGAGTTGGATCCGCATCAGGCCGTGCGAGACGGCGTCGGAGATGTATTCAAAGTGTTGCGTTGAGCCTTTGATCAGGACGCCAATAGCGATGCAGGCGGAGAAGGGGCCGGAGGAGGCGGAGGCGGAGGACGAGGACGAGGGGGCAGGGGCGGACGAGTCGAGGAGGGAGGAGGCGCCCATCAAGTCGTTGGCGGTGGCAGAGGCTTGGATTTGAGAGGCGGCGATCAACCTGTTTGTATCTCGGGGTCAGTACGTGAAACCAATTCCTCCTCGACCCGACCCCGGATGATGGGGACAGCGATCTCACTGCCGGAACTGGACGCCGCACGCACCTGGAACAAGCCATCGGAAGCTCGTAGCTGCCCGGCACCGTCTCAATCACGATGTTCTCCCTCTTGACCCCACTCGCGAGCATGACCTGTACCGACCCCTCGACGAGCGGCTTGATGACGCTCTCGTTCCATCTGCTCGCGCGATCGTCAGTGAGGGTGACTCAGGAAGGCTGGGACGACGCACCGCGCGTGCACGATGAGGATGCGGAGCGGAGAGCCGTCGAAGCGTTCGCCCGAGTCGGCGAGGCCTTTGACGGTCGAGTCGTGCTCTCCGGCGACCATGGTGGGGACAGAATGAACAGGTAGGTAGCTGGTCAAGCGCCTGTCTAGCGGTCGTGAGCGTGTTGCGAGGAGTGGAAGCGATGAGTGAGCGAGCGGTCGGGAACGAACTGTTCCCTCGACTTCGCTGGACGGGTTCGTTTGCACGCTAGAACGACTTTGAGGGACACACGGAGCATGCTTGTACCAGCGCCGACCGATCCGCTCGCCAACGACACCTCTTTCGCCTCCTTCCCCTCCTCCCTCGCCTGAACCGGTCCTTGTTCGGATCCTGCGCCTCGGAAAGCTTCTGCGACTCGCCCAGAGAACGTGCGCGTCTCTGACCGAACGCTCGATGCCCGCTGGCCGTGGGCTTACGCTGACGAGGCCGTGCGATGGCTTCGGATCTCGCGAAACTCCGTTCCCCGAGGACCTCCATCTCTCCTCGCCCAGCTTCGTTCCGTTCGCTCTTCTCTCCTTCACTCTCCTTTCATCACACACCCACGCACCGCCGCCTAACCCGACGCACAAGCCATGACCTCCGCACCCCTCGCCTCGCCAAGTCCGTCCTCGACGATGGAGAAAGACCATCCTCCTCCCTCTTCTCCCGCCGAACCTGGTCGCGCTGCTTCGACTCTTGTCGAGTCGCTTGACGGTGCGCCGAAGTCGGCGAAGAAGCCGCTGAGCTTCTGGCTCATCTTCGTCGCCCTCTGCTTCTCGGTGCGGGAGACTCTCGCTGTCCCTCAAACCGCACATCGCTGATGCTGCTACTCCGCAGATGTTCCTCTCGGCCCTCGATGTCACGGCCGTCTCGACGGTGCTCCCGAACAGTACGCTCGCTTCCTTCCTCCGCTTCGCTGTCTCGCACTCACCTTCTTTCGCTGCTCACAGTGGCCAAAGACTTCAAGAGCGCCGATTACTCGTGGATCGGTTCGGCTTGTGAGTGTCCTTATCACGCTTGACGAGCCGGAGCTGACCTCAGTCCCGCAGACGCCCTCACCTCGACCGCTCTCATCCCTTGGAGTGCGTTGGCCTTTTTTTCGCAGCCAACGTGCCGACAGCTGACGGTCTTCAATCGCGCAGCCGGCGGCCTCGCCAACATCTTCGGACGCCGTCCCGTCCTCGTCGCCGCACTCCTCCTCTTCGCCCTCGGAAGCGCCTTGACCGGTGCCGCTCAGTCGATGGCGATGGCTATCGCAGGCCGCTCAATCCAGGGTATCGGTGGTGGCGCGATCTTGACCATGGTGCGCTCACTCACTTGCTTCTCAAGGAGAGCGAGTCTGACCCGAGCACTGCTCTCGCGCGCGCAGGCGGAGATCATCGTCATCGACCTCGTCCCCCTCGCCGAGCGAGGCTCGTACATGGGCATTCTCGGCGCCGTCTGGGCTATCGCAAGCGTCGCTGGACCTCCCATCGGCGGAGGACTCGCGACTGCCGGCGCTTGGAGGTGGTTGTTTTATCGTGCGTTCTCGCGAGACGTTCTTTCGTCGAACGATGAGCTGATGGATCGTTCACGCAAAGTCAACTTGCCCTTGACTGGACTCGCGTTTGCGCTCGTCGTCGTGTTTCTTGACATCAAGGCGCCTCAGACGACCCTCAAGGAGAAGCTCGAGCAGATGGACTATGCGTGCGTGCCACGGCGCTGCATCGCAACTCATGAGAAACGCTAACCGCTCACGCTCGCGCAGCAACGTCATCTTCGTCGCGGGCGCCACCGCGCTCATCCTCGGCCTGACCTGGGGCGGCTCAGCTTACCCTTGGTCATCCTACCACGTCCTCGCCCCGCTCATCCTCGGCATCTTCGGCCTCGTCGTCTTCTTCGTCGTCGAGGCGAGGTTTGTCAAGTACCCGACCGTGCCGTTCAACATCTTGGGACACCCGACTGCGCTCGTGGGATACGTGACGACTTTCCTGCACAGCATCTGCGTGTTGGCCGTCATGTGCGTTCCTTCCGCGCCCTCCAGCTCTCGCACAAGCGGTACTGACTCTGATCCGCCCGTCTCGCAGCTACTTCCTCCCTACAGCCTACTTCCAAGCCTCAAAAAGCGTCTCCCCCATCCGCGCAGGCATCGACCTCTTCCCCATCTGTTTCACCATCGCGCCCTTCGCGATCCTCACCGGCGCATCCGTCACGATTCTCGGGAAATACAAGGCGCAGAACGTGATTGCTTGGGGGTTCATGGTCGTTGGATTCGGGCTGATGACGCTGCTCAAGTGGGACTCGAAGACGGGCATGTGGGCTGGATTGTGCGTCTTCCCTCCATCCTATCCGCACACGAATGAGGCGGACTGACGTTCCGCGCGCCCGCAGCCCGATCTTGTTCGGCATCGGCGCAGGCGGCCTCTACGCCGGGCTGAACTTCCCCGTCCTCGCGCCTATCGCAGTCTCACAACAACCGCTCGCCGTGCGTTCCTTTCATCCTTCCCTTTCCCCTCTCCCCTCTCCATCCTCCCTCCCGCTCCTCGCACTAACGCTTGCAAGCTCGCGCGCAGATGGCATTCTTCGGCTTCATCCGCTCACTCGGCCAAGTATTCGGCATCGCGATCGGCTCTACGATCCTCCAGAACCGGTTGGCGCAGACTCTGCCGGCGGAGTTTCTGGAGCAGGTTGGGGGGAGGGGGGATGAGGCGTTTGCTGCGATTCCGGGGATCAAGGACCTGTGCGTCCTTACTTTGCTCCTTCTCTCGCTTGGGCTGGGCTGGGCTGACGCTGAAGGATGCAACAGCCCCGAACCGCTCCGCACGGCAGTCAAAACCTCTTTCGCCTCTTCAACCCGCACGATCTGGTTCTTCTGCCTCGGGATCACCTGCGCCGGACTGCTCATCTCGCTGCTGATGAAGGACCTCGCACTCGCCACCGAGACGGATGTGGAGAAGTGGGGGTTGAAGGAGAGGGAGAAGGAGGCGGGCGAGGGGAAGGCGGAGGAGGGGAAGGTTCAAGGGGCCTCCACCAGCAGGAGGTCGCCCGACGACCGCTTGCACTCGGCGACAACTCGCTTATGAAGCCTCGTAGACTTCGCTGGGACCTGTAGTGTACCTGCTTGAAGCGTCTGTCTGGTCAAGAGCTCTCCAGAGAGGTGCTATTGAGCGAGCGATGAGCGGGCGAGGAGGCTCACTTTGACCGGCCACAGCGCGCTGCCTCGGGCTCCGTGGGACAGCTTGCGAGGCTCGATGGGCTTGATACGTTTTCCGGCGACTCTACAGCGCGTTACAGACCGCCAGAGGGTGAAGAAGGGGGGGGGGGGGAGAAAAAGGGGCGGGTGATTGGCTGCAAGGGTCCGGACCCTTCGCAGCTTGGTGGCGCCTCCACTGGCTGAGCGTGAAGGCCCCTTGGAAGGTTGAGGTTTGAGGCGTGCGACGGCGAATGTAGATAGCCATGGACAAACTGCTGCGCCAACTAATGTGAATCATCCAGCTTCGCCCCATTGCGGGAGCGAGCCCTCTAGCCATCTCTGCCCACCGCTCGAGCGAACCTGCTCCCGTCGGTCCCTCAGAGCGAGCGAGCGAGCGAAACGGAAGAACGAGAAAGATGCTGTTATTACCGAGAGACCGAAGACGAGACCTGATGCGCTACAGACATAACTAGAGGGCCGATAGAAAGGATGCGAGACGGGGGAGAGACAGGATTGAGGTTTGACGAGGCGACGGCGACTTCGCTCAAGCGGTAAAGCCAGCTGTCCTCGCACTCACGTCAACGCACAGTCAGGAAAGGTGGTGAGGCAGGGCGCCACTCACCAGCTTTGCACTGCCCGGGCGCACAGTCGCATTGCCCGTTCTTGCACTGGTCGCAGTTCGCGCGCGCGGATTCGGCGGCCTGGCACGTTCCCGCGGGGCATGAGCATTCACCCTGTGCGAGAGGGGGAGCGAGAGTTAGCGTTTTTCTGAGGCGAGACAGAGGCTGGACGAGGAGAAGGGAACCTGAAAGGAAGAGGAAGCGACCCGCCAAACAGCGAGCTCATCTTCTCATCTGTCTTCCGTCCTCCTCGTCAACGTAAGAGCAAGTCACACTCACGTTCAACCCCCTCTGGCACCCCTTCTTCGCCTGACTAGCCTTACACCCGCCCTCTCCGCACCCGCACTTGCCCTCCTTGGCGTAGGTGCAGCTCTCGCGGGCGTCGCACGACGCAGCGGGGGTGTTGGAGGAAGGGGCGCAGGCGCAGTTGACGCCGCAGAGGATGGTGGTCTGGGTCTGTTGCGAGGCGACGAGGATGGGGTCGTGAGTTGCTCTTCCTCGCCCAGGACGTCCGGCCGCAATTACGGCTCGACACAGTCTATACGGAGACAGGCAAACTCACCGACATGGCTGTATCTTCGAACGAGAGCGAGTGACGAGGTGCGAGGAGTAGAGCGGGGTTCGTTCGAGTCGGTTCGAGCTGCGACAAAGACTGGCGTGGTCAGCTCAGTCTGACGAGTGCGTGTAGCTGTATCGCGCACCTTGTGAAGCTGTGTGTGAGAGTGAGCGAGTGAGGGTGAGGAAGGAGAGAGAGAAGGCGAGCGGGCCAGAGAAGGTCGACCACAGTGGCGGGGGAGGCGGTGAAGACGAGCGACAGCCAATCAGCGAGCGCGCGTTTGCACACAAAGCGACGACGGCGACGAGCACGCTGTGGAGCAAAGAGGGAGAGGCAGAGAATGCTCGGTGAGATGAGGGAGTCTGCGAGGGAAAGCCGGACGAGGAGCGAGAGAGGGAGCGACCAACGAGGCCAGGAGACGTTGAAACCAAAGCATAGTCTTACACAGCGTGAGAGAAAAGAGATACTGTACTGTACTGAACACTCGTGAAGCACAACCCACCCAGACTCACTCGCGCATCACGCCCCCGTCGCATCAAAGATCTTCTGTCCACCCTGCCCTCCCTGCGCCGGTGCCTGTCCCGCCGTTGAAAGGGGCGCAGTCGCACCGACCGTCCCCTCGGGCACGACATAAGCCTGTTGAGGCAGGCCAGACTCGTCGATCGATTCTGCGGCTTCGATGGTTTCGTAGAGGGCGGAGGCCTGCGCGCGACCGAGGGGGAGGGTTAGGTTGGTTCGTGGAAGAGCGTGTAAGGCAACGGGATGGTTCGCGAAGCAGACAAGAGAAGAGCGGGGGGAGAGAGGGAGGACTGGACGCACAGCTTCGGGTGGAGGGACCTTGCCGCTGTACGTCGAAAGGAAGCTAGTCAGCTCCCGGACTCCTAGATCAAGAACGGCGTCTCGCCAATCCCGGCGCAAGACCGTCCCCAAAGGAAGTCGGGCGCTCACCTGAGGAGCTCGAGCGCGGGAATCGCCTGCCCGTAGAACGCCTGGTTCGCGTCTTTCTGCGGACGCGAAACACACTCTCATCAGCACTTGCTCCTGTCGAAGCAAGATCAAGGCTGAAAAACGGCTCAGCAACTCACTCTCTCCACCAACACCGTCCCCTCCAAACTAACACCCGCATACAACCCCTTGCTCTTCGAATACGTAAACATCGGCGCGGGGTTCAAGATAGCCGTGTTGACTGCTCCGCCGACACCGATGGGCCCTGCGGCGGCGGCGAGAGAGCCGCCGATGGTGAGGTTGCCGCCTTTTGCGAAGGCTGAGAGGGCTTCGTCCGAGTTGAGGACGACGACGAACTGCGTGACGAAGCTGATTGTCAGTACTTCCTCTCCTCAAGTAGGCAAGCTTACGAGAGATTGCCCTCGAGAGCCAGCAGCGTAAGACGAGCGAAGGGGACTGACCTCGCTCAAATCCGCCCCAATCTGCAGACCGAACCCCACGCCGCCCGTCGCGATACAGCTCGGCGCGCTCCACGTCCCGTCAGGCAGGCGGGCGATGACGACGCCCGAACCGGCTTTGCCTGACCAGACGAAACCGGCTTTGAGGACGGTGAAGATGGCGAATCTGCGAGGGGAGGAGGGCGGCGGGCGTTAGTTTCGAGCGTAGACGCGGGAGTGGACGTGTGTGAGCTAGCAAAGCCCGATGTGCCGTCCCTCCAGCGGCACACGACCAACCTCGCAAGACTGCGCAGCGGAGTCTCCGAGTCCCTCTTCGCCTCATCCCGCCTCGAGCCCGCCCAGCCAGCACTGATAGAACTCCAGAGAGCGCCAACTCGCCCTTTCGCCCTGTGCAAGACCTCTTTCGGAATCGAGTTGAGTGCCGACTCGGGATGGGCGGGGTCGGCGAGGAAGGACTGCAAGATGCGCGCCGCTTTCGTGCACTGCTCGAGGGAGCGTCAGCGACCTCTGAATGATATGCAGAGTCGGGCGCACCTCGGATTCGAGCTTGAAGCTGGTCATCGCTTTGGCAGACCCGGACTGCGCCTCCTGCGCCACCGCCTGTCCGAACGCCGTAGCCTGCACGCCGACCTTCTGTGCTGTGTCTTTGAACTTGGCGAGGAAGCTCATCGTCGGTGAGAGGGTGGAGTGGTGAGGACGAGAAGGGATGTTGGGCGATGACGAGGAGAAGGGAGCTTTGGACTCGACCACGTCGCTACGGTACGAGCTGGCGATGCTTGCTGGTCTCTAACAGCTTTCTGTGACTCGCGCAAATGGGCTCAGCAAGTCCCAAGTGCGCCCGTTCTGCCGCTCTCTCGAATCCTCGACTTTCATCCGCAGACGAGCGATGGGTCCACAACACGACGAGAGGGCTCGGCGGGCATCGCACGGGGTGCCGGACAGTACTGAAGGGCTGATAGGGCTGCGAGTCCGTCCACATCCTCCTCTGACGGACGACGACGGACGCTCGAGAGTCGACGGGCAGTCTGGGGAGCGGACGGACGAAGCGGGGGCCGTTCCTCCAGCTCGAGCCTGCTTGCTACGTCCCAGGCGACGTCTACGCGCGCTATCGAGCTTATCGAGCGCGCCCGCTCACCCTTCCTCCTCGTCCTCGTGGACCCGGGCTCCCGCGCCCCACATCCTCGTCGGCTCACTCGCCAAAGGACGGCACGCTCCTCTTTCTTCTCTCCTCCATCTCACGCACACACTCGACCATGCTGCGCCCGAGTCTGCGAACCCGACCTCGCCCGCGTGTGGTCCTCCCGCACACTCGCCATCGCTCGCTTCACGACCGCGGCATCTGGGACTACGAAGAGCCCAAGACCTACACCCTTCCCGACTTTACGCCCTCTGAGCTCGCGAACCGCTCAAAGAACGCTTCGCTCCTGCGCCTCGTCGAATCCTACAGGCGCCACGGACACCGCGCAGCATTGGTCGACCCGCTCGACTTGGCGCAGAGACCGGTTGTTCCAGCACTCGATCCGAGACGGTATGGGCTTGGTGCCGAGCCGGAGAGGGACGAGTTCGTGAGCGAGACGCTGGCGGAGAGCATCGAGGATGAGGGGAAGAAGTACGATACGACGGGCATTCTTGATTTCCCCGAGGACGGGAAGGGCCGCATGCGCACAATGAAGGAGATCTCGCAGAGACTGGCGGAGGTGTACTGTGGCGGCGTTGCGTACGAGGTGAGTCGGCGCTCGTTCGGTCGCGAACGCCAGGCGTTGCTTGCGTTTGGCACGTTTGGCTGTGCGTAGCCGGCAAATGCGCTGACGGTACTCGCCCATGCCTGCAGTTTATGCACATGCCATCCAAGCACGAACGACGCTTCCTCGAGACCCTCCTCGAGCGCTCGCATGCCGAACCCATCTCCACCTCCGAACAACTCGAGAACTGGCGGCTCCTCGCTCGCTCAGAAGGGTTCGACCAGTGGGCTGCGAAGCGTTTCCCGAACGTCAAGCGGTACGGAGGCGAAGGCGCGGAATCGATGATGGTTGCGGTCGCGAAGATCTTGGGCGAGGCGACGAAGGGAGGCGTTGAGGATGTCGTGATTGGGATGCCGCATCGCGGCAGGCTCAATCTCTTGACGCAGCTGCTTAATCTTGATATGCGGCTGCTTGTGCGGAAGGTGCGGGCTTTCGCTTCTGCCCAAGCGGCTTCAGCTCATCTCGTCCCGCTCCCAGATGCGCGGCCTGCCGACTCTCCCGCCTTCCCTTCCTCCCTCGCAATTCACCGACGACGTCCTCTCCCATCTCTTCCTCTCAACTCGGTACACCCCTCCCTCCTCATCCGACTCGCTCACCGTCCACCTCCTCCCGAACCCCTCGCACCTCGAGACCGTCACTCCCGTCGCCCTCGGCTTTGCGCGCGGGTTGCAAGTCCCCTTTGGCTCGCTCGAAGCGCAAAATTCGGGATCTTCGCAGCCGTACGAACTCGGCTCGAAAGTCCTCAGTCTCTCAATCCACGGCGACGCAGCATTCGGCGGCCAAGGCGTCGTAGCCGAGTCCCTCAACCTCGCGAGCCTCCCTCACTTCACCTGCGGCGGCACGGTGCACATCGTCGTGAACAACCAAATCGGGTACACGACGCCCGCGACGCAAGGGCGGTCCAGCTTCTATGCGACGGATCTGGCCAAGATGATTGCTGCGCCGGTCTTGCATGTCAACGGGGACAAGGTGGATGATGTTGCGAGGGCGATGAAGCTTGCGTTGGCGTATCAGCAGAAGTTCAAGAAGGACGTCGTGATCGTGCGTCCACTTTCTGTCCGGCCGCTGCGACTTGAGTTGATGGTCTCCCCCTTGGCAGGACCTGGTCGTATACCGTCGTCGCGGCCACAAGTACGCGCACCAGGCTACTCTCCGGATTGCCTTCACTCATCTGGCCTCATCTGCGCAGCGAACTTGACGAACCGGCCTTCACCTCACCCGTCATGTACTCGAAGATCAAGGACCTGCCGTACGCCGTCGCCTTCGCGTACCTCGTCTCGTCCTCCTCATTCGGACCTGATTGCTCTGCTCTACAGTTCCGTCGCCCAGCTCTACGAGCAACACCTGGTCGCCGAGTCCACCCTCTCTTCCTCCGACGCCGCTGCCTATCGCAAGTCACACTTCGCCTCGCTCGACGAAGCACTCGCCGGCGCCGACCCGGAGAAGTTCACGCCGCCCGAGCTGGAGATGCCTCGCGGGTGGTCCGAGATGCGCTGGCCGGAGGAGGGCGAGTGGGAGACGCAGGTCGACACCGGCTTTGACGAGCAGGCTCTGCGCGAGATTGGCGAGCGCAGCGTACAGGTGCCTGACGAGATCGTGCGTCTCGCTCTCCTTCGCCCGTCACCGATGCGACCTTCCTAATCTTCGACCGCGCAGACCGTCCACCCTCGCCTGCTCAAGATGCACATCCGCAAACGGCTCGACTCGCTCAAGGACGGCACAGGGATCGACTTTGCGACTGCCGAAGCTCTCGCTTTTGGCAGTCTCCTGCTCGAGGGCAACCACGTCCGGCTCTGCGGGCAGGACAGCGGTCGCGTGCGTCACGACGCTCTGCTCCTCCGATTGCGCGATACTCACGATACTGTCGCGCGCAGGGCACGTTCTCGCAACGACACGCCATCCTCGCCGACCAGACCTCCGAGCGCGTCGCCGTCCCGCTTCAAACCCTCGCTTCCTCGCCTCCACCCTCGTCCAGCTCGTCGACCCAGCCCGGCACGATCGAATTCGTCAACAGCCCGCTTTCAGAGTACGCGCCTTTGTCCTTCGAACAGGGTCTGGCGTATGTCTCGCCGAAGATGCTGCCAATCTGGGAGGCTCAGGTGAGTTCCTTTGCCGTCTTCGACAGCCAGACTGAGGCTGATCACCTCGGCACTCAGTTCGGCGACTTCCACAACACGGCACAGGTCACCATCGACACTTACCTCGGAGGCGGCGAGACCAAGTGGGGCATGCAGAGCGCCTTGACGCTCCTCCTCCCGCACGGACAAGACGGCGCAGGACCTGAGCACTCAAGGTGAGCTATCCCCTTCTTGTGTCCAGATGCATTCGCTGACCTCGTTCGCCAATCAGCTCCCGCATCGAGCGCTTCCTCCAGCTCACGAACGAGCCGCTCTCTCGCTCGAAGCCCTTCGTCCCGAACATGCACCTCGTCAATGTCACGACCGCCGCACAGTACTTCCACCTATTGCGCAGGCAGATGAAGCGCGACTACCGCAAGCCGCTTGTCGTCTTCTCGCCCAAGGGCATCCTTCGTCTTCCGGTGCGTCCGCTGTCGTGCGCGCTCGCATGTACTTCGAACTCACGAGCTTGAATGTTCAGGCCGCTTCGTCGACCCTCGCCGAGATGGCGCCCGGCACGACCTTCCAGCCCGTCTTGACCGAACAAGTCGCTGACCCATTGAAGGTCGAGCGTGTCGTCCTGCTGTCGGGCAAGCTGTACTTTGAGCTCGCCAAGCAGCGCGCCGAGCGCAAGCTGGACGGCAAAATCGTCTTCGTTCGCATCGAGGTGCGTCCACTGCTCTCGCTCTCCTCCGTCGCGGTAGCTGACGGTCATCGAGCTTGCAGGAGATCTCGCCGTTCCCGTACGAGGCCGTTTCCGACGCCCTCGCACCATTCACGTCGGCCAAGTCGATCGTCTGGGCGCAGGACGAGCCGGAAAACGCAGGCGCCTTCCTCTTCGTCCTTCCTCGCCTCCAGCAAATCATCCCGCGCGGACTTGAGCTCGAGTACGTCGGCCGCGATGCGATGGCAACGCCAGCTCAGGGCGTCAAAAAGTACTTCGAGGAACAACGGAAGGACATTGAGGAGCGCGTCTTTGCCGGCTTGTAGACCTCTTTCGCATCTCTGCATCACGAATACCCTTTCTTGACTCGCTTGAGCTGTGATAACATTCGATACAGTCCTCAATGCGTCTACGCTTGCGTATCGAAGCTGTTCCGCCGCGATTCTGCCGAGCCGTGGAAGTGGTGGTCCAGCAAACCCTCGCCCTCCTCCTCGTCGTGCGGGTGCTGCCGTCGAGTCGAGGCGTCGAGGCCATAAAGAAGATAGTTCTCGCCGACGAGAGACTTGGCGACAAACTGCAGGCGAAGTAAGCGGTCAGCATGGAGTCAAGGACCTCGACGAGAGTAAGCCGCACCATCAGACGGTCCAACCTCTGCGGAGGGGAAAGTGAACGCAACGTCAGCGAGTTGAGCAGACTCGTGTAAAGTGGAAGGACGCACATTGATGAGCGCATAGGCTTGCGAGACTCCGCTCGAGAAGCGGAGGTAGTCGAGCGAGGAGATCGTCTTGAAGTCGACGTGCTGCGGCAGACCCTCGAATTCCTCGTCGCCGAGCTGTAGCTCGTAGCCGTAGCCGAGTTGACGACCGCTTGCGAGCACCTCGGGCGGCTTGAGGAAGCGTTCTAGAAGCGGGTTGTAGATGAAGGGTAAAGGTTGGCCGTGGTCTGCGGGGTCACAGTCACTGTAAGCGGTGCGATCGCAGTCTGCAGGGTAAGCCCTTGACGCACCCAGGGCGTTCGAAATGAGCTGGAGCGTCTGGAGGACGTCTTGCAGGAAGCGCGGGTTCGCAAACTGCGTGCGATGTAGCAACGCCTTGGTCCAGTTCCTGTCGAGCTTTGAGAGGACCATACAGAACTGGCCAAGCATGTCCAGCATCTCCCTGCATGACGAGCTTGTCAGTACAGGCTAGATCGCTTGGAATGCGCCGACGCACATCTGCAGGGCTTGAAGCGATGCGTCTGCGCCCGAAGAGATCGTCAGCTCGCGCTCCGGACCTACAAGAGGAGAGGTGGCTCACATAGATCGCTCGGCCACGGTCCCTGCAGACTGAGCTCGTACCGAGCCATCGCGCGCGCCTGCACAGTCCTGTTGACCCGCGCTCGCAAGGCGGCGAGGTTGTTGATGATGACCTTCGGCGCCTTTGTTGGCCCTTCCTTGCAGTTCGCGTACGACAGGATCTGGCAGATTACGTCGCCCATTCGTCCAATAACCTTGGCGTACGCTCGGCGGATCGTGACCTTCTGCCTCGACGAGCCGGGAAGGAGCGCCCATATGAAGGCGACTGCGCAGAGCGAGGATGAGCTGAGTGTTGACCCATCCGATAATGCTAGCTACGCACTCGTGATGCCGAGCATGACGCAGATGAAGCGGCGCCAGGCGACCTCCCAGCCGGATCCGACCGAAGAGAGTGTCGGGTTGTGCGCATCCTGCCAGCTGTCTGCGGGTGGAGAGAAAGATCAGATGAAGCTTCGCTGACGAGCGAACTAGACGAACAGCCGATCACGAGCATGGCTGTGACGCTCGGAAGGATAGCCGTCATTGGCCTGCGAGAGGAGGGCTCAGCGGACCAAACTCAAGCTGTTAGGGATGCGGAACTCACGGCTGCATGTGAACGCGGTAGAAGAAGATGAAGGGGAAGGCGACAGCGCAAACGGCGCCGACAGCGAAGGGATTCCCAGCGCCTTTCTGCGCGGCGATTGACCAGAGGAGGAGACCGAGAGCGGCGCCGACGAGTGTGCCCCATACTCGCACGACGTAGCCGAAGAAGACATCGCCGAGGAACTGGTTGCTCGTCAGGCAGATCATGACGAGGACCTACTCGAAGCGAGCGTAAGCGACGCCAGCGAGTGGGGTATCGTGCGGTCCAACGCACCCAGATGCCGCGCTGCCGATAGAAGAACCACGCGCTGCCGGGGAACATCGCTGGCAGGCTGCAGAGACCTGCAGACGAGGAACGTCAGCGGAGGTGGGTGGGAAGACGCATGAGGCACGCACCCAGCAGGACAGCGCTCTTGATGCCGAAGAGAACGTCCCGCCGCGTCGCCAGCTCCGAAGCGTGGTAGAGTCGCACGCCGACAACCTGTACAAGGGTTTTAGGCGCCTTGTAGTCCGGATTTCGCGGCGCAGCAAACGCCTGCGTATTCAGGTCGCGCAGCACCTCGGGGTCCTGCCGTCACGCGCCTTCAGCTGTGAGGGAGGACTGAGGGGTGATAAGCTTGACACACCTCGTCGCCGTAGTCCTGCCCGCCTACTGCTGGCTGGAACTTCGCTTTCCGCCAGTCCGGGAACCATAGCCTGCGGATACGACTGTGAGTGAGGTGCGGCGGAGTTCGAGGAACACGGGACTGTTCACCTTGGTCGTCGCCGCTTCGACTCGATCTTGAGCGTCGTCTCGAAGACGTCAATGAGCGCTTCGGACCAGCCGATGAGGGTGTGTTGGAGCTGAAAAGCCCAGAAGAGGCCGCGATGACTAGGCGCTTGCAGCTCTTCCCCGTCGTGCGACGGGTCGAGGCCGTACGGGTCGAGCAGCTTGGCAAAGGGTTTGACAACGTCGAGTCGCCGAGTGTCGCGGAAGTCGGCGAGAGCCGTCTTGAGCTCGTCAAGCTGAGCGCGCGACTTGATGATGAGCTGCTCCGCCTCCTTCTCGTTATAGCGAAAAGCGGCGCGGAGAGTGTCGTTGAGCGACTTGAAGCGATGGATAGTCTCGATGAGGTGGGCGAGGGACTTGTCGAGGATGCAGAGCAAGTCGGCGCTCGCTTTCGAAAGGAGGGCGATGATCTCCTCGATGTGCTGCTCGTCGCGGCTGGAGGCGGTACGTCAGCCGAAGAGCCGATGTATATCGAGAATCCAATTCGAGACTCACGGGTTGTGCAGGTAGTCTTCGAGGTCCGCATAGACCTGTACAACGGATGTTTGTGAGCAGCGGAAGCTGTCGAAGGAACGGGAGGCTCACGCACCGTACTCTCGACGACGCCGACGGGCTTGACATCAATCTGAGGATGCAGCACCTCGTGCAGTAGGCTCGGCAGTGAAATGTGGCTGGACGAGCCTTTGCCGTGCCGACCTCGCGACCTTGATCTCCGCTTGCCGTTCGCGCCCGAGTAGTGCATGCGGTGGAAGTGATGCTCGGGGAAGTGGGTGCGAGACCGTCGTTCGCTGCCCGAACCGTGCGACGTGGCGTGGACGAGGTCGGTGAGCGAAGACGACGAGTGGTCGCGGGAGCGGAGGTTGTGCGAAGAAGACTGGCGAGGTAGAGTGTGAGATGGCGAGAGAGGCGATGACGAGACGGGCGAATGGTTCTGGTCCTGGTGGTGCTGGACCTTGTTGAGCGCATGATTGAGCGCATGCACATCCATCGAGATTGACGATTCGTGCCGTTCGTGATTGCGCTCACGTTCGGGTGATGGTGGACGGGTCGAGCCCGGCGTCTCGTCGGGAGAGCCTGGTCGCGAATGTGCGAGATGGACGACGAGGGCGTCGGCAGTTGGACCTCCTTTCGCCTCCGAGACGTCGCGATGAAGATGCTTCTCGACAACCTCGTAGAAGAAGACGAAGCCGGCTGCACAAAGCGGAACTTAGCGCAAGTTCGATGGTAGCCGGGAAGCACGCACTCGTCCGTGCCGTCAGGACCCGCATAGCCTGCAGAATCATGGACAAGTCCCTCCCGCTGACCCTGGCGAAACTGATCTCGCGAGTGAGGTTCGCCTCGGACAAGCCCATCAGCGCGACGCCTCCAATCGCAGCGTTAGCGCCCGCCTTGATCGACTTGAAAGCGAGCCACTCCTCCGTGCGCGGATTTGCCTTGAGCATTTTGCTCGTGTCCTTGATGACGCCCTGGAGAGGCTGGAGCGCGGAGATGAGGCGGTCCGAGAACTGGTGTGCGAGGGTTTCAGGGAAGACGAGGAAGGTGCAGGCGAGCTTGATCGCTTGTTGGCAGGAGAAGGGGATCATGAAGATGAGCTGCAGTCGCAAGCAGGTCAGTTTGGTCGACCAGCCCTGGCTGAGCGCCCGCAACGCACGCCGATCGAGTAGTATGGATACGGGAAGAGGACGCCGATCGTGAGTGTAATAATCTGCGAGCGAAGAGCGAGTGAAGGTCAGTGAGCGAGTTTCATGACCGACGAGGACTGGCGCAACTCGCCGTCAAGATCATCGCGAAGATGACGCCGAAAATCGCGGGACCGGGACCGAGAAAGCCTCGAAGCCAAAGCTGTTGCAAGGAAGAGATGAGCGCAGGTGAAGGAGAACAGCAATCGTACGTACGAAGAAGCCGCAGCCGACGCCGAGAAAGATTGCGCAGACTGCGCTTGCTGCTGGCTCGATGAATTCGCCATGGAATATGGCTGCGGGGCGAAGGCGTCAGCCACATCGCAGCGGTACGCAGGACGGCTCTTGACGACGCACCGACACGAACCGCGTTCTGTACGTCTGCAGCTGACATCCCTGGTTGGGCGTACCGCTGAGCTGCATAGGCGTTGAAAGCAGCCTGTGTGAACTGGTACTTGTTCCGCGAGGCGTGGGCGATGGCGACTGTCGAAGACAACGGTGAACTCGCAGCTTAGAGGCGGAATGGAAGTCCGACGCACGCGCAATGACGGCCCAAGCCCACGCGATAGCGACCTGCAAGTGTGACGGGTCAGCGCGTGGAGCCGGGAAAGCGCCGAATGGTGGCTTACGAGAAGGAACTGCAAGAACGTCTCCTCGATTGCCGTTGCGATAGGCTGCGAGGCGGGACTGATGATCGCGACGATCAGAACGAGGAAGCTTGCTTGGCCTAGCATGCGTTCGCTTGGTCCGCAAAGCACTGCAAGGAGAGATCAGTGAGGTTCAGCCGGGAAAGCAGAAGACGAAGACGCACTCAACAATAGCCCGCACCAGCCCGCAACGCTCGCCCGCACGACTGGTCGAAATCCCTTCCAGCTCAGATGTGGCTTGACCCAGGCGAAGGAAAGGAAGCCGGGGAGGGAGGGGAGTTTCCGCTTGAGGGCGACGGGGATAGTCGATCCTGCGGGCGCGGCGAACTCTGGCTTGTCGAAGGGCGCGGCAGGATCTTTCGTCCCTTCCTTTGACATCCCTTCTGACGAGTCAGGAAGCGCTCCCGCCCGTTCTCGCTCGCGACCGTCCTCGCCGACTTGCTGCGCGAAGCCGTCTCCTCCCCCAACACGCTCGTCCTGGTCTGTCACTGCGTTCGTTGGTATCACCGTATCCGCTCCTTTCGCAAAGCCGACATGCCACTCCTCCCTGTCAAGATCTCGCTCTTCCTCGTCCCCACCGTGAACCGATGAAGTCGGTTTCCTCGCCGGCTCGGACTCCTGGACGATGATGCTCGGCACAGGCGGCACGTCGTCGAGCTCGTACTCGTCCCCAGCCGCCTCGCCGTCCTCGTCGTGGCCGTCGAGCGTGAAGCGAGGTCGCGGACTTTGGTGTCGGGGGCGAGATGTCGACGCTGCGCTCATGCCGGCGGCTGCGGAGACTTGGCGCGGTGTACCAGTCACAGGAGAGCTAGCAGCCAGTCAAACAAGGCAGCTAAGCGAGGAAGCGGGACTTGGTCGGACGATGACCCGCAGAACTCGCAGAAAGCGGAGGCGGTCAGTGGTCTTCCGGACGGCGGACGGACAAGTTGCGTCTCTCGCTCATCAGAGAGAGCGTACGAAATGATTGCGAGTTCACACACAGTAGTCAAGACAACGAGGCCGTCCCGACAGAAATCCGAGTTTCTCAGAAGATCCTCCTCACTGCGGCGGAACCATTCCTTGCGTCTGCGGCTGCTGCTGCTGAGCATGCCACGCTGCCCACGCAGGATCATGCTGCGCCTGACCGTGCTGCTGCTGCTGCTGACCGTACGGATCCACCGCGTAAACTTGCTGCTGATAAGGAGCGGGGGACTGGGCGGCGGCGAGCGAGGGTGAGATCATAGCTGGCGGCTGACCGTAGTGCTGAGGAGGAGGTACGTGCTGGGCGGCGAGGGCTGGCGGAGGGGGCGAAGTCGCCTGCTGAGGCGGCGCGCCGTAAGGAGGTTGCTGAGCGGGGTAGCCGCCGGCTTGAGGCGGAGGCGAGGCGGCGGCGACGGAGAGGTTCGCCATCTGCTCGTGGAGCTGGTGCGGAGGCGGGTGCTGCTGAACAGGCGGAGGGGGCGAAGAGGCGTGACCAGCCGGGTAAGGCTGAGTCTGCGCGGGGTAACCCGCCTGTTGCGAAACCGACAGTGCGGGCGAGAGTGCCGGCGGGGGAACCTGACTCGGCGCGTGTCCTGGCGACAGCGGCGGGTACGCCTGGCCGTCTTGTCCGACGGGAGGAGGCGGCGCCGCGACGTGCGCCTGCAGCTGCGGCCAGACCCACTGACCTGCTTGAGCGTCCCAAACCGGCTGCGGTTGCTCTTGTCCGGTATGCGCCTGCTGCTGAGGCTGAGGTTGCGGCTGCTGACCGTGCCCATCCTGCGGAGGCGGCACAGCACCTCCCGCCTGCGCTTGCTGCAGAGCCGCCATCGCTCGGTTGTACTCCTCCATCTGGCGCTCGTACTCTGCCCACTTCTGCTCGTATTCGCGCCGCTGTTCCTCCTCCTCTGCGCTAAGAACTTCGGCGCCGGGAGGCGGGCCTTGCGAAACGGGAGGATACGCGGATCGGGCGTAAGGGTCGGCGGATTGCGCCGCGGTAGGAGGCTGTTGCGCCGGCGCGGCGTAGGCTTGCTGAGGCGGCGGAGCGGACTGTGGGTAGCCGTTCGGCTGGACGTGCTGCGGAGGGTACTGTTCTGCGAAAAGTGACGAAACGAGCGTGAGAACCGTCGGGCTGACAGCGAGAGTACCAGCGAAGCTCACGAGGCTGGTGCTGCTGAGTCGGCTGAAGACCGGCGAGCTGCTCGTAGGTCGCCTTCGCGCGGTTGACCTTGTCGTTCATTGCCTGCAGCTCGGCTGTGCGCAGCGCCATGACTATCTATCAGCCCAGCTCCGGAATGACGCATGTGGCCAAATCTGAAAGACCGGCGCACCTTGCTTCTGCTCGTACTTGCGGATGAGCTGGACGACCTTCGGCCGAAGCGCCATGCTCGAGTTGTACAGGTCCTGCGCAAATCAGCCTCGCGTCAGTGTATGGACGACTAACCCTATCACGTCACCTCGAAGACACGCGGGCAACCAGGAAGAAGCCGAAGCGGGACTGACCGTCAACTCGTCGTTATCGGCAAAGTCCTCCCCTCTCGCCCTGAGCGTGTGCATGAGCGCGAGCAACCTGTCGACAGCCGCGGCCTGCGCAAAGATCTCGGCTTCCATGTCGGAGCCAGCGGAAGGGGCGGGTTGAGTGGCGGGATTCGACGAGGGGGGTTGAGAGTCGGGAACGGCGGAGGCGGAGATCTCTTCCTGCGTAGCGGCCGAGTCTCGTCAGCTGTGCCACAAGCCGAGGAAGTGGGATGTCGGACGTACGACGTAGTTCGTCGGGAAGATTCCAACACGTCCCCTCAATTCGCCCCTCCACCACTCCTCGCTAACCTTCTCCAAAACCTTGACCACATCGCCCCGCTTGAACGCCAGCTCATCGCTCGTCTCGCCTTCAAAGTCGTACAGTCCGCGGACGTGCGAAGGAAGAGCAGGCTGAGGCTGAGCGGGGAGGGCTTTCGATGCGGAGGGTAGGGTGGAGGGGTCGGGTCCGGAGCCGGAGCGTTGGAAGTTGCGGAGCGGGTCGGCGAGAGCGGCGGACTCGGCAAGAGCGCGTTGGAGCTCTTCTTCTTCGCGGCGCAGGAGGTCGTCGGACTGCACGCGACAGGCTGATTAGCGAGAGTCTGAGCGAAGTGCGGGAAGCGGGACTCACGGGTCCCTTCGGTGTCGGCGGTCGCTCATCGCCGAAGTTGTGGCCTACGAGCGATGACATACCTGGTCAGACGATGCGAGCAGCCGGAAGAGGGAGCGAACGCACCCTGCCGCTTCAACTGCTCATACGTCTCGACCAACAGGTCAAAGTCGCCATTGCCCGGATGCTCCTTGACCCACGTCTCGATCTGCTTCAATGCCTCCTTCTTGACCGTCTCGTGCGTCGTGCGGTCGTTGATGAGCCGGACGAGGGACGAGGTGAACGCTTTACCGCTGATTTCGCGATGCAGGGGTGGCCCGCAGTTCGAGACGAGGGCGCCGGCGAGCTGTGGTCGAAGGATATGACGAAAGAGAGCGTGTCAGTTTCGCCGAAAGAGCTCTTCACGCTCTTCACGCGTGCATCGAGCCTGTACGCACCGTGAGCGAGAAGAGCTGGACATTCGCGCTACGATGCGTCAAGCGCTTCTGCAACGCGGCGATGCAGTTCCGCGCACTGTGAGGACGCAGCCATGGTCAGTCGAGCTTGTCCCCGGTGCTCTTCGTTCTGCCGCCTGCCGTAGCCTTCCATGCGCAGCGGCCGAAACCGAGACTCCCTCGCCTCTTGGTCGGCCGACGCTGCAAGGCACAACGCGTTGAAGGACAAAATGCTCACCCAGTCTCGCCATCCTCATTGACCTTGTCCCAGACAGTCAGCGCAATCTCCCAGTTGATCTCGGTCTGCTTCTCATCCGTCGCCTTGGCTGCAAGTGCCGTCGGAGTTGTAGCAAGAGCACAAGGGAATGAGGCACGACAACGCTCGTCAGCCCCAGGGATCTCAGGGGCAGCGGTAGTCCCGAGGACCTGAGCGAGGAGACCGAGAGAACGCACCGACAATCTCGTCGTACGGGTTCACTGCTCGGCCGAACATCTTGTTCTTTTCCCTCTGAGCGCGTCTGTCGGCCTCCTAAGGAGTCGTGCGAGTGGCGTGAACGGGTGAGGCTGTGTGGGGGATGACAAGGAGGAGGAGAGAGTCGGGAGTCGTTCGAACGGTTTTGACCGGTAGCTAGCGGTCGTGTGCAGCCTCCAGTAGCTCAGCAAGTGCGAATGAACCCAGCAAGGAGACTCGAGCGGGTTGACAGCGACAAAGGAGCGACTTCGCAGCTTCGCCCGCGACCACCAGCACTCGCGCAGCTAGAGCGTGCACCAGCGATCCCAGGCCGACCTTGAGACTCTGCTCAACGCTGCTGGTCTCGTGCTGGATGGGCGCATCCCCTGCTCGCTGATGGCCAACACCCTCTCCTTCCCGAGGCGATGAGGAGTGTTCGCGCGGTAGAACGCCATGGTGCCGATTGATAGGGCAATCAGGGGGTCGGTGAGTGTGCACAAACCCGTACCAGCCGATCCGGGACCCGCCAGCGCCTCGAACTCCCGCTCTCCGCCCTCTTCCCGCCATCTCTCCCTCGTCGTTTCCCGACCGCTCGGCTCCCTTTCCGGGCCATGCTACGCTCGGAGATGACAGCCATCGACACGATCGATTGCGTCCCTCGCTGCTCAGCCGTTGCGCAACTCCGCTCGACTCTCGCGACCTGATACGGCAGCTCGATCGTCTCGCGTCCGTCTTCCGATCCGACGTGCACTCCTTCGTCGAGGATAATGCCGAGCGACCTCGGCCGCGACGCGTCCGCTTCCGCTCGACCATCGCTCGCGACTGCTCCGCACGGCCTGATGCTTGCGGCGTTCGTCTCGCTTGCACCTGTTCGCGCTGCAAAGGGCGTAACCCCGGGCAACTCTGCGGGTGACATGGGACGTATGTTTCGCAGGAGTCCCGGTGCAAGGCGCTGCTCGCTGCTCGCTGCTCTTACCTTTCAGTGCCGCTTCCTTCTCTCGCTTGTCTTCAACCGCGCGCGCCACCTTCGCCATCCCTCCTCAGCCAGCGGATCGCGCTTGAGGACACTTTCCATCGACAATTGTACAAGGCCTCGACGTCTTCGTCAGCACACCGTCGACCAAGTCGCTTGCGCCTCGATCGACCAGCCTTCTCTCCCTCCCAGTCGTCTTCGACATCCAGACCCTCAAGGCCATCTAATCTCGCCCACATACAGTCTACATCTATCCTGCTCGACGGCGGCTTGACGCTTCTGCAGATCGGACACTGTTCTTGCCACGCTGTCGATCTCCGTCTCCACGCGAGCCTCCCTCGCTTCTCTTCTCCGTCTTCGTACACGCACGCACCCGTCAAACCACTTCGACAGCGCCTACAATGCACATCTCCTCCCACACAGTCGTCCTTTTGGTCCTCCTCGTCACCCTCGCGACCCTCTCCTCCGCCCGCCCCCTGCCCTCGGCGCCCTCCTCGAATCCCAAAGTCTCCCTCGACCCGGTCGCCGCCGCTCTCGCTTCCAAAATCGCAGCCATCGACAAGCAGATTGGCAAGTTGCCGGTCCTGCCGGGCGTGCCGAGCGCGTTGAAGCTGGAAACGGCGGCGACGACGCTGGTCAAGGTTGTCGCGCCTGCGACTGCGACGGCAGTGGGCAACCCGAAGAACAAGGCAAAGACGCGTGAGTTGGCCGCTCGCCAGCCTTTGCTCGCGCACGAAGCTGACGCAGATACGTTTCGCTGCAGTACCTCGACGAGCGGCCTCTTTCGGCGTACCTTCGCCCTCGCAAACTCGCGGACCCTCTCTCGACCGCCGAGTAGTCGGCTCAAACCCGAAGCACACCTCAGCTTTGCCAACAACGTCAAAACAGCCGATCAAAGTCGCGCCAACTCCCATCGCTGGCAACCCTAAACACGCGACGACCACGACGAGCGAGAAGGTTTTCTCCAACCCGTCGAAGACGACGCTCAAAATGGTGCCGGTGACGTTCACGTTGTCGGACGGGAGCACAAAGGTTGTTACGAGGGTCGGAGGACCGGGTCACCCTGGAGAGCCGGGAGGTGCGTTTCGCGTCTCTTTCTCTCGCCTGCCTTCTGTCCCTGACGTTCTTTCGACGCTCTGCAGGTGTCAGTCCTACGGGGAAGAAGCAGCCCTAGATTGGCGCCTGGCGAACTTGCTGGATGTTGGCTGCCGTTTTTTCGTCTTTCGTTTGCGGGATTTATCTCGGGCTTTCGGGACTTCAGTAACGCCATGGAATTACTCTTCACGCATAGAAGTACTCTTACAGCGAGAGAAGAGAGACGGCCTTGTCGTTGCCCTTGGAGACAGGGGCGCGCTTCTTCGCCTGCTTCCTTTCACGCTCGCAGTCGCTTCCTGCCTCCAGCTACAGTCGCAGAGTCAGAGCCAGACCTGATACACGCGCCGCCGTGCTCACAGCGCCATGCAGCGCCCCTCGTCGCGCGCACGCACTCGTTCAACCTCCTCACTCGAAGGCGCCTACCACCCGCCCACCGACACCGCGCCCGACGCCTTCGACTACTGCAATGCCTTTTGGGTTGATCCGCACAAAAGTCGGGAAGGCGGGAGACGCGCAGAGGGCGATGCGGAGGAGAAGGATTGGGGCAAGGAGGGGTACGAGACGGTGATGGGACGGGTCAAGGCCAGTGCCAAGGTGTGCGACGACCTGAGGGCGTTGCTCAAGGAGAGGTGCGTCTGCTCGTGTCACTTTCAGGCGCTTCCTAGGCATTGTGTGCGGCAAGGGGAGCTTGCGTCGGCGGACGCAGGTGGGGAGGGGAAGTCATCTCTCGCTCTTCAAAGCACGATCCTGCGTGTCTGTGCGGTACTCCGGGCTTGCTCAATCTGCGAGCGGCGCGACTGGAGCATCTGCGGACGCCGCGTCGAGTTCAACCGAAGAGTCGTCGAGGCATCTTCGCCTCTTGCCGGCAGAGCTTGCGCTACTAGGGGCTTGGAGACGCAGCAGTAACGCGAAGCTGATGCGTGGGCGACGGCAAAGCTGACAGCCTCCCTTTCCTTTCCCCGCAGAGCGTCCGCAGCTGAAGACTACGCCAAGCGGCTGAACAAGCTGTCGCGGCATTCGTTCGGTGTTGGCGAGACTGGGTGAGTCGCAGGCTTCGTTGCGATCCTGCAGATCGTGTGCTGACCTTCCCATCTCTGCAGACACATGGAGCGGGCGATGCTGCAGGTCAAGTCGGAACTCGAGGCGTCGGCCAAGTCGCACACGGATCTTGCGACCCTCATGCGGCACCAGGAGGCGACGGTTGCGGACTTTGTGCAGAAGCGCGAGGCGGCGAGGAAGTCGGTGAGTTTGCTGAAGGCGATTCTGGCGGAATGCGTCTCAAAGTTGCAGCAAGCTGACTTGTCCTCTCCTCGTCCGCGTCTTGCAGCAACAAACGAACCTCGAGAAGCTGTGGAAGAATCTGCTGAACACGCGGCAGCATGTGCTGAAGGTGCGCGACGAACCCGAATACTTTGCAAGGCTTCGCTGACCCGGCTTCTTTGCAGGCCAAGGCGAAGTACCAGGACGATGCCATCCAGATTAATGCGCTGCACGCTCAAGCGTCCTTGCTGCAAGGGCGCGACCTGGACAAGGCGAGCGCGAGCGTTCGAGCTGCTCCTTCTTTCGCAGCTGACAATCCCAACCTCGCTCGCAGGCGACGCTCAAGCTCGACAAGGCGCAGCAGACCGTCGTCGTCAACGAGCGAGACTACCGCAACTACGTCAACGTGTTGAAGGAGACGACTGTGTACGGCGCGTTCAGCCAGTTCAGCTCAAGCCCGGGAACTGACTTTGATGCGCGTCCGCAGCAACTGGAACATGGCTTGGAAGTCGTTCTGCGACGTGCGTACCCACTTCCCGCTCCTACTTGGCCAGACGCTAAGCTTCTGCCGTTCACAGCTTGTGCAAGACCAGGAGGAGGAGCGGCTCGAGTTTCTCAAGTCGCGCATGTGGGACTATGCGAATGGTCTTTCGACGCTCGCGATGGCGGAAGATGAGGTGAGTGCGACATAGGTAGACCGGTAGCAACGTCGCTCACTGCCCTTCTCGCAGTCCGCGGAACGCACACGAACGGCTCTCGAGCAGTGTGACCCGAAGATCGACATCCGAATCTTCGTCCAGCAGTTTGGCACCGGCAACGCGATCCCCGACCCGATTCCGTTCGTCGACGTCTCGGCCAAGACCGCGCCGCCGAAGCAGTCTTACCGCAGCGCCGCCTTCACTCGCTCGTCCACCCGCATCCCCGGCGTGACCCACTCTCCTTCCGCGATCGACGACATCGCACGAGCGATGCATCACCCTCCGCCGTCCCAGCAGCAGCGCCAACAGCCGCAGACTTCGTCGCAGATGCCTCGCTCGTCCACCCAGCCCGAACTCGAGTCGCAGTCGCGTCCGGCCTCTCGAGCGGCGAACCGCATGTCGCAGCCGAACCTCTCCACGCAGCAGACTCCAGCCCCTGCAACAGCTCAGCACCTCGCATCGCCTGCTCGACCAGGTCAGCCGCCGCAGGTCGCCGGAGCCAGTCCGTCTCGCTTCGCCGTCTCCCCTTCCGCCAATCTTCACCAACGACCTTCGTCTGAGCACGTGCCTATCGCCTCACCACCGACGTCGAAACCCGGCCACATCCCGGCATCCGCGTTCCAAGGGCGACAGTCCGCCGTCTCTCCTTCTCTCGGCGCGAGCGTCAACGGCGCTTCTCCAGCCACGGTCGATGCAGGAAGCTCTCCTGCACCTGCGCGCTACGAAGCGTCGGCACCGGCAGCGAAGAAGGCGGCCGGCGCTCCATCGGCCGAGGACGACGAGAACGACCCGCTGCTGCAGGCGCTGAAGCAGCTGCAGACTACGCCCGTTCAGGCTCCTGCTCGGTCGCAGCGATCTTCAGTCGACCTGCGGGGATCCGCTGCATCGCCTTCGCAGCGTCCGCCGTCGCGAGGTCACCTCAACCAGCCGAGCTTCGGATCCGCCGCAGGTCTCTCGAACGGCATGATGCAGCCTCCGCCCGATCAATCGCAACAGCACCGACCCCGCAGCCCTTCAATTCCCTACGTCCAGTCGAATCCGCCACGGCCTTCCTCGCGAGCCGGCTCGAACGTCTCGTCGGCTGCGGGCGCGAACCCGAACCGCCAGTCGACTGGTCCGCACCTGGCTTCGCCTGCACCGGCCGGCCAGTTTGCCGCTCGTCCAGCTTCTCCTGCGCAAGGTCAGCGGTACTCGGCGCGACCGACTTCGCCGCAGCCGCACATCCCCGACTCGCTTCGACCGCGTTCTCCCGCCATGGGCAACCCGCCAAGCGTCGCTTCTCCCGTTGCCTCGGTGCAGTCTCCTGCACGACCGCTAAGCGCGTTCGGCACGCCGCTGTCGCAAGGCGGTTACGCCTCGCCTCAGCAAGCTCCGCCACCTCAACAGCACTTTGCGGCGCCTCCGCCTCAGCAACCTGCTGCATACGCTCAGCCGCCTCAGCAAGGCGCATACGGCGGGTACCGCGCACCGTCACCTGCCCCTCGACCACCTTCCGTCGTCTCGCCAGCGACCGGATACGCTCCGCACCCGCAGCAACAGCCGCACATGGCCCAAGCGCCTTCTCAGCAGTTCCAGCAGTATGCTCAGGCTCCACCGCCTCAGCCGGCCTACGCTCCTCCACCTCAGCAGGTCGCCAGTCCGCCAAACTCGTACGCCTACCCCGGTCAGCAGCAGTACGCGCCGCCTCCGCAGCAACAGCAGCAGCCCCTCCAGCACCAGCAGCAGTACGTTCGCCCGCCTTCGGTCGTCGGAGGCTACGCGTCGCCGGCATCGGCAGCGCAACAAGCGGCTCTCGCTCGGACGCCGTCCACACACTCGGGTGTGTCGGGCGTCTCGATCCAGCAGACTCCGCTTCAGGCGTATCAGCAGCCGCCTGTTCAGCAACAGCAGCCTCAGCAGCAGCAGCACGCTCGCGGTGCGTCCGTCGCCTCGATGCGAGCCGGTCAGACGCCACCTCTGCCTCCGACCGGCCAGTACACCGAGTCGGGTCAGCCTATCCTGTTCTACGTGCGTCTCAACACTTCCTTCATGTTCCTGCGTGGCGTTGACGCCGACTTTACGCAGGTCAACGCGCTCTTCGACTATCAGGCAGCTTCGGCGGAGGAGTTCTCGTTCTCAACCGGCGATGTGATCGCTGTAACCGGCACAGACGTGCGTCACAGCCTTAATAGCCTGCTTCGGTGCCGCGCTGACCCTTTCCGCCGCAGCCCGACGGTTGGTGGTCCGGAAACCGAGTTGGCGACCAAGGCCCGAGCAAGCTGTTCCCGTCCAAGTACGTAGCATCTTCATGGTCTCTCTTGCGTCATCGTGCTAATCCTTCTCTTTTCATTCGCGTCCAGCTTCACCGAGGTATGTTCGCCGCGAGGCCTCGCTTCCTCCGTTCTTGAGCTGACTCCATCTCGCCCTCGTCGTCTCGCAGCTTCTTCCTTGAGCAGCTGCTCCGCCGCTACGTCTTGTTCGTCAACGCAATCCTCTGCATCCTTCTATCTCGTCGTTGCCGTGCACCCGCCTGTGTTATACTACCTCAAGTTATTTCCGCCTCGCTGCTCGACAGACCGCCCCAGGGCGCTCGCTCACGCTTCTCGGCTCGCCGCAGCTTTCGACGACTTTCACCGCGGTGCTGCTGGTCTCTGCACCCTGCAACGACGAAGCACCTCCAGTTCTCAGCCCGCCAATCTCGGGACGGATGAGCGATGAACCTTCCGCAACGGGCGCGCGGAGACTCGCCTGTTCACATCCTTCCGTGCGCTCGCTTCCTCTCTCTCTGCTGCCTAGCGAGCATGCGGCGCGCTTCGAGCATGCGAGACTCGCCGAACCTGCGCAGGCGGTCTGGCTCCTTCACTCAACTCGCTGCCAGCGACCCGCTCCTCGACAAGCCGCTCCCGGTTCGACTGGCTCGCAGACGGCTGCGACCAAGCCTGTCGACCCTTGCATGGCTCGCTGTACTCGCCACGACCGTTCTCTACTACCACCGGCAGCTCGACGTGGCGCGCAGACAGTCGGCCGGACTCCGCTCCACATCCCGTCCCGACCAGAACGACGATGTACGACCGGGTCGTACAGCCGGCGCCAGGGACGTCGAACTCGCCAACATCCTCAACGAGACCGTGCCCGACCTCGCGACGACATCGTGCGAAGTCTGCGTCCTAAACCCGTCGAATCCGCTGTGCGAGTACGGCCTCGACAACATCCGCATGTCAAGGGCGTACGAGGGGTCGGGTGCGAGGCTGCGGAGAGTGCTGAAGCGGGCGCTGAAGGGCGAGGAGATCGGAGTCGGCGTGATCGGAGCGAGCGTGACGGCGGGACACTCGGTTCCACCAGGCTACCAGCGGTGGCAGGAGCGGTTCTTCGACGACTTTAAGAAGATGTTCCCGAATGCGAAGCTGCATGTTGGCGCGATGGGCGCGACGGATAGCAAGGTGCGCCTTTGACGGTCTCGCCAGCCCGTCTCTCGCTGACTTCTTGGTTCTGCAGTTCTTCTCCTACTGCTTTGGCTCCCTGCTTCCCGACGACCTCGATATCTACCTTGTCGAGCTCGACATCAACGATGAGCCGTACGTTCGGGCGTTCGTCGTCGATGTCGCTTCTTCGCGAGAAGCTGACTTTGTCCTCCTTCGCAGCGACCTCGAAACCCTCCGAGACGCCGACGCCCTCATGCGCGGCTTGCTTCAGCTTCCGCAAGAGCCGGCAGTCATCCGCGTCTCGGTCTTCCAGGTCATCTTCGAAGAACTCGCTCGAGGCGTGATCGCCAACTTGGTGACGAGCCAGTACTTCGATGTCCCCATCATCGGGTGCGTTCCCTTCCGCAGCGAATGCCTCTTGAAATGTACTGACTAGCCAAGCAACCTCGCAGCATCCGCAACTTCCTCCTCCCGCACGTCCAGCACCACCGCGAGGACGCCGAGATCCTCTTCGGGTTGGATCAGTGGGGCAACCGCGACTACGTGAGTCCTCCTCTCCGACTTCGATAGCTTCATTTGCTGACTTGCTGGCTCCGCAGCGACACATTTCGGAGGTCAGCCACATCGCTATGGCCGACATGCTCTCGCTGTTCATGCGGAAGGAGGTCTGTGAGGCGCGGCGGCGGGACATCATGCCGAAGGTGACTTTCAAGAAGCAGGGACCCTGGCCGAGCGGAGAGGACTTGGGCAAGATCCCACCCTTGCAGGTCTTCAGCTCCGTGAGTTCCACTCCGCTTCGGCCGGCAGCTTGCGCCGACTCGTTGCGTTCACAGTGGCGCAACCCCGCTCCTCTCGACCCTGTCAAGCCCAAGTGCCAGACAATGTACAGCAAGCCGCCTCTGACGCCCTTCTCGCACACGGCCGACTTTGAGCGAATCGAATGGCACGGGAAGAGCGCGTGGGCGTCGTCTACGCCAGGCGGCCAGATCCGCTTCTCGTTCCATGGGAAGCAGGTCGGCGTCTTCGTCTGGGCAACAAACGGGAAGAGCAACCCTGAGGAGAAGAGTGACGACCCGGAGGTGAGGAAGCGGGAGGCGCCTGGGCAGGCCAAGTGCTGGGTCGAGGACGTGGACGGGTCGAAGGAGGACGGGTTGACGGTGACGAGCCACTGGACGTTCAAGACGGCGCCGAGCTCCGAGTGCGTCTCGAATTGCTCTCGTCTCTCGATCTCCCGCTGACCTCGACCTCCACAGGTTTGTCAACGTCGCGGAGAAGCTGCCTTTCGGCGAGCAGTACGTTACTCGTCTCCCCTGGCTTCTTCTGCGTTCGGAGGCTGACACCAACACCCGTGTACAGCGTCCTCGCGTGCGAGGTTCTCCCGACCACGACCTCTGGCGGCCACAAGTTCCGGCTACAAGGCTTGACGAGTCTATAGAGACGAGCAGCATACCACCAGCAGTATTCCGCCTTGATACCTTGCAACTTGCATCCATCGTTCCCCCTGCCTCTCCTTGCTCATCCGCTCCGAATCGTTCGCGTCTTCGTCGCGCTCACTTTCCTCGCTCGCTTCGTCGCCGCTGGACCTGTGCTGCGTCGCTGGGACGTTCTCACCGCGTCTGCGATGAGCGCCATTGAGATCCTCCCGCCTGTGAGCGGTCCTCCCGGACTCCGCCCTCCTCGATCTCGCGGACGGTTCAGGCCGACACTCTCCTCGCTCGGCTGGATCATCCTCTACGCCAGCACGTTCCTGTACTACCAGCATCGACTACGCGACCAGTCACACCGGCCAGCGCCTTCCTCCGTCTCTCCAGCCGTCTCTCACGCCTCGGACGCGACTCCGCCTTCAATCGCGACAGCAAGTTGCGAAGTCTGCCACCTGAACCCCGCCGACCCACTCTGCGAGTACGGTCTCGACAACATCCGACTGTCGCGCGCGTATGAGGGATCAGGGATCCGGTTGCGGCGAGTATTGGAGAAGGCACTTCGAGGAGAGGAGGTAGGGATTGGGATTTTGGGGGCAAGCGTGACGGCGGGACATTCGGTGCCGTACGGGAAGCAGCGCTGGGAAGACCGCTTCTTCGAGGACTTTCAGAAGCTCTTCCCCAAGGCGAAGATGCATGTCGGAGCGGTTTCTGCGGTCGACAGCCGGGTGCGTTCTCCTTTCCCCGTATTGCTCGTTGCTGAAGAGTGCAGTATTGTCTCTGCTGCTAAGCTGGCGAGGCCAATCTGCAGCTGCGCCCGCTTATTGAAGGAGCGCTAACCTTCTCGCATCCTACAGTTCTTCGCCTACTGCTTTGAAGCAGTCGTACCGAAAGACCTCGACCTCTACCTCGTCGAACTCGACATCAACGACCCTCCAGATCTGGAAACGCTGCGAGACGTCGACGCTCTCATGCGCGGCCTCCTCCAGCTTCCGCAGAACCCGGCAGTCGTCCGTGTCAGCGTCTTCGCGATCGTCTTCGACGAACTCGCTCGAGGCGCTGTCGCGGGTCTCATTACGAGCCAGTTCTTCGACGTTCCCGTCATCACGTGCGTGCCCGCCCACTGACGACCTTCGCTCCCTCCCCCTCCTTCTACCGACTCCTTTCACCCTCTTCCGCTATAACCTCCCCTCTGCTCGCACACTAACGAGCTTCTCCACCGCAGGATCCGCAACTTCCTGCTCCCGCAAGTCATGCACCACCGCGACGACGCAAACATCATCTTCGGACTCGATCAATGGGGCGGGCGGGACTACGTGCGTCTGCTCCTCGTTCCTCGCGAATCCAAGACGCCCTTCTAACGTTCCTTCCGCAGCGACATATCTCCGAAACCAGCCACCGCGCGCTCGCCGACATGATCTCGCTCTTCATCCGAAAGGAGGTGTGCGAGACGCAGCGGCGGGACATGCTTCCTCCGCCTCCGCAGCTCGAAAAGAGCGGGCCTTGGCCTGTCGAGGAGGACCTGGTCAAGCTGCCGCCTCAGACGCTGTTCGGTTCGGTGCGCCGCGTCAACTTTCCCTCGTCCCGCACACGACTGATCGTTCTTTCTGCCGCAGTGGCTCCGCGACGAGCGACCCAAACCCGTCACTCCCCTCTGCCAATCCACCAGCGCGCCCTTCTCTCCGCTCGTCCCCCTCTCGCACTCAAAGGCCTTCAAGAAAGTCGAATGGAACGAAAAGATCGCGTGGATCTCGTCCATCCCGGGCTCGCAAATCCGTTTCCGCTTCACCGGCTCAAAAGTCGGCATCTTTGTCTACGTGACGAACGGGTCGGGCAAGGATGAGGCGAGTCCAGATCCGAAAGTTAGGCTGAGAGAAGCGCCTGGGAGTGCGTTGTGTTGGGTTGAGGAGCCCGAGATGGATGAGAAGGAGTGGGAGGACAAGTTTGCGAAGGAGGGGAAGGAGGCAGCAGAGTTGCAGTCGTGGATCGTCAACACTCACTGGCCCCAGAAGGCGGCGTCCGGGTCCGAGTGCGTCCTCTCGTCTCCGCTCTCCTCTCCTTCGATCGTGCTGACCTCGCTCGCGCTCGCAGGTTTGTCGAGCTCGCGGATGGACTGCATGCGGGCGAGCAGTGCGTATCGATTCTCCCGACATATCGTATCCTCGCTGACCTCCGAGTTCTCTCCCAGCATCCTGGCGTGCGAGGTCTCGTCAGATACGACAAGCGGCGGTCACAAGTGGCGGGTCCAGGGCATCGCGAGTATGTAGAGGCGTTTATGTATCGCGAATCCCTGAACCGTATTCAGCGGGGTTACTGGCCTCGGATGGAGAGACGGACGTTCTCTTGCTGCACCGAGCTACGCCGCTAATTCGCCCGCACGAGACGATACCTGCTCGCGTACCGCAACCCGACGCCCGCGACGGCACCCGCAACGACCACTCCTCCGACCACCTTCGCCGCCCAGTCCAGCACCTTGGCCTGCCAGTCCCTCCTTCGGATGACCTCCTCATACGCCAACCCCGGCCTGAAGGTAACCATCCTATACAAGCTTTCCCACCTGCCTCCCTGGTCTTTGAGCGGGTCTGAGTCGCGCTTGATCGCGAACAGCGGGAAGTTCGAGACGGACGTGAGGATCGAGTCGAGCGAGCGGCGGAGGAGGTAGAGAGGCGAGAGGACGGAAGAGGCCATCTCAGTGTAGTTTTGGTGGGCGAGGGTTTGGATCGCGGCGAGTGAGGGAGCGCGCAGGTGGGTGTAGGTTGCGAGGGCGCGGGCGAGGGCGGTCTCGTCGCCCTCGGTGGCCGACTTGGAGAAGGATGCGAGGGAGGCAGTTTCGAGCGAGTAGGGGAGAGGCGAGGGGACGAGCGGTGAGGGAGAGGCGCCGAAGTGGTCGAGGATGGAGGAAAGAACGCGGACGTCCTCGAAGCCGCAGTTCATGCCTTGGCCTGCAAGAGTCTGTGTTAGCTTCCTAGGGTTCGCAGGGAGATGGATGTCACGCACCGTAGAACGGGACCATGGCGTGAGCAGCGTCGCCGATGAGCAATACCTTGTCCTTGTAGTGGTACGGCGAACACTGCGGAACACTCCAGATTGATGATCAACACCATCTCGCAGCGAGACAGCGCAGAATGCAGCGAGAGCGGCACACCTCAACCGTGATCAGCCCATCCTTCGGGTTCTCCCTCCAGCTCTGCAACAACGCCTCCTCGCCCATCTGTTCGAGCGCATCTGGGAACTCACGTCGGAACAACTCGACGACTGGATTGGGTGCGCCTGGTGCGAGGGAAGCGAGTTCGGCGTCGAGCGAGGTGAAGGTAGAGTCGTGTGCGAAGAGCGTGAGGGTGAAGGACTTGTCCTGCGGATCGACACCGTCGGCTGGCATCAGTAAGCTGTCGAACAAACACTGAACACTGAGACGAAGCCGAGCGTCCACTCACCTGATTCGCCAGCGCGATGAGCATGAACTCGCCGCGCGGCCAGATGTGCAGGTAGTTCGGCTCGAGGAGGAAGGTGTCGTTCGGTCCGGGCGGGATCGAGAGCTCGAGGTACGAGTGTGGCGCATAGAACTGGCGGTAGTCGAATCTGCCAAGGACAGCGTCAGTACGAACGGGAATTCAGAGGAAGCAAAGACGAGCGCACCTCAACTTGGATCCGCGCATCATCTGCTGCCTGACTTTGCTGTACGCGCCGTCGCCACCGACAACAAAGTGGAAGTGCATCTTCTTCGGCTGCTCGCCCTTCTTCTGCAAGACGACGTCGACGCCGTCCTCCTTGCGCAAGTCCATCTCGACGAGCTTGGTCTCGAAGCGGGTCGTGACGCTCCCTCGTCCTTCGCTCGGCAAGCCATCGACGTGGTCGAGGAGGTGAATGCCCAACGCCGTCCTCGAAATCGAGCGAATGCACTCTCCCTCTTCCTCATATCGTCCGTAATCCTGTCCCTCCTTCTCCACTCTCACTTCTCTCCCCTTTCCCTTCACCTTCCCCACCTTATTCTTATGAACCATCCGTCCCCTCATCTCAATCCCCTCCCTCACAACCCTCTCCACCAACTCCTCACTAACACTCCTCAGCGCCTCAATCCCCCTCGGCGAAAGCGCAAGGTTGATCGACCTCGCTCGTTCAGCGTGCGTGCCCTCTCGCGGATCGGAACGGGATTCGAGGAGTGTGACGGTCCACCCGCGAGAGGCGAGCATCGCTGCTGTCAGCGTTCCGACGAGGCCGGCACCGACGACAAGGGCGGTTCGCTCGTCTGTGGACATGGTGGGGGCTCTGTAGGTGCCAGAGAGAGTTGTCAGTCGATGCGTGGACTTCGCAGGCCGCCCAAGGAGAGTATGGACGCACGATCACGAAGTTCGGGTGTCGAGGAAGGTCGGACTATGAAGCGGTATCGTAGGCGGAGGAAAGCGGCAGAGCAGTGACGGGGCTCAGCGGCAGTGTTCGGGAGCTACTGAAAGCGGTGAGCGGGCCCTTCAAGGCGGAATGAGCGGGTGAGCCGTGGTGGACGACGCAAGAGAGTCGAGGACGAGTCCCGAAAGTCAAGCCAGCTATGTCCTCTCGCCTTGTGCAGCGCAGATAGGCAGAAGACATCGTGCAGTGATGTTACACAGTACTACAGCTCGAAACAGAGGAAACAACGGTGAGATGCGAGAGTGACCGGAAAGCGAAGAGTACATGGCGTCTAGAGGAATGCGAAGGACCGGCTGAAGGTGCGGCGGAGAATTCACGTCGGACGTCGTGCGAGGTCGAGAAGTAGGTGTAGGTCGCGCGGCGGAAGGAAGATGAAGGCGGGACTCGTCGCGCACAAGAGACGACGGAGCCGGTCGCCCAGGCAGTTGTGGTATCAAGCCGAAGCCGCTCACGCCTCCATCGCCTCCTCGCCCTTAGCCCTCCGCTCCTCCTCCTCCTTCGCCTCCCTCTCCTTCCTCTTCCCATACTCGCCCTTGTCAACGCCCAATCCAACCGCTCTCCGACTCTCCTCAATCGTGTACGGCTCCTCCTCGAGCTTCTTCAGCTGGCGCTTGTGAGGCTTGCCCCGGATGTGAGTGGAGAGCGCGGCGGAGTCGGCGAAGTAGCGGGCGCAGGCGACGCAGACGTGTTGTGCGAGACCTGTCATCCATGTCCGTGTCAGCGGGATCGCTCTCCCAACTCAAACAAACTGCGAGCGAGACTTGACGCACCCGGCAAGTCCTCAATATCCTTCTTCGTCAAGTCCTCGAGGAACTTCTTCTTGCCGCCATCCTTCATGTCCTCGTGGATCTGGTCAATGTCGCGCTTGTATCGCCTCGTCTTGATGTCGGTCGCCTGGTTCTTTTTGCTGTCGGCACGAGCAAGTTTGGGTGCAGTTGAGCGGGGAGAGGGGAGAACGAGAGGGGTAAAGTGGCGGTCAAGGCGGGAAAGGGTCGTTGTCAGTTCGCGAAGGGACAAGAAAGGACGCGAGCGTGCACGTACGGGTTGGAGTGAGTCCTCGAGCGCCTGTTCCTGCCCATTGTGCACGTGTGAAGGGGTGGAGAGGGTCGAGTTGATGAAGCGAGGCGGGGTGGAGTGGGAGTGGGATGGAGAGGTCGTGCGAGTTCGCTGACAAGACTGGGCGACTGAGTGAGCCTGTGTGAGTAGCTGTGCAGTCCAAGCTGGTCCCCTGAGCGTGTGGGAGTGTTGAGCGGGTGTGTGACCCTCGTCGTCGAGGCAGTCCCAGCTCTTGCTCCTCACCGCCAACGCCTCTGTCTCGCAAGCCGAGTTAACCGTAGCGGACCGTCCCCTCCAGACGCTCACCAACCCACACCGACACTAGCAATGGCTCCCAAGAAGGCTCCCGCCGTCGAGAAGACCGTGAGCACGCCCACCTCGCAACTTTGACAACCCGCAACCAGATCTCGCTGACAGCACACTCGGTGCGATGCACGCAGACCACCTCCCTTGGCCCCAACGTCAAGGAGGGCGAGCTCGTCTTCGGTGCGTCCCGCCGCGAGCTTGAGGAGGCGAGGACGTCTGGCCGTGCTGACCCCGTTCGCTTGCCGTTTCGTCTCGCTCCATGTGGTTCTGTTGGGATGATTAGGCGTTGCTCACATCGTGCGTCGAACTCTCTCGCGTTTTCTGGAGCCGCCCGCGACCTTGCGACGCGCGGTGGCCTCCTCCTGACCTGCGAGCAGCTCGACTGACCTCCATCCTCGCACCCTCGCGCAGTTCGCCTCATTCAACGACACCTTCGTCCACGTCACCGACATGTCGGGCAAGGAGACCATCGCCCGTGTCACCGGTGGCATGAAGGTCAAGGCTGACCGTGACGAGTCGTCGCCCTACGCTGCCGTGCGTTTCGCTTCCTCGCGAGCCTCGTGAGGGTTGTACGGTTGCTGACAGTCGCTTTTGCATGTTGTTTCTCCCATCGACCTCGATCTGTTCTCCCTCGACCTTCGCCGACCCGCCGACCACTCCCCCGCTTCTTCTCCTCGAATCGCCCTCTCCTCACTTCCCTCCCTCCGGCACGTGCCGTTCGACCATTCCGCACCATGCGTACGCCTTGTTCACCGTCCCGCTGCTGCTGGATGCCCGCGTGCCTGGCCCTTGCCTCTGGACGTCGCCTCCCTGCCCTTTCCCGTTCCTCCCAAATCTCGCCTGTCTCTCGTTTTGCTGGCTTCCTGTCTGTTCTCCGCCCTCTCATACGTCCCTTCGACTATCACGGCGTGCCACGGCGCCATCCCCTCCACGGCGCTCTCGACGCCTTTTTCCGTTCTTTGCGGTTCGCACAACTCGCCACAAACAGATGCTTGCGGCCCAGGACGTTGCCACCAAGTGCAAGGAGGTGCGTTCTCTCTCCCCTCGTTTACCTCGCTCTTCTCGCTGCCTCGGCAACTCGAGAAAAACGTACTGACCTTTTCCTTCGCGAAACAGGTTGGCATCACCGCCCTCCACATCAAGATCCGCGCCACCGGTGGTGTCGGCACGAAGACCCCTGGCCCCGGTGCCCAGTCGGCTCTCCGTGCGCTCGCCCGCGCTGGCATGCGCATCGGTCGCATGTGCGCTCTCTCCCCTTTTTCTCGACTTCGCGCGTTTCTAATGCGTGTTGGAGCTGTTGCTGACTCTCTGGATACCTAAATAGCGAGGACGTCACCCCTGGTACGTTAAGAGAGCCTACAGGGCGGATCCTGGCGTTTCCTGACCTTGTCCTTCGCACGCAGTCCCCACCGACTCGACCCGTCGCAAGGGCGTGCGTAGCGCCCTTCTCTCGCCTCTCTCGCGTTCAAGCACTGACTCTCTTGCCTGTGACGTTTACAGGGTCGCCGTGGTCGTCGTCTCTGTTCGTCGCGTCGCATCCTCTCCTCAGCCTGCGCAGATGCTGACTCTGCCCACTTGCAGAATCGCCTCGTCCCGCCCCGCGCCCTTGTCGAGCTCACAACGCACCTTCCGCTTCACTGCGGCATCGTTGCGCTGCGGCTCGACTCGGTTCCGGATCTCGAGGAAAAGGATTGGAGGAGGAGGACAAGGGCGCTGTGTTGGGTTTGTTTGCTCGATATACGGGTGGATGGGCAATTCAGCGTCGTTGTTGACCCAAAGAGTGCGCTTCTTGGCGCGAGGAAGTGTGCCGTGAGGAGATTGGATCAAGGGGAACGGAGGAGGACCCCGACTGCTTTCCGTTTTCTTCAAGCTGCGACTGGGGTCTTGGCGTCGGCCTTGACGTCCGCTTTGCATCGCGTCTTGCGTCGCCTGCATCGCGCGCTAGCGGGACGGTGGCCAATCCGACTCGGCTCAACGCAGTCGCGCGTTCTTCTCTCAGACCGGCTCAAGATGGCTCTTCCCGGCTTTTCATTGTCCCTTGTACAGATGTCACGCGCTCTTGACGCCCCTCGAATGCAACCTGATCCCTCCCACCCATCTACCGGTCCTTCTTCCTCCTCGCATGCTTCTCATCCGCACTCTCATCCGTACTCGATCCCGTTCCCGTACTCGCATCCGTCCCCGTACTCTTCTCGTCCTCGGAATCGGACTCGGTCGTCGTTTCTCGGTGCTTGCGACTCCTCGAGCTGTCGCTGAAGCGTTTCCTGCTTGACCGCTTCTTCGAGTGTCGCTTGTGCAGCGGGTGCGATTCTGCGGAGTCGGCAGCCGCTCACGCATCAGCAAGTAGCCTCGAAGCGGAGGAGAGATACTGAGCGAGACGGGCGCGCTGACGCACCCGAGTCTTCCGAGTCAAGGACGGCTTTGAGGTGCGCTGAGGGGTCTGCCGAAGGGCGCTTGCGGCAGCACATGCAGCTGAGAGCGAGCAAGAACGTAAGCGAATACGCAAGCGCAGCGAAAGGAAGACTGACCCGACGAGGACGGAAGCGAGGATGATAGCGGCTGCGACGCCGACGCTGCCATTCTCAAGTGTCGGCTTGCATCGCTCGTATCTTCAGCGCTGAGAATGGAAGACGCACATCACGAATCCGAAAGTCCCGGTACTCAGTCCGCCAACGCTCGCGCCAGAAGACCCGGTCGCAGACGGAGCGACCGAGACGATCGTTGCGACGCCTTGCGGGAAGGTGTACCCTGCGCAGCAGGCTGACCATGAGTGGGTCTCCCAGACGGTTTGAGTCTTGTTTGTCGTGAAGCGGAGGCCTGCGAGTGAGAAGGATTGGTTAGGAAGGTCGAGAGGGTTTCGCAATGATCAGGCTTGCGCACCAGTGAAGTACAGCTTTTTCGGTTCGTCTGCGATAGAGTAAGCGGTCAGCGGCTGGGGGCGACGACCGAGACGGACAAGGATGGACGAGAACGCACTCGGCGAATTGACAAGCTGGATCTCGTGAGAGTCGTATCCAAGTCCCTGCATTTGGCACGACCCTGCGTAGGGCTGGAAGTGGTTGCCTGAGCCGTATGCGTTCCACCAGCCTGTTGCATTCCACTGCGAAGTGCCGATCCTGTGAAAGCAGGTCAGGTCCTTTCTGCGAAAGCTCGCGAGACACCGAGACTCACGAGCAGCCGAAGACGCCCGCTTGAACACCTGTAGCGCCGTCTGTTTGCGAGGAAATAGATTAGCGCGGTCCGCACGGAAAGGACATGGGCAGTAGTCGACGAACAGACCTGGACGCTGTCACCTGTGTGTGCGCAAGGGTCAGCCTGCCGAACTTACGCTGTCGAAAGTCACGTCGAAGCGTACCAGTGAAGGTGTACTTCATGTAGCATCCTTTGCCGGTCGCCGTGTGCGCGGTCAACGAGTCGGTCAAGCTCTCTTGCTGCCAGGAGTCGCCTTCGAGCGGACAGCCGTATCTGCGACGAGTACAACGGTGAGCAAGACCTCCTGCCGTTCGAAGTCGACGCTAGTTGGGCGCACTCGATGGAAGAGTCTGAGTGCACGACTATAGTCGTGAGGTCGTCCGAAAATGCCGCCATTCCGCCCGACGTCTTGGTCGCCCATGGCGCAGTTGCAGGATTTGTTCCCGTCGAGTTCACCGTTGCCATGATACCGTGCATACCGACCCCCATACCTTGGGGAACTTCGTTGCTTGCGGGTGTGGTCGTCTTCGTCGGCGGAAGGGTAGGTAAAGGCGCCGACGTCGTCTCCGCCGAGTCTCCCGCCTTTTCGGCCGACGCCTTGGATGCCACCGCGCTCAGCGCCTCCGCGACATTGAAGAGGTTGACGGTGCTGGACTCTGCCGCAGACGCCAGGCGAGAAAGCAGGAGGAGCGACACCGCAAGCGGGACTCGTCGTCGCATGGTTCAGTAAGCTGTGCAGGTGGAGCAGCGCCAACAGCAACTGGGGAAGGAGGAGAGAGGCAACGGCGGGGAGAGAAGAGGAGTGTGCAAGTCCGTCGGGTTCCGCGGATCCTCGGGGAGGCCAGAGCGTCGAGACCTCGTTCAGCCGTGTCGAATCGTGAAGTTGGGCACGAGAATCAAGAGAACACGGCAGGCTGGAAGTGACTGGCGCAACGTAGCACGCAAGGCGATCAAGACATGGATCGCTTTTCAAGCCCGACCTCGCAGGTCGTCGTCGCTGTCGCTCGAGTCGCTCGACGAGCTATCTATAGGGTCTCGCGCTGAGGAACGAGATCAGTCTTGACTGGAGAGAGAATCTGGGGGCAGCGTACGCACCCATAAGTCCAGCCTGCTCGCCTTTCGCCTCGCCTCTCGGACGCGCTGATCTCCGCCCGTCCCCCTCCTTTGGGCTGCTCCGTCCCAGTCCGAACCATTCGAGATCCGTAGATCGCCCTTCAGCTAGTCGGCGAGCGTTGCGCGCTTGAGCGAGGACGAAAGACGCTAGGACAGTGACGACAAGTGTCGTAAGGAAGAGGGAGGTGATGATAGCGCCTGCAGGAGGCATATTAGCGAGTGCTCAAGATGAAGGGAGAACTCAGGCTGACCGATCTCTGCAAACGAGAGATACCCGTTCTCGACTTCTCCTCCTTCGCCAATATCACCCTGAGCCAACGCCGCAGCCGCCGATGCAATTGAACCTGCTTTTGATGGTGACGAGGAAGACTGTGCAGTCGCAGAGGCGTAGACGGTCTCAATCACGGTTGTAGTGTAGAGCGGTTCAAGCGAAGTCGAGGAAGAGGAGGAGAAGGAGGACGCCGCCGAGCGCATGACGGCGAGGGGCACTGTCGGCACGATCTGAGGCGCCATAGCTACTGTGAAGAAGACGAGAGCAGTCGACCGAGGCGAGTGAAGCGAGTTCTTATTGGTAAGAGGCAAAGAGACGAGGGAGCGAGGATGAGGTCCGTCGGTGTCCGCGGAGCGACGGGATGGCGGATGACGGGCGGACGACGAGGGGGGAAGAACGGAAAGCGTTTGAAGCGATGCTGTGATGGAGCGATTGAATAGATAGCGCGATACGTGCGACTGCAAGAGAACGACGACAAGGTGCGAAGACCTTGATCTTGGTTGAGCGACTATCTCTGAACGGTGAGTGCGTTGCTGGCGATGTCTGCGATGGATGGCGTGTCAGCGAGAGTTGCAAGGCGGAAAGAGAAGCGCGAGGACGTACGCCAGTCGAGCTTGTCGGCCCACTTGCCAGGCAGGATCTCCGAAATCTCCTGCACGTCCTTGTCGCCGCGACCCGACAGAGTCTGCGGGTTCATGAACGATGTCAGCATCTCTTGCGCTTCGACGGGAAGCGGTCAAGCAGGAGCGAGGCCCAACCGGCGGGCAACGAAGCGAGAGTCGCCTACGCACCATGACGATGTTGGCCTCCTTCGGCATGATCTTGGCGAGCTGCATCGTCGCCCAAACCGCATGCGCCGTCTCAAGCGCAGGGATGATGCCCTCCATCTGAGTGCAAGCCCTGAACTCTCGCAGCGCCTCTTCATCGGTCGCCGAGATGTACTCGCCGCGCTTCGTCTCGTGCAACCAAGCGTGCTCAGGACCGACGCCCGGGTAGTCGAGACCGGCGGAGATCGAGTGCGTGCCGAGGATCTGGCCGACCTTGGTCTGGAGGATGTACGTTCGGACACCGTGGAAGACGCCCTTGGTGCCGCGCGAGATGGTCGCCGAGTGTCGCTCCGTGTCGACGCCTGCGAGAGACGAGTAAGCTCAATTTTCGAAAGCGGGAAAGATGGCGAACGCACCCTCGCCAGCCGCCTCAACGCCTACGATCCGGACAGAGGTGTCGTTGATGAAGGGGTGGAAGGTGCTGCCAATGGACGTCAAAGGCTTTGATCAGCAAGCCTATCACAAAGAAGAGAAGGCGAGTGAAAGTCGCTTCGTCGCGCAACTCACCCAATCGCGTTACTTCCGCCTCCGACGCACGCCACCACCGCGTCAGGCAACTTGCCCATCGCCGCCTTGAGCTGCTCCTTGATTTCGGTGCCGATGACGGACTGGAAGTCGCGGACGATGGTCGGGAAGGGGGCGGGACCGATTGCTGAGCCGACGAGGTAGTGCGTCGAGGAGAGGTTCGTCACCCAGTCGCGCATCGCTTCGTCTGCGCAGAGAGAGCTGGTGAACATTGCTCGTACTCGGTTGGCGAGGAGGAACCGGCGACTCACTGATCGCATCCTTGAGCGTCTTCGTCCCGCTCGCGACAGCCACCACTTTGGCGCCCAACATCCTCATCCTGAACACGTTCAAGCTCTGCCTCCTCACGTCCTCCTCGCCCATGTACACGACGCACTCGAGTCCGAACTTGGCGCAGGCAGTGGCGGTCGCGACGCCGTGTTGTCCTGCACCGGTTTCGGCGATGATGCGTGTTTTGCCGAGGCGACGGGCGATGAGGATCTGGCCGATGGCGTTGTTGATCTGCGAAGCGATGCACTTGGGAATTAGCCGCCGTCCGACGAGAGAGGCGCCCGTCCGCCTCGCCCACTCACCTTGTGCGATCCCGTGTGGTTCAAGTCCTCGCGCTTGAACCAGATCTTCGCGCCTCCACAATGCTCCGTCAACCTGCTCGCCTCATAAAGCTGACTCGGGCGGTTAATGTACCCTAACTCGCCATGCCACTCCTTCCAGAACTCGGGATCGGCGCGGGCGACCTCGTATGCGGTTGATAGCTCCTTCAGAGCGCCGTAGAAGGGCTCGATAACGTATGCGCCCCCGAAGTCGCCGAAGCGCCCGCTTGTCAACGCCGAATCTTCCGGCTCGTCCTGCTCTGCTAGGGCAACGTTCGGAAGGGTACGCTCTGCAAGCGGCGTCGCCCGAGTTCGACTGCTCGAAACTTGTCGACAGTAGGCCTCGACGGCGGACACGGCAGCTGTTGCGCCATTCTTGAATGAGTCTTGTATAACGGCGACGAGCTGAGAACCCATCACGACCCCCTCGGCGGAGCGACCAACCTCTTCAAAATGTGCGCGAGTCGTCACGCCGAAGCCGACAGCGAGAGGTAGCGGACGGTCGAGCACGCTTCGGATGCGGCAAAGGAGCGGCGAGAGCAAGGCTGAGATGGAATCCGAGACGCCGGTAGGTCCCATCTTGGACACGACCTGAGCAAATACGATGCATGAGAGCGTGCTGAAAGCGTGAGAACAATCGATGCGCACGTAGTTGAACGAGTCGGCGATCGAGGTGAGGTAGCGAATACACTCGAGCGATGTCGAAGGCGCGATGAGAGGGACGAAAGACATCCTGTTGAGCTCAAGCGCATTAGTCATCTGGGTCTCGACTGCTAGAGAGCTCGAACGAACCGCTCTCGTGCGCAGACACTGCGAAAGTCGACAGCTTCTTCGGGCGGCAAATCGACGATGATGAAGCCGTTCGCACCGGCGCTCTTTGCATCCATAATCGCCTGCTCATCGCCATAAGCGTGAAAAGGATTGTAGTAGCCTGTAGCCCGGAGGAGTGAGCTTGAGAAAGGATGGGAGAATGAGGCGAGGCGAACCCATGAGGATGACGGGCGCTTTCAGACCTTGTGAGCGCGCCACCTTGACGAGTTGGAGGCAGCGAGCGTAGTCGACTCCATGTCCGAGCGCGATCTGGGCAGCGGGTTGCGCGCAGGACCATCAGTAACGCCGGAAGAAGAGTATTCGTGCGTCGGGACGGCCCTGCTATCCCTCGTGCCGACCTCCCGGTCGTCTGCCAGCGTCGAACCCCGAGCGCCATACACACCTATTCTTCCGGCTGCATCCATTCGCGACGCCAGCAGGAGAACCGAATCCATCGTACTCACCTTGTTGCACTCCTGAATCGCCTTCCCGTCCGCCAACGGATCCGTGAACGGCACTCCCAGCTCGATAACATCCGCTCCTCCGCGCTCCATGGCGAGCATGAGGGGTACGGTGGCATCGACTGTGGGAAAGCCGGCTGTGAGGAAGGTGATGAAGGTTGGCGAGTTCTGCGGCGGCTCGAGGGCGATCGTGAGGATTGTGAGGGTCGTGAGGACGGCGATAGAATCGAGAGAGTGTTCGTCGAAGACGGCGTGTCGAAAGAAGGAGGAGGAGCGTGCATGCGAGTTCGGTCGATTGTCAGCGCGTGAGCAGGAGGGAAGAGCAGCGACCGCTGAAAGCGCACGCACCCGTTCTTCGTTCGCCTTGAACGTATCCTTGATGTGCTGCGACATGATGCAAGTCCAGCACACGGTGAGAGGAGAGAGACAGAGCGAGAGACTAAAGTAGTGCGAGCGAAACGATGAAAAGATCCGGCGGCGTCCGCGGACGACGCGCTCGCAGCGGAGATTTAGTTCAGCCAGCAAGGAGACGAAGGAGCGGTGAGAAGCAGCAAAGCTCGGAAAGTCAGTAGAGCGATGGCGGAATACGTACGACTGCAAACGAACGACAAGTTGCGAAGACTGCGATTCTACTTGATTTTGGTGTTCATGTTCAGCGACGCCATCTATCCCTGAACGGTGTTGGCGTTGCTGTCGATGTCTGTGGCAGCTGGCGTGTCAGCGAGAGTTGCAAGGTGGAAGGAGAAGCGCGAAGACATACGCCAGTCGAGCTTGTCGGCCCACTTGCCAGGCAGGATCTCCGAGATCTCCTGGACGTCCTTGTCGCCGCGGCCTGAGAGGGTCTGTAGCCGTTCGAAGCGGTCAGAGTCGCTCGACCACCGGCTCGAGTAGCCGACACCAGGGCTGCGCGGGAAGCGCGAGCAACAAGGCGAGTCGCGAGACGCACCATGACGATGTTGGCGTCCTTCGGCATAGTCTTGGCGAGCTGCATCGTCGCCCAAACCGCATGCGACGTCTCGAGCGCCGGGATGATACCCTCCATCTGGGTGCAAGCCCGGAACCCTCGCAGCGCCTCCTCGTCCGTCGCCGAGATGTACTCGCCGCGCTTCGTCTCGTGCAGCCAGGCGTGCTCAGGGCCGACGCCCGGGTAATCGAGGCCGGCGGAAATCGAGTGCGTGCCGAGGATCTGGCCGACCTTGGTCTGGAGGACGTACGTTCGGACGCCGTGGAAGACGCCCTTGGTGCCGCGCGAGATGGTCGCCGAGTGTCGCTCCGTGTCGACGCCTGCGAGAGACGAGTAAGCTCAATTTTCGAAAGCGGGAAAGATGGCGAACGCACCCTCGCCAGCTGCCTCAACGCCTACGATCCGAACCGAGGTGTCGTTGATGAAGGGGTGGAAGGTACTGCGAACAGACGTCGAAGACAGCGATCAGGAAGTCTATTACAGAAACAAGAGAGACGAGTGAAAGCCGCTTCGTCGCCCACTCACCCAATCGCGTTGCTTCCACCACCAACGCACGCCACCACCGCGTCCGGCAACTTGCCCGTCGCCGCCTTGAGCTGCTCCTTGATCTCGGTGCCGATGACGGACTGGAAGTCGCGGACGATGGTCGGGAAGGGGGCGGGACCGATTGCTGAGCCGACGAGGTAGTGCGTCGAGGAGAGGTTCGTCACCCAGTCGCGCATCGCTTCGTCTGCGCAGAGGAGAGCGTGTCAGTAGGCTCCAGGTACCCACCTAGAAGGACGCTCCGCGGGGAATGCGGACGCGCTGCTCATCGCGGACCCAGAGGAACCGACGACGCACTGATCGCATCCTTAAGCGTCTTCGTCCCGCTCGCAACAGCGACCACCTTAGCGCCCAACATCCTCATCCTAAACACGTTCAAGCTCTGCCTCCTCACGTCCTCCTCGCCCATGTACACAACGCACTCGAGTCCGAACTTGGCGCAGGCGGTGGCGGTCGCGACGCCGTGTTGTCCTGCGCCGGTTTCGGCGATGATGCGTGTTTTGCCGAGGCGCCGGGCGATGAGGATCTGGCCGATGGCGTTGTTGATCTGCGAAGGCGACGAACTCGGAGATCAGTCGTCGTCCGACTCGACGTCTGAGCGAGAGAGACCGCCTCATCTACGCCCACTCACCTTGTGCGATCCCGTGTGGTTCAAGTCCTCACGCTTGAACCAGATTTTGGCGCCTCCACAATGCTCCGTCAACCTGCTCGCCTCATAAAGCTGACTCGGGCGATTGATGTACCCAAACTCTCCCTCCCACTCTTTCCAAAACTCGGGATCCGCACGCGCATCCGCATACGCAGTCGTCAGCTCCTCCAGCGCGTCGTACAACGCCTCGGGGACGTAGGCTCCTCCAAAGTCGCCGAACCGCGCAGCCTTTGCGACTTTTTCCTCGACGGAAGCGATCTCCTTCGCCTTGTCGTCTGCGGACACGACGCGCTTGGGGAGCGGGGCAGCACGAGTCCGGTTGCCCGAGACTTGTTGACAGTACGCCTCGACGGCCGAGACGGCCGCTGCCTGACCGAGCTGGAACGAGTCCTTGATGATGGCGACGAGCTGGGAACCGATGACGACGCCGTCTGCGTCGCGGCCGACTTCTTCAAAGTGGTCGCGGGTTGAGACGCCGAAACCGACGGCGAGAGGAATGGGGCGGTTGAGCAGACCGCGGATGCGCGAGAGCATGGCGGAGAGAGAGGAGGAGACTTTGTCCGAGGCGCCGGTCGTGCCCATCTTTGAGACGACCTGCAAGAGCGTACGAGGTTAGTCGACAGCGGGAAGGTGGGTGGAAGGAGCGCGCGCACGTAGATGAACGAGTCGGCGATGGAAGCGAGGAACTTGATGCGCTCGGTCGAGGTAGAAGGGGCAATGAGGGGAACGTAGGACATGCTGCGGGTCGCACAAGGCATCAGTCTTGTTCATTCACTTGTCGGAAGGAGAGTACGGGTACACACCCCTCGCGCGTGCAGATCTTGCGGAAGTTGACCGCCTCCTCCGGGGGCAAATCAACGATGATGAACCCATTCGCTCCTGCGCTCTTGGCATCCTGAACCGCCTTCTCTTCTCCGTGCGCAAGAAGAGGGTTGAAGTAGCCTGTTGCGGGCATTGTCAGTTGGGTAAGGTGGAGGAGGGACCTAGGACGGACCCATGAGGATCACGGGCGTCTTCAAGCCTTGCGAGCGCGCCTCCTTAACAAATTCGAGACACCGGGTGTAGTCGACCCCTTGGTCGAGGGCGATCTGCAGGGAGCGAGCCGGAGGTCAGAATCGCCTCGGCTGGACTGCCTTCCTCTTGCCTATCTCCGTTGTCGCTCGAGGCAACTACTTTCCAGCTCATGAACAGACTGCCCGTCTGCCCGTCCAAGCGAAAGAACCGCCTGAAAGCGAGCGAACTCACGTTGTTACACTCCTGAATCGCCTTTCCGTCCGCAAGCGGATCCGTGAATGGCACTCCGAGCTCGATGATATCCGCTCCTCCGCGCTCCATGGCGAGCATGAGGGGTACGGTGGCATCGACTGTGGGAAAGCCGGCTGTGAGGAAGGTGACGAACGCGGGGGAGTTCTGTAACCCGACGGGAGGGGTGCGAGGAAGCGGGGACGGGTGGGAAAGTATGTTGAGTTGGGTTGGGAGGTCAGGCGAGGGCGGTAGAGCGGCGCGTGGGGTGTGAGAGCGAGAGTGAGTGCGTGCGATCGGGAGGAGAGCTGGATGGGAGAGAGATGCGCACCGAGTCCTCCTTTGCTGTGAATGTGTCCCTGAGGTGCTGTGACATGTCTGTGTGTGCTGCAAGAGTGCAAGAGAGAGCGAGCAGCGTGTGGCCGAGGGTGAAGCTGGTCGACGGCGGAGGGAAGCGGACTTCGCAGCGAGCGCTTGAGGCCGTTCACGCCAGGGGGACACTGCCAACACCTCTTCTCTTGCATGCAAGTCAAGACACAGTCAGTCAAGCGTATTCTCGCAACCCCAGCAACGAGTCAACCGAGCAGCGGAGACGAGCGAAGCGGGCAAGGTCGTTGGACTCGAGGAGGAGGATGGGGGAACGGAATTCTGGTCTTGTCACTGACTGCTGGATAGTCCTACAACCGCACACAGGCGAGCACGCACAGACGACGAGCACGACGGGCTCAGACCTGCCACTGCTGCGCCTTGCACCAGTCCTTCCAGCTGTGCACCTTGCCCTTGAGGATCTTCTGGCTCGGCTCGATACTCTTCCCGCCGTAGTCTGCCCAACACCCGCATCAGCCACGGCTCAAGTCAGAGAGGGGGAGGGGACGAGCAGACGCACAGCCGTATCCGTCGAACCAGCGCAACATCTCGAGGAGCTCTTCGCCTGCTTTGGCGTGATTGCCCGGAAAGTTCGCGAGGTAGTCTGCGTCGGATTGCTGGACGAAGCGAGCTTTGTGGCCAGTGACTGTGCGCGTCCCACTCACACTGTCAGTCTTCGCCGAGGAGCAAGAGGGTGGGGTGGGAAGGAGGGACGCACCCTCTGACCACTGCTTGACCATTTCCTCGACGCTCAACTCGTCACTCGCAGCAAGGACGTCCCCGCCCTCCTTCACCAGCTTCTCATCCTCCAACGCCGCACGCACATAAGCGCCATAGTCCTCCTTCGTAGCGAGCAGCGCGATCTTCGCCTCCGGTCGCACCGGGAACGAGAAGAGCACTTCGTCGGCGTTGGAGGAGGAGCGACGGGGACCCATGGCGCCGCCGAGGAAGTTGGTCATGTAGCAGCCGGGCTCGACGTTGAGCACCGTCAGGCCGCCGACCGAGCGAGCGTACTTGGTGACCTCGGCCTGCGGGCGCCCAACCAACCCAGTCATTAGCCTCCATGTTTGCCGCAGTGAACTCAAGCGAGATCTCGCCAACGCACCTTCGAGTCAAAGTGCTCGACACCCGCAACTTTCCCCCCCGAAACCTCCTTCGCGTTCTCCAACCCGCTCCAAACAAGCGTCTTGACGCCTGCGTCCTTCGCAGCGTCGACGATCGCGCGTCCTTCGGCTACTTCTTTGTCGTAGGACATGTGGGACCAGAAGTTGGTTAGGCCCTGCGGTTGGAGCAGAGTGAGTGGGAGTTAGCGGTTTGCGAAGCGTGCGAAGGTCCCTCTCCTCCCTTCTTTCTCGCCAGGCCAGGAGATCAAAGAACGACTCACAAACACCACCTCGCGTCCCTTGAACGCCTGCTCCAAACTCTTGACATCCGCCGTGTCGCCCTTGACAATCTCGACGCCCTTCTGCTCAATCTCCTTCGCGTTCGGCTTGGACGGGTCGCGCGTCAAAGCTGCGAGTTGGTAGGGTTTGTCGGAGGCTAGGAGGTGAGTGAGGACTGAGCCGCCCTGTGCACGCCGAGGATCAGCGAGTGAAGTGGGGGAGATGGGACGGGAGACGCACCTGAGCGCCGGTTGCGCCCATGATGAGGACCTTGGGACCGGTAGACTGTGAAGCGACCATTCTTGTTCGTGTAGCTGAGAATGAGAGTCGGAGAGACGTGTGCATCCCGAGGAGAGAGAGGAGAGAAGCGAGAGCGGGATCGTCGGGCAAAGGTGGGGACGGGGTTATTCAGCACGCGTAACCGGGTTGGCAAGCGCACAAACCAGCCAACGGAAACTCTGTGTTGTCAGCCGCGGAGTGAGCGGGCGAACGTGCGACGAGGAGGGGCAGATATATAGGCAGTCGACTGGAGAGCGCCGTGAGTGCGAGGGATCGGCGACTATGGTTCGACACACGGCGAGCAAAGCGCACAGGGGACGAAAGACGAGCGGCTACGGACGCCGCGATGGCAGGTTGCGGAAGAGGGGAAGGGGAGCGTCCTCGCTCGCGGAGGAGTCCACCGGCGGCAACGACGCTGCGGGGCTATCGCGGAGCAAGCGAGGGAACAAAAGCGTCACTGGAATACGATAGTGACCTCGGGAAGACAAGCGACGACGTTGAGAGGCGAGAGCAAGCAAAAACCCCTCCTCTTTCGGTCAGAAGGGTGTTGTTGGGCGTGAGGTGCGGCGTAGGAGGAGCGAGGTTGACGAAAGGAGAGGACAAACCTCTTTGCGGTTCGCAGCGATTGGTCAGGCGGAAAAAGCGAGTCGGCGGAATTAGGGAGGAGAGAGAGGGAGACAAGAGGGAGAAACAAGCGGGGATGCGATTGGCAAGTAGGAAAGCGGGAGGACTTATTGAACGCTGCGTGAAAACGTATCATTCACAAGCCAGAGCGCCTCCTCAAATTCGCACTTGCGATCTGGCTCTCGAGGATGACTGACTGACGAAGAGAATCGATACAACAAGCTGTTCGCGCTACGAACCAAGTGTCCTTCCACCGTCACCTCCCTGTATCACCAGCATCTCTCACTCCAGCCGCTCGAGGTACTCCAGCCGGTCGAGGATGACCTGCTTGCTCGTTTCCTCGACCTCACCCGCTAGGAAACACTCGTCGAGGATCGCGTAGACTTTGTAGAAGTTGAAGACGAGGTCGAGCTCGCAGACGTTGCCGAAGAAGGCGTCTGCCCGTGTGAAGCCAGACGATGTCAGTCCTGTACGCGCGCGAAAACTTGCGAGATGAAACGACGAAAGAGAAGGAAGCGAGACGGACCGAGGACCTCGACGAAGAGGTGGATCGCCTCGAGCCATACGAGCTCGTTGTCGTTTGCGTCGACGCAGAAGCTGAAGAAAAGGCCGGCATAGCGGCGGTAGACGAGCTTGTAGTTGCGGAACTGTAGAGAGTTCAGGGTTAGTTCAACCCGACCCCGTTAAGAACGACGTCACAGCAAATGCGAAGCCGTATCACCATGTCGTCGTCGTCAAGCAGGAGCGTCGAACTCACCTCAACAAAGTTGCTCTGGTACTTTTGGTCTCGCGGCGCGATCATCCTGTGCACCTCGCCTCGTATCCGCGCCTTCTCGTCCTCTTCGTACGGTACGTAGAACTTGGATAGCCGAGTCTTGCCTTGCCGGTTCTGCAAGGGAACGGAGGTCAGCGAGGTCAGCGAGGGTGTGGGGGTGGAAGGAAGAGAGAGCGCGCCTGGACCAGGATGAAGCGGATCATGCTAGCTGTTCTCCTTTGCTCGGTCTCGGGGATCTTGCTTGGATACTAGCGCAGGAACTCTTGAGTGGAAGGAGTTGCGACGCGTGAGAGAGGGTCGAGCAAGTCGTTCAGCGGCTGTCGAGTCGCTCTGGGGGCGAGCAGGACTGTCAGCCGGGTCGCGCGGTGCACCGCGGTCGTTCAAGCTGCTCACCTGGGCCCTGCAAGCCTTCGTGTCCGTCGTTTTAACCCCGAGGTCCGACGAAGCGATGAAGTCTGAACCGCTGGATGAGTCGCGTTTGGCGGGCTGTACAAGCCAGCTAGTCGTTCAAGCAAGCTGCCAAAGCAGTACGCGAGTCCAGCAACAGCGCAGCGATGCGCAGGTGAAGTGCCGAAACCTAGACTTCCTCGCGACCTGTGGGTCGTCCTTGAAGGGTTCACACACTCTGCTCGTGCTTGTCTGGCTTGATTGGTAGATGCTCGTACGCTCTCAGCGAACTCTACTGCGGCACTTGAACCAAACCGCCGCGAGGACCGCTCGATCCGCCGCCCGTCTCCACTTTACTCCCGCATACACGACTCCTCGCACGCTTCCTGCACAGACTCGCCAGTTCTCCAACACAGCCCATCCCTACTCGCAGCCCAAGCCGACGCCCATCATGCCCGCCGCGGACCCGTCCACCTACCCTCGCCCGCCCGTCCCCCCTCCCCGCTGGACCTCCTACGATGCCTCGCGCATCTCGTCCCTCGTCGACTCGACCCTTGCCGACGCCAACTCCTTCCTCGACTCGCTTGTCGCCGTCCCGAAGGAGCAGCGGACCTTTGAGTCGATCGTCCGCCCTCTCGCGATCAAGATGGGCGAAGTGGACCGCGAGATCGAGCCTGGCCTCTTCATGCAATATGTCCATCCTTCGAAAGAGATTCGTGATGCGTCGGTCGAGGCGGACAAGAAGGCGCAGGAGTGGAGCCTCGAGATGTTGACCCGTCTCGACATCTATGAGGCCCTGCTCGATGCGCAGGCGCACACTGAGAAGGAGGGCGTCAAGCTCAACGATGAGGAGAAGCGGTTACTGGAACGCCTCGTCCTGGAGCGGAAGAGGAACGGTCTCGGCTTGTCGGCGGAGAAGCGGAAGGAGTACCTCGAGGTGCGCCCAGTCTCCCCCCTGCCCCATACCTTCTGCTGACTCACTGTGCTCGCCTCTAACAGCTCAAGAAGAAGATCATGGGCCTCGAGATCGAGTTCCAGCGGGCGTGTAATGAGGAGAACGGCTTCCTGCTGTTCACGAAGGAGGAGCTTGAGGGCGTCCCAGCAGACGTGCTGTCCGGCTACGATGAGGTCGAGGAGGGCGGCGTCAAGAAGCTCAAGGTGACGCACAAGACGCCCGACATCACGCCCATCTTCAAGTACGCCGCCAACGCCGAAACTCGCAAGCGCGCCAACCTCTCGTACGAGGCAAAGACGCTCGCGAACGCATCGGTCCTGAGCGACATCGTCAAGCTGCGGCACGAGGCGGCGCAGCTCCTCGGTTACAAGAACCACGCCGAGTGGGTTCTCGAGGTCAAGATGGCGAAGAAGCCGTCTGAGGTGCACGCGTTCCTCGAAGACCTCGAGTCGAAGCTCCGCCCGCTCGGTCTCAAGGAGCGCGAGACACTCCTTGCCCTGAAGAAGGAGGAATGCGAACAGCGCGGCTGGCCGTTCGACGGCAAGTTCAACCTCTGGGACTACCGCTATTACGATCGCCTGCACGTCGAAAAGACGCTGGACCTCGACGACAACCTCGTCAAGGAGTACTTCCCCGTCTCGCACATCGTCCCGGCCATCCTCGACGTCTACAAGGAGCTTCTCGGCGTCGAGCTCATCCCCGTACCGAAGACGGGAGAGGCGGGAGGCGAGACCTGGCACGCGGACGCCGACATGTACGCCGTCTGGGAGGCCGGTCAGGCAGGTAAGGACGGCGCCTTCCTCGGATACATGCACCTCGACCTCTTCCCTCGCGCCAACAAGTACGGCCACGCGGCCGTCTTCCCCCTCCTTCCCGCCTATACTTCGCCCGAACACGGCCGCCAGTACCCTGTCGTCGCGATGGTCGCCAACTTGTCGAAGCCGACGCCCGGTCGTCCGGCGACGATGAAGCATGGCGACGTCGTCACGTTCTTCCACGAGGCGGGACATGCGTACCACGGCCTGCTGTCGAAGACTAAGTTTGCGCGCTTCCACGGTACCGCTGTCGCACGCGACTTCGTCGAGGCGCCTTCGCAGATGGTGCGTCGCGTTCCTCTCCCTCAACGCTTGTCCACACGCTGATCTCGCTGTCTCGGTACAGCTTGAAAACTGGTGCTGGGAGCCTCACGTCCTCCGGATGATCTCGTCGCACTACGAAACGGGCAAGAGCCTGCCGCAAGACCTCATCGAGAAGCTTATCAAGTCGCGCACGGTCGGGCAAGGCTTGTTCAACCTCCGCCAGCTCTTCTTCGGCAAGGTGCGTTGCGTGTCGAAGTCTGCGCCCCATGATGCGGTGTCTTGACCATTCTGCTCGCCGGCGCAGTACGACATGGCGCTTCACACGGACAAGTACAACCTCTCGCCGGACGAGATGAGCAAGCTGTGGTGCGACCTGCGCGAGGAGACGAGCTTGGTGACCATTGGGGACGAAGTCGTCGGCGGACAGTCCGGCTTCGCACACATCGCAGGCGGCTACTCGGCAGGAGTTCGTCCCTTTCTCGCTCGCTCATCCTGCTTGGCGGATCCCCCAGACTGACGGGCCTCCATTGGCAGTACTACGGCTACCTCTGGTCGCAAGTTTTCAGCGCCGACATGTACGAGACGGTCTTCTCGAAGGACCCGATGAGCAAGGAGGGCGGTCAGCGGTACCGCAAGGAGATCCTGCAGCCCGGTGGCTCGCGGTGCGTTTCCTCGCTTCCCAACTTCCCCGCTTGTGAAGAATAGCTGATGAAATTGCACGCAGCGACGAGATGGACTCGCTGGTCAAGTTCCTCGGACGCAAGCCCACGAACGACGCGTTCCTCAAGAGTCTGCTCGGTTAGACAAACGCCAGCCCTTTCGTCGCCCTCGCAATACCATGTAACACTGCCGTGCACATCCCCGCCCTGCATCAAGATCCCCTTTTGTCCATCCTGCACGCATCGTCCTTGACCTCCCTCTCACTCGCTTGAAGCTTGCTCCTCTCGCGCTCTTACGCCTTCGCAGGCATGTTGCGCTTTCTCTTTACTTCCGAAGCGTCGTCTACGCTGCTCTCGCGATTCAGGCAAGCCGTACGAAAGCTCGACACTCGACTCCGGCCTTCTCCTCCTCATCTTGCGCCCATCTCTCCGGACCCTCACCCGCTTTCGCTGCGCCACCGCACCATGCCATCAGTCGACACCGAGCCTGCACGTCCCAGCCTGCGCAAGGCAATTGCCCAGCTCCCTCTGCCATCTGTCCCCGCGCTGTCCGCGTCGACCTGGCGAACGCACTCCTCCTTCCACTCAGCTCGATCGTGGGCATTCGAGGCGCCCGAGGGAGAGGGAATCCTGGACTACGAACGAGCAGAGGCGCGTACAGAGCGCTTCCTGACCGTCACTGCACGCTCAACCCCCTTCGCTCAACAGCATGTCGGCGACGCTCTCCTGGGCGCTGAGATCGCTTTGCTGATCGACGAGCAGTACCCACGGCTAGTCACAGGCGTGCGAAGCGTGCGTAGCTTCGAAGACATTGTTACGAGGGATGCTCACCCTCGCCTCGTCGCAGCTCGTTAAGGCTTGCCTCGTCGAAAACATCACTCTCGCCCAGATATCGCAGCGCCTCGGACTCCCCGAACAGATCCTCTGCTCCTACGGCCAAGGGGCGTCCATACGAGCCAACCCCGGCGTCCAAGCCTGTGTCTTCGAAGCCTTCCTCTTCTCTCTTCACGCAGAACAAGGCGCCGAGGCGATGCGAACGTGCATTCGCGCCATCTACTCGCCTCTGCTACCTGCCACCGTCGAAGCGCTGCGCCCGCTCTTCGTGTCGGTATCTTCGACGAACGGCGCCATCAACTACGTCGGCCAGCTGATGGAGTGGTCGATGAAGAAGGGTTGTCCTGGGCGGAGCGTGCAGTTCAGCCAGAGTCAGCGGAGTGGCAACCTTCCTCGCAATCCATCATGGGTCGTCGAGTGCACGGTGTCGGACGCGGCGAGCGGAATAGGCGGGCAGACTTTCGTCGGGACAGGCACGACGATCGCGAAGGCGAAGAACGAGTGGGTCGGCGGTTCCGTCTTCTCTCGATTCGCTCTGTGAGCTGACAATTTGTACGTACGCAGAGCGGCAGAAAAGGCGTGTTCGGCTTTCGCAATCGCAGCCTGAATCGCCTCCCGCCGGTCCGTCGAGGGATTTGCTGGTCCTCCTCCTTTCCTCAGTCGTGTGCGCTCTGCTACTCTACAACCCGGCTCAGCTCTCGCCTTATCCGTCCCTCCTGGCGAGCTATGGCGTCCTCCGAGAACTCTCCCGCCTCGTCCGCCGTCAGCGACGCAGTCGCGCAACTCCCTCTGCCCGCCATCCCGGCGCTTGACGGCGCCGCTTGGTGTACGCACACGTCGTTCTACGGTGCGCGTCATCGACCGTTCGAGGCGAACGCGGGCGAGGACGTGCTCGACTACGAGCGACTCGAGGTGCGCATCCTAGTTTCGTCCGGCACAGGCAGCAAAGACTGACCATGCGTGGAGCGCTTTGCAGCATGTCGGCGACGCTCTCCTTGGCGCAGAAGTCACGCTGCTCGTACACACGCTGTTCCCCCGTCTCGTCGTCGGAATCCGCACGGCAAGTCCAGTCAAAATCTGGCGCCGAGTCAACATTCCGTACTGACCTGTGCTTCGAACAGCTCGTCAAATCCGACCTCGTTTCGAACCAAACACTGGCGCTCATCTCCTCGCGCCTCGGCTTTCCCTCGCAGCTCAGAGCCGCCGCCGCCCAACTCTACCAGCTCCGCAACAATCCTCTCGTTCAGGCATCAATGTTTGAGGCCTACCTGGCTCAGTTGCACGTCGAGAAGGGCCACGCCGCCTTCCAACTCTTCGTCAATTTGCTCTTTTCCCGGCTCGTCCCGGTTGTTGTCCAGGCGGTCCGTGCCGCAAAGCCCGCGGCGCCCGCCATCCCGTCTATCGGAACGGTCAACTACGTTGGTATGCTGATGGAGTGGACTCCGCGAATGAGGGGACGAGGTGGACGGACTGTTACCTTCACTCCGAGCCGTCGCGGCGGGCTGGCCCCCCAGCCGCTGTGGGAGCTTTCCTGCACGGTGCAGCAGCACGAGAGGCAAGGAGTGACGGACACGAGGGAATATGATGGGATGGGCTCGACTGTTGCCGAAGCCAAGCGCCAGTATGTCCGCCACATCCTGACTTCGCGGGATGATCCGCTTTGGCTCACACTGCCTTCACGTGCAGCGCAGCATACCAGGCGTGCCTCGACCTCGGCCTGATTTAGCCTCACAGACGAAGCAGTACAGTCTTGCCATCAGCCCGCTGTTCCTTCCCGGACGGCGGTCCTCTCGTGCTCCGACACTCGACCTTGTCGCTATCGCTCTCAGCGCAACACGGCCTCGTCAGCTGCTATTGTGACGAGACGGGAAGGGGACACAGAGACAATAGGAGGCGGAAGACGGCTTGGGAAGAAGGAGCAGAGGGACGGCAGGTCATGCCTTTGACTTCGCCGCTGGTCGTTGGCTTGGGTGAGGGTCGTCAGGGTCGTGAGCGTCGTGAGAGGTTGTGCTTTTCGAGATGAAGCTGTGCTGGAGCGGGAGCTCTGGAGGAGGAGAACAGGAGGAGAACGAGCTGAAAACGGAGTCCGCGGATCTTCCGGTTCGCTTGCCGCCTCGCCATCTCGCCTTGCTTCTCTTGCACGTTCTCTTATAAGACCTACCGAGCCGCTCCTCCTCCTCGTTGCGCTTGACCTTCCTAACCTCGCTTCTCCATGGCCTACGGGACGTACCTGCACCGTCAGGCCGCTGCTGAGCGAGACTCGCAAGTCGACCATGTCACGTCGTGGATGTCGGTGCGAGACTTCGCTTCCCTGAACCCCCTGCTTCAGGCTGACCTCGACTTCTCCCTCCCAGGACCGCGACCTGTACCAACTTTGCCTTGTCGTTCTTTCGGTGCTGCTGCCTCCTGCGGCAGTGTTCCTACAGCGTGGAGCTGGTCAGTCTGTTCGTCGCCCGAGCGGGGACGATAGCAGCTAATCTCGTCCTCGTGTGCGCAGGCGGCGACCTGCTTGCGAGCTGCTTGCTCACGTTCCTCGGCTTCTTGCCAGGCCTCGTGCACGCTCTGTGAGTCTAATTCGGTTCACGGAAGGACTTGGGCTGACAGAGAAAACCGATGCTTGCTTCCCCCCTCGCAGCTACATAACCTTCAAAGTACGTCGCGGTTTATCCCCTCCCTCTCCGCCTTTCCCTGATTTTTAGTCCCGCAGTACGAATCTGCTATCGTCTACAACCCGGAGCACTACGCCCACTCGACGCTCGAAGAAGCCTCGCACGCTCCGCTCACAATGGACGAGATTCTTCGTGCCGCCAGCGACGGGGACCGGCGAGAGAAGGAGCGCATCAGGCGTGAGAAGGGAGGTGCGGAGGCTTCCGACCTTTCGAGCGACGAAGGTGTCGGCAAGAGCCGGTACGGCTTGACGAGGACGCCCTCCTACCGCTCAACCGCAACTGGTCCGCCCGCTTACGACGCGCATGGCCCGTCAGACTCGGAGGACGACTCGGCGAGGTACAACCGGTATGCGTCGATGAGCGAGAAGTCGATGGGCAAGAGGCGGGCGCGGTCGAGCTCGAGGCGCCGGGGCGAGGACTGGGTGTAGCGTCGCGACCATCTCGTAGTCTTGCGAACATCCTCCTCATCCCGCCACACGCTCTCGCTCGTCTTGCCCAGGTCGCTTAGTCACTCGCTCACTCTTGAGGTTCAGTGCGGTCGCCTGTCAAACGAGCGATGTTGCAGCGGAAGCGATGGAATGGAACATAGGAACAGTACGGAGAGGTCAAGACGGCTTGGGAAGAAGGTGAAAGGGAGGGACGGCAGATCACGCCTTCGATTTCGCCGCTTGTCGTGCGGCCTGAATGAGTGGGGTGAGGGTCGTAAGGGGTTGTGACTTCGAGATGAAGCTGTGCTGGAGGAGTTGTGCGGCGTCGGGTCGCTTATCCGTGTCGACTTCGAGGGCGACGCCCAGAAAGCTGCGGAAGACGACCGACAGCTGCTCGGCGTTCGGGATGGCCGGCGAGCCCGTCGTCGCGATGAGGTAGAGCGCGCGGAGGGGCGCCTCGTTGAGGTACGGCGGCTCGCCCTCGATCATCTCGATACACATGATGCCGAGCGACCAGACGTCGACCTTGGGACCGTACTCCTTGCGCGTGACGACCTCGGGCGCCATCCAGTACGGCGTGCCGACCATCGTCGTCCGCTTGGCGTTGTCGCCTTTGATCTGGGCGCAGAAGCCAAAGTCGGCTGTGAGGCGAGCAGAGTCAGCGACAACAAGCGAGACAACCAAGAGCGAGAGCAACGCACTGAGCTTGATGTCGCCCTGCATGCTGAGGAGGATGTTGTCGCTCTTGATGTCGCGGTGGATGACGCCGTGCTCGTGGAGGTGCTTGAGGCCCTGGAGGACCTCGCGTGACACGGCGGCAATCTGGCCTTCGGACATGATATTCGCCGTGACGACGTCGGTCAAGCTGCCGCCCTCCATGTACTCCATGACGACCCAGAGGTCGTTCTTGACGAGGAACGAGTCGATAAAGTTGACAATGTTCTGATGCCGCGACTCCTTCATGACGAGGATCTCGTTGATGATGAGGTCCTGCTTCGGCTGCTGCTCGAGGTTCATCTGCTTGATCGCGACCGACATGTTCGTGCCGACCTGATACGCCGTGTAGACGCCGCCCGACGCTCTGCGTGCGGACAGGAGGTCAGCCAACTTCGCCCTCCGCGCAAGAACCGACCGCACTCACCCTTGTCCGATCTTGACGAGGTTGCGATAGAGCTTGGTCGGGTCGGCATCCGTACAAATAGCCTTGAGGCGCTCGACGATATCCGGATCCTTGCCCTTACTCTTCGGCTCCCTCCTTCTCGGCTGCGCACCAGGTCCCCCAGGCTTCGCCACATCCCCATCAAGATTCGCCGGCTTGCGCAGCGAAGGCTTGGTCGCGAGTTGTTGTTGCGCGGCGGGACCGGGAGGTTTAGGCGGAGCGGGACGGTGCGGAGCTGGAGGAGGTGCGGGAAGGGCGTTCCCCCCTGCCGCGCGCTGACTCTGCGCCCGCTCGAGTGCGAGCTTGGCCTTGTTGAGCGTCGAGGCGGCAGCGCTGGAAGGAGGCGGAGTCGGTGATGCCCGAGCGCTTTGTGAGCGGTACAGCGCTTCACCGGGCGAGGGTGCTCGTCGATCAGGCGAAGTCGGGAGACTGCCAGGTCCTTCGGCACCGAGTCGCTCGGCTGACCGTTCGCGCTCGTACCGTGACTGCTGAGACGACGGAGGCTGGGCGGGTCGTTGAGGCGCAGGCGCCGGTGCAACCCCAGGCGGCGGTCCAGGCGCCTTCCGCAGCGGCGGAGGCGGCGCAGCTCTCGGCTGCTCAAAGTTCCCCTGACCCGGACCCGGCGGACCCTGCCCTCCCTGCGCCGACCCAGACGCCTTGCGGAACTTGTCCCAGACGTCGTCCTGCTCTGCGCCGGGAGGGGCGGTGAGACCCTTCGTCGCGTCTTGGTAGAAGGCGACGATCTCGGCGACGGCTTGAGGATGCGCCGCTTGCTCTTCTCGCGAAACGCCGGCATTCTGCAGGAGCTGCTGCCACTCTTTCGGGAGACCCTGCGGGTGAGAAACGGTGTGAGCGGCCGAGCGGGTCTGAGGGAAGACGTCGAGACTCACGGTGAACTCGCCGGTATCCGAGTTGAACCCGACGTGCGTGAGGTGAACCGGATCATAAGGCGTCGAGATCTCGACCTTCCTCCCTCCCCCTCCTCCCGTATTCGAAAAGACATCCGCTGCGCACACCAACACCCATCAGCTCGCTTCAACCGAGGAGAAACGGAGCGGAGTGGAACGCACCGAAAAAGCTCCCAAAGCCTTTACTCTTCTTCCCCTCTTTCGTCGTCCCCGCGCCGTCCCTCTCACCGCTATACCTCTGCCCGGTACCCGCACTACTCGCCGTGCCCGGCGTACTCGTCCCCTGCGCCGCTCCTTCTGCCGAAGCAGCGCGCGTCCCGGCTGCGGAAGTAGAGACGTAGTCGGTCCCTTCGCTCGAGGGACGGTGCGTGAGGGCTGCGCCGCCAGGTGAGAGACCGCCTGGGGAGGGGACGGCGAGCGAGGGAGGACGACCTGATGAGGAGGAGGTGTCGAGCATCGAGAGGTTTGTTGCGGCTGAGGTGGCGGGGTCGGTGAGGAGCGAATAGGACTGGGCGATCGAATGCGAGGGTTGGTGGTGTGCGTATGGAGGCTGGCTGGGGCGCGAAGAAGCGGGAGAAGAAGACGAAGGAGAAGGAAGCGCATCGGACATGTCGCGGTAGGAATGCGACATCCCGCTCGAGGGATGAGGGGGTCGTTTCGGCGGCGCGGCGGGCGGAGACGAGTCGTCGTTGACCATCTCCCACGATCCGCCGGGGAGGTTCGAGGTAGCGCCGGGATAGTTTCGTGCGGGCGAAGAAGCGGCAGACGAAGCGGACGAGGCGGGAACAGGCGGCGCAGGTCGGCTAGGCTGGAACGACGCAGACGAGTTCGCTGAAGCGAACGGCGGTCGCCCGCTCGAAGGGAGGTAAGAAGAACGAGCTGCGCCGCCGCCATACGAGTTGCGCTTGTTGTCCGCGTCGTAGACATGCCCGTTCGTCGAGCCAGGCGGAGCAGGCGCGCTCCGTCCAGGCTGTAAATTCAGGCGCTGCTGTTGCTGCTGCTGTTGCTGGGAGGACGAGCTAGCAGACGGTGGCTCCTGCTGACGCTGCTGCTGCTGCTGTTGGTACTGATACGCCGCAGCCTGCGGATTCTGCAGCGCCATCGGTCCACCAATAGTCCTTGAGCCGCTCGACCCCGCCGCTCCAGCACCCGCCGTACTGAACGGAGCCGGCACTCCCGTGTATGCGCCAGTCCCGCTCGAGCCTGGTCGTCGACCGACGATCGAGACGGGTTGCGCGCCTGTCGAGGGATGTCGGTGCGTGTGGAGGGATGGCATTGATTTGGCGGTGCGGAGAGAAGGGAACGGGAGGTATGATCGGAGGGAGCGGGGCGAAAATGGAGGGCGGCGGAGAGTGCGCGGAGATGGAGCAGGCGAGACGAGAGTGTCAAGGTGCGAGTTGGGCGGCGGCGTGTTTGCGGTTTGCAGGGGTCGGCAATCGCGAGTTAGGACGATGACGGGTGTAAGGGGTGCGGCAGATTGGCGCAAAGCGGGCGAAGAAGCGCAGGTTGAGAGCCGGGTCGGGTGAGGACGACGGCGGCGTTCGAAGAGGGACAGACGCGGGTTTCGAGGGGATGAGGGTGCGTGCAAGAGCATTGTCAGCGTTCGCTCTCGCGCCCTGGCACTCGTTCGACAGTCCACGCAGCGCGAGAGAGCAGGGCGACCCTCGCCTTCTCGTCATCCGACCCCCGCCCGGCTAGTCCCTCGAGTGTCCTGCCGCGAGCACCCCTCGAGACGTGACGCTGTTGCTCATGCGCGCCCTGTGCACCCGTATCTCGATCTGACGCGCCTCATCGTCCGGCGAACGAGCCTTGAGCGGCGTGCGCGGACAGTGCGGGCCCAGCAGAGAGCGGGGGAACGCTCGACCGTGCCCCTCCTCACGCCGCGAAACGAGGTCGAGAGGAGCGAGTGCGCACCTGTGAACGAGTCCTGGTGATGCCTGATCACGGGCGGGGGGTTCTTGGGCGGTGGAGTCGGCGCCATCGCTTCGAGACGAGGGTTGTTGTCTGGGACGAGATCGAGGGTGGTTGGGCGCGCTGGTTTGCCGTGTGTGTAGGGGTGCGAGTCGAGTGTGCACTGTCCAGCAGCGTGTGCCTCGATCTCGTTGCCTCAGCCAGAGTCCAGCAGTCGTCGTTGCGTTGGGCAGAGAACAAGGGGAGGCTGGACTTGACCAGACTCGCCTTCCTCTCTCGTCCTCTCGCTAGCTCTGCCTCCCTGCTCGACCTACACCCACACAGCACTCGCCTGACTCTGCCACATCCCAGAACCAGCGAGCCGCGCGATGCCGTCGTCATCTCGCACTCGCATGCTCTCCTCCCCGCCCCTTTGTTCGCGGACGAGATGAAGCTCTCGGGGTGGATCGAGGGTTTTTGTGACATCTGCCGAGGAACGCTGTCGTCGCCTGGGACTCCCCGGACTGTCGGGTCCACGTCGCTGGCCTGGCTCAACCTCCTCGACTCATCGCTTTCATCCCTGCTTCACCCGCTCACCGATCAAGCAGCCCAACACGACCGCTTTCTATGCACGAAACCCGATATGCTATACCAGTACACCCGCCCTCCTCTATCCATACACCCTTTCTATCCCCTCCCTCTGCTCCTCCCCCCTGGACAAACCTACACCCACTGCGTCCCCTTCGCTCTAACCTGACACCCCCTCGCAACCGCAAGCAACCCCGCGCCAACCAACGTCGCGCACCCACCAAAGACACAGACGCCGAGGTAGTTTGCCTCGCCTGAAGAGGTTCGGGGCGTCGCACCCAAGATGGCGCCGGCTACTGGGGAGCCGATGAGGGAGGCGAGGGCGACGAATTGGAAGCCTAGACCGGCGCGGACACTGCGAGGGAAACGGAGTGAGTTAGCGGGAGGAGCGAAGGAGGAGCGGGAGGGAGGAGAGGACACACCCGAATTCGCGGACGCTTGCGGAGAGCGAGATGAGCGACGGGGCCATGATCGTCACTGTTCACCACACCAAGATCAGCATCTCCCCTTCTCCTTCTCGGGGGAGGAGCTGGCACTAACCCCAAGCCCCACTCGCCGCCCCAAACACGACACAAAACGCGACCGCTCCACCCGTCGACGTCGCCCCAAGCATGGCGAAAATCATCCCGCCTATGAGCGTCGTGACGGGTACGGCAACGGTCAAGTTTCCGAATTTGTCGGCTGCGACGCCGATGCTTACGCGGGAGAGGCAGGCGGCGGCGTTGAGAATTGGGAGCTGCGTGATGAGGGGTGTGAGTGCTTAGGGTGTGAGGGAATGGAAGGAGAGGGAGGCGTACGGCGTAGGTCACGACTGTAGGACTCGCGCCGTGGTCCTGGACGAACACTTGGACGTAGAAAATCGGAATGAACATCTATCAGGGCCAACTCGTTAGCCTCGCTCATCTCTAGCAAACGAAAGCGACCACTCACGCCCAGCATGACGAACGCGCATCCCAAGCACGCACACCACGTCGCCGGCTGCTTGAGGAAGCTCGAGATGAGCGGTAGCGCTGGAGGAGGTTTGCGAGGGGGGATGTCGTTCCTGGGTCGCATGAGGATGTTGGCGAGGAGGAGGAGGGCGACGTGGATGTAGGCGACTGCGAGGAGGAGGGTTAGCGGAGGAGAGAAGGAGGGGAGGGAGGACGAACGGATACGGATGCCGAAGGGGAAGCCTCGCCGAGGGAAGACGTGGTTGGTGATGATGGGGAAGACGACGGCCTGTAGGCGTACAGATCAGTCCGGAACGAGCGGGATAGGAGGATGAGCGACGCACTCCGAGCGCTGCACCGGCTGCTACGCTACCCATGAACGCGGTTCGCTTCTTCGGCGAAAAGTACGAGGCGACGCAGGAAAGAGTCGGGGAGAAGACGAGGCCGAGCGCCATCTGCGAGAAGCTCTGTCAACACGGAAGGCGAAGAGACGGGAGGCGATACTCACGCCCAGGCAGACGGAGAAGGATAGGAAGAGCTGGTAGTACTCGGTCGACAAGCTCAGCATGAAGATGCCGAGGCACCATAGGAGCGAACCGATGGGCAACTGGTAGCGGAAGTAGCCCGCGTCGAAGAGGCGGCCGGAGGGGAGGCCCATGATGAAGAGGATGAAGAGGTGGGCTGAGCCGATCCAGGCGATGCTGCTTGGCGTGTAGTCCTTCAGTTGGTTCTGCAGGTAGCGTACTGTCAGTGATCTGAGTGCGTAGCGCGAGAAGGAGGAGGAGGAACGCACACGCTGCCACTCATCCTGGAACGAGGCGTAGGTGTTCGACGTCCCGAAGGTGCAGAACAACACCAGCACTCCTCCGAGCGTCGTCATGTACGCCCTGCGCCCTCCATCAGGGAACGAAGGCGGCGCAAGCGGCTTCTCCTCGTCGACCTTCGCAACCTCCGGTACTCCCGCCTCTCCGTCGCCCTTGACGTCTTCTACGTCGTTCCCTCCCTTCTCGACGTCGTCTGCTGCGATGTGCGTCGACACCGGCGACACAGACATGCTGACGGAGCGGGTTCAAGGCGTGCCGCGATTTCGGCAGCCGCGGTGCGGTGAGGAGGCGAAGCGGGCGTTTGGCGAGCGCTGAGTCGACCCGGTTGGAGCAAGGTGAATCTGCAGTAGTCTTTCTGGTCGCCTGCAGCGCTCAGTGGGGCGCGAGGAGCAAGCACGACGCGAGAGCTCCTCCGCGAACCCGGCCGGGCGGCCCCACGGGAGGATAACGTCCGGCGGCGATATTGGCGGGTGTATCTGTCAGCCTCACGCGGCGGCCAAGCATGGCCACACGCCGACCACGAGAGAGCAGGCGGAGCCGCGGCACGCGGGGCGGCGGCGGAGACGGAGTAGAACGAATTGCAACGTGAGATGCGAAGGGAGGCGTGCAAAAGCGAAGATAGTACAACGGGCAGGGCGTCTACACTGAACCGCACTGAGAACGAGGAAGTCGAGAGCGAGCCGGAGTGAGGAGCGAAAGATGGAAGATGGGAGGAGGAAGTGCCGCTCAGCCTGTCAAGGTTCAAGCTGTCAGCTACGCTCCAGAAACAGCAGCGACATCGTACGCACTGAGGTGGAAGCCGCCGGCGCCTTCGCGAACGGCAAGCAGGATGCGTTCCTTGAGGACCTCGCCCGACGAGTAGTCCGGCAACTTGACGTAGTTGACGCAGGACATGACCGAGGGGAGAACAGCGTCGCCGCCATCCTTCCTGACGATGGTGAGAGGCGGGTCGAGCGCTGCGAAGCCGCCGATCGGAAGACGAGGGCTGAGTCGAGTCGAGACAAGCGAAAGTCAGCGCTGACGACAGGCAGAGAGGGAGCGGATGAACGCACGATCCAGTCATGAAGGAGAGGAACTCGCGACGCTCTTCGACGGTAAGGCCGGCCATGTGGGCGAGGAACTCGCGGACAGGGCGGCTGTCCATGGTGAAGCCGTGGTCGGCCTTGGTCGCGTTCGTCAGGGCTGCAGAACGCGTGGATGAGTGAGCAGGGCACTCTGCGCGACGAATGTGAGACGCCTCACTCTCGAGCGACCAGTCCTCGTCGACGGCGGCCGTGATCATGACAAGCTCGGCAGGCGTGAAGGTCTGCAAGTCGCGAACGGGGAAGACTGCCATCGAGCGCGCTCATCGTCAACGTATTGAACAGCAAGAGAGCGACAGGAGCAACGCACCGGTCGAGAAGCCCTTCTTGAACTCGTTGATCTGGGCCTGGACGCCACGCCGAAGCGTCCAGTCGAGCACGAGCTCGATGTACTCCTCGACGTTGTGGATGTCGACAGCAATATCCTTGCCGCCATCCTTGAGCTCGAGGTCGAAACCGGGGAGGGTGAAGTCGAGAGTTAAGTCCGAGACGGTCGCGCCGCGAACCTGGATGGCCTCGAGGTCTGCGACGCGCTGCTCCTCCGTCTGCTCGGCACGAATGTCAGCGCGAGTTACACGAACGCGAGGGACGGCGACGCACCCTTGACTCATCCGCTTCGACAGCCTCCTTCTCGGCAACGTACTCCTGCAGGTGAGCAAGCGACTTGCCGAGATCGGGGTCGACCGCCTGCGTACACAGCCGTCAGCGGAATTCTCTAAGTTCAAGCATACGATGAGACTCGCTTTGATGCTGGCAAGGTTGAGCGGGAGGTCATGCTCGAGGACGAGGCGCATGAAGGCCCGGCTGAAGTTGACGTCGATGATGCGCGAGTCCATCAAGGCTGCGCAGCGGCGAAGATGAGCACAGAACACCGTTATAGAATGTGACGGAGGCGTGCGCACCCTTGGCAACGAACTGTCCGAGAACGTGGAAGATCTTGAGCGCCTTCTTGCCCGCGTCGGTCGAGACATCCGCAAGCGGAACCGGGAACAGACCCATCTTCGCGTGGACGTAGTCCGACGTGTCCGAGTGGTCGCCAGCGCGCCACAAGCCGAGTGCCTTGCGAGCGAACTCCTTCGAGACGAGGGCGTAGAACTCAAGTGTCGGTCCGAGACCGCTGCCGACCTCGTTGAAGAACTCGACCTCGAGACTGGCGCGCGACGAGCCGTAGAGCTCGAACACCTTGTACGCCGACTCGAGGATGCGGTCGCGCGAGATGCGGACCTTCTGGCGGGGCAGGCGCCCGAGCATGCCGAGGTCGTCGTTGCGCCTGTTCGAGTCGGTGCGCGTCTGGCCGACCCACTTCTGCATGAGGCGGGCATAGCCGAACGAAGTGGACTGGAGGAAGGTGTACCGGGTGTCGAAGGGGAAGAGGAAGGGGAACGACTGAGCGAGGTCGACGGCCCAGTCGGGGAGGCAGGCGCTCGCAACAATCATCGGCTCCTCGAGCTGGCGGTTCAGCTTGGCAGTGAGCTTGCTGTTGACGAAGGCCGAGTCCGACAGACCCGTCTGCTTGATGAGGCCGTCCGACTCGAGGTCGCCGTACTCGGAGCTGACGCTCCGCAGGACATGCAGGAGCTGCAGGATTTTGGCCTGCTGAGAGTCGTTCGGGATCGACGACGGCATGCTCGTGAAGATGGATCCCTCACGGCGGCGACGGTCACCGAGGGCGTTGGCGTCGTCCTCGTCGGGTCGAGCGGCGCCAGCAACCTTGCGGAACTTGACCTCGTAGACGTTGTACCACATCGAGCCGCCGAGTCCGGAAGGACGCTCGGACTCGTAGCGGTGAACAGCGCCGTAGACGGTCGTGTCGAGGTCGATATCGCGACCGCCCATGGTGAACTCGAGATGGAAGTCGGTAGGCTCGGCCTGGAGTGCTGCGGCGTACGAGGCGCGAGGCTTCGAAGACGGCGCAGATCCGGGCGATGCCGTCGAAGTGCTTCCCTTCGTCGCAGGCTGTGGAGTCGCGACGCGGGTACCGTCAGGCGTCTTGGCAACTAGCTTGCCTCCGTTCTCGCCCTCGTCGTTGACTTCGAGGTGGACAGGCTTGTCATCCTTGGGAGCTGACGCGCCCTCGAGACGACCGGCGTAGAGCTGCGTGGGTGTCTGTCAACAGAGCCCTTACCGGCTGGAAAGGAAGGGGGCTCACATCTCCGTTGCCATGGCGGTAAGCCTCCTCGTCCTCTTCGTCGGCCAAGGCTTGCGCCCGCTCGAGGGCAGCTCTGTCGCGAAATGAGCGTCAGGGGGTCTTGCAGAATGGCCAGACTTTGGGAGACTCACTTCGCTTCCGCCTGAGCAGCCGCCGCGCTCGAAGATTCGGCTGCATCAGGAGTCGGGTCGATGCCCTTGCCGCTGAGACGCGAGCTTCTCCGTCGCTTCGGTTCGTCGCGCTTGGGCTTGGCTTGCGATGCATCGGCGGTTTTGCCGGCGGCAGACGAGGATCCGGCAGCAGCGTCGGCAGGCCCACCTAGCTCTGTTCGTCGCGGGGGAGGAGACGAAGAAAGGATCGCTCCGTCAGCATCATCGTCAGCAGCTGCACCCGCGGCAGCTGCAAACGCTGCGAGCAAGCTCGAGAGCGTACCGCCGGCAGAACCGGACGACAACCGGTCGGAAGCGACTTGAGCGGCGAGGATCTTCGGACGGAGGTAGTCGTTGAAGGCTTGGAAGGTCGCGATGGCGTGGATCGAGACGACGAGGTTGGTGCAAGAGCGAGGGATGTCGGAGCCGTCCTCTGCAACGAGGCGCAGACGGAGCTGGCGGCTGAGCATCGTCGTCCCGCCACGGCGCGAGTCGTCTGTACGCCAAAAGTCAGCTTACGGAGCGTCGAGTGCGAACGAATCGCACGCACTGTCTGACCCGCTCTGCGCTGCGACGACCACCTCGAACTCCTCAATCCTGCTCAAGCTCTCCTGCAGCCGCTTGACGAGAACCGCGAAGGCGTGAGTCGACGGTCGGCCCTCGAGCTGCGGCATGAACGTCTTGGCGATGAGCTCCTGGCGCTTCGTGGGCAAGACTGCATGGAGCCGAAGTCAGTACACAGGGGCGTAATAGGGAACGAGACAGACGCACGAGGACCGTCGCCCGTCTCGGTCGCAAACTTGAGCAAGCCCTCAACGAGCCCGCTCTCGATCATCTCGAAACTGCTGAGCGGGTTCTTCTCGTCCGCAAACAGCTCGGCGATCTCATCAAGCGCCTCCCTTGCTTCCTTCTCGACCTTGGCAACCGCCTTCGCACCGCTCGCCTCGGCATGCGCAACACCGTTGAGGTGCTCGACGAGCGCCTTGATGCGGTCGAGGACGCCTTGTGCGCGCACGGCAGGCTCGGTGTCGGCTGCGCCGTACGTGTCTCTAAGGTGGCGGGCACGGAGGATCATCGAGTCTTGCGCCTGGGCGTCTGACGGGCTGAGCACCGTCTTGGTTGCTGCGCCCTGCAGAGCGCGCGAAAGCCCTGACGGAGCTGCTGCGCCAGACGTCGACCCGTCAGGGAGCGGCGTGCGGGACGGCGACGAGCGCTTCGACTTCTGGCTGACGAGAGGCTGGTCGGCGAGTCGAGCGATCTCGTGCATGACGCCTTCGCGACGGAACGTGTACTGGTACGCGTCGTGCATCTTGACGAGGAGGAGCTCGACGAGCTGGAGCGCGTTGGTGATGAGCGCGGCAGGGTTCTCGCGCGAGGAGAGGATGGCCGAGATGAACGCGGCGAAGGGGACGTTGCGGAGGACGTCGGCGAGGTGATCCTCCTCGCAGAAGTTGACCATCTTGAGCAAGCCGAGGACCGCGCGCGTACGGACTTGCGGACTGACGGTCGCGGCGTAGACATCGACGAGAGTCGGGAGGAGGAGCGCGACGTAGCGCTTGAAGACGAGCTTCCGCGAGGCCGGCGCGTCAAGCGACACGAGCTCCAACCGCTTGGCCTTGAGTGCCTCCTTTGCCGGGTCGCGCGACTTTCGGCCTGAGCGTGTAGTCGAGGACGAGCTGGTCCGGCCGAGTCGAGGCGCCGAGAGCAAGCCCGCTGCGGCGGACGACGAGCCAGCGAGGGCAGAGGCGGGCGTGTCGTCCGATCCCTCCATCTTGACATCGGCGGCAAGGTCGGGCGAAGCGGCGGCGGCCTTTGAGGTTGACGACGATCCAGCCACAACATTGAGGTCGGGCGTCTCCTCCTCGCGCTTGACCGTCGCCGACAGCTCCTCCTGCTTGACAACCGTCTTTGCCGCCGCAGACTTGCGCTCCTTGCCCGGCACGAACGCGCGCGAGTCGAAAATCCCGTCCTTGGGCAAACTCGGCAAGAGCTCCGTGACGAGGTTCAGCACCTCGGCAACCTGTTCCTTCGGCCGCTGAACGAGGTTCTGCATGACAAGCATGTCGTCCTCGGCCGTCGTCTCGCGATCAAGCACCTGTTTGCCCTCGTCGGTCTTCCACTCGGGTGGTGCGACGCCCGTCAAGAGGTGGTAGAGGGTGTTGGCGATCTCGAGCTCGACGAGACTGATCGCAACGGCTGGACTGGCTTTGGTCGCCGTCGTGAGCATCTTGAGCATCTGCGCGTAGGTCGATGCGCCGACGGTGGTCGAGTCCGGGTTGAGAAGTGCCTTGACAGCGACGAGGAGGTCGTTCGAGAGGAGTTCCTCGAGCTTGTCGGGATAGTGGCGGTACGAGTCGACGATGCGAACGATGGCGAGACTGCCCTGCTCGACGACGCGCTGGTCCGGGTACCCGAGGATGTTCTTGAAGATGGGCATAACCTCTACGACGCGAGCGAACGAGTCGAGCGTCAAGTTGCGGCAACAGTTGGCTGCGGCCGTGACTGCCGTGCGCTGGACGTGGAACGAGAAGAAGTCGATGTACGTGAGGAGAGCGGAGAGGCCTCCTTCGCGCACGATGGACGACGGGACTTCCTCCGAGATCTTCTCGAGCGTGCTGAGAGTCTGTTCGGCAAGGTCGATGTACTGGATATCCTTGAGCTTGTCGCACAAGACGGGTACGGCGCCAGCGTAGACGATCGAGTGCGCCGAGCCGGGCAAGGCCTCCATGAGGTTCGCGAGGCACCGGCACGCGAGGAGCATCATCTGGACGTCGTTCTCCTCGATATCGCCTCCGACGCCTGCCTCGGCCGGGTCGAGCCCGAATGCCAACGCCTCTTCCATCGTCATCCCTCCTGCTCCTCCCGCTGCGCCGCCCATCCCGTTCGAATCCCCACGAACGATCGCAACGAGTTCCTTCGCAAACGCCTCGATCTGGAAGTACCCCGCGAGGGTATCCTCCGTCGAGATCGACAGCAACTCGGCGAGTTCCTGCAGCGCGAGAAGTTTGGCGGTCGAGTCGCCGTCCTTTGCGCGGAGGGATGCGAGGAGGCCCTTGAGGCGGCTCGCGACGCCCGACATCATCCCATGCAGCGCGCGGAAGGCCGACAACGCCGATGCGCCTCCCCCTCCCGCTCCTCCTCCTTCTTCGGCTTCGGCTCCCCCGCGCGCGGCACCCGCAAGCGCACCGAACAACGCATCCTCCGCTTCAGCCATCGCCGCGTCGTCCTCCCCCTCATCATCATCCATCAACCCCTCGCGCTCTTGTGCCTGCTCCTCGCCTGCGCCGAACGAGCGCGTCCTCGGCGCCGAATGCGCAAGATCGTCTTCCTCCGTCCCGTAGCCGTCACGTTCCTCCCCGTGAAGACCGAGCGAAGTCTCGTATTCCTCGATCTCTTCATCGTCGTCGTCGTCGTCGAAGTCGTCTTCATCGTCTGAGTTCGAGTTCGAGTCCGAGTCCGAGTCGGAGTGCGAGTCCGAGGAGTGGTCGCCACGGTCGGAAGAAGCGAGCGCGTCGACGTCGGAGGACTTGGCAGCGCTCGACGCGTCCTTAGTCGGGCTCGCTCCTCCCTCCTGCTTCTCCACAACCTCCTCCACTCCCTTGCCCTTCTTCCCCACTCCAACATCCTCCATCTCCACATCCCCCTCCCCTTCCTCCCGCTCTCCAACTCCAACCTCCTCCTCCCACCCCTCCTCCTCGCCCTCGAACTCCTCCTCCTCCTCCAAAACCCTCTGCTTCGCTTTCAAAGCCTTACTCGCGCGCGTTCCCTTTCGAGGCATCGGAGTCTTTCCCTTGGTCGCGGCGGTGGAAGAGCGGGTCTTGCGCGTCGAGGGCGTGGGTTTCTTAGCCGAAGAAGAGGAAGAGGTGGTGCGAGAGGGACGGGCACGGAGGTTGTAGTCTTTCTCTCCTTGCGTTATGTCTGTCGCGGAGGAGGTCGAAGTCCTGCGGCGCTTGGTGGAGGATTCGGCGCGAGAGGTAGCGGGAGGGGGAGAGACTGCGCGGCGTTTACCGAGCGCTTTTGCCGAGGGGATGGGGAGAGAGTCGCTAGTGTTGTTGTTGGAGGAGGAGGTGGAAGGGCCGCCGGCGGTTGAGGTGGTGGTGGATGTGCGGCGGGATCTGGAGGAGCGAGGGGGTGTCAGTCGGGAGTTTGGCTCGTGGTCGTGCAGAACCGAGCCCTGGAGCAGTAGCAGCCTGCTGGGAACGCATACATCCCAGCGAGACTGCCCTGCTAGCCGCACACGCGCCCGCACGACCCGATGACCACCGCACCCACTCGCGAGCGAGCGAGCGAACGAGACGACGGCACTCACCTCCTCGCGGGCTGGGTGTTACTCGTTCCTGGCTGTGACTGACTCGCTTCGTCTGCGTTGTTATCGAACGAGACGCTCTTGCGCTTCGACGAGGTGGCGTGGGCGTGGGATGATGAGGCGGCGGTGGTGGTCGAGTCGGTGTGGGTTGTTGGCGGGGGTTGTTGGGCGGAGTGAGTGCGTTGCGACCGTCTGCCCATCTAGGCGAGCATAGATGTGAGCCCTCGAGTGCTGGGCGTGGTGGGCGGGTGAGTCGGGAGAGCAAGAGGCAGCAGACGACGAGCGGGTCCACGGGGAGAGCTGGCTGGAAGGCCTGCCAGTAATGCTGAATAGCTCTGTAGTATTGCTGTCAGTATTACTAGCCACTCAGCAGCCCTTCCAGCGAGGTTGCGGCTCGCTCTTCTCTCCCGGGTCGCTGGTTCCCCCTGCTCGCAACTTCACGCTCTCGAGTGAGCGTGGTGGGTCTGCTGTTCGACACTCGCTTTAGCTGGACGCACCTGCTAGTGCTCGAACGGGATCTCACTCGCCTGGCTCGCCCGTCTCGCTTGCCCCAGGCTCGCTGCGTCGTCTCCTCCCCTCGCTCGACCTGAACGACCTCGACTCTCGCAGGCAGCCATCTGAGGCTCGAGGGAAAGCTCGTGTGTGGATGGATGTTCGATGCGGCCCAGGCGATGGATCCACCCGCCCCCGTGCAGGCCCCCAGATCCGCATCCGCCGCCCTTCACTCCCTTCCTCCCGCGACCCCCTCCTCCTCCTCCTCCTCGAGTCCTCCGCCCACCACCTCGCCTGCACATCTCACAGACGATCCCCTCTCCTCCTCCGATCGCTTCGACGTCCCGCCTTGCCCCTCCGACCGTCGAGCCAACTCGCCCTCCGCCTCCCCCTCAACCTCATCCACCTCAACTCGCCCACCTGCGCTCAACTCTCGACTCCCTCCCCCCTTTCCCCTCTTCAACAACGCACGGCGCGCCCCGCCTCGCGCTGTACAGGCAGAAAGACCTCGAGGGGGAATTGAGGGCGTGGAGGAGCGCGTGTGCGAGGTGTCATGCCCTGCTCTCGGCCTTTCCTGCGCCCGCGCCGAGCGAGGGGAAGGGCAAGTCGAAGCTCGAAGCGTGGCGAGTCGAGTTGGAGCAAGACCTGAAGCCCCGCATCGTGCGACTGGTCGCAGAAACCTCTCGCCTGCTCTTACACCTCAACCACCTCTCGGCCTTCACCGACCTCGACCGAGCGTTCTTCACCTCCAAACTCGGCGGATACGGTCGCTCTCTCTCGCGGGCTATCCGGGCCGCCCACGCACGGGGGGAAGAAGTAGTCGAGGGGAGAAAGTTGCGAGGTGTTTCGGGGAACCCGTTGAGGATGGGCAAAGGGTTGGGGTGGGAGAGGGGAGAGGAAGATGTGGCGTGGATGGTCGCGTTCGAGGCGGCGCTCAGGGACAGGAAGGGGGGGAAGGGAGGAAAGGGAGCGGACGAGAAGGCGGTCGAGAAGTTTGGCAAGTTGGTCAGGGCTATGCGGATGCGCGGTGGCGCAAAGAGCGACGAGGAGCGGGCGAAGGAGCGGAAGACGGTGGGCGGAAGCAAGGGAGTGGCAAAGGACGGGCGAAACGGACGAACGGCGGCCGACCGGATCGACTCTCACCTCCTCGCCTTCCTCACGCGCATCATGAGCCGCGTCCACGCGCGTCTCGGCACGCCCGTCGTTGGCGAGCCAAGTCGCGGGCGGCTCCTTGCGCTGGACGAAGTCGACCTGATCGTCGAGGAGATCAAGCTTGCTGAGGCCGACGAAGGCGAGGAAGTTGTCTCGATGGCGTTGCTCGAGTCGGCCATGTCCGGATTGGAGGAACAGGCATCGGCGCCGCAGTCGTACGGAGCGAAATCGACCCCCGTCTCGGTCGACCACCCGCTCTTCCGCAAAGTCGAGGAGGACATCGAGATCCTCGTTGCGCGATTCGACAACTCCGACGTCGTCCCTCCACGCTCGAGCGCCCCGAAACACCGACTGATGCGCGACCGCCACGCCCACATCCTTTACACTACAATCCGCTTCCTCATCCTCCGTGCGCGCATCTCTCGCTCCCGCTCCTCCGCACGTCACTCCCTCCTCTCCGCCTCGCAACTCTACTCGATCCTCCTCGGTCTCTCCAAATCGTCTTCGTCGCGCTCACCCGCCTCAATCGCCCGACTACGAGTATGGCAGACTTCGGCGCTGTACAGGCTCGTATGGGCTCATATGCCCACCTCTGCGCGTACCGTCTCAGGGCGGAAGGAGCCTACGGTCTCGTTCCTCGACCCGGGCGAATTCGACCGCGAGACGGCGACGCGGATACTCGACTTGCTCGACTTGACGCGCGCAGCGGTAGCCGACATCCCGCCTTCCGTGCGACCCGCAGGCCCGAGCCCGACATATCGACAAGTCCGCGACCCAAGGTTGATCGGGATGTCGACGTCGTTCTTGCGGACATTTCTCGAGACGCTCGTCCGGCCTTTTGCGCCTCAGCCTAGTCCGTCTCCGCCGCACGCTCATCCGCACCCGCATCCGCACCATCACCAGTCCCGCCGCTCGCCGCAGGCCTTCACACCGACTCACGACCTCCTCGACCGTACCCTCCGTACGGTGCTCTCCCTCCGATCATGGGACGCCTCCCTGCCCGTGCTACCCCGCGCCCAAACTGAAGTCGACCACCACCCCTGGGAATACCGCCTCTTCTCTCGTCCGAACCTCGTGATCCACCTCGTCCGCGGATGGGTCCTCGCGCCTTCTCCTCCCTCTCAAGCCGGAAAAAGCAGCCGAGGCGATTCGCGCGACCACCTCATCCCGCGTCTCTCGTCCCTCCTCTCGCTCTTCTCCGCGCTCGTCAAGCTCCCGCCTAACGAGTGCTGGCAGAGTGAGAATGTGGGACGGGTGGCGGAGGATGTTGAGTGGGCTGTTGGGGAGGTTGTGGAGCGTCAGTGGGGAAGGGATCGGAGGAGAGGGGAGGAGGGGTGGAGGGAGGAGGTTGCGAGGGTTGTGAGGGAGTGGAGGGGGGAGATGCGGGAGATGGAGGAGGAGAGGCGGAAGAGGGAGGATGAGGCGAGGAGAGAGAAAGGTGCGTCCCTGGCTTGCTGAGCGGGTCTTGCTGCCTCCCACAGGGTGCTGAGACTGACGTTGTGCTTGTGCTGGGGCTCGCACAGATGCGACTTCTCGCTCGAAGTCGCCCACGGAACGACCGACGATATCATACCCATCCCTTCCACTCAGCACCTAGACAGTTCTTTCGCACGCTCGCATCTCGCACTCGCACTCGCACTCGCACACTCGCACCAGCATTCGCAGCAAATCTCGCACCCGCTTAGAACCAGCATACCCAGCCGCTCGGCTTGTTCTGTCTATAGGACTCGCTCTACCTCTCGCATGCAACGCACGTCGCAGTCCTTCTCGCAGTCTTCTGGCTTCTCAGCTCTCAGCTTCACCCGAAGTGAAGCGAGCGGTACAATAACGACTTGCGAATTCCAGTTTCCTCGTCCCCTTCGCTCATGCCTCAGCACCCGGCTCCGCCTTGCCCTCCGCCTCGACCAGCTTGTGCTCAACCAACAACTTCTCCAGCTCGCCCGACTGGTGCATCTGGATCGCGATGTCGCAGCCACCGACGAATTCGCCGCCGATGTACAGTTGCGGGATTGTCGGCCAGGAGCTGCGCGCGGAGGAGGAGGGTGGATCAGCGACTGTGTCCAACAAGATAGGGATGCAGTGCAGTGGAGGCTGCGTAAGAGAGCTGCAGAGCAGCAGGAGAAGAGGAGCTGGCAGGACCGAATGAAGGCGCCTTTCATCCGTGACAGCAAGGCGCCTTCCCGCCTTATTCTCCTCCTCCAGAACCTCCCGCGCATCCAGGAGCTTCCTCGGTTCGCTCGAACGGCAGCACGAATCCCTGGAGACGCCGCAACTCACCTGTACTCCTTGATGCCCTCCCTCAACTCCTGGTCCTCGAGGCAGTTGAACGCGACGATCTTCTCTTCGGGCACGCCGTTGACCTCGAGAATCTGGCACACTGCGCGCGAGAAGCCGCACTGGGGGAACGAGGGAGTTCCCTTCATGAAGAGGACGAGCGGGTTTTTGGTGACGACCTGCCGATTCAACGGGCAAGGTCAGCGAGATACTGAGCGGCTTGAGGGAGACTGTTACACACATCGTCAATCTTCTTGCGGGCGTCGGAGGAGAGGAGGCGGATGCGAGCGAATGTCGCGGGGTTGGCGAGCGGAGAGGCGGTGGCGGCGAGGCGGGCGGCTGGGAAAGCGGTGGGCCTTGCAGACTGGCGCAGGAAAGAGGTAGCGATGCGTGCAGACATCCTTTCCAGCGAGTTGTGGGCGTGCAAAGTGAAGAGTTGATGAGGAAGAGAGGTTGGTCATCGCAACGACCGCCAGATGCTCAGGCAACTCGCAAGGACTGCTGGAAAGGCTGCACAACGACCACTCGCACGCTCACTTGCTACCCAGGCTTTGTCCCGCCCCGCCCTGCGCTCCCCTCGCACTCCCTCATCGCCCTCCGTCCTCATGCGTACGTCCACCTTGTCCCGCCTCGCCACAGCCCTCGCAGGACTCGTGCTGACACGCAAAATGACAGGCCAGGCATCCTCGACCACCCCGCACTCGTCGACCGTCGACCCGCAGGAGAGCGCGGCGCAGCAGGCTTTGGACGAGGGAACCGAGGCGCTGAGCAGGGGGGACCTCGAGACGGCGAAGAAGGCGTACGAGCGGAGCGTTGGGATTAAGCAGACGTCTGTCGGTGCGTTGCGAGAACGTGGACGAATTGCTGGGTTGGAGTCGAGCTGACCTTCCTGCTCCTCCGCTCATTCTGCTGCCGCTCTGGTGTTCTTGCTCACTGAACAGGCTACTACAACCTTGGAGTCGTCCAGTGCGTTGCTGAAATCCAACATCGCAGCGGAGGATAGCAAGAGCTGACATTGGGTCGCTCCGCAGGTACCAACTCCGCGACCTCGCCTCGGCGATCACCTCCTTCGAAGCGTCAATCGAGCATACCCCTTCTTCCGTCAAGCCCACCTTCCCCGATCCCGACGCGCCTACACCCGAACTCACGCCCGCACAAGCCATCCTCGCCGACACCCACACCAACCTCGGCGCCGCGTACATCTTGACGAGCCCGCCGCGGCCGGAGAAGGCGCTTGAGCACCTGCAGAAGGCCTTGATGATGAACCCCGACGATGGAGAGGTGCGTCCGGCCGGCTCGTTGCCTCCGGCGTTCGCGGATGCTCAGGCTTACAAGGTGGTTCTGCGATTCGCAGGTCTGCTACAACCTTGCCGCGGTTCTCGAAGCGACGGGCGAGCTGGACGAGGCGCTCATCGCGTACGAGCGGTCATTGAAGCTGGGCATTGCGCGGGCCGAGATCAACGTTCGCAACGTGAGTACGCCTTCGTACATAGTGGTTCTCAGCTTGCTGACGACGTGACTTGTCGCAGATCTCTGCCAAGATCATCGGCAAGCGGCGCGAGGAGGAGGAGAAGGCGAAGCAGACTGGCGGTTCCGTCGCCTCCCAGGACGTCTCGCCGTCCTCATGAGAACGGGCCATACGCTCGACCCTCACTACTCTCTCGCAGTACTATAGACGCACCAAAAAGCGCAAACATGATTCAAGCGCATCGAGGTTGGCAGACTGTACAAGCGAACTCCGCAGCTCCCTCCCTCACTTCTTCTTCTTCTTCCGCTGCGCCGCCTTGGCCGCGCTCGGGTTCTTCGGCGCCTGCTGCTGCTGCGTCCCAGGCGCCGGCGCGACTCCGATCGACGCGCCCGCCCACTCGCTCGACGGCCCCTCCTGCTCGATCCGATCCCGCATGCTCAGCGCCGCCATCAAATCGTTCAGCTGGTCCTTCAAGTCGTCCACCTCGCCCCTGACGCTCGCCGTCGTCTTCTGCTCCTCGAGGAAATCGGCTCTGAGCGCCGCGAGGTTCTGCGTGAGGGAGGCCGAGACGGCTCGCTCGGATTCGAGGTCGCGCTCGAGCTGCTTCTTGCCCTTGACGAGGTCCGCGCGTTCCTTCTTGCGCTCGTCCTGCTCATGCCGCACCTCGCGCTCGAGGACCTCGATCCGTCCCTCCAGCGCTCGCTTCTCCTTCTCCCACGCCTCCCTCAACCCCTTGACCTCCTTCTCCCTCTCCCTCACCGCGCGCCTCAAACCGTCGCAGTCCCCTTCCAACTCCTTCCTCACCCTCTCCCCAACCCTAACGCGCTCCTTCTCCCTCGCGACCTCCTCCTCAAACCACTCGCGCTGACTCGCAAGTTGGCTGCTCATCAGATTCCCGTACTCGAGCGCAAGTGCTTCAAGCTTGTCTTGCGCATCTTCGGCATCACGGTCCGGACCTCCTGCCTGAGAGGCATACGAGGAACCGATCTTGGCGGAGAGGTCTTCGGTATCGCCTTCTGAAGGTGGAGGAGCGGAGCGAGCGGCGGACGAGGAGGAGATGGAGGGGAGCTCGATGATGCGGTCGCCCGGTGAAGCGGCGGAGGGGCGAAGGCGGATGAGTCGGTGGACGTACTCGTCGTCTGCGAAAGTGCTTCATCAGCATCGGCGAGGGGGAGAGCTCAAGAGGAGGACGAACCGAGATACGACCAGATGCGGCCAGTCTCGACCTCGAGCGAGAAGCTGTAAAGTCGGAAGTTCTAGTCATCTCCATTCAGCGGTGGTTGCAACGGAGGAAACGCACGAGTGGCCGGTGTCGGTGAAATGCGAGTGGGCGTGACCGCCTTGATATCGGCCGCTGCACCAAGTCAAAGTCGTCAGCTTGTCTTTGCTGAAACTTGGAGCGCTTAACGCACCAGCCGACGTTTCCGCAGATCACGCAGATCCACAAGTTCGACGGACTTTGGCAGACCGCGCATTTCGAGTCGGCCGCCTCCGTTGCTGTGACCGTGTTCCGTCGTTGTCGGGCGTTTGTTGAGCGGCAGACGGGGCATCTGCGAAAGCAGAGGGTCAGGCAACGAGGGGTGGGGCCAGGCATCGGAAGAAACGCACCGCGAGTCTCCCCACTTCAGCAGGCAGTTGCAGTGATGCGTATGGCCGCAGAACGTCTGCACCAGACCTGTGACCCTCGAGTCGAGGATCTCGAGGCAGACTGGACATGTCGGCAGTTCGACAGCGTCGGAAGGGGCGCCGTCGGACGAGGCGGAGGAGGTAGGGAAGGTGAAGGGAGGAGTCGAGGTCGACTTGAGTTTGGCGGCAGAAATGGAGACGACGTGGCAGATTTCGCTCTGTACGTTCACCAATGCAGTACGTCAGGAGGTGGCCAAACACTCTGACGAGATGCGCGGCCGAGCGTGTGAAGGCTCGAAGACTGATACGCACATCCTTCGTGTCCCAGTACGGCTTCGAGTTGTAGACGCGCTTGAATTCGGACGCTTTGGCGGCGTCGCGGAAGCGGATCAGGACGAGGGAGCGATTTGGCGTCGAGTCCCTGTTCCGCCAGTCGTCAGCCTGTCATTGAGCTGTCGGACGTCGTGGAACTCTTACCTTAGCATCCTCACCTGCTCGATGTCGTCGAGAGCCGGGGCGATGAACGACAGCAGCGCGGCAGCGTTCAAGACGCCCGGGACCGACACCAATCCAACGGCTCGACCGTCATCCTCCTCTTTCGCCCTGTGCTTCTCGTCCTGCGTACTCTCCTCCGCGCCTGCTTCCCGGTAGAGATGAACGATCCCCCAATTCAGCTCCGTCGTCCCGCTCGTCTCAGCCGGCCTCGGAGGCTGCGGCTGCGTCTGTCCAAGCGACGGGCTCGTCTTTCCGCCCGGATGCCGCGTCATCCCTCGAGGTTCAGGGTAGTCGATCGAGTCGCAGAAGAGCGGGCCGAAACGAAAGTCGAGGATGGGCTTGTGAGTTGTCTTGGGTAGGTCGCCTCGAGATGGTGTCCAGAGTTCGGCCGTCGCAATCGGCGGCGGGCTTGGCAGGCCGAAGGACTCGGACCAAATGCGTGGACCAGGAGGAGTACGAGGCTCTAGGGGCGGAGATGGGAGTGCTGACGGGGACAATCCGGCGGAGACGGTCGAGGGGTTGCGAGTGTCGAGCGCCCGAGTCCTGGGCAAGCGGGTCCTCCACAGATCGCCCTGACTAGGAAGCACAAGTCGATGCTGGACCGCGCAGAGCTCCTGGTTGACGGAGTGTGGCAGGCGGGTCGCGGTATTCGGGATGAGGGGGTTGATTGACCGGGGAGAGGTGTGGTCGTAACACTCGATGACGACTCTGTAGCGCCTGCTGTCCTCAGAGTCTCGCCTCAGTAGCTCAGGCATCCATGCGCGCGGCGAGTGACGGAGCGAAGTGAGCGGGAGGAGGACAACCTGGTGAAGGCGGTCTTCCCTCGACTCGTTCTGGCTTGTTGAGCGCGGACAGTGAGCTCGTAGTCCTCTGTACACCGGCAGGAGACGATAGAGCCTGCGAAAAGACGCGCACACTGGTAACATTTCTTTTTGCAAGGTGTGGATGCAGGAAATGCAAGCGGCAACGCCTCCCCTTCTCTCCTTCGAGCGTATCTACCTCGTCACCTTCTCGCATACGCGTCACCTCCCGGTCCCTCATACTGCATCGGCACCTGCCTAGGACTAGGCTGCATCGGCGGACCCTGCGAGTGCGGCGGGCCATGGTGCATGTACATCTCCGGCGGAGGCTGAGGCAGACCCGGTGCGGGCTGGGAATGGTGCATCGGAGGCGGATGAGGGAGGGGAGACATCATGTGCATGTCTTCGCCGGCGGGAGGAGGGGGAGGGTAGCGAGGGTCGCCGTACGGATCTTGCATCGAGCGAGGGGGCGCAGGGTGGTAGGTAGCGTGCATGGGAGAGAGCGGTGGTGGGAGTTGGCGAGGCTGGCGGGGAGAGGAAGAGGGCGAGCCTTGGTGTTGCGGGTGAGGGTACGGGTCGAGCGGGTGAGGCGGACGGTTCGGGTTGGGCTGCGACGCGAGGGGTCAGCAAGACTTCGCACAAGTGGCAAATCGGTACGCACAAGCTGGTGTGTGTAGCCAAGCGCAGGCGGAGGCGGGTAGTTTGCAGGCGGCCCGTACTGTCCGTTCATCATCTCGCCGTATTCCTGCGGCGGGTGCGCCGGCGAAGGCAGCCCGCTCCTTGGGTGTCCAGGCGGAGGGTAGCCGGGCGAAGGCGGATACTCGGCCATCGAGCCAGGCGGAGGAGGAGGGTTGAGCGGGTGGACGTGGTGAGGCGAAGGCGGGAGCTGGTTCATCTGCTCCATCTGCCCGTGGATACTGGGCGGCGGCTGGAGAGTCTGGTTCGCGGCCTGCGTGGCGATGGGCGGAGGACGGGCCTTGGCGCGCGGACGATGCTGCCTCGTCCTGAGGGCGATCTGGCCGCCATGGATGGGAGAGTTCGCTTCGAACGGACGCTTCTGGGCGGAAGGAGGTAGGGGGAGGAGAGGACCGTCGGGAGGCGGCGAGATGTAGTCGCTGTTCTCGTCGTCGGGGGAGACGGCCTGCAGTCGAGAGAATTAGCGAGTGTGCGACAAGGCGAGTCGAGCGCGCGACGCACCAAGCACTTCTGGATCAGCTTCTGACCTTCACTTGGCGTTCCGTCCGGGTTGGCGCTGACGAGCGTCTGGAACTTGGTCGTCGTGAACGTGTAGACCTGTCGAGCGAGCAAGTGGGGAAGGTCAACAATTGTCATGCGCCCCGAAGTAGGGACGCGACTCACAATGCCAGTCTCTGAGACGACGAGCAGCAGGACTTCGGTGCCCGTCAGCGTCGCCAACTCGTAGGCCTGCTCGGAAGTAGAGATTAGTCTCAGCGACTGAAGCCAAACAAACGGAGACGGGGACGCACCTTCTTCATGATGCCGGCTTTGCGCTTCGAGAACGTGATGTGCCTCTTCTCCTTCTTCTGGATGTACTCGATCTCGATCTTCCTCCTGCCCTTGTCGTCGGGGTCTGCAGGACCCGCCGACCCTCCCGCCTCGTTCCCGCTGCCCTTGGCGCTCGACGCCCTCGCGCCGGCAGTCGCGCGACGCTTCTTCTTCGGGCCTCCTTCCTCGTCGTCATCGTCGTCGTCGGAACCGTCGGCGCTCGGGTCGAACGCGATGATGGGTGGGGCAGTCTTGCGAGTCGAGCGGGTCGTTGGAGGTGCGGGGGACGGCGCAGAGGTCGACGGGCCTGCCGAAGACGCTACAGGGTGTGGAGGGAGGAGGGGACCGTTGTCGGCGGCCTGGCCAGGCGTAGGCTGTTGCGAAGCCGAGGGAGGGAAAGCGGGAGAGACGGGTGACGGATGCTGCTGAGGCTGCGCCGACGCCTGCGACGAATCCTGCTGGGCGTTGGGTGCACTCAACAGAGGCTGCTGCTGCCCAGCGTGGCCCTGCTGAGGCGCAGGCGAGTTGGAAGCGGACGAGTCCATGGCTTGTTGACGGCGCGCGCTGCGTCTACACGGCGTGTTTGGTCGGCTGTGATTCGACGCGACTGTCGGGGCGTGTGTCGTAGTACCTCCCAAACGCAGAAGAATGTCCTTCGGAGGGAGGGTCGAGGAAGATGAGAGACTGACGGGAAGAGGAAGGAGTGGGCGCGGCAGCAGTCGCTTCTCCTCGTCGCCTGTCCTTTCCCTCTTGAGCGTCCTGTCACGAGAACTGCCTCTGCGGTAACAGCGATCGGCCGGGAAGATGGGGACGAGGCGGGTCGTCCTAAGAGGCAGTTGAGGAGGAGAGGGGGCTGGGCGGGAACGCGGGATTGGGCGAGGAGGGCGCTGCTGCTCTGCTGTCGACCGTCGACGGAACAAGCTTTGCTCGCTTTGAGCGCTGGCTCTGGTTCTACTCGAGGAAGGTGGAGCGACAAGAGGCAGCGGGGGGTCGGGCGGGTCGCTCGTTGCGGGTACGCGGCTAGTCCAGGCGTAGCAAGTGTGTAGCAGCGAGTCTTCTGAGCTCGCTTCTGCAGCAGGCGCCAGCAAGCGGTGGTGGTGTCCTCTCGAGAGGTGTCGCCGTCTTCGTCCTCGCTCATTGCGGCAAGCTCTCCCATGGCGGATGAGACCTGATCGCCCGTAGAAGGGCGCCAGATTTGTACAAAAGAGACGCTCGCGATACCGATTATCCGCGACGGCAGCTGCCTCGCCTGAGAGCCATGAGCTTTCTCCCCTCTCGAGACGTTTCCTCATCTTCGCTGGGGTTGACGACCTTGCGATAGACCGTTGGCAGCCGCACACAGCCTCTGCACAGTTCAGCAGTCCGCTCAGAGGCCGGCGAGGAGGAGAGGCAGCGAGAGAAAAGTCCGTTCGACTGCCGCATCTGGAAACCCGGCCTGCCTGCCTGTGGCTCCGGGAGACAAGCGTAGGCGATCTGGACGAGCGGAGCGGTACGAGCCTTGTCGCGCACGTCACGACGCGACCGGGCGGAAGGAGCCAGCCGACAAGGCCCGCTGAGGAGCCTTCGTCGCCAGAATGAAAGCGAGCACGCCAGCCTGTAGCTGCGGGCGAGGCTTGATGTGGATCCACACGAGTCGTCAATTGCTTGGGACCCGCCGAACTGCAGCAGCTACCCGAGCCCGCCAGTCGGTTCGACCTGGATCGTCAGGTCGTCCAGTCCAGCTATGTGGCTTCGCAAGACCCGCCGTACCCGCACATGGACGCGGTCGATGCTGACGTGGAACTGTGTCGGACGGCCGTGGGCGTCGTAGGCGGAGCCGGACGCCGGGGCGAGCTGGATGCAGATGGAGCCGACCATGGAGGACGGGTCCTTCTGCCAGAACCGTGGCTTGGTGAACGAGGCGACGCCCTCGACGCGGCCGAGCTGTCACGAGTATACCTGTCAGCTTCGTAAGCTGTATGTGTGGAGGAGTAGCACGCACCGCGGTCAACGCCTTCCGCACCTCCGCCTCCTTCTCCTCGCCCATGTCCAGCACGAGCAGCCTCCCCGAGTCAATGACAAGCTGAATGACGCTGACGAAGATCATGACGGCGATGAAGATGGACGCGAGCGGATCGAACCCGGTCCAGCCGTAGCGGTTGATCAGGAGCGTCGAGATGATGACGCCGACGGAGCCGAGCGTATCCGCCATGACGTGCTGCGCGAGACTAGTCGTCAGCTTCCGGTGGTACGCATGAGGTGGGGAGAGGACACACCAGGAAGACGCCCTTCATGTTGTGGCTGTCGTGGGCGTGAGCCGACTCGGCGCCTCCTTCGTCCTCGTCATCCGACTCGCAGTCGCCCTGCTCGCCGTGTCCGCCGTGTCCGTCATGCGCGTCGTGTGAGTGCCCATTCGAAGTGGGCGTTGAAGGAGCGTGAGAGTGCGAGTGGGAGTGGGAGCGATGGTGCGATGGCGAGGGAGATGCGAGGTGCGGCAGCGAAGGAGCGGGCGGTGCATGCGAGTGCGAGCGGTTGTGCGAGGGTCGTGTCGGCGTAGCGGTTTGCGAGGAGTGCGAGTGGCCGTTGTGCTGCTGGTGCACGATTCGTCAGGCTTGGAAAAGGGTCCAGGCCGGTCGTGGCATCCTGGTACGCACCGAATGGCCGTGATGCTCAGCGTGCTCGTCTTCGCCGCCTTTGACGAGGAAGGGTGTCGAGTTCGAGCGGACCGGCGCCTGAAGGGCAAAGTCCGTCAATACGCGGCTTCTCCACTTTGACCAACACGACGTACATGACTGTGCCCATGCCCGTGTCCGTGTCCGCCCCCGCCTCCATGCGAATGTCCGTGATGCCCGCCTGTCGCAACCATACCGACAAGGTTGACAGCAAGTCCTACTGCACTGACAGTGAGGAGCTGGCCGGTGTTCATCTCGGGCGGGTCGAGGAGGCGCTGGATGGCTTCAAAGACGATGAAGATCGAGATGAGGCAGAGGAAGATGCCGTTTGCGAAGCCGGAGAGGGTCTCGACACGGGAGTAGCTGGGGGAGGGCGAGGGGAGTGAGCAGATTGAGGGCGAGTACCGGTTGCAAGACGCACCCGTATGTGTAGACGCTGTTGGATGACCAGGTCGCCATGACGGATGCGAAGAGGCCCATAGCGAGCGCGAGGCAGTCGAAGAACATGTGAATGGCTGAGCGTGCGAGCGGATCAGCCTCGCTCTTGCGCACTTTGAGGACAGAAAGCACGCACAGTCGGAGATCAGACCGAGACTGTTCGTCCAGATCCCGTACGCCATCTGCACAAACATGAAGGCGAGGTTGAGGCAGAGGAAGAAGTAGATGCGGCGGGATTCGGGCGAGGCGAGGATGGTCTTGATCGTCGCGCGGAAATGGCGGTAGAAGGTGGCGAGACGGGTGAGGAAGGGTTGGTCTGGCGAGGAAGAGCCGGTCGAAACGCCGCCTGAAGCTGGGACGACAGTCGAGCGCGGGTCGGTCGAAGCGATGTGCCGGATAGCTGCGGGTCAGCCTTGTCAGTTCCAGCCCCCATGAAGCTCACAGGGGTTCCTCTCACCTCCCCAGGCGATCAGGCCGACAGCGAGCTCGCTCAGACCGGGCGCCTTTCCGAAGCCGACGTAGCCGATGAAGGCCGTCGCAACAGCCGTGAGCGGCCAACCGGGCCGCAACAGTCGAACAGGCGGAATGTGTGTAAGGAGAGTGCGCGTGAGAAGAGGATCGATGCAGAGGTAGGTGAGGGCGAGAAAGGCGGCGACGAGGAGATGGAGGGAAGAGCTGGAATCGGGTGCTGGGAAGAAGGGGTCTGAGGGTGCAGGCGATGACGCTCTTGTAGAGGAGAACTGTAGGAGCTAGACGTCAGTGACGATTGACGCCGAGCAACGCGCAAACGAACGAAGGCGGCTTGGAGGATAGCCAGCACGCTTGCACCGATTGCAGCGACGACGGTGGAATTTGCGTGCATCGCGCTTCTTTGCTGCTCGTCACCGTTGTGCGCCCCGTACAGCTCGGACCGGTATCCGGCTGCAAGGAGGTGGCCGAGAAGGCAGAGGTAGCCGCTTCGACTGGCCGATCCTGTTGCAGGGCGAGGTCAACGATGATGTCGTCAAGCGAGAAGCACTGCACGTACTCGATAGTGTCGAGTCGGCCAGGTACGAGAGGACGACCATCGCGGTTGTGATAGCGAAGGTATTGCTTCGCTCGCCCGCTCTTCGCCCTGCGATTTTGACGAACGGTGGCGCGCGAGCCCACAGAGGCGCGAAGGAGGTGAGGAGGATGAAGCTGCGAGCGTATAAGTTAGCCTCAAATGGCTAAGCAGACGGACGAGGAGCGCACCGCAGGACAGAAAGGCGAGAGACAGATAGAAGGGCGAATAGGATATCGAGGTAGACGACGAGAGAATATACAGGATTTGGCGGCTCCTGCGAGAAAGACGCGTCAACTTCAAGTCAGTCGATGCTCGCCATGGAGGTCCTGAGCTACGGCGGAGTCTTGACCTCGAAGAAAGGCCAGGTGGGGGAGGAAGAGAAATGGAGGCGGAACGCACCGTTCTCCGCTTGCCGCCTTTTGTCGCCGCCCATGGCCGTTCCCACAACATCAACGCACCGCCCGCCGCAGCCAGGACGGGGGCCGTCAACCGCACCGCCGGGTATCCCTGCGCGAACAGCCAGTCCCTCGACGCATGTAGGGCGAGCGCAACACCTCCCTTGGACAGCAGCAGCGCGAAGAGGAGGTCCGAGGGTAGTGAAGAGGCGTCTCTGTAGGTCTCGCGGGTCAGCGGGCATTGGGCAGTGATGGACGGGGAGTGCGCACCTGGGGAGCCGAGAGATGTGAGAGAGCGAGACTCGCCGCGACACCCGCGGGTCGTACGCCTCCACGTAGCCTGCGCTCATGCCTTTTGCGCCTTCTAGGCCAGTTCAGCGGCGTACAGAGCGGAATGAAGTGAGCGGTGGGTGCGAGAGTGTGGTTCGTCCTCCGGCAACAACGCTTGTTGCGGCTGGAGGACTTGTTGATGCTATGACGGAGTATTCGATAGCTCCTCGACGTGCTACTGCTGCGCGCGCTGATCCGCTTGGCTTGCTACCGCCTGTGTCGTCCTCTCGTCTCGCTCCCTGATGAGGAGCGCTCTCGTCGCGACAACCGCACGCAGAGTTTGTGCAGGTAGTGCATTGCTACGCTAGCAGACTTCTGCGGGAACAGCTTGCCGGTGAACTCCCTCCAAGCGCTCCAGCCCTTGCGACGCGACCTCCTCAGCCGCCGCCCTCCCGCTTCTTCGCCTCGACGCGGAGCGGGTACTCCTGCAAGTTGACAATGCGGTCCACATCACGTCAGCTAGCGATCGGGCAGCAGGCAGTCTTCGTGGCGGTTCGTCAGAGGTAAGGTGTCGAGCGCACCATTGGCAGGGTCAAAGCAGGACGGTACTTGGGCGACTCGTGCTCGCACCACTCGGTCTTGACCATTGGCGTCCATTCCAGATAGCCTGGTGCGAAGGAGAGGTCGAAGCGGGAGAAGAGGGCGAGCAAGGTCGCGACCGCCTCGAAGTGGGCGAGCGTCTCGCCTGCGGTGGAGCGCGGTGCAAGTCAGCAGACGAGCAGGGAGTTATTCAAGCAACATCGCTAAGCAGGCACTGCTGCGCTGGCGGCAAGCCTGGAAAAAAGGGGGAGGAGGGAAGAGGCTCGCTCACCGAGGCAGCTGGACATGAGCAGTCGCGCCGGGCGCAGAACGTCAGCTCGACATCGCTTTGGTATCGGAAGGGAGGAGGCAGCTCACCGCCTGAATCCGCCATTGAAGCTGTGCAACCTCGAATCCTTCCTGAATTTGCCGTCTCCGTCGAGCCAACGAGTCGGGTCGAACGCGCCTGCCAAGGGACCCCAGACAGCCGGGTCGCGAGCGGTAGTCCAGTCGGACCAGGCGATGTGCTGCGACGAGGGCGAGGGTCAGAACGGAGTCAGCGAGAATGCGGGTGGGACGCCTGGAACTGAGCTAGACGGACGTCTCCTGCCTCGATCCTCGGGCCGTTCGCTGCGAGCAGATAGCCGTCAATACTCGAAGCCTCTGTCGGCCAGCGCGCTGCGCACGGATATGATCGTCACCCCTCGCCGTCCAGTGGTTCTGCGAGTCCGATGGTCAGCTCGACCCCGGGCTCGATGAGCCGCGACTCACGTTCGGCACCGTCGGGCACAACCTCGCACCCTCATAGAAGACCGCGCTCGTCCAGTTCATCTCCTTGAGCGAGTCGAACGGCAATTCGGTCGGGTCGTCCAGCTTGGCAGCGTCGCGGCGGATGCCCTCGATGAGCGCGGGGTTGCGGAGGAGCTCAAAAATCGTCCAGGCGAGAGTGCTGGCGGTGGTGTCGCGACCCGCGATGAGGAGGTTGATCGTTGCGTCGCTGCGACAGGCGGGAAGTGAGACGGGCGACACGCTGGAAGTTTGACAGAACGCACCGCAGCTCTTCCGTCGTGAGCGGCTCGCCGCTCTCCTTCGTTGCAGCCATGTACCTGCCGAGCATGTCGAGGTCGCCATCCTCGTCAAGCTGCTGGACCTTCTCGATCCTCTCGCGAATGATCTTGTCGGAGTAGGCGTGGATGACCCTCATGTCATCGGCAATGCGCTTGCTCGTACCGTCGAGGCGCTCGACGAGCCAGAAGAACGGCCTGCGGGTGGGAGCGGGGTTGTCAACGTCAACTTGCGAAGGTCAGGCCGAGACGAGGAAGCTACGCACGTTGACATGCGCCTCGCCAGGAGAACTTGAATCTCGTCAAACGCTTGAGCGAAGGCGTTAGTCTCCCCACGAGCCGCGGCGGGAAGCGATCCAGGGTCCGTCGAGAAGGAGATCGAGGTGAAGGTGTCGAGCGTGAGGGCGAAGAGAACCGCAGAGAGGTCGATCGTTGCGCCTTCGCGGGCTTTGGCTTCGAGCGTGCGGATGAAGAGCTTGGTAAAGTGGTGAATGGAGGCGGACATGACGTTGCGGTACGAGTTGACGGTGAAGGCGCGAGCCGTAATCTTGCGCCACATCGACCAGGCCTTGTCGTCTACGGGTTCAAAGCGGTCAGTCGACTGTCCCGCAACCAGCGCGAGAACGAGGCTTGCCCGAAACGAAGATACCCTGTCCAAGCAGGACGCCCAGCTCGTTGCGCTGGTCCTGGCCCTTCTCGTAGTTGGCGAAGTTGGTCTGTCACCACAGTTTCGTAGGCAAAAGTCCCTGAAGAGACGCACTGGAAGCGGCGTACCCGCTGAACATACTCGAGGTGCTCCGGCCTGTCGAGCCAGATCAGCCTTCTTCCGAGCAGTGTCATCGACACCGCCTTGTCCGCATCCTCCACTCCATCGCGCCTCCTTGCAGCGTGCGATTCGAGGACGACTGGTCGAGCGGCGTCAGTCCGGCGACGGACCGAGTCGGAGAGGAAGCGCGACTCACACTCGCTCAGCCTGCGGCTGTTGCGCAAGAAGAGCAGCGTGTGGCCGAGCAACGGGATCGCGCCTTTCGGCTCGTACAAGTCCGGGCGGGCTTTGCTGCCGAGGGCGAACGGGTGCTCAAACTCCACGGCGTGGACGATGAGGACGACGAGGAGCGCAAGGAGGACTGAGCTGAGGACGTAGTAGAGGTAGACTTCGGCAGCGAAGATCAGAGTGTCACGCATGGCGACTTCAAGCGTGTGCCGAGCGAGAAGTTGTGAAGTGAGGGGAGGGGAAGAGGAAGAGAGGAGGGGAGAAGCGGGTCCCGCGTGCAGCAATCCGCACGAGCGACGCGGTGGCAAGCTTGAGCAGTAAAGCAAGGTCGCGAAAGCAACACAAGGCTACTCGGCAAGCAGCGGAGCCTGTCTCCGACCAGCGAGAGCGAGGCGAACGCGAGGGCAAGTTGCGAGGACGAGGGCGAGGTGTGAAGACCTTCGGGCGGGGCGCGAAGGGTCGGAGTCGGTTATAGCGACTCGCAAGACTGCACAGCAGGACAAGAGCGCCGCCTAGCCGTGCGACCGAAGCCTCCGTCTCTCCTGCTCCCCAGCAAGCAGACCACTGACCTCGCATCTTCGCGGTGCGGTCCCTTGAGCAGCTCGAAACGCCTGCGGTGTATCGCGTGTCGTCTTCAATGCCTGCCCGAGCCCACCTGAGCCGACCAACATACGCATACACCCAGGAGCACGTTTGAAGAGGTGGGCCGATGGCGAGGCGACGAGGAGAGCTCGCGGTCGGCTGGATCGTCGAGTAGAAGCAGAAATAACACAGGAAGCAACTGCCCAGCGTCCACCAAGCTGCTCGAGCGGTGTCGGCGTTATCGTTCCAGTCAACCTCGTCCTCGCCGACCTCGTTCGACGTGTTCACCACCGCTCACCTGCTCGTGCTGGGCTTGTCTGCGTCTAGAAAGTGCTACAGACACTCGATCAACCAGCCACAGCAAACGCAACCCTTCCCCTTGCTCCTCTTCCGCTTCCCCGACTTTCCCTCGACCGCCTCGAATGGTCAAGATCTCGGACAAGATCAAGAAGGCGGAGCGCGAAGGCAGGCCATGGTGGAGCTTCGAGTTCTTCCCGTGCGTCATCAGCCATCCAAGCGAACCCCTGTGGGAAGGCTGACCTCGTTCGTCCTCCTCGGCACCTTTCAGGCCAAAGACGCCCGAGGGATGGGTCAACCTGTACGACCGCATTGAGCGCATGCAGCAGCTCGGTCCCATCTTTGTCGACATCACGTGCGTCAGTACCAAACGACCGAAAGGCCCGCTGACCCTCCCTTCTCCTCGTTCGAATAGCTGGGGCGCAGGCGGTTCGACATCTGAAGCGACGACCAACTTTGTCAAGACGGCACACAGCGAGCTCGGTCTCGAGACGTGTATGCACCTGACATGCACCAACATGCCCGTCGAGATGGTCGACAAGGCTCTCAAGGCGAGTCCGCCGTCTTTCTCTCCTCTCAAGCTTTCCAGCTGAACGCTCTTTCGTCTCGCTCACAGGAGGCTTACGACTCTGGCTGCCGCAACATCCTCGCCCTTCGTGGTGACCCGCCTCGCGGTGTCGAGGAGTGGAAGCCGACCGAAGGCGGGTTCAACCACGCCATCGACCTCGTCAAGCACATTCGCAAGAACTACGGCGACTACTTCTGCATCGGCGTGAGTGCGTTCCGGTCTCCGTGTGCGCGCACACGCTCACCTGTCCCGTGCGCAGGTCGCTGGATTCCCCGAGGGCCACCCTCAAAGCGAGAGTCCCGAAGCCGAGATCCGGCACTTCAAGAAGAAGGTTGACGCTGGAGCGGACATCGTCTTCACGCAGATGTTCTACGACGCCGACGTCTTCATCGACTGGGGTCGCCGTCTCCGCGCTGCCGGCATCACGATCCCGATCGTTCCTGGCATCATGCCCATCCAGACTTTCGCCGCCTTCAAACGCCGAACCGACTTTGCCGGCACGATCGTCCCGAAGGAGCTGTGGGACCTGCTCGAGCCGATCAAAGACGACGACGCCAAGGTCCGCGAGGTCGGCACTGAGTATGTCGCCGACATGTGCCGCAAGATCCTCAACGCCGACTTGGGCATCCACGGCATCCATTGCTACACGATGAACCTTTCGCGCGGTACCGAGATGCTCCTCGAGGAGATGCAGTTCGTCCCGACCGCCGACCGCGTCAAGCCCCTGCCCTGGCGCCTCTCGCTCACCCAGAAGCGCCGCGCCGAGACGACCCGCCCGATCTTCTGGTCGAACCGCCAGAAATCGTACATCACTCGCACGCGCGACTGGGACGAGTTCCCGAACGGCCGATGGGGCGACGCCTCTTCGCCTGCGTTCGGAGACGTCGACGCCCTCCTCCTCGCGCTTCCGCACAAGCCTCAAGACGCGATCAAGCTTTGGGGCAAGCCTCACTCGCTCGGCGACATCGCCGCTCTCTTCGCCCGCTTCTGCCGCGGCGACTTGAAGAGCTTGCCCTGGTCTGACCAGCCGGCGGCGAAGGAAACGACCCGCATCGCCGAGCAGCTTGCGCGCATCAACGAGCTCGGCTTCTTGACGGTGGGCGTGGCTCTCTTGTGCTTCGTCTCGCTCTTCGCTGACGGGTCCTGCACCATCAGATCAACTCGCAACCTCGTGTCGACGGCGCGCCTTCCGAAGACCCGGCTGTCGGCTGGGGTCCCATCCGCGGCTACGTCTACCAGAAGGTGCGTTGGATCTTGCACTCCGTCCATCCAGCCCACTGATCTGAAACTTCGCGCAGGCCTACCTTGAGTTCTTCTGCCCGCCGGAGCTCGTCGAGCCGCTCCTCGAACTTCTTGGCGACACGCCTTCCGTCACCTACCACGCCGTCAACAAGCAAGGCGACTTCCGCTCGAATACGGCGCCCGGTCCGAACGCCGTCACCTGGGGCGTCTTTCCCGGTGCCGAGGTCATCCAGCCAACCGTTGTCGACTCGACGGCGTTCCAGGCGTGGAAGGACGAGGCGTACGAGCTCGGGTGGCAGTGGGCGCAGCTGTACAAGGAGACGGCGCCCGAGACCTACGAGGTCATCAGTCGCATCTTTAGCGACTTCCACCTCGGTGCGTTGCGCAATTGCCTGCGAGTCTCCTCGAACATCATCTGACTCGCTCTCTCGCGCAGTCAACATTGTCTTCAACGACTACCGCAACAATGACGAGGACGCCATCTTCAAGCCGTTCTTCGAGCTCGCGCACCAAAAGGGTCTCTCGGTCGCCAATGGCCACTGAGCTCGCCACCCGACCCGCCTTTCCTCCTCTTCCCGCATTCAACTGTTCATAACGTCTTTTCCCGCCCGCATCGTCAACCGGTCCCTCAGCTCTTTCAACCTATCTCGCTTCTCAGTCTCGGCAGTTTCCCCTCGGTTCTATTGTTGCTCTCAACAGCCGCCTTTCCTTCGCCTCGCCGTTCAACCAGTCGTCAATTCCGTCGTTTCAACACCAATTTGCAGTCTCAACACCCTCTGTATCGACTTTTCAACAACTCCCGGTACCCCTGCTTGTCGTTCAACCCACAGCCCCGTCTCTGCATCAACTGCATCCACCACAACCCTTCGCATAAACCACCCCCTTCGTGCCATACCTCTGCGGGTCTCAACGACCGACGCAAACCCCCTTGTTACCCCCTCTCGCCCTCAACGGGCTCAGCGTACGGCTCGAGTCGAGTCGCGATGCATTGCCAGCACTTTCACCAGCTTCTCGCGTCCGTGCGTCGTTGAAGAAGCTCTGAAGTCGGTGCGCGAGTGAGGCAAGGAGCGTTTGCAGGAGAGCAGGAGAGTGTACGTTACAAGACGTGCGAGGCGGGCAAAAGCGATGCAGCACGACAACAACATGTACAAGAGGTATCGATCTATATGCAGCGCGAGCACTCCCCCCTCGCGAGAATCACTTGACGCCTAACACCTTGACAGCGCCCTTCGTACTCCCCGCCGTCCCGATCCCGCCAGCGACGAGCGGTCCGTCGTCCCACTTCCATCGCCAGCCGTGCTTGTCGAGGTGTTTTGTGACGGCTGGAGCGAGGATTGGCGTGTTGTTGCGCGAGTGACGGCCGACGCCGACGATGATGCGGAGGGGTGTGATGGAGACGGCTGTGAAGGACGAGCGAGTCAGACGAGGGAGTACGAGAAGCTGATCGGATGGACATACAGTCTCGCGCGTTCGCCCACCACGAGTTGGTCGCCTCGTCGACGATCTTGAGCGCGTGCGCGAGGGTGAGGCCGTGCAAGTCGATGGTGTTGGGATCGGTGATGGTCCTGTGGTAGTAGACGAGTCAGGCCAGATCATTCACTTTCACGCGCTGCGGAACAAGCAAGCCTGTCCCGCTTGAACGACAGAGAGCGCAGACTCGGCGACTCACCTTCGCTCGCCCACGGCCGCCTTGGCCGCCCTCTCCTCCCACTTCCTCCTCTCGCGATCGTACTCCCTCCCCTTCTCGGCCCAATACCCCGCCACCCCTCGTTCTCCCAGCCCGCCTTTCTGGAAATGCCTCGCAGCAGTGCGGAACGCCTCGTTCCGTTTCTCGAGATACTCGAGCGCGAGGGCCGCGCAGTCGTTGTAGGAGTGCGAGCGGTCGGGTGCGGGGTGGAGCGATGCGCGCGGAAGAGTCGGAGAGCGACGGAGGGAAGTGACGGTTGTGAAGCCGTCTGAGCCGGGGATGGAAGCGAGAGGCGTGACGGACGATTCGGGTGCGTCCGCTGAGAGCATCGAGATGAGCGTCAGGTTCTTGCCGAGGTCGGACTCGAGGTCGCGGAGGAAGTGGTGGAGGTCGAGCGCGTCGCTTAGGTCGCCTTCGGTTGCCGAGAGGAGCATCTCGAGGACGTCGTCGTTTGCTCGAGAAGGAGGAATGATCAGACGGAGCTGGGAGCGCAGCTCGAGATTGTTCGGGAGAGTCTCGAAGGGTCGCTCGCGGGATAATTGAGAGAGGAGGACGGAGACGGTATGAGGGAGGGAAGAGGACTGCTTGTAGTAGAGTGAGGTGATGCGTGCGGCGGGGATGTGGAGGAGAGTCGAGAGGAGCGAAGTCTGCGAGGTGATGGAGACCCAGGCGTTGGCGGAAGAAGGGGCAGAGGCGAGGGCCGACATCGACGGCGGTTGAGTCGCCGCGGTCGCGGCGGCGGCATACGAGATGTGCGGTGTCGACGTCAGCGAGTACGAGTTGCTCGCCTTTTGCGCCGCCTTGACTTTCCGCTTTTGCTGCCGGTTCATCTCTGCGATGCCGTCCGGATCTGCCGGCGCCGCTGCCTTGGCCGCGGCTTCTGCGTCCGCCTCCGTCAAGGTCGTGATCAAGTCCTGAGAGAGCAGGTCCTCGATGAGCGTCTCCAGGTCCGCCGGTCGCGCCGCAACTCCACCTCCTGCCGCTGCCGGCCTCGAAACCTCCTGAATTTTGGCCTCGAGCTGGGCGAGGTCGATGTGCGGGAAAACGCTGGCGAGGAAAGCGAGTGGGTCGTCCTCGACGTCCTCGAGACAGTCGTCTGGAACGTCCCAGACGAGCTTGCCCGCCTCGAGCGGTCGGCCGTCGTCATCGCTCGTGAGAGAAGCCGCCTCGCTGCGTGGCCAGAAGCGCGCCGCCTGCTCGTCCGACTGTGCGTCCGACGACCCGTTCGAGCCAGTCCTCGTCGCTGCGCTCGCGCCATCCTCGATGGTCGTGCGGTCGAGTCGCCTGCTCAACTCGCTCACGTCCCGGCTGCGACTGCCGACCTTGCGCGGCCTGCCAAACTCTGCCGCAGCCTCGTCCAGCAGTCTCAGCAGCTGCACGCGGTCGTCCTCGCTCGGCTCGGCCTGTGACGACGCAGCGAGGTCGGGTTCATCGAGGGGGTCTTGCGAATCGGCGTCGCGTGCGAGCGAGTCGAGGATGTCGCGCGCTGCGCGCTCGTCTGCTGCCGAGAGTGGGTGTGTAAAGTCGGACAGGATGGCGTACACGAGCGCCGAGTCGAGCGATGGAAAGTCGGCCTGGGTGAGGTCATGGAGCGAGGTGAGCGGGTCGCTTCACGGGCGCGGGAAGGGCGGGCGCACGATGAGACGGTCCTGAGCAGACACGTGAGCCATTCTGGGCTGTCGCTGAGCCTGTCCAGCCGGTGTGAGCGGGTCGTCGACGAGTGTTCCTCGACAACCGTCAACTCGCCGTTCGTTGACCTTGTCCACCTCACACAACACCGTCGTGCACCTCAAACTCACGCTCAATACACTCTGCAACATGTGCAAACCCGCTTACTGCGCGAACGAGGTGCGTCCACCGCTCTCCTTGCTCTCCAGCGCCCGCCTCCCTCGTCCTTCTGTTGCCGGAATCGTCTCCTCGCCTTTGCTCCCCAACGACAGCCCGTGCTGACCTCTTCCGACGTCCACAGGACTGCCACAAGAAGACCTGGTGAGTCGAGCGAACAGCGCTCGCAAAGAGCAGCCCTCGTTCCCCTTCGACCCTCCTCGCCTCCTCGCCTCCTCCGATTCGGCATACGTCGTCACGCCACTCTTCCTCTTCTTCCTCCTGCTCCTCTCGACACTCGCTGACTACTCTCTGCGTCGACCGTGCAGGTGGGGCTGCGGCAACCACATCGACTCGGTTATGAACAGCGTCCCCGAGAGCGAGAAGTGCCACTGCGAGCCTCACAACCCGCTCGCGCCTGGCGTCGTGCCCGAGGGCGTCAAGAAGTGAACTATGCGGTGCCGAAGCAGTGAGAAAGGGAAGGAAGATGGCGGCGCAAGCAGCGATTCTTGAGGCGGAGTCGGAGGACCCTCTGTACAAGTCGATGACACTAAGCTATATCTCAGCCTTGCGAGTGCTTCACAAGCCAAACGACAGCGTGGCCGAAGCGACCGAAGACGCATGCTGACGAGCGCTATACCTGCTTCACCTCCTCACCACTTCCCTCGAGAGAGCGCCTCGTGAGAGTGCCAAAAAAGACCGAATGTCCATTTCCCTATAAACGCACGCAAGAATCCCACCTCTTAAACCTCCACCCACACCTATATCTTGAACCGTCAAAGCCTCGGGCTTCAGAGCTTGAACATCTCCCGGAGGATGGCCATCGTGTCAGCAGGAGACTTGACAGCGTGACCGATCGTGCGCGGGTCCTCGTAGATTTCGTTGTCGTTGCCACCTGCACGAAGAGAAGGAGGTAAGCATCGCCTTGTACCGGAGGAGGCGCGGGGAGGAGCGACGGACCCTTCTGCGTGTTGTCTCCGAAAAAGTGGATCTCCTTGAAGTTCTCCTTCTCGACCTCGGGCAGACAAAACCTTTTATCCCATCCAAACGGACTGGCAGAAACGAGCGGAAGCCGCAGGAGAGCGTGTAGAAGGCGGCAGGAGGCGCAGAAGTTGTCGGGAGGTCGAGGAGGCGCGAAGCGGCGGTGGCGGGGATTGGCGGGTCGCGAGAGGGGACAGGGCATCACAAGAAAAGTCAGTACACCTAGCGGATCCAGCGGAACAGGTCGGGAGGACGCACAAGACGTCGAACGAGATCTGGCCGCCGATCGAGTAGGTGAGGCCGTAGTCGGGGAACTCCTTCTTGAGCTCCTCGATAAGCTTGGCGCGGATTTGGTGGACCTATTTATAGTGAGGGGAGGTCGTCAGCAGAGGTTTTGGGCGGCTGAGAGATGTGGGAACGCACCTTGTCATACTTCTCGAACTCGTCACGTTCCTTGATCCTGTTCGCCAGACCCAGATCAGCACTCTCCTTATAGACCTCAAAACAAGCCTACGATGCGTTACGGCCGATGGGTGAGATGCTGCAGGGGAAAGAGTCAGTACGGGGAAGGGGAAAGGCGAAAGGAGCCAGACTCACTTGACCATGCCGTTACGGAACTCGATGAAGGTACCGCTGCACAATGAGCACGTCAGCGTTCATCTCATGCGTAGCGAGAGACGACGAACGCACCGCTTGACGGGGATGTCGAGGTCGGCGATGTAGTGGAGGACAAACTTGACGAGCTTCTTGTACTTGTCCTCGCCGAGCCAGCCGATGAAGCTCTGGCTCGCGAGCTGCTGGCCGAGACGGAAGGCAGTCAAGCCGTTCTCGGAGAAGCAGAAGTCAAAGTCGTCGGTGACTGCGAGCGAGCCGGAGGGTCAGTTCAAGCGAGAAGCGTGGACGAGTGAACGGGCGCACCGTTTTGGCCGTGGATGGCGAGCTGCTCCGTCTGCTTGGCGAGGTCGGATCCACCGACAAAGCCGATGACGGCAATCTCGCGAACCTGCTTCAAGAGGTCGAGCATCTCCTGCGACGCTTGCTGTGGAGGGCGGCGACATCAGTATCGGCTTGCGACTGAGGTGGAGGGCGACGCACGCGACGGTTGGGGGTGATGGTGCCATCGACATCTGTATCAACGCGAAAGGAAGAAAGTGAGCTGATTGTTCGACGACTTCGAGGAGAGTTGGGTGTCCTGTTCGCATCCCTTGAGCTGCGCATCATTCAGATAGCATACACCACATCACTCGTCATCCCTATTGTCCCTCGAACACCCTGCATGAGTCACCGCAACGTTCGACCATCGCGTTGAGCAAGTCCCTCGAAATGCGTCCGTCTTCGCGTCCGCCTGATCGGCTGATCGGGCATGCCAGCGCCGTCCGTAGCATCCCCAGTAACCCTGCCATCTTCGCCGCCCGTCCTCCCAGTCCCGCGCTGCCTGGATCTGCCCGCTCGAAACCGCGACGAAACGAACGCGAGTTGGCTGCAACGGACCGAAGAGGAGGCAGATGTCGCCCTTGGGACGCTCGCTGAAGGGCTTGACGGCAGCAGGAGACATTCTGGCAGCGGATTCGAGCGGGTGAAGCAAGATGGTGCGAGGAGGGCCGCGCGAGAAGGACGCGAAGCGTGTTGACAGGGGAAGGAGACGTGGAAGACACTCTCTCGCTTAGCTGCAACGTGGAGACGTTGCAAGCGCTGTATAGACTGCTGTACACGTACTGAAAGTGTCTACGTGGCGATCGCAGCGCTGCCGCTCGCCTTCTCCTCTTCCCCTCCTCACTGTCCATCCTACTGCTCCTCCTACTCGTCCTCGTACTTTGCTCGGCTCACCACCCCTCCCTTGGCAGCTTCTTCCACGCCTGGCCGAGAGCGTTGATCGTCCACGCAAACTTGAAGTTGGGGTACGAGATCGCTGCATTCTTGTTGAAGACTGCAAGTCGGAAATGGCTGTCAGCGCACCCAGTCGGTAATCTGTGAGGAGGACAGCGAGACCGGGCGCAGGGAGAGGCAGAGCTGAGTGAGGGACGGAAAGGGCTCGAACGCACCTCCCTCGATGCTCTCCTGCGGCCAACTCCCGTCCGGCTGCTGGCGCGACATGATGAGGCGGCACCCGCGGCGGATAGGTTCAGGGTCGGGGTATTTGGCGGTGAGGAGGGTGATGACGGCTGCGTAGGCGCGCGAGGAAAGCGAGAGTAAGCGTGTAGCCGGCGATCTCCGAGCGTAAGACGACTGGCATGCGGCTTGCGCCGTCGCAAGGCATCACAGAGGCGACTCAACTCACCCCAAGCGGTATTGACGACCTGGCTCTTGGCGTTGTGGACGTACTGCTCCGTCTCGCAGCTCTGTCGAAGAAAGGCGTTCCGTCAGCCTTGCGTCTCTACCTTAGCGACGTCGCGCTTCAGGTCCTTCCACGATCTCCATCGAGTGCGGCAAGCCTCGCGAGCGCGTGAGCTGACGGCAACGCACCTTGTAACTCTCGCCCCATCCACCGTCCTCCATCTGCTTCCCGAGCAAGAACTCGCAAGCCCTTTCGACGTGCGAACTGTTGCTGTAGTTCTCGCCAGCGAGAGCGAGCGACTCGATCGAGAACATGGTAGCGTAGGTGAAGCACTGCGAGAAGGCGAGGGTGAGCGCTAGTCTCGCCAGTTCCGTTTGGAGGAGCTTCGGCACGGCATCGCCAACCCTCCCCTGTGAAGCTCGGTGACACGCAAGACTCACAATGCCCCAGCTCCCGTACCAGCTCCCGTCCGCGCGCTGCGCCGTCTTGATCCAGTCGATCGCCTTTTTCGACGCGCGCTCGATCTCGCCAGCGCGGTAGGTGGGGTACTTCTTGCGGAAAACGGAGAGGGCGGTGACACCTGCGTTTCGTTCGAGGGGAGGAGAGGCAGAGTCAGCGACGTCGAAGTGGAGGGAGAGGAAGCAAGCGAGACTTACAAGCGGTCGTGCACTCGACGTAAGGGTATTCGATCATGATGTTGGCGAAAACTTCTGCGGGGTTGAGCAGCTCGAGGAGAGGCGAGCCGCGGACAAGCTCGTACGAGGCGAAGCCGCCGGAGGGGTTCTGGAGCGAGAGGATCGTGTCGACGGCGTCGCAGAAGCGAGGGTACGAGACGCGTTCGGTGACGTGTCTGTCAAGCGCCTCAAGGTCAGTCGCGGTGAACAGGTAGAGCGAGGGAGCGAGAGAAGCGGGACATACGGCAACTCCTGCAGAAGCAGGACGCTCTTCATGCCCTCGGCGGTACAGTCGCTGACCGTATAGCTCTGTTCCGCCGTTGAGAACGGCCAAGCGCCCTTAGTCCTGTGCCTATACGCCTGCTCAAAGTGCGGCGGATTGTCGCGAATCTGGCACTGGTCGAGCCAGTCGAGCAGGAGGGCGGTCGAGCGCTGGTTTTCGGGAAGAGAGGCGAGACCGGACTCGTAGAGCGCTTGGGCGATGAAGGAGGCGTCCCACAGCTGCGAGCCGTTCGTGCCGGTCATCATCATTCCGTCCTTGGACATCCACACTGTGTGCGGACAAGGGATCAACTCCGAGCGCTTCTTCTCGTGCATAAGCGAGTGAGCGCACTAAAGTCGCGGATCTTGAGGACATGCTGCTGGAAAGCCTCGCTCTCGGGGCCTTCCTCAAGCCATCGGCAGCTGTGTGTGGCGGGAGGAGGGCGAGTCAGTACAGCCTCGCGCCTGATCGAATAGTCGCGACACCGCCAATAGCCACGCACATCATGTTCATGGCCTTGCTGACCGGGCCAATCGTCTGGTAGCTCGTGTTCTCGTCCTCCATGACAACAAGCTTGTACGCCCTCTCGAGCGCCTTCTTGCGGATCCAGCTCGGCGCGAGGCGGTCGTAGATGTCGAGGACGGCGAAGCAGGCGTTCGCGACGCGCGAGTGGGGCGAGTAGACGTCGTAGGGGGAAATCGAGTTGCGGAGGGAGGGCCAGTCGATAGAGGAGTAGGGCTGGGTGTAAAGCTCCTGGGAACTCGCGAAGGCGAAATACGTCAGCACTGCACAAGGTGTGTGAGTGCTGAAGATCTGCCGCGAGACTCACATTCCGCAAGCTCCGAATCAAATCGTCCTCCTCCGCCTGGAACCCCTTTCCGCTCAAATACCCCATAGGGATGTAGACGTTCCTTGTGTGGATCCACCAGCGCCATGGATGTATGGGTGCGATGTCAGGCAGGAGCCAGAGCTCGGCGGGCGTCGGGTTGAGGCCACGCCAGGAGTGGACATTGAGGATCGCGAGCCAGAACTTTCCCCATCTATCGACATCGAGCGGCGTCAGCGCCGTTCACGCATTCTGAGAAAGCTCGACGCACGAAGGAATACCTTCGCAACCACCTGCACCGGACAACAACGTCGAGAGGTTAGGAAGGTCAGCTCGGGAAAACCCCAACCGCTCAGACAGCGGGAGTGCCGCACGCACCAAGCTTGTGCAGGCAATTGCGCGCTTTGACCATCATCGGCTCATCAGGTCCGACGCCGAGTAATCGCAGGACGACGTAGTTCAAACCGGTGCCGAAGACGGATGAGCGCGCTTCGAAGTGGCTGCAAGCGAGTCTTGGTCAGCCCGGCAGAAGTCACCGTTCGTACTGCCGGACACACATTCCCCAACCCTGGTCGTCCTCGCCGCCATCGCGCTGCATGTTGGCGAGATACCGCGCAATCTCGATTTTCCACTCTTCAGGTATCGGCGTCTTGGTCACATACATCGCGATGATGATGCCCGGCAGCAGGAACATCGGTCCTGCGACACGATTGTCAGCGAGTGAGGAGACGAGACAATTTGAGCGCGACTGACCGCCGTACTCTCCGCTCCAGTGTCCGTCCTTCGACTGCAAGCGCTTGTAGAACTCGTAGCCTGCACGAATTAGGGTTCAGCGCTACCTGAATCCGCGCATTTGACACAACACTCACCTTTCTTTGCCGAGTTTAAGGGCGTTTCTGCGGCTTCAGGCGAGACGTCCTTGAGCGGGAGGTCGAGTCCAAGCCAGTACGCCGTCTCGTCCGACTGCTCCGCCGCGCCGCGCACGCCCTCGTCGTCCTTCCCCCAGACCGTCTCGTACGCGGCAGCACTGGGCGAGTCGGCGTCGCGGGCGTAGTGCCAGACATGCCTTCCGCCGTCGGTCGCAGACGAGAGCCTCCAGCGGAGCGGGTCGGTCTGTCCGAGCGGTCCAGCGGGTGGATAGCTGCGCGGCACTGCCATTTTAGATCACTCTGAGCGAGAACAAGCCAAACAGCGTGTGTAGTCGAGGACGAAGAGGCGCCAGGTGGGGTCGAACCATCGCCAACACGCTCACCCTCGTACGAGCGCGCGCTGCTGGGCTGTTTGATTCGGCAGGAGCTTCTCTGGCTCTCTACAGGGCTTCCCCCACCGCTGCGAACCGCTCCCCTGCCAAACTACCACTTCTCTCGCCTCATCACTCTCGCAGCACAAACACGGCGACAACTCGACGACACGGCAGCAGTAGGCAACGATGGTCGTACGAGACGATGTCATTTTGATCTTCGACCTCACATCGACCCTCCTGCGGGCGGGCGTGGGCGTGCACGACCTGATTAGGGGACCGCTCGTCGTGAGCCGCTCTCTATCAGACCTAAGGCCGCCTTAGCAGGGCTGATGAACGTTTGCCCGCTCACAGGAGCTCCCAACGCGCGTCGGGCGGATGGCTGGCAAAGCCGGGACGCGGGTCGAGGACTTTCTCGTCGGCGCACAACTCGCAGCGGCAGAGGCAGTCACGGCAGCGGGAGGAGTGCAGGATTTCGACATCATCGACCCGATCCGGATCGACGAGAGAACGGGCTTCGAGGTGACGGACTGGACGGCGCTCGAGGCAGTTTTGTGGGTCCGGTTGCCGCATGTCCAGCGTGGAGGCGTTCTTGACAAGTGCAGACGTTGTGAGGAGGCTCGAGCCTTGACTGACACGACTCGTGTGACAGCCGCTACGCCATGCACACCTCGATGCAGCTGCAACGACCACCCCTCGCTCATCCTACCGTTCTCTGCATCCCTCCCTCTCTGCCCCAAGCGACAGTTGACGACCTTCATCGCCTCCTCTTCGAACGCCTGCTCATCCCTCAGCTCCTCGTTTCCTCCCGACCCTTCTTCGCAGCCGGAGCAGCCGGCGTCCTGTCATGCGTGGTCATCGATGTCGGCTACCGAGGCGAAGGGACGGAGATCACGGCTGTACACGAGAACCAGGTTCTCGAAGCGCCTTCAGGGATGCGAAACCCTTTCATCGACGAAGGCGCATGCGACGACTACTGCGCGCTCCAGCTGCTCGAGGCGGATTCGACGATTGCGGACCAGTTCAAGGCGGCGAAGGGTGCGGACGCGGAGTTGTCGACTGGCGAGCTCGTCAACGGTTTGCGGCGGATCGTGCACGACCTCAAAGTGCAGGACAAGATTGCGTTTCAGTCGCCTTTCCTGAGCAAGGAAATTGCGGAGGCGGCGGCGTTGCAGGCGGCTGCTATGGGCGTCGAGGTAGCGGATGAGGGAACGTTCGATGTTGCAAAGGTGGTCGTGGAGGGCAAGGTCAGCGAAGTCGTGCAGAACAAGGGGAAGGGCAAGGATGGCGAGGAGGAAGAGGGCGACTTTGTCCGCGTGCCGAACCCCTTTCACACGGCGCAACCTGGGGCTGGCCAGATCGACCTCACCACCGACTCTTCACCGAAAGCGACCATCCGCATCGGTCCCGCACGGCACCGCTACCTCGAACCGCTCTTCTTCCCCCCTCTCCTCGCTTCACTCGCTCCTTCGGCCTCATCAACCGCCGCACGACTTGGCATGTCGCAGTACGAACGATTTGCGACATCAGAGGGGAAGGCGCTGCTGGGCCAGGCGGGCGTACACGAGATGGTTGGCGTCGTGCTGAGCGACGTGCCGGAGGGCGACGTACGGACGACGGTCAGCGAGGCAGTGGTCGTTGTCAGCAGCGGGAGGGTGGCGAACAACCGATGTGCGTTGCTTTCTCGTTCAGGGATGCGGACTTCCAAGCTGACCTGCTTCTCTCGCAGCACTCGGCGCAACTCTCGTCCCCCTCCTCTCACCCTTCCGGTCCGACGCCTCCGCCGCGCCTTACGACCCTGAAGGACCACCCTTTAACCGCGCGACACGATACGCGCGGACGCCCGACTACTTCGCCAATTTTAAGGACCGGGCGGGAGATTGGGCATGCTATCTGGGCGGGTGCATCATGGGGAAGGTGCGTCGTCTCCCTACCTCTCTGTTGACTCGTCTGTCGGACAACAACACTGATTTTTGCGAGTGTTGGCTGCACAGCTACTCTTGGGAGACACGCAGTCGAAGCTGTTCACCGTACGCCTCCACTATGCTCCTCCTTTCCGCTCCGCGTCGTCCTGACTGACGTCCGTCTGCCGCAGACAAAAGCTGATTACGCCATGCGCGGCCCATCTTACTACCGACGACTCGACACGATCTAGACGGAACGAATTGCTGGACGGTCGCACAGGGAGCGTTCGCAGCGCAATTGTCGAACTGCAAGACCTCTGTTGCACAACTCGCGGAGACTGAGAGTGTAGCTGTGACCTGAGATCTGTTGAGCAAGCGGCTAGAGTTGCAGGCGCTTCGAGCTACCGCTCGATATCCCGCACCGCTTCGTTTCCTAGCCCGACCTTCGGCAACACTCCAAACGGCGAGCTCGTCGCAGCTGCTCCACCTTCGTCCGCTACCGTCCCTCCTGGTTCCTGCTTCGAAGCGAGACTCGCTGCCGGCCGTCGAGGCGGGAAGAGCGGTGGGGGAGCAAAGGAGCGAGGCGCGTGTGCTGTTGTTGACGGAACGGTCGATACATGAGGAAGAGGAAAGGTGGTCGGATGCTGGCGATGCGAGAAGGAGGCGGTCGTGGTAGCGGAGAGGCGGGATGAGGGAGGCAGCGGTCGGACGGAAGAAGGAGTGGACGCCGCATGAGCCCAAGGGGCTGGCGTGATGATGGGCGCGTCGAGCAGGGCTACTGCGTCTGCGCTGTCGTCCTCATCCTCGTCGTCCTTCCGCCCGTCACCCGACGAAGGCAACTCTGCTCCAGTCTCCTTATCCCTCCACCTCAATCCGTACTCGCCAAAGCGGCAGTGCTGCACGACCGGCAACTTCGCGAGCACTTCCACCTTGTACATCTCCCACAGACCTTTTGTGACTTTCTGGAAAGTCGGGACGGTGCTGGCGATTTGGTGAAGGAGGGGCGAGTGCTCGTGGAAAGGGCCGCGCTTGATGGTGTGAATGTGCATGATGGAGGATATGAAGAGGTACGATGGTGCGAGCGGTTCGATGGTCGGGACAGAGAGGACCGAGGCGGGTCGAAGGGAAGGATGGCCTACGGGTATTGCCAGCAAGTCATCGACGAAACGGCTCTGAGTACTAGCCCCGCCTGTGCCGGGGCCTCAGTACGAGAGTCCGGTAAGACAGACTCACCGACAAGCTGTGTGGCGCCGAAGAGGTACACCAGGTGCTGGTGATCATCGAGCCCCCAGACTCCCTTGCTGCCCGCCGGCTCCAGCTTGAACACCCTCTGCACCTCCCTACACGTCTCAATGTATTCCTTGAAGACACGGGTAACGAGCGCTTGCTCGTCATTCTCGTTGAAGATGCGCAGGCGGCAGAGACAGGCGAGGTAGGCGAGGAAGGACAGTTCGTGGCCTGAGCCGTAGTCGAGGCGCTGGGCGGAACCGAAGGATGACGTGAAGTGGAAGGACAATTCGGAAAGCAGGAGGGATGGGTCGACGGCGGGCGAGTGCGCAGACGAGACGAGGTCGCGTTGGAAGGCTGGTTCCGCCTGGGGCGCGAGTCTCGGTCAGCGCGCTTGTACACGACAAGGAACCTTACGCTACGCACCTCCTCGACCTTTGACAACCAATCTCGAAACGCCTTGTTGCCGAAACGCTGCGGACCCTGCTGGAGGGGAATTTCCGCGACCCATCCTCGGATCTGCCGCAAGAAGCTCGACAGTTGCTGAGCGGCCTAAGGAAAGGAGATTCTCGACGATCAGCCCTGAAAAGCGAGACGCGAACCTCAGCGAGGCCCACAAAGCCTCCCTGAACGCACCTCACTCTCGTGGCACTCAACCTCATTCGCCTTGCCCCGCACAGCCGCCGTGAGCCTCAGGATCGTCGTCTCGACATGCTGATACGCCTCGCTACGTAGCCAGTAAGCGAGGTCCTGTTCTGTGAAGATCTTTCGTCGAGGGGGTCGAGGTGGGGCTGATGAGGAATTTGGCGGAGTGGGAGCGGCGATGGGAGGCACGAAGGGTGGCGTGGGCGGTAGAGAAGAAGGTATCGAAGCCATGCAGCGGGTCAAGCGGGCCAAAGCTGGCGGATGAAGCGAGGCAAGTGAAGGGAAAGAGGTCGAGGGATGGCTCGCGCAGGAAGCGGGCGACTACAACGCTTGAGGCTTTCGTACGGACAGTGAAGGGTAGAAGAACGTCGCTTGCATAGGAGAGCGTCCGCAGAAGCCGCCAGACTACCCAAACAACCGCAGGTTCCCAACCTCGATCTCGCCAGGCTGCTGGTTCGGGACGTCGTCGAGCGCAGGGTCGAGTGCAGTCTCCGGTGCATGCTCGCCGTTCGCTGCTTGAGGGAATGAGCGTCCGAGGAGGCCGGCGAAAAGCTCGTCGGTTTGCTCGTCGTGCCAGGAAGCTGTCCGAAAGAAGCCAGGTCAGAGACAAGCTGGAGAAGGGCGAGTTGACGGGACGCACCTGCTTCGATGGGAATCATGAAGTTCTGGATCTTCTCGTGGACGTGGTAACGGATCTTGCGACCCTTGGAAGCGCGAGTGTCGACCACCTTCTTGACCTTCTTCCCCCGCGCGAGCGCAGTCGCTTGTCGCAGCTGGTTCATCGTCGCGTCGTCTGCACACGAAGGCGGTCAGCATCTGTGATGAGCTTCGGCAAGCGGTCGACGCACCAAGGTCAAGCATGCGCGACTCGACGACATCGCGCAGTAACTGCTGGTAAAAGTCCGAGTCGTCGAAGCACTCCGCATCCACCTCCTTCTTAGCCTTCTTCTCTCCCTCCAGCTCCTTCTCCTCGAGTTTCTGGTCCGGCGCACCCACAACCTTCCCCTCGCCCCTCCTAATCCTCGTCCGCCGAATCAATCGCTCCCGCTCGCCCGCGCCGCTCATCGCGTGGTCGATCTGCGCCATCGCGTTCTGGTTGACCGCTTTGAACTTCTTGTCGACGCCCTTCAAGGCGAGACCCGAGGCGGCGAGAACCTTGTCGGACCACTTGGTGACGGTTGAGCGGAGGAAGGGGTCGAAGCTGTTGCGGGTCTGTCAGCGAAAGATCGTCATCGCAGAGGGAAGGGCACGCACGTGTCCTCCAGCGTCTTGAGATCGGCGAGCGTCAAGTCGAGGAAGTCGGCGTCAAAGTCAGACGTGCGTTTGCGCTTGCGCGACGCGCCAAAGTCGCTCGGCAGCTCGATCTTCTCGTTCGTCGCAAGGAGAGTCTGTCCGTCGAAGCAGTCTTCCTCAGTCACGGCACGCTCAAAGCAGCGAGACCTAAGGGGACGAACCTGTCGCAGCTGGAAGAGCTCCTCGCTCAACTCCTTGACCTCGTCCAACACATCGCCAACCTCTTCGCCGAGCGAGTCAAAGAACTGCTTCGCTTGAGCAGGTTGGGGAAGGAGGTTGGCGGCACCGACCGCCTTTTGCAGCTTGATGCGGGACTCGAGAAGCGAGTCGCAGAAGGCCTGTAAGCAGAAAGGTCAGTTCACGTCGCGAAAAGAAGCGCCATGAAGGACGAACGAGCTGCTTCTTGACGTCCCGACCCTTCTCGACGTCCGCTGTCGCCGCCTGCTTCAGCTGCGAGACCATCGACCGCTCGTCCTGCTGCTTCGTCCGGGACTCGACCTTGCGCGCCGGTCGTGCTGGCGCCTCGTCCTCCGTCTCCGCGTCCTCATCACCCCCTTCGCCATCGAAACCGTCAGAGTCGATCGACTCGTCATCGCTGCCCGCTCCATTCGCCTCGAGATCCTCAAAGTCGCCCATCTCGTCCTCATCCTCGTCTTCTTCCTCGTCGAAGCCGTTCATGCCGTGGTCCTCCTCTTCTCCTTCGTCCTCGTCGTCCGTGTCGGCATACAGAGCAGCACGACTGCCCTTCTTTCCCTCGTATTTTGGGTCGAGGACCGCTTCGCCCTTCTTGCGCAACTTGCTCACGCTGCGGCAGGACTCCTAGGTTAGCTCAAGCACTCGAAGCGTGACCGCAAGAGAGGCTGTACGCACCCAACGTCGACAAACTCTGCCCTCGCCGCGTCCGCTGCATCCGCTGAAGTCCGGTTGTCCGCATAGGTTGCGTACGCCTCCTCTGGGTCGTAGTCTGCGAGGCGAGCAAGCAAAGCTGGGTAGAGCATACGCAAAGACGTTCAGCGCCCTTGCTCACCCTGTGGTGCCGGCTGCGAGATCTGGGCGAGTTGTTCGGCGAGAGTGAGGCGTTCTGCGAGCAGGCAACCGTTGTGAGCGCGGTTCCGACTGGCAAGTCGAGTCCCTGTACGTACTGGCCATCGTTCTGGCGAGTCAAGCAGCCTCTAGCGAGTGTGAGGCGGTATGGAGGACGGCATCTCCTTGTCCGTGCGTCTTTCTCATCAGCAACTCGCTGCTCTCGCTCACAGCACGCTCTGAGGCCTGCTTGACACGCTCTACAGTCTCTCAATGTCACTCGCACGCACACTCGCCACTTCGCTCGTCCGCGCAACTGTGCCATGGCATATTCCGCCTGCCCTTCCCCGCCGACTCCGAACAGCTCTCCCTGCGCCCACCGCCGCCTCCTGGCATCTACTGAACCACCGACGAGCGTTCGTCACCACTCCTCACGCCCGCCGCGAGCAGCCGGCATCCCCAGAAGACGACAGCGCACTCCCCCAAGTGGGCTACAACTCGTCATCCTCTACACCAATCGGTCAGATTGAGCGCCGACTACGGATCACATTCACCTGCACGGCGAGCGTGACGCCTGAAGGGAAGACGGAGGCGGAAGCGAGCGCGTGTGGGCATCGGAGTAGCCATGAGTTCGCGCGACGGAGCTACGAGAAGGGGGTGGTAATCATCCAGTGTCCTGGTTGCGGGAACAGGCATCTCATTGGTGAGTGCGGAAGCGAAATTGTCAGTCCGTAACAGGGCTGTGCGTGCTGACTCCTCCACTTACGCTTCTTCACCCGCAGCCGACCACCTGCACTGGTTCTCCCAGACACCCTCCCCCGCCCACCCTACCGGCCAACCGATCGGCTCTGAAACGCCCCGCACAATCGAAGACCTAATGCGCGAGAAGGGCGAGCAAGTGACTTGGCAGTCGAACCCGGACCATCCTCCTTCGTCTGCAACCGATGCCGACGGTCGACAGCAGGTTCGGTTTGTGATGCGTGAGCGGCAGGAGGAGGATGGAAGTAAGACGATTGAGGTGACGGAGGAGCAGGGTGTGGCGGACGAGCAGGGTGTGGCGGACGAGCAGGGAGCGCAGAAGTAGGGCGGGGACGAGGAGTTTCAGGCGAATGGCAGGCCCCGGCTCGACTGCCAACCGCGAGTAGACGGACGGAGACTAGACGGCGCACAGCGCATGCAGTACTACCGACATCACTCCATCACGGCGCTGCGACACGGTGTTGTCGAGAACGATTCTGTCTGCGAGATGTTGCTGCTCCCTCGTCGCTGCCACGTTCCGTCATCGCTCCTACGCTGGTTCTGCTGCTCTCCTCGATGCGCCTGCTGTCTGGAAGAAGCGCTTCGTCGTCGTCTGTCACCCCTGTCCTCGTCGACCCCGCACCCCTTGCGTTCGCAGCTTCGTCTCGCTCGCTTACGCTCGTTCAGCTCGAGATGGCCGACAGCAAACCACTGCTGGCGTCCACGACAGATCCAGAGAAGGGCGCACCGCCCGACGAGCCTTCCAAGCCGTCCATCTCGACCTTCGCCTCCGCTTCGTTGACAGACGCCTACGAACGCACGACGCGGCTCTTGCGGCAGGACAAGGTGCGGCGGATAGCGGCAGCAGTAGTACTGGGCTGCCTCTTGCTCTGGACGGTCGGGCGCGGGATCGTGGCGTCGAAAGAAGCGCGACTGCGACGGACAGCTCGCACGACGCAACGACTCGAAGGGTTCTCCGAATCGCGGCTCGTACAGGTCCCCGAGGGCTTGCGGACACACTACGACCTCCCAGTCGACGCGCTCCTCGGCAATCCTCTCCTCTCCTCCCACGAAGTCCCCGTCTGCCGCCTCAACACCTACCAGCAAGACCGCTACGCGCCGCTGTTGCCGTCGTACGGGGACGGCGGGAGACGGGCGAGGAGCGGGAAGCCGGTCCTGCCGCATGACTTGCCGAGGAACAAGCTGCGGTACTTTGTCGCCATCAACCTGTTCGACTCGGAGGACGTCTTGCCTTCGCTCATCCGGGCACTGTAAGTGTTCCCGCCGCTCGCGAATCCACTCGAGTGCTTCAAGCTGACCATGGTCTCTCGGCAGAACCGGCGTCGTCCGCTCCCTCGGCCCTTCTCGCTTTCACATCTCGATCTACGAGAATGGCTCGAAAGACGACACGCCTCTTCAGCTCTACCTCTTCGCCAAGCTCCTTCGACAACTTGGCGCGAGCTACAACATCGTCAGCGATCCACGTCGACGAGCCGGCTTCAAGGAGAACAAGCGCATCGCCGGTCTTGCGCAGGTCCGGAACCAGGTTCTGAAGCCGCTGTACGATGCGCCAAAGGGAACCTGGGACCGCGTCTTGTTCCTCAACGACGTGCACTTGTGCGAGGCAGAGATCCTCGAGATCTTGCTGCAGCACGAGGTGCAGGACGCCGACATGAGCTGCGGGATGGACTTTCAGTACCTCCGCATCCCCGATTTCGAGGCGTCGGGCTACCCGCTGCTCTTCTACGACGTCTGGGTTGCGCGGGACATGCGGGGACTGTGGGTCATGTCGTCCAAGCTAGCTCGAGCAGAACTGACCTTCCTCATTGCGATGCAGGCCCTTCTACGAGATCAAGTACCCGACCGGCGACTGGAAGCTCCCCTCGCCCATCATGCCCCAATCCCCCTCCCGCTTCCGCTACGACTCGCTCCTCCCGACCCAAGTCTTCTCCTGCTTCAACGGGATCAGCGTTCTCTCCGCCTCGCTCTTCCTCCCTCCGCACTCCCTCCGCTTCCGCACAGACGACTCGGGCAACGATGAGCACAGCGAGTGCTACCTCCTCTGCAGTGACGTCTGGAAGACGCTGTCGCCGCTCAACTCTGACGGGACGGCGAATGCGCGCGGAGGAAGGGGCGCAAGGATCCAGGTCGTCCCGCGTGCGAGCGTCGGGTACAAGGTCGAGGAGTATGAGGCGGCTAGGAAGGATCGCAATACGACGGCGTTCGAGCTGGACGGGGAGGAGAGGAGGCAGGTTTTGGGCGACGAGCTGATTGACTGGGATCCCTGGCCGCCGAAGCTCGTCACGACGTATCCTTACGGTGCGTTCCCCATCCACTCTGCCCATCACGTTCATGCTGACGACGCTGCCCCATCGCAGGCCATTGGGATGATCAGGTCCACTTCGCTCGACCTTCTCGCCGTTGCTCCTCTCGCTGACCTCCCCTCTGAGCGCAGATATCTATTCCGCCGTTTTAGCACCGCATCGTGACCCCTCGCACGCCGTACCTTCGCTGTTGTAACCATACGCATCCGCCCGCTCCGCCTCGACTTCGCCTTCTCACGCCGGGATGTCCGTGGAATCCCTCGGTGCATGCTGCTCCTGAGCCTTCTCGCCAGGCTCACGCGCGCATTCATTCACGATTGCTGCACGCGCGAGGACCTGATCCGCCTGAGTTTCTTGGGCCCTCGTACGACCGGTTGATGTCCCGCTCTCTCGCTCTATGCGTCCGCCTCGTCGCTCACCATCGTACTCTGGCTTCGGCTCTCTCCTCTCCCTTCCCTTTCTCTACTAATTTTACTCGCGGACGCTTGGACGATGGGCAAGTCGGGTCGTCGTCGTAAGTCGGGTTTGAGGAAGCCCTCCAAGGTCAAGCCTACGGATCCGCTTCCGCCCGGCACCAAGACGAAGGAGGCTTCATGCGGCAGTTGCGCGTCTCCTGCCTCGCTTAACTCGCTGCTGGACGTCGTACTAACCCCGCTCGTCGTCGTTTGGCAGGTCGAGTGCGCAAGACGAAGTGCACGAGTGGTTCGTCGTCGCCCTTCACTGCGGACTCGCTGTTCCCTCTTCAGCGCTGACCCCCTCGCTTCCGCTCGCAGACCGTCCAGCATGTGTCCAGTGCCTCAAGGCCGCCGCCGCAAAGGGCTGCGACACTTCGCTCGTTCGCTGCGTCTATTCGGCTGCGTCAGTCTTTGCGACGAGCGAGGACAGGGAGTTCGAGGCTGCGCGGGGCGGGCGGGGCGCGCAGTGCTACTGGGGTGAGGGGAGGGCGGAGGGCGGGGGCGGTGGCGATGCGGTGGCGCGAGATGAGCGCGCGGAAGAGCCGGAGGAGGAGGATGTCGCGGTGCTGCCCAGCGCGTCCGCCTCGACGACCGTCGACACGTCCGCCGAGCAGCCAGGTGCGTTCGCCGTAAACGCCCGGTCCTCGTCGAGCTCGCTGACTCCCGCCACGCAGCTCGCTCGCCGTCTCCTGCTTCGTCGATCGACACCTGCACCCTACCCTCTCGCTCACCTTCGCCGCCCGACACGCCGCCGACGTCTCCTTTCACCGCAAGGCTCGCGCCGACGCCGTTTCGCCCGCCGCCTCTACCTCTGCCCGTCTCGCCGCCTTCCATTCCCTCGGCCTTCTCAACCGGTCGACTCGCTTTCCCGCCCTCCCCTACTCGCCCAGCACTCTTCAACATCCCCGCTCGTTCAACCCTCGCAACCGCCTTCCTCGTCAACCCCGCCGACACGCTCCTCGACTCACCTCTCCCCTCACGCCTCACGCTTCGCACGCAAGTCCCGCTCGCCTTTTCCTCGACGTCGACTCCGCTCGAACCGCTCCCTTCGACGTTGGACGCGGGTTTCTGGGCGGGAGGACCGCTCTCCCACGACGAGGTCAATGAGTGGCCGGGACTGAAGCATGTTGCGAAGAGGAGCATCGGAGGCTGAGGCGAAGGGCGGTCGTCCTTGCATAGGTTCCCGTAGTCGCAGCATTCATAGCATTCACGAAAATGTAGCATGGCATGCCCCATTGATGACGGGCGAGTTGAGACGTTCGGCGAGCAACTCGAGTGCTTCTCGCTAGCCTGCTCGAGCTGGGTTGAAAGCGTCTGTCTCGCTCGCTCGGACGGACAGAAGGAATGGGAGATCAAGCGCAAGTGTTGCAGCTATTCGAAGGGGGTGGTGAAAAGGGACAACAAATGTTGGGAATCGGCGGCCGACGGGTGAAAGACGAAACTCCTCCTGGCAACTCCTCCTGCCAGCCAAGTCAAGCGACGATGCGCTTACTGGCGCTCGCCACGGAGACGGCGGGCAAGCTGGATGTCTGTGGGGTGAAGCGGGAAGGTCAGCCGCTGAAGGACGTAAGTTGCAGAGGAGATGGCGACGCACCCTTGGGCTGGATGGTAACACGCTTGGCATGGATAGCGGCAAGGTTGGTGTCTTCGAAGAGCGAGACGAGGTAGGCCTCGGCAGCCTCCTGGAGAGCCATGACGGCCGACGACTGGAAGCGGAGGTCGGTCTTGAAGTCCTGGGCGATCTCACGAACGAGACGCTGGAAGCTGTCGACGAAGAAGGCAAAGTAGAGGTCAGCGGCGAGCCCAGGCTGACGTGGGAACGAACGGCGGACGCACGGGAGCTTGCGGATGAGGAGCTCAGTCGACTTCTGGTAGCGACGAATCTCACGGAGAGCGACGGTTCCGGGGCGGTACTGTTGGCGAGAACGACGAAACGAGTCAGCACGAGGTGGAAGGGAACAAGGTGCGCGATTGGCGATGGGAAGACGCGAAGGGGAGGAGACGCACACGGTGAGGCTTCTTAACACCACCGGCGGCCGGGGCAGACTTGCGGGCGGCCTTAGCAGCGAGCTGCTTGCGAGGGGCCTTGCCACCAGTGGACTTGCGGGCGGTTTGCTGTAGAGGGAGCGTGTTTGTCAGTCGCGAAGCGGAGGCGACGGAAACGATCACAACTCCTCACCTTGGTGCGGGCCATGGTTCTGTAGGAGAGGGTTGGTAGGTTGTGAGGGTGGTGTGAAGGCGCGGGTAGTCGGAAAGTGTTCGGACGGGTGGGAAGGAAGGAGAGGGACGACGAGCCTGCGCGACGAGGTTGATCGACCGCGCGCGCGCCAAACAGTCAATACCTAGGCTCGTGCGTCTTACTAGGTCACAATAAGCCTAGTAATGCGTACATCCGCATCAATTCTCGTACGCACCTTCTAGAGCTGGCCAAACAAGGCCACTTCCCGCGCGCCTCATAACTCGTCCTCCGCCACGCTCCTCTCTCTCCCTTCTTCCCACCACCACAAGCACACCGGCCTCGCCGTCTCTTCACGCTCCTCTCTCACCTCAACCCCCCAACAACCAACTCATCAATCAGTGCGTTCCCTCCAGCTCAAACAGCGACCGAGCCGAGCTGACCTCGTCCCGCCTTTCCCGCAACAGTGTCCGGCCGTGGAAAGGGTGGCAAGGGTCTCGGAAAGGGCGGTGCCAAGCGCCACCGCAAGATCGTGCGTCCATCCATCCCTTCGAGCGCTCGTAGCAGACGACGGGGAAGCTGACCTCCACTTTGCTCGTCCCGCCGAACAGTTGCGTGACAACATCCAGGGTATCACCAAGCCCGCCATCCGCCGTCTCGCTCGCCGTGGTGGTGTCAAGCGTATCTCTGGCCTCATCTACGAGGAGACCCGTGGCGTCCTCAAGATCTTCCTCGAGAACATCATCCGCGACTCGGTTACCTACACCGAGCACGCCAAGCGCAAGACGGTCACCTCGCTCGACGTCGTCTACGCCCTCAAGCGCGCCGGCAAGACCCTCTACGGTTTCGGCCAGTAAACCCGTCGTCGCCCGCTCGACAGCCACCCTCTTTCGACTTTCTTCCCGACCCAACACTTGTTGTCCCACCCTTTTTACCCCATAGCTGCAAGACTGCGCTGTTTCCCACCCCATCCAAGCGCCCGAGCGAGTCTGAGAGAGCAAGTCTTCCGCGCTGATGAGAAAAGCGGGCGAGTGAGCCGCTGTCCCGCAAGGCAGCCGGAGCCGCTTGGGCGACGCAGGGTGACAGCGGGAAGCGAGCGAGATGTCCAGCGCGAGCGGCGAAGCGGTGATGAGCGAGGTGAGGGGAGTGGAAGAGGAGAAGGCGAGCGGAAGTGTCGGTCTGTCAACTCGCAACCGTCGACCTGGGCTGCTCCATCACTACGAGGACAGTATTCTGGGTGCAGGCAAGCGTACGCAGGGCCACGTGAGGCCTTGCGGAGGAGGAAAGGGCAATTCTTCCTTTGCGCGAGCGGAAAGTCGTCTCTCGGTGTCGTGTGCGAGTACGAGAGATGCGTTGCAACAAGCGAGAACAACAGAACGACCTATGCTACAGACACAACAAGCCATTCAAGCGCGCCCGACCTCGCCGCCTACTCCCTCTCATCCCTCTCGTCCTCATCCAACGACTCGCTGATGCTCAACCTCGACATCCTCCTCCTCCCGAGCGCCGCGCCACCCGGCGACTCGCTATACGGTCTCGGGATCGGGCTGGTCCTCGAGCTTGGCGAAGGCGGGGAGTCGCGCCGCTGTTCTTCGGGCGAGGCAGAGCGCGGCGGCGTACGAGCGGGCGACGGGAGGCGTCCGAGGATCTCGGAGGGGGTCTTCTCACCCGAGAGGGAGGGGAGTGCCCAAGGCGCGACGGTTCCCTCGCTCGTGACGCGCTGATTGAGCATCTCGTCCAACTGCTTCTTCTCCTCGTCGTCGAGCCCGTCGCCCGAGCTCGGGAGGACCTCGGCGGTTCCCGCACGGATCCAGCGGAAGAAAGGTCCGAAGTGAAGGTGCTGGATGACGGGGAGGCGGTGGAGGACTTCGGCGCGGTAGAGGCGCCAGAGGCCGTCGGGCTCGTCGCCGTTCGACGTGGCGGGGGAGGTCGAGCCGGCGTTGATGTGGAGAAGGGTCGTGAGGAAGAGGTAGGAAATATGTTGCGGGCTGAGCGAGGGAGTCGAGAGGAGCGAGACGGGGCGCTTCGAGGGGTGGACTGCGTGCAGGACGGGTAAGTAAGCGCCAACTCGCGGCAGGACTGACGAATGTGCGTAAACTCACTGCGCTTCTGCGACGCGCCCCATTCGTAGACGAGGTGACCGTTCTCGACTCCCCAGATTCCCATCTTGGCCGCCTCGCGCAGCCTGAACGCCTTGACGACCTGCTTCATGAGGTCAAAGTAGGCGGGGAAAACGAGCTTGGCGATGGCGGGCTCGTCCTCGGCGCTGATGACGCCCGAGAGGCGGAGAATGAGGAGGTAGGCGAGGAAGGACAGCTCGTGGCCGGTTCCGTAATCGAGGCGTTGTGGAGATCCGAACGACGAGCGGAACTGGAAGCGAAGCTCGGGGAGGGCGGACGAGAGCGACGAGTCGACGAGGTCGGCGTGGACGAGGTTGGCAGTCTCTTCTGCGCGGTCGAGCCAGCGCTGGAAGCCAAGGTTCGACTCTCGCTCGACCCCGCTGCCGTTCTGCTCGGCTGTGAGGGACGCAGAGAGCTGTTTGAGCAAGTCGAGGACGAGTCCGGCGTTCTGCGGAGCAAGCAGAGAGAGTCAGCGTCTGTTCTGCGTGAAGTCGGGTGGGAGCGGGAGAGACGCACCTGGCTCTGCGAGTGCGGCGCCTCGTGCGAGCTTGCGGCCCTCAACCTCGCGATGAATGCCTCGACGTTGGCGTAAGCCTCGCTGGCGAGCCAGTGCGGCATGTCTTCCTCAGCATAGATCTTGCGAGTCGGGCGGGGAGAGCGCCCGTGAGGAGTTGGCGGGACGAGCAGCTCGGGCAGTGCGGTCATTGAGAGTGTGTGAGTGACAAGCAGGAGTCCAAGCGAGCAACGGAGTGAGAGAGCGAGAGAGTGAGCGGGTCGAGGAAGCGGTCGAAGTCCAGCGGGTGCAGGCGAAGATGTGCGGTGGTGTGAGACGAGCTGACTAAGCTTGTCCAGACGAGCAGTAATGCACTCACACGCACCGCAACACGCCACTCGAGCAAGCAGCAACTCACCCGAGCCAACCTTCGCCTCCTCATCTTTTCGACGCGACCAACTCGCTCTCACAGCTCAGACAGGCTCAGACTGCACGCTATGCCCATCGCAAGCGACCCTAGCAGCGACACCGAGTCGCCCGACGACGAACAAGCTGTCCCCATGCTCGCCTGCCATCGCCTCTCACCTCGTCCTTGCGTAAACCAGGCTCTCGTGGAAGAGCTGAAACCGCTGCGGGAGTTCCGCTTCCTGCGGTACGGCAGTGCGTGCATCGAGCGTCGCAGAACGAGGAAGGAGCGGCTGTTCTGACGCTGCGAAATGCTCCAGCCCATGCGAAAGAGTCTATCTCCTACGCTACCGCCGTGTCCTGCATCATCGGCACACCCTTCAAGATCGAAACGGTTGAGCAGGCGGCCAAGATACCCAAGGTACGTGGACAGGCGCCGCGAGGCGAAGAAGAAGGCTGACCCTCTTCCGCAGGTCGGCGAGAAACTCACGCTCAAGATACAGGAGTTCCTCGAGTACGGGTTCATCAAGGAGTCGCGTGTGTCTCAGGTCTCTCCAAGTCAGCTAAAGTGTGTGGCTGACAAGAGAAACGGCGACACAGGCGAAGTGCAGCAGTCGGAGCGCTACAGGGTCCTCAAGCTCCTCACCTCCGTCCACGACGTCGGCAAGCTTCATTCTCCTTGACTCACGCTCGGCACGTGCTTGACTCGCGCGGACGACTCCAGGATACGCCAAAGCGAACGAGCTGTACGAGCGAGGCGTCCGAACGCTCGAAGACCTCCGGCGTGCGATGAACCGCAAGCGCATCGATTCGTACCTCAAGTACTACGACGACTTGCAGGAGAAGTGCGTCCCCTTACCTCACTTCCCTGGCACAGCGCTGACGGGAAGGAGCAGGATCCCGCGCAGCGAAGTTGAGAGTATCCTTGCGTTCGTCGAGTTGCAGCTCAACAGGATCAAGCCGGGCTTCAAGACGCTTCTTTGTGGAGGGTGACTCTGCACCGTTCCTTCTCTCGAAGCCTGCGCTGACGACCACGCACAAGGTACCGCCGCGGCAAGGAGTTCTCGAACGATGTCGACATCTTGATCACGTATCCTCACCGAGACGGCGAGGAGCGTGGAGTGCTTCAGGCTCTCGTCGAGCGCATGCAGCAGAAGAGTGCGTTCAACGCTTTCCTTCCCTCACAACTTCGAGCTAAACCAGCTTCGCGCAGACCTCATCCCCGAAGACGGCATCCTAACCCTCACAACCTGCGGCACAGACCGCATAATTACCCCGAACCGCTCCGCAACGCTCCTCGACGCACTCGACAAAGCCCTGATCATCTTCCGTCACCCCGCGAACGGGACGACACGGGTGAGGGACAAGTACAGGAGGGTGGATTTGGTGGTTACGACTTGGAGGGAGTGGGGGAGCGCGGTGGTGGGCTGGACGGGGAGTACGCAGTTTGAGAGGGACTTGAGGAGGCATGCGAAGAGGATGTGCGTTCGGACTTGGGCTCTGCTCTTCTCCCTCGCTAACGATGGGCGCGCCAGCTGACTGCTTCTGAGTGCAGCGACCTCAAATTTGATTCGGGCGGAATTCGTGATCGCACGACGGACGAGCCTGTCGAAGCGGTCACGGAGAAGGACGTCTTCCGCGTTCTCGGGCTCGACTACATCCCGTCCGTCCCGCTTTTCTTCTCTCGCCGTGCTGTCCTCACTCACATTGGGTTCTATGCAGCCCGGAGATGCGCAATGCGGACCCGTAAGAACTGCGCAGTCGCTTCTCCTCCAACCTCGCCGTCTAGCTTCACCTCTGCTGTTCGCCTGGAGCCGTACATACTGTTGCTTGTAATTCCATCGTACATCGTTTGTCTCGTCTTACGAGTCCCACGAGAGCGTCGCACCCTTTCTCCTCTCCTCGTCTCGTCCCAACTCCCGCTCAGGCTCTCGCTCACTCTGCTCACCCGCTCAAGCAGACAGCAATGAGCGACCCAGCCGACAACCCCTTCCACGAAGAAGCGCTCACCGACGACCCCGCTCGCCCATCCAGCTCTCCTCCCTCTCACACAACCGACCCCACCTCATCATCGCACATCGCGTCCTCGCCGCCAACTTCACCAGGGGGGTTCGCAGCGCGCTCAGACGACGACGCACCGCTCTCTTCTGCACCTGCAGCGACTGCGTACCCGTTCTCGGCGGAACCGTACCCGCAGGACGGCGATCGAGGAGGAGAGGGAGTGACGAGTCCGCCGCTGCCGCAGGTGCCAGCAGGGGAGGCGCAGGAGGCGCACGAGGAAGACGAGCGGAAGAAGAAGGCGCAGCAGCAGAGGGTGTATCAGAGGCCGGCGAGGGATGCGATTCAGGTCCGTTCGCTTCCACTCGCTGTTCGAGGTAGAGCGGCTGGCTAGATCAGGCTGTCTGTCTCGTCCATGCTGTAGAGAGCCTGACATGTTCGTGGACATTGCTGCAGATTGTCGACGCGCTCAAGACGAGCGAAGGCGCAAGCACGCCCTACATTGTCTATTGCATCGTCTTCGAGGTGCGCTTCCCCTTGCTCAATGCCTTCCATTGTTCCTGACTGAGCGTGCGCACTTGCACAGACCCGAGAAGTGCGGCGACGCTACTCGGACTTCGTTTCGCTGCGACAAGCTCTTGCGACTCTCCACCCGTGCTTCATCGTCCCTCCGCTTCCTCCCAAGAACAGCCTCTCATCCTACGCCATCGCCGGTGCCAACCCCGCCAAAGCGAAAGAAGACGCCGCTCTCATCGCTCGGCGACGGCGCATGCTCTCGACTTTCCTCAACCGCACGCTCGAGCACCCCGTTCTCGGCCAGGAGCGCGTCTTCAGGCGCTTCCTCGACCCCGAAACGCCCTGGCACGACGTCCTCCACTCTCCTCCCGTCACGCTCGTCCCGAAGAACCCTCTCAAAGCGCCTGCGAACGACCCAACAAACGCAGAGATGCTCGCCCTCTTCGCCTCCTTGCCCATCCCCAGCTCCTCCGCGACGCTCCAACACCCCGACCAGCGTTTCCTCGACAGCGAAGTCTTCACGAGCAAGTTCTCGTCGCACCTTGCCGGGTCGATGGAGAAGGTCAATCGGAGACTGATGAAGCGGTGGACGGAGGCGGCGGGCGATTGGGGAGAGATGGGTGGCGGACTGAATGGGTTTGCGTTGAGGATGGGCGAGGATGGGTCCGGCGGGCTGGACGAGGCGACGGAGAAAGTGGGAATGGCGGTTGATGCGGGCTACACGCTCACGAACACGATGGTGCGTCTACGTGGTCCACTTTCAGCAGTTTCTCGCTGACCTCTTGAACCCACAGCTCAAGCACTGGGAGCAAGACTTCACCGAGCCGCTGCAAGAGTACACGCAGTTCTCCAACATCATCAAGAGCCTGCTCAAGTACCGCCACAACAAGCATCTTCAGTACGAAGCGGCGCGCGAGCTGCTCGAGTCGAAGCGCGCGACGCTCGAGGAGCTGGAACGGAGCGAGCTCGAGGCCCAGCGGCTCGAGAAGGCGCTCGAGCGGGTACGGATCGTCACGGAGGATGGCGGGTCAGACAGGGCTGTCTCGCCGCCGAGCGGGTCGAGTCCGGTCGGTGCAGCGGCGGAGTCGGGTGCGCAGGCGCCTCTGCCTCCTCTGCCAAGCTCGAGCGGGTCGTTGGCGCCGCAGCCGGCGAAGCGCGGCGGTGGACTCGTCAGCGCCCTCAAGCACTCGGTCAAGGGGTTGGTCGACTCTGATCCTGAGTCGACGCGGCGGAGCACTATCAGCAAGACGCGCGAGCAGATCAACCAGGTGCGCTGCGCGCATTCCGACCTCTCTCATCCGATGCTAACGTGCGTCTGCCATGACAGCTCGACGACGCCATCAAAGCCTTGACGGGCGACCTCCGCTTCGCCTCCGTCACCATCCAGTCCGACCTCGACCGCTTCCAGCGACAAAAGGTCGGCGACATCCGCGAGATGTGCCTCGACTTTGCCAACTTCCACAAAGAGTGGGCGTCGAAGGTGCGTTCGGCCTCGCTTGCTGCGGTCGTCCTCCACCCTGACCCGCTTGTGCTCGCAGAACCTCGCGATGTGGGAGGAAGCGAAGGCTGCGATTGATGCCATCGTCGACGACGAGTAGGCATTCTCTGTACCGACTAGCCCTTTCTTGACGAGACGTTGTGCTGTATGTAACGATTCACGCTGCTGGTTGGCCTTCAGTCTGTGCGAGTGGTACGAATGCAAGGTACAGGAACAGAGGGACATGCTACATAGCGGAAGCGAATGCGGTACAGAGTGCTCCAGGTGGATATGCGTGCGAAAGATGAGAGGAACAGATGAAAACCTAAGCGAGCGACTTGATCCCCTCCGTCCTGTCGGCCACCTCCTTGACCGAGTGCAGAGCGCGATGCATGTCGCCCATGACGCCGTGAAGCGTCTTTTCCAACCCCTTCAAGACTCGTCCCAGCTCCTCCACCTCTCCTGCCAGTCCTCCGCCCGTCGCGCCCGCAACCCGCTTGGTGTGCAGGTCGTTGAACTCGCTCAAGACGCGCGAGACGGCGGCAGACACCTCGCCTGGGTGGCCGATCCGGACGGAGCGGGCGATGGCGGCTTGTTTGCGGAGGGATATGAGGGTGAAGAGGTTCGTAAGGGCGAGGATGGCGACGAGGATGGCGAGTGCCACCATTGGTAGCGACATCTCGGGGAGAGAGTCGAGGATCGAGCCGAGGAAGCCGCCAGAGGGCTGAGCAGGCTTTGCCTCCGTCGCAGCCGTGTCCGTCGCCTTGACCTCGGGCGCAGCCGACTTCGACTCCGCCGCGGACGGTGCGCCGCCAGCGACGCCGTACTCGTCGGGGTGAGCAGCGATGTAGTCGCGGACCATCGTTTCGAGGTCGCGGTGGTAGCTCTTCTGGCCGTCGACTGCGCCGCGCTCGATGACACCGCGGAGGAAGCGGTTGACCTTAGTCCACTCGACTTCGGTCGTGACGCGGACCCGGCAGCAGCCTCCTTCAGCCCAGGTGAACACCGAGCGGGTCACGGTGGAGAAGTCGTTGCCGGAGGGGACGTCCTGCGGACACCGACCTATTCGTACATCAGCTCACTGTCTTGACTTGACGAGCGAAACGCTGCCGAGAGACGCCTGACGCACCGGAGTCTTCGTGACCGTGAGATTCGAAAAGTACGAGTCCTCGTCGAGCTTCTCGTTCGTGTCGGTGATGGCACAATGCGTCTGCTTCGGGCCGACCGGTGCGTTGAGCGGCTTGACGTAGGTCATCTCGCGCTTCTTGAGGTCGCCCTCGGCGAGAGCTTGCCATTCGCCGATTTCAACGTCTGCGCGGACGTCCGGGGGTTAGCCCGAGCGGGAGCGAATGGTGAGCCTTGTACGTACCTCGCAAGTTTTCCTTCTCGGTCATGAAGTTGCGCAGGAAGTCGGCGTCGAGGAAGAACAATTTGAACGCCTTGTCGGGCGACGTAGGCCTGCCCGAGCGAGTGTCAGCACGCTTGTCACGGCAAGTAGCGGTTCTCGAGCGTACAGGATCGTGTCGAGCGCCTCGTTCTTGTACTCAGGACCGGTGTACTCCGTTGGCGCATGCGTGTCCACCCCAGCGGAAGCAGCCTGCGCCTGCGCCTTGATCTTCTCCGCCTCTGTCGGTCCTGCCGAAGTCGATGCAGACGCAGATCCAGCCGAAACCGACGCCGAGCGGTCACGACCAATGTTGAACCCCAACGCCGCAAGCCCCGACCGCAACTTGAACCGATGGCGCTTCTTGTGCCCGTGCTCGTCTTCGAACGAGATCTCGCTCTTGCTGTCCTCGTCGTGTCCGTCGTCGTTGTCGGTATCCGAGTCGTGGTCAGCCATCCCAGCCGGGTTGGGGGCGCTCTTCGCGCTCCTCAAGCTCGAGACCGTGAAAGCCCTGCGCCGCTTCCGTTCCTCCTGCCGCTCCGCACGGGCTTTTGCGCGGTACTCGTCCGCTTCGGGGTGTACGTGTCGCCAGACAGCGACGAGGAGGGCGTAGGCTGCGTCGCGCGAGAGGAAGGAGGCGAAGGTGTGCGTTGCGTGGAGCGTGCGGACTTCGATCGCGTTTGGGACAATCTTGGCCGTGAAACGCTTCTCGATGCTGATGATCTCGCTCCAGGGGATTTGCAAGGAGGTCTCCCACCCTGCAGGTGAAAGAGTCAGTTCCGCTAGGTTCTGGTCATCGAGTCCCGCATTGCCAAGCAGCGACAACACGTCGAGGATCACCGCCTTCTGCACGCATCGCAACGTTGCCGGATCAAGATGACTCACCGAGAATGTTGGCACGGAACGAGAGGAAGTGTTCCGAGACGAAGAGCCGGCCTTGCACGAGAATGTCGCGCTGGAGAGCGCAGCGGTAGTCTGCGCGAGCGAAGTTGCCAGCTGTAGCTTTAGTTGTCGAGAGTCGGGAGGAGCGCACCTTCGATAAGCTCCTCGTCGTCCGGGATCTCCTTGAAGAGCGAGTGGAACTTCTCGTTTGTCGTGCGAGGCTGCCCGAGGAGTCCCATCAGCGCAGACCACCGCAACGAGAGAAGCTGAAAGCTCACATCCACGTCGTGCGACTCAAGGATCTTGTCGCGGACGCTCGTCGTCGTACTCGCGTTCGCTCCCGCAGGAGGAGGGGCCAATCCCGCTCCCTGGCTATTGGCGACCGGTACGTCGCGCAACGACGTCGTGGGCGTACCACCGCCAGACGGGCCGATGTCGGTCGGGACGGGCGTGCCTTCGAAGTCGGTAATGACGCGGGTAACAACGGGTTTGATGGGCGCCGGGGGCGGAGCGTCGCCATCGTCTGGAACGTCGAAGCCGACCGTCGATTTGGCTCCAATTGAGCGACTCCTCGCACGGATCGAACCGGCCGCCGAACTCGCGGCGGAATCGGCGCGGTCCCTCGTTGACGACGAGGTGATAGACGACGCCGCCGAGTCCCTCACGTCCTTGGCCTTCTCCTTGATACTCGCCACGCCAACCTTGACCTTCTTAAGCCACTTCGACTGGCCCGACGCCTTGTCAGTCCTGACGTCTCCTCCCTCGTCGTCTCCGTCGTCCGCATCCTCGATAGTCGCGCCACCCCTACTCCCCTCCGGCCCGACTTCCCTCGTAGCTTCATCCTCCGGCTCCTTCACCTTCTTCACTCTCGCAATCCATTCAGGCCTGAGGCCCGACGCCTCGCCCACCACGCCCTCCGCACCTCCCATGACCGGCGGCGCATTCAAGTGCGTGAGCTCCTCGTTCCCGGGCCTGCCAAGTCCATGCGTCGTGTTCTGCGCAGGAGAAGGGTCGAGCGTCGTGATCGTCTCGGAAGCTGTGTCCTTGACGACGTGAGGCGGAGGAATAGGCGAAGGTTCGTGAGTGAGCGGTCGACCGACTCCTTCGTCCGCTGCGCCCGGCTGGTTCGTCGCGATAGGTGCGAGAGTAGGTGCTGAGCCAGTCTGGCCAGTCGTCGTCTGCCCTGGAGCCGTCGTCGTTGTCGCTCGCTCGTTTGTCGTTGGGCTGTGGGGGGGAGAGACGAGCACTGGCTCGCTCGCGTCTGAGGACGCCGTGGTCGGCCGGCTGTCTGTAGCAGCCATTCTCCGAATGCAAGCAAGCTGTCACGAAGCAAGCAAAGCCCAGCCAGAGAGGAGGCAGCGAACGGCGAAGGACAAGTCGCGGATGACGAGGGTCGCAGCACGAGGGTTCTCAGCGAGTAACAAGCTGACGACGTGGTATAGCAACGGCTTTTGGTTGAGGAGACAACTACAGAAGGCGATCACTCGGGCTTGGAGAGGAAGCGGACGGTGCGGTCGATGCCGGCGACGACGAGCTCCTTCGAGTCCTTGCCCCACTGGACGCTCGTCAACTCGGCGGCATTGTCGTCGTTCTTGGCCAAGAGCTCCCACGTCTTGTTCTGGTACACGCGGGCGTCCTGTCCGACAACAGCGAGGAACTGCGCCGAGTAGTCGAACGCGACAGCCGATGCGGCCGCGTTCTCGTCCTCAGCACCGAGATCGATGTTGGCCGAGTTGACCAACTTGCGGAGGTCCCAGATCTTGACTTGCTTCGATCCCTGCGCGGCGCTGGCGAAGAGGTACCCGTTCTCCGAGAACGAGAGCGAGACGACCTCCTTGACTGCGTCCGATTCGCCGGCGTGCCCTTCGAACGACGCGGCGAGGCGGCCCGTCAGAGTCTCAAAGATGCGGATGCGCGATTCGGACGAGCCGACGCCGAAGAGGACGCCGTCCGGGTGGAACGCGACAGCCGTGTTGGCGGTTCCGGCTGCGGCGTCCTCCGGCAACGAGGCGGTGAGGACGGTGTGGGGCTTGTCCCCGGCGACGAGGTCATGGATCGCGAACGAGCCGTCGGCGTGAACCGAGGCGACGAGCGAGTTGGACGGGTGCATCGCGAGCTGGTTGACCTCGCTTCCGAGCGCAAGGTTCGCCTGGCACTCGTAGACTGTCTTCTTGCCGTTGGGCTTCCAGATGCGCACGGACTTGTCGAGCGACGACGAGACGAGGAACGTGGGGATGCCTTCCTCGGTCAGGCTGGGCGAGGCGAGGACCGACGTGACCTTCTTCGTGTGGCCCTTGAGCGTCGCGACAATCTTGCCCGTCGAGCGGTCGTACAGGATGACGTTCTTGTCGAGGCTGGGTGACGCCAAAAGTTCGCCACAGCGGTAGTAGCGAAATGTCAGTCTCTTTCCCTCCGCAACGAGCGATCGAACCGGCACGTACCCGCCAGTAACCAACAAGTTCCCTTCCTTCGCAAGCGCGAGCGCCGAGATACCGGGAGGCTTGGTCGAGTGAAGGGAGGGGATGGTAGTGCTCTGGGCGTAGGTCTTGACGTCGTCCGGGGTGGCGCATTCGGGAGAGGGCTTGCGCTTCTTGCGGGTTGCCGAGAGTCTGCGTGTGGAACAGATCAGTGAGCCACCCTTCTGCATAGACTGTGCGCGGCCTCGCATGGCGTGGCAAGGCGAAGAGACCGAGACTCACGCCGCACTCGTCTCCTCGACCCGCTTCCTCGCGTCCGCCGGCAGTCCCTCAGGCTCCTGCTGCTCGACCTCCATCTGCGCATCCTCCGCGCCCGCTCCATCGCCCGTCGAGAACTGCGGTCCCAGCGTGGCCTTGACACTCGCCAGCGCCTCGCGCGCCTCGTCCCTCTCCCTCGTCACGCGCGCAAGCACACGCATCGCGGCGTCCTCCTTGTACAGCGCGTGAGAGAGCTCTTGTCGCAGCTCGGCAGACTGGCGGCGCAGCTCGAGGCATTCGAGCATCGTCGAGTCCCATTCTTGCTGGAGCGTGTGGAGGAGCGAGGGGACGGAGGTGAAGGTGGGTGCGCGAGGGGGCGCCGCGGGCTGCGAGGGGGCTGCAGGAGGAATAGTCGCTTGTCAGTCTGTCTTCGACTGGAGCACCAATCCTTGCACCGAGCAAGCGTGTCGACCCTGAGTGTCAAGGTCGACTTCGCTCGCGCCTCGCTCGGCCAGCCCGCCAGACAAGCTCAGAGACTCGCACTCACCCGTCTTGATCTCGACAAGCTGGTCCTCCGCCAGCTGGTCGCCGGTGATGGGGTCCTTGCCGTCGTTCTCGCGGAGGTACTTGACGACGAGGTCGCGCTCGTAGACGTTGCCTGCGGGGGAGACGACGGGGTGGAGGGGCTGTACGGACGAGATGGAGCAGAAGAGCGACATGGCCGGGTCTGTCCTGCGCGTGTCTGGGGTGCGGAGGTGGTCGAGGGTGGTGGAGGGTTGACGGAGGGGGAGGGAGAAGTCGGCGGATGCGGCGGATGCGTTCGCTCCTAGCGAGATGCAGGCGAGTGCTCTAGCTGTGCAACCGATAGCAAGCACGCGGGCAGCACGCAAGACGGGACCGAGGAGGGCGGAGGAGACAGATTACAAAGTCTGATTAGGCGCGCGTTGTAATGGTGAATGAATACAACTCACGAATACAATCGATTGTATTGGCACGTTGTATTCAGCTGCCGCGCCTCTCCGCTCTCGAGCTCAGGCTCGCCGACCTGTCGACTCGCTGTCACCGCTTGCCAGGAGCTTGTTCTGCGCCAGATTCGCACGCTAGGACTCGCACTCGAGCTACCCAAGCCGCGACGCTTTCCTCCGGCCGCGCGACACACATTTCTCGACCCGCCCTCTCTCCCAGTCCTCATCACCCCGTCTCATACCCTCGCACACCATGTTGGTCCTCTACGAGTCGGCAGTCGGTCTCGCTCTCTTCAAGATCAAGGACTCCAAGGTCGAGGGCAAGCAGGATGAGCTCGCAAAGGAGTTTGAGACCCCAGAGGGCGCCAACAACCTGTCAGTCGCAGCGCTCGCTCTCTGAACGGCTTGCTCCGTGTTGGATGTCGGCCAGAAAGATTGTTGGGAAGTATGGCTACGGCTGGACGAAGCGGCGGAAGAAGGGCGGATTGAGAGGGCGGACGGCGGTGCAGTCGGGTCGTGACATGGGTACACTGCCGGAGGAAACGACACCGCTGACACGATGCCGCCCACAGCGTCAAGCTCCAGGCGATCCACCGCTTCACGTCGACCGCGTCGGCCGTCGAGGACATGACTGCCATCGGCGAGGGCAAGCTGTCCAAGTCGCTCAAGAAGTTCCTCACGGACGAGATCTCGGGCAACAAGAAGCTCAAGAACGAGAAGCTCGCCGTCTCTGAGCCCAAGCTAGGCGGCGCGATCGCCAAGAAGCTCGAAATCAACGTCGTCTCGGACTCGTCCGTCAACGAGCTGTACCGCGGAATCCGCCAGCAGCTCTCGTCGCTCCTCGGCGACGTCGACCCGCGCGACCTCGCGACCATGGAGCTTGGTCTCTCGCACTCGCTGTCGCGCTACAAGCTCAAGTTCTCCCCCGACAAGGTCGACACCATGATTGTCCAGGCCATTGCTCTCCTCGACGACCTCGACAAGGAGATCAACATCTACTCGATGCGCGTCAAGGAGTGGTACGGCTGGCACTTCCCCGAGATGGGCAAGATCATCACCGAGAACATCACCTACGCCAAGGTCGTCAAGGCCATGGGCTTCCGCACCAACTACGCCACGACCGACTTCTCCCACGTCCTCCCCGAGGAACTCGAGGAGACGCTCAAGTCGGCCGCGGCCGTCTCGATGGGTACCGAGATCTCGGACCAGGACCTCGCCCACATCCACCTCCTCGCCGACCAGGTCATCTCGATCACCCAGTACCGCACCGAGCTGTACGAGTACCTCCGCAACCGCATGGCCGCCATCGCGCCCAACCTCACCGCTCTCGTCGGCGAGCTCGTCGGAGCGCGCTTGATCGCCCACGCCGGCTCGCTCGTCTCGCTCGCCAAGCAGCCCGCCTCGACCATCCAGATTCTCGGTGCCGAGAAGGCCTTGTTCCGCGCACTGAAGTGAGTCTGCGCTGCATGCTGACGTGCTTGCCGTGGACCGACGCGAGCGAATCGCTGACGATCTTCCGTTCTCCCTCCTCTTTCTCCTCCGACTCCGCCTTTCCGCCACACTTTCGCATGCACGCCATGCCGCTGCCTCTGTCTCGCTGTCTCGCCTTCTCGCCGCAGGACCAAGCACGACACCCCCAAGTACGGCTTGATCTTCCACGCCAGCTTGGTCGGACAGGCTCCCACGAAGCTCAAGGGCAAGATGGCGCGCATGGTCGCCACCAAGACCGCCCTCTCGGTCCGCCTGGACGCCCTTGCGGACGCCGACTCGAAGAGTTCGGTCGAGTCGGCGACGATCGGTATCGACAACCGCGTCAAGCTCGAGGCTCGCCTGCGGCAACGTGAGTCACTTTCGATCTTTTCGCCCGCCCTTCCCTCGTGACTGACAACTCTCGCCCTCGCTCCGCAGTCGAGGCCGGCGCCGGCTTCTCCTCTCTCCGCGCACAAGCCAAGCTTAACGGCGGCGAGAAGCAAAAGCGCTTCGACATGAAGGGCAACGGCGCGTCGTACTCGACTGGCGCCGACAGCGTCACGCTCATCTCGACTGGCGTTGAGGCGGCGCCGGGAGCGGATGAGGGCGTTGAGAAGATGGTTGTTGCGGACGAGGTTGAGGGCGAGGTGCGTTTTCCAATCTTGTCCTTCTTTTCCGCGAGCTTATACTGACGGTCGCCGTGCGCACAGACTGAGGAGCAGCGAAAGAAGCGCGAGAAGAAGGAGAAGAAGGAGCGCCGAAAGTCGGAGAAGGCGGCGGGCGGCGCGGACGAGGCGACTGGCGAGACGGAGGAGGAGCGGGCGGCGCGCAAGAAGGCTAAGAAGGAGAAGAAGCGTGCGCGCGAGGAGGAGGACGGCTCGCCGAAGAAAAAGTCCAAGAAGTCGAAGACTCGGGACGAGTAGGCGGTTTGGCGGCGCTTGTATACTTCTCCCCTCGTAGCTTTCTGCTGGCGGACATGTTGGCTGGCCCGGCCGCCGTGTCCGTCGTGTTCTTTTACTCTAGATTCTCTCCATCCACGTGGCGAGTGCGCGAGTGAGAAGTGATACAAAAGATCCGTAATACAACAGATCCTCGTTGCAAGGGTCAAGTCGCCAGCGCAGGCAAACTCGCCCGACATACGGGACAGATCGCCCTGACCATCATCCACTGCTCGAGGCATTCGGTATGCACGACGTGCCCACACGGCGTGATCGCGAAAGCCATCCTGACCTCGTCCTCCTTGCCCTGCGCGACGTCGTCCTTCGTCGGCAACACCTGGATCGGCGAGAGACAGATCGGACAGTCGGGTTCGGGCGCAACCTTCGCGTGCGAGTCGTGTGAGGCTTTGTCGCCTCCGCCAATTTCGAGTTCTTGCGAGGCGAGGTCGGCGAGAAGTGCAGGCGGGAGTTCGCGAGGGTGGTAGTTCCAGCTCGAGATGGAAGGCAGCTCGAGTGTCGTGATGAGCGGGTCGGGGAGGAAGAAGCGAGCGCCGCCGCCTGTCGTGGCTGAGGAGAAGAAGGGAAGGCGGAGAAGGATGCGAGTAGCGGGAGATGTCGGCGTCGAGAAGAGCGACTGGAGGACGAGGATGGTTGCTTGGGCGACGGAGTAGGCGGCGAGGTACCAGACCTTGGCTGTACAAAGAGGGTCTTCACCGGATCAGTACGCCAATCCATCGAGGCAGAGTCGAGTCCGAAGTGACGCAAGATCACAACGCACGTGTTGGCTCGACCAGCAAGCAATTGCCCTCGTACGCCCAGAAGTACAACGGCGGGAACAGCCGCGCGACTGTCGTTCCGATGACGAATTCGTTAGCGAGCGACTGCCTCGCCGTGCCGCGATGAACGTTGAGCACGATTTGCGGGACTGTCAAGCGAAGTCAGCGGCGTGAGGGGATGAAGGGGCGAGAGTAGACGTACTCCAGTTCGAGTAGACGATCCAGAGGATGAAAGGCGTCCAGCCACGCATGAGCAGTGAGACTGCGAAGTAGGCGACCACGCCGAGCGAGACAGCTGCAGGCCCACAAACCGTCAGCCGCGAGTAAGCTCGTCAAGAAGAATTGCGCGCACCGAGAATCGTGTCCCGTCTCCGCCACTGCGCAACCTGCCGCCTCGCCCACCTCACAACCACTCCTTCGCGCTCATCGCTCGCATCTCCCGTCGTCGTACCCGCCTCACCGCTTTCTGCCGCGGCAGCGGTCTGTGAGGGCTCGGTGCGAGCAGCGGCAGGTCGATCGGGTGTTCCTTCGCGGATGAGGGCGATGTACCGCGTGCCGAAGAGGAGGGATGAGAGGAGGGCGAGGAAGGCGGCGCCGAGGAGGGGGAGGGTGGCGCGAGATTCTGCGAGTATTGCGAAGAGATACGTAAGTCACCGGCGTAGATCTGCAGCCAGAAGTCTGCCTTTCGCACGGCAGGCAGGCAGACTTCGAGCAGCGCTGCAAAGGACGACGCACCAGTGACAATCCCGATCGTGAGCAGCGTCACGAATACATACGCGTCGACGATGCAGTTTCCCGCAATACTCTGCGGCGCAACATTTGCGACCGTTCCAGGCCTTCTCGACACGCGTTCGAGCTGCCTGACCATCAAGACGAGCACCGCGGCATGCGCGAGAAGTAGCCAGCCCGCGAAGCGAGTTGCCGAGTCCCATAGCTCGGAGGTTTGGGAGAGAACGGCTGACGGGACGGAGAGGACGAGGCCGCAATTGGGTGAGGAAAGGATGGCGGAGAAGGTTGATTGGGAGGGTTGGGCGATGGAGGATCCGGTGGGGTGGAAGAGCGAGGAATACCATTCTGCGTATTGCGTTGGCGTGTACGAGGCGGGAAGCGGAGAGAGGGCGCCGTAGAGGGAGAAGATGCACTGCGAGATGGACGGGTCCGCTTCGCCCGGCTCGCTCGACGAGGGTATCTCGATCCGGTCTGCTTCGGCGAGGTCTTTGACGCCTTTGTCAAGTCGACGAGTGTACTCTTTAAGCACTGTGTGGCCGATGGCGCTTGCTGTTCGGTTCGGCGAGGGCGAGGAAGAGGACATGAGCGGGAGCGAGATGGCATCGACCATGTGCGTGCGAACGAAGGATGGCGTTGCGTAGCCATAGACGCGTCCGCTCGATAGAAGGCTGCGGAGGAGTGGATTAGTCACAGACCTCACAAGGTGGGGGTTGAGTAGGAGCGCACTGAATAGCCTCGATATCGAGCTCGAGCGACTCCTCCTCGTTTACGCCCTTCTCGTCCCGCACACTCAGCGTCAGCTGCCCTCCAACGTACACCGCCGGACCCTCCTTCTCCCAATCCTGCCAAGTGGCCGGATCATCCTGCCTCATCCGCAGCAGCTCTCCCTCGTCCACCAATGTTGGGTTGGAGGGTAGAGGCATGATCGGACCAGTCGCAGAGGTCTGGAGTGAGCGGAGGTTGAACATCGCTGGGTGGGTCTTGCGGAGGGTGAAGGGGTTGGCGGTGAGGGACGAGAGCCAGGGGAAGGAGCCGCGCAAGGATGTGCGGTTGAAGGTGTCGACGACAGTCGTGAGGTTTGTCGATGCTGTGTCATTTTGTCGTCGCAACAGTCGTGTCGCGGCTTCCGCTGCGTTGGTCTCGTTCCCTGCCGCCCTGTCCGTCTCCTCCGGCTTCTTCACCACGACCCTTGTCTCCTGCCACGTCTCATTCAGCCCGAGCTCCTCAAACGAGAACCTTCGCGCATGCCACGAGCCCTTGGCGAACCCAGTCAAGTTCTGCTGGTACAGCCGGTAGTCGCCCTCGTCCTTCGGCGTATTGTCGGCAAAGATGTCGCGCACAAGCGGCGGAACGGGTGTAAGTTCGCCATCAGAATGAGGAGCGTAGTTCTCGATCCGATAGGCTTCGTACGCCGTGTCGTTTGAGGCGGGAGGAGCCGTCCCGTTGGCGACTTCGGGAAAGTAGGTCGAGTTGAGCCACTCGCCCGTCTGATTGCCCACTCCGAGCCACCGTGCGATCCCCTCGCGCCTCGCTTCTCGTCGCAGCAGCCCTGCCCGCGCGTTCGCGTAGGCTTCCGCAGCCGACACATCTCCCGTCGAGACTTGGTCCGCCAGCGACGGCCCCTGCGTCCCGTTCGACTGCATCATCCAGAACATCATCATGAGGAAGAACTGTGTCCGCGCCCGGAGACTGTCAGCTTGCGTGCTCGTCGCTGCAGTGTGTGTGGAGAGCCGCACGATGAAACGGAGGTCTGGCCGTTGCTGCTGGACGCGGGTCACCTGCTGGTTCGGCGGCGGGAGATCCATGGCGTCTAGCGAGCCGTTGAGGCACAGCAGCAGTCCTCTCGAGCGGTGTGAGCGAGGTCGAGGTGCTTGAGCGATGAAGTTGCGAGGCGGTGTACCCTCGACCCTCGACAACTCGCCATCCACACGCTCCTGAGCTGTTCGAGCGAGCTTGCACTGCTCAAATACGCTCAGGATGGCGAGTTTGCCGCCCCCGCCGAGACACCCATCGTCTCGCACCCTCCCTCGCCCCGGCCCTTCACCCTTTACTCGGCCGCAGCATCCATCCGTCGCAGGCCAGGCAGGAGACTCAGGAGGGACCGGGGACGATCTTGCGACAGAGCGGGGTGAATTGCCAGTGGCGGCGACCCTCGAGACGCCTGTCATCGCGGTCACTCGGCCGGAAACTCCGTCGACCCCTCCCCTTCCAGTCGAGGACCGCCTACAGACGCTCGATGCGAGTCCAACGACAGCCCCACCTCCTCGACACCCTCTCACAGCCCGCTTTGTCGACCCAGAACCCGTCGCCTCGCCAAATACACCCCTCGGACCGCCTCCTTTACGCCGCGAGACCACTGCTGCGGATGCGAAACTGGCAGAGTTGGAGGATCTTGAGATCCAGGACTTGTTGCAGCGTGTCGGGGACTATCTGACGGATGTCAAGGTGGCGGGACTTGATGCGGAGACGGTCGAGTATCCGGAAGTCGAGGCGTACAGGAAGGAAGAGGGTGGTGCGGTGGACTGGATAGGATACGGTGTCGCCGTGAGTTGCGGTAAGAGCATCGCTCGGCTCTTCGTTGACCGTTTGCTCCTCGCAGTACATGTCCTGCTTTGTTCACAACAACTTCCCCGCCGGCCTCGTTGGGCCTCCCCCGCCCGACTCGTTCTCCTTCCGCTATTTCCAAGGCGACCTTGAGCGCCTCTACGTCCTGTGTCCCCCTCCAGTTCTCCAACGCCTCTTGCTCGGCTCGCTTGGCAAGATCTGGCGGTGGGAAGACCCGCGACGAACCGGTACCTGGGCAGCGATCTACCTTTTCCTCTGGTTCCACGACCTCATCCTGTTCTTCCCCTTCGCGTTCTTTCTCTACCACCTCCTCAGCGTGCGGTTCTTCCCGCCTACCACGGACGAATTAATTCGGCGCATCCAGGAGCGGAGGAACCGAGCGAAGGATGCGACGGAGTTGGGCAAGCAGCTCAAGGCAAGCTCGGTGTTTGGAATGGCTGGGCAGGGAGTTAAGGGCTTGTGGGCTGATGTGAGGGGGAGGCTTGGCCGGGAGGAGGAGGAGGAGGAGGAGAGGTCTATCGCGGCGGGTCTCGGAGCAGGGCTGATGCTCGGTGGGATGGCCGCGAGCAGCGGGATATCCAGCTCGTCGTCGAACCCGATTGAGCGTGTACGGTCACGCAGTCGGTCCTCTTCGTCCGCTTCCTTACCGACGACCGCCCCGCCAACGCCGCCAACTCCGCCTGCGACTTCGGCTCTCGCCCGCGGTCTCGGCGCCTCCGCAGCCGTCTTCTCCGCGCCTTCCGCCCCGACCACCACTCGACTCCCCGACCTCGAACCTCCTCCAGCCTCCCGCATCAACGTCAACGACCCGGACTACGACCCTGCTCGAGCGAAGGGAGGGAAGGAGGGCGATGGGAACGTCTCGCTTTACAGGCTTGTGAGGAACTTGACGACGTTGCTGGGACCTCAGGTATTGATGTGGACGGATGAGGCGGCGGATCTGGCCGAGATGGTCAAGAAGTACGTCTAACAGTCTCTCACTGTCCTCCTTTGGCTGATTTCCCATTTGGCAGCCTCATTCTCCACCCCTCCCACCCGTCAACAATCCCCATCATCCTCCGTCTCTCCGCAATCTGCCTCACCCTCCTCCTCACGCCCCCCTGGCTGCTCTACAAGTCCCTCTGGCTCTGGCTCGCCATCGAAGTCTTCGTCCTCTGGCGCATCCGCGAACTCCACCCTTCATGGCGTCGCGCGACCCTCCCTTACTGGCTGCTCCTACACGGCGCACCAACGGACGTCGAGTACGCGTTATGGAGTCTCAAGGGACGGAGCAGGCCGCTCAAGGGGTCGAAGACGATCAAGCGCGCTGGGCGGGACGTGAAGGATGGGAGGCTGAGGGCGTTGAGTGATGCGGTCAAGAAGGGTGGGAAGGCGTTGAGTCGCAGTGGGAGTGAGACGAGTTTGGTCACGCTTGGGAAGGAGGAGGAGGTGCTTGGCTGTGAGTACCTTGCCGGTATTGTCTTGCGGAAGAGTATATGAACTGACTGCGAAGTGCGCTTGACCAGCCTTCTTCGCCTTGCACGACTCGAAACCCGGCACGCTCCGCCTCACCTCCAGCGCAATCCACTTCATCCCCTCCGTCCGCCTCCGCCGATTCGGCAAACTCGCCTGGCGCATTTCTCGTCGGTCAAAGAGCTCGTCCGAGTCTGACGATGGAGCCGACACGGTATCCATCGCCTCGTCGACGATGACCGCCGACACCGTCTCGATGAGCGAAGGGCGGATCGTGATCCTCGTCGACGACGTGGCGAGCGTCAAGAAGGAGACAAGGATGATGGCGCTGGATGGACTGCTCGTCGCAGCCAAAGATGGGCGGGTGAGTCGTCGCTACGTCCCTTCCTCGCCGTCTTTGACCGAACCTCTCGCCTCTTCGCAGTCCTGGCGCTTCTCGAGCGTCGCCCGCCGCGACGACGCGTTCAACAAGATCCTGTCGCTGTCGTCGGCTCACTGGCAGCCCACGTAGCGCGCTGGCAGAACTGCAACTCGTGCAACCTTCTCAACCTTTTCGCGGGTTGCGCCTGCTCTTTCCGCGCCTTCGCTTCGTTTGCTCGTTGAGAGTGTCTTCGTGCGGAGGCTGCCCCACCTTGCGAGATTGTCGAAGTTCGCCTTGCCGTCGGCGCGAGCAGACCATGCGGCGAGTGGTTTGCCGTTTGCCGAAGGTTTCCTTTCGTCCTGAGCGCAATGCGATGCTCGCACGCTCTTCTCTCTCCTCACACTTACGAACTGGCTACACTCGCACGATGACCGTCCCGCTCCCCTCGGTCCGCTTGGCTTCCTCCTCGTCCGCCGCACCACCTCCACTTCGTCCGCCCCTCTCGTCGAAGGAACGCGTCGCGCGCAACCAGGCAAAGCGCGTGCAGGTCTCGAGGGATTTCCGAACGTGCGTGCAGTCCTTCCAGCTCGTTGCGCGGGTGTAACGAGGCCGTGTGGGAACGGGCTCGTCGGATGGCGAAATGTTGATGGAGCGCGAGAGCTGACTCTTTTCGCTTGTTTGGGGCCGCAGAGACACTATCACGATCCCCACGGATGAGCTGTACGAGCTGATGAAGAATGCGTCGCGGGGGGACAGCGTGTACGATGTGCGTTTGGCGGTTCTCTCCTCTCCAGGCTATATGCTTGCTCACATCGCGTTTGCAGGAGGATGAAGACACGATTGAGCTCGAGCAGCGCATCGCAGAGATGGCGGGCAAGGAGGCGGCCTTGTTCTGCGTGTCGGGCACGATGGTGCGTCTCGTTTCTCTCCCTCAGACCCGTTCCCCCGCTCACCCTCACTCCCTCCCACAGACCAACCAACTCGCGATCCGGACACACCTCCACCAGCCTCCATACTCCGTCGTAACCGACCACCGCGCGCACGTCCACATCAGCGAAGCCGGCGGAATCGCCTTCCACTCGCTCGCAACGACCAACGCCGTCTACCCCCGTGACGGACACCACATGACCGTCGAAGAGGTGCTCGACGAGTGCGTCGTCGATGACGACATCCACGTTGCGCCGACCAAGCTCGTGTGCGTCGAAAACACCTTGAGCGGAATGGTCTTCCCCCAGTCGGAGCTGGTCCGCCTCCGCGAAGCGCTCGACTCGTTCTCGATCCCGCTGCACTGCGACGGCGCGAGGATGTGGGAAGCGATGGCCAAGACGGGGATGTCGCTTTCCGAGGCGTGCGCGCCGTTTCACACCGTCTCGCTCTGCCTGAGCAAGGGCCTCGGCGCACCAGTCGGCAGCGTCCTCCTCGGCCCCAAGGACTTCATCCGCCGCGCAACCTGGTTCCGCAAGCAATTCGGCGGCGGAATCCGACAGGCGGGCGGGCTTGCACTCGCCGCCTCAGTCTGCCTCGACACGGTCCTCCCCCAACTCCCTCGGACGCACCACCTCGCGACGAAACTCGCGCGCGCACTCGCAGCCGAAGGAGTGCAGCTCGACTTGCCTACCGAGACGAACATGGTCTGGATCAACCCTCAGCCTCTCGGGTTCTCCATGACTGAATTGCAGGAGGCCGCGAGGGACAAGGCGGGCATCACACTCGGTGCGCCGAGGGGTCGGGTCGTCGTACACTACCAGATCGACGAGCGGGCTATCGGCGAGTTGGTCGATGTCGTCAGGGAGTTGAAGGCGCAGCGAACGAACGAGGCGAGGCAGTGGGAGGAGCTGGTCGGGTTCGAGGTCGCGGAAGAGATCAGGCGTAAGAGCAGGCTCTACGCCGAGGGACAGTACGAGGGGCGGATCGAGGGTCCGAAGCGGTCTCTCCCAGCTTACGGCAAGAAGTAGACTCGGGGACGGCGCCGTAGACGGATCTTGGGTTCTTCGGGCTGTATAGACATTCTTGCTGCATTGCGAACGATCAGGCCTGGAAGGCCACGTCGAATTTCTCGACCTGCACACCTCCGCCCGCAGCGTAGCCGGTCCCTTCCCGCTTCAGCTCGATGTACGGCAGCTTCTTGTCGACCGGAGTGGTGCAGTGCGCGCAGACCTTGTCCGTTCGGCAGAGCGTGTCGACACAGGTCGAGCTGCGAGGCGTCATTGTCAGCGAGCGCTCGAGGAACGAACGTCGTCGGAACGAACCAGAGGACATCTCCGCAAGCCTTGAGCGCTGCGAGAGCTCAGCGGGTCAGCGGAAGACACGAGGTATCGAACAACGGCGAGCGCACCGAAAGCCTTGACGTTGTTCGTGATAGTCTTGCGGCAACTCGGGCAGAGGACAGTCGGGTTGCCCGACCTGTTCTTCTCCTCCGGGTCCTCCGTGAGCTTGACGGTTACGAGCGACTTGAGGCTGACAGGATGAGGCGGCTTTGAGGCGTGGCACAGCGTTTGAAGCTTCGTGTCGATGATGCTTTCGGGCGTTGCGGTCGGCGTAAGCGAGGGCTGCGTGAATCCGACGTTAGTGCCGCTAAGTACGGGAGCAAGAGGCATGCATACCAGCCAAAAGTTGGGCAGCTTGGCCCGCCGCGCGTCCGCCATCTCGCGCGCCGTCCGGTTGAGCGCCTCGTCCGTCGCCTCCTTCGTCAAGCGGTCAATCTCGTCCTCATCCAGCTCGAATGTCCGCTTCGTCCCTCGCGGCCCGACCTTCTCCTCGTCTGCGCCAGTCGCCGAAACCTTTCCCTGCGTCGTCTTGCTGCCGAGCGAGGATTGCGCCGTCTCGAACTCCTTGAGAACCCGCTCGCGAGCTGCGGCGCGGGCGGTAGCCATCTCGGCCTCCGACTCGGCGCGCATCCGCTCGAGGAGCTTCTGCTGTCGCTTGATGTCCTTCTTCTGGTCGAGTAGCGAGGTGAGGATGCACTCCTGGGAGGATAGAGCCCAGTTAGCTCGACAACACCCCTGCGACGGGGAATATCGCACGCACCTGGCAGTACAAATGTCCCTCTGAGCACACCCTCGGGTCCCTAGCATGTTGCAGGCACAGCGAGCACGCGTCGATGTCCTTCATGGCTTCGCGACCCAGCAGCGCCCGCTTCGTGCCACCCTGCGCCATCTGCCGCTCCGCATAAGTGAAGTCTGCTCGACTCGTGTTGTTCCTGCCGTGTCGTCCCATCCTGGCGAGGTTTGGGGCCGGTGAGAGATGAGGTCGAGGTCGAGAAGTGATGAAGCTGCGAAGCGGCGACAGCGGGACGGGAGTACTGCAAAGCGGTGGCCGAGTACAACAGCTGTCTAGCAAGCCTCTGTACAGTCTACAAGCCCAAGCGAGCCGAGCGAGGTGGGAGTCAACCACCAACCTCCTCCTCGTGAACGTTGCCTCCTGCCTCACCAGCTCAATCCGCTCACAGTGCGCTTCTTGCCTCTGGACAGCTCTCAATACAGTCTCTCCATCGACTGATACCGTCGCCGCTTTTCCCGCAGCAATGACCGCGCTTCTTCAGACAGACTGCCCGACCTTGAAATTGTTGGCGAGGGGAAAGGTCCGGGACATTTACGAGGTCGAGGAGGACAAGTCGGGCTTGCTGTTTGTAGCGACGGACCGCGTGTCGGCGTTCGATGTGATCATGAAGACGGTGCGCTCCTCTCGTCGTCCTTGCTCTCTCCCGCTCACCTGGCTCGCTCCGCAGGGCGTCCCCAACAAGGGCAAGCTTTTGACACAGCTCTCACTCTTCTTCTTCGAATACCTCTCGAAGGCGCCCGAAACTAAGCACATCCCGAACCATGTCATCACGAGCAAGATTGAGGAGATGCCGGCAGAAGTGCAGAAGTACCGCGACCAGCTCGAGGGACGGTCAATCTGGGTTCGCCGAGCGACTGTCTTGCCCGTCGAGGCGATTGTTCGCGGCTACATCACCGGTAAGTTCCCGGTCTTCCGAAGGAGTGCGTGGTATGGCCGTCTCTGATCGTCGTTCTCCGCCTTCAGGCTCCGCGTGGGCCGAGTATCAGAAGACCGGCACCATGCACGACATCAAGCTTCCTGAAGGGCTGAAGGAGTCGTCCAAGTTCGACCCGCCCCTCTTCACGCCCAGCACGAAGGCAGAGGTCGGCGATAAGGACATTAACATTCACCCGAACGAGCGTGAGTTGCCGCACATATCCCTTACGCGTAAACACTATGCTGAGGCGCCGTCCTGCAGTCCCCAAACACCTCCCCGATCCCTCTCTCGCCGAGCCGCTCCAGCAGTACGCCCTCGCCCTGTACAGCACCGCCGCAGCCCACTCGCTCTCCCGCGGCCTCATTCTCGCCGACACCAAGTTCGAGTTTGGCCTCCTCCCTCCATCCACACCCGGCGGCAAGCCCGTCCTCGCGCTCGTCGACGAGTGCCTCACCCCCGACTCGTCCCGCTTCTGGCCTGCCGAGCAATGGGCAGAAGGCAACAAGATGGTCGGGTTCGACAAGCAGTTCCTGCGGGAATGGCTCAAGTCGGGCGGCGGAGGATTCGGCAAGAAGGGCGGAGGAATCGACGAGGACCCGGTCGAGATCCCGCAGGACATCGTCCAGGCGACGTGGTCCAAGTACGAGGAGGCTTTCGAGAAGCTCACGGGCAGGAAATTTGTCGCTTGAGGCGGGTCCTCGGCGCAACCGAAACGAGGCGGTAGTTTTCCTATCTTACGGCGGTCGACGGAGAGATGTGCGGCTAAAGCGATTCCACCTGGTCTAAGTACGCCTTCGGCATGTGCGCCGCTACAAGATCCGCTTCTAGCAGCGGCATGGCGTAGAACCGCCTCGGATCGCGCACCTCGTACAAGGCGCACAGCGGCTCGTCCTCGTCGTCTGCGCCTGTTTCTTGACCCTCAGCCTTTCGGGCTTCCCGCAGCTCCGCCCGCCGCTTGATCTCAACGTCTGGGGGCAAGTGGTCGAGGTGGTAGCACCGTCCTGCCGGGATGGCGGTGTCGATGGCCTCCTCCTTGACCGCCTCGCCGCCGTCCAGCCAACCCTCCGCTTCGCACCGACGTCGCCACGCTCGGTCCTCTAGCTCGTCCTTCTTGCGCTCCAGCTGCTCCTGCTCTTGGCCACGCGCTTCCTCAACCGCTCGCTCCAGCTTCGCCCACTCCCGTCGACTGCTCAAGATCCCGCTGCCCTCTCTCGCTCGCATCTTGTCCAGCCGCCCGATCGCTCGCCTGAGTTCCTTGACTTGCGGAATGCCCATCCTGCAGATCACGTCCGCGCCGAGACTGACGTTGATGACAAGCGGGACGCCGTCTGGATTGTCGGGCGCGGCGCAGTATCGCGAGAGCGGTGCGTTGACGGTTGTCGGGTGGGCGAAGCAGACGGCCCGGATTGGGCGACGGAAGGGCATCGAGGAGGGCGATGCGAGCGACGATGAGTCGGAGACGACCCAGCGCCTTTCGGCTTCATCGTACTCGCCAAGAAGGATGGCGAGCGACGAGGCGAGCCCGGCGCCGAGAGAGTGACCGGTGAAGACGAGGCCGTAACGGGGATGCTCGGCAAGAATGGCGGCAAGCTTCGAGTACAAGGGAGAAGTCGAGCTGGGTGAGAGGAGGTGTCGTGCAGTTGCGAGGATGCCGGAGTGGATACGGAACGGTGAACGTGCTGTGGACGAGTCGTTTGCGGGATTGCTTGACAGGGGTGTTGGCGGAGCTGGCAGGTCGAGCGGGATGAGCGAGCCGTCGAGGTCGGTTCGTCTGCAGTTTGGACGGTCAGCGTGACTACGCCGACATTGCGCGGGCGACTCACACGTCGGCCAGAGACTGAGTGCCGCGAATCACGACAACCACCTCTGCGCGCAAGTCGTCCCGCAGGACGTAGAACTGCGGCGCGTAGGTCGCCTCGATCTCGTCCTCGACGCTTGGTATACCGGTGTACCGTTTCTGCAGCGCGACATGCAGGACGTTACGGTGGTCCGCCAATCCGCCAAGGTGTGCAAAGAGACGATGCGGCAGAGTTTGACCAGAAGGCGTGAGGAGCGGAGTGGGAGGCGAGGGCAACATCGTGTGCAGGCCGTAGGAAGCGGTGGAAAGCCGGCAGTGTCGCTTGATAAGCGAGACGAGGTCGGCGACGGGGTCTTCGCGTTCGTCGATGGGCTGTAACGGCGGCGAAGCAGGAAGTTGGGAAGGTCCGGGTTCTGCTAGGTCGAGCGGCGGCGGTTCCTCCTCGAGCAGCTGGTTGATCGATGCACGCTTGTTGGGAGACGCTTTTCTCGGTCGCTGCGAAGGCGTGATCGCGAAGAAGTGAGGCTCCTCGTGCGAGATGATGGAGCCTTGCAAGACTCCGCCTTCGTGGCCAGTCACGACGAGTCCTTCGCCGTCTTCTTCGCCCCCGTTGCTCGTCCATCGCCAGGACTGCTGTCGCTGTGTGATGGATGGCCGCTCGAGGTCAACGCTGTGTCGGCGACGAAGCGGACCAAAGCGAGGCGTCGCAAGTCCAGTCGGCGCGTCCTTGTCGCCATTTAGCAGCTTGAGACGGCCAGGTCCGTCCTGAAGCCAGCGTCGTCGAGTCGCTGCAGGCCGAAGTCAGTTCAGTAGCGGACGACGGGGAGGACGACGCAAACTCACTCCGATGCAGGGCCGCCAGTTCCAGCACACCCTTCACGACCGCAAACACCGAGACCGTATCCTCTCCTTCCTCGTCAACCACCTTGTCCCACTCGACCCGACACGTCCGCCAGTATTCGACCACCGCCTTGCTGACCTCCGTCCGCCCGCTTAAGTTCAACCCAGCCCAGTAGAGGAAGACCGCGGTCGCACGGAGGGCGCCGTAGCTCGATATAAGCAGGGCGGTGAGGTGGTAAACGACGAAGAAGAGGAACCCGAGCGAGTGGACGAGGACGCCGATCAGCCCGCCGACTGTTGCGAGGGAGGTGTCGAGTCCTGCGACGGAGGGCGGTCGAGGCGAGCCGATGAGGAAGAAGATGATCCAATCGAGCAGGGCTGTTCGCATGGGTGACGGGTTCGGAAGAGGCTGGAGAATGAAGGGGGTCTTCGGAGTCGAAGGTGTTGCAAAGGCGGCGAGTTTCGCGGGCGAGTTCGAAGAGATACTGGTTCTGCGTCTCTGCAAGGCGAAATAGTCGTCGGGAGACGAAGGGTCGAGGTTGAAGGGAGTCGCGACAGTCGGGAGAGGCGGAAGGTCGAGGATGCTGAGAGGACGAAGAGCGGGCGCGGCGGGCGGAAGAGGCGAAAGGTCGTCGATGTCGCCCGTAAAGGCGAGCCGAGATGGTGGCGATCGCTTGTTCGAGACGTCGGAGGACGACGGACTCGGCGGTACGCCCAGGAGCTGCGCCGGCGTAACGGCAACGAGCGATTCCGCCCTCCCTGAACCGTGCTCCCGCTCTTGCTCTGCGGTGGGCTGTGAACCCGCCTGCCCCTTCCTACTCCTATGCCTCTCCAACCGTCCCGCAACCCTCCTTCCAACCTCAACTCCAATCTCATAAGCCCTCAACCCGCTCTCAGCCCTCTTGACCCTCCTCCTCTGCCGCTCCTCCTGTCTTCCGCCTTCTTCCGCGCCCTCCTTCCCTAGCGCAGTCTCCACAATCTGCGCCGCCTGGTCAAGGGATATCCCCTTCCCCTTTCCCTTCTTTTCCCTCTCCTCCTCCTTCCCCTTCAACCCCACCCCGCCCGTCTCGTATCCCCCCGGCGGTCCAAGCAACCTAACGATCTTCCCCGCCGCCTTGACGACATTGTGCGGGAACGGAGGCGGCGGAGCACGGCCTTGGGCGTAGAGGCGGGCGTGGTGGCGTGCGAGGCGGGAGAGGCGGCGAGAAGTGCGGGCGCCGAGGAGGCCTGCGCGCCGTCAGGCAGTTAGTGTGGAACGAAAGTAGGGAGGAGGAGGGAGGGAGGGAAGCGAGCGGGACGGACCATCGAAACTTTCTTTCGGCGAATCGTCCGCCAGAAAAGGCGGCGGTAGAATCAGTCCCTCATCCTCGTCCTCGTCTTCTCCTTCACCCTCTTCTGAGCTCGCACGACCCTTCCCCTTCGCCAATACCCGCCAACGCAAAGGAGCGTCGGTCCAGCGCGAGGAGGACCAGCCGCCTGGGACCGCCAGAGGTGTGGGAGGGTCGGTTAGGCGCTGCTGGGTGGTGGATGTGGAGACCGAGGTTAAGGAGGGCGAGGCGAGTGGAAAGAAGGAGAGAGGCGAAGAAGAAGAGGGAACGAAGGTCCATTGTACGGGCGTCGTTGAAGTCGGAGAAGAAGACGCTGGCTCATCCTCCAACGTCTGGCGAATCGGTACACCCTCCGCCGCTTCTGACAAGCGGGAGGAAACCTCGAGAGAAGCCCTCGGCGTCGCATCCCGCTCGTCCTCCTCCTCCACTTCCTCCGCCCCTTCCCTTCCTTTGCCCATAAGTCCCTCACCCTCCTCTTCCTCCTCTCCGCCAAACTCGCCTCTCTCATCTCCCTCCGCCCCCGCCGTCCCTCCCCCAGCCGCTCTGTCGCGCTCCTCGTCCGTCACTGATGAACCGGCCTCGACCTCGTTCCGCTCGTTAAGCAGCGTCGCAGGACTAGTGGGCGCCTTCAGTGCGTTGTTTGAGGAGGTGGAAGCATCGTGGGACATGCGGCGGTCCCGGTGCGTGAGTGTGCGAGGTGAAGAAGGGAGAAAGAGAGAGGGTCGGCTGAGGCGCACGTGGGGAGGGCGAGCGGCGGGCGAATCTGAGGTCGGAGGCGCTCAAGTGAATGAGCGATACTACAGAATGCACAAAGAAGGAGAGAAGCGAAGTGCGGCTCAAGCGAGGAAGAGACGAAAGCGACGACGGATCCGAGCGAAGCGAAACGAGAGGCTCCCGACTCCCTCTCGTCGCGCACGAGCTGGGTGATTGAACAAGAGTTGCGAGTGGTTACACAGCGAGAGTGATACAACGAACAAAGCCTACACGAGCCGAACCCGCCTCCCTCCCCTACACAACACCAACAACAAGCTCCTCCTCCTCCTCTCCTCCATCAAAGTCCACCTTGACTCCTCCACCTCCTCCCCATCCCCCTCCTCACCCCCCTCCCACCTCCAAACACGTCCTCCCCCTCTCCCTCCCTCCCAACACGCACCTCCACTCCCAGTTTCTCACAAACGCTTCTCAACCTCTTCAACCTTCCCTCGCCTGATGTTTCCCATACTCCGTACCTCCAGTCTAGGGTGAGAGTCTGCAACCCCTTCAGCGCGGGGTGAATCGAGCCGGCCCCGCGGCCTGCGAGTTGGTGAAACGGCGCGAGGAGGGCAGAGAAGTGTGTATCGGCTTTCTCCGCCGAGGTAGAGGCGGGTAAGAAGGACGGAGGCGGGACGAGGTGAAGTTCCCTCAGTCCCTTGAACGAGGTGGAAGGGAATGGTGAAGGAAGGGGAAGGAGGTCGATCGCGAGAGGGAGGAGGGAAAGTTTGATGATACACAGTCGGTGCAGGACCACTTGGCGTTGGGGAGCGAGGCGCGGGAGGGGAAAGAGGTAGTTGAAGTGGTGTTCGTCAACCGTCACGTCTCGCAGCTGCGCGCCAACTTCCGCCGCTAGCGTGCGGAAAGCCTCGCTCGGCTCCCAGACGGCGAGGGGCGAAGGCGGAGGGAGGGAGATGTCCCAGATCGCGAGTGTCGAGAGGCTGGGAAGGAAGAAACCGGAGAAGGAGTCGTGGTGTCCGGTGCAAGTCGTCAGGGAGAGGGACGTGATGGGCGAGGGGCGGGAGGAGGCGACGGCGCGGAAACGCGAGCGGAAGCCGCAGCGGCTTGCTGAGAACGTCCGAAGTGCTGCACGTACAATTCGGGTCAGTGGGAACAAGAGTATAAGCGAGAGAGAAGGAACCCACTCGGATGGAGAAGGAAAGCCCGCAACTCGAGGCCGTCCAAGTCTTCGAGGTGGAGCGACTCGAGCCCGACAAGTTGCTGCACGAGCTTGGCAAGCGCCTTCCCTCCGTCTCCCGTCCCTAGACTCCCATGGACAACAAGCCTCGTGATCCGCCTGCCCAGTTCCTGCCCGCGACTCTTGGGCAAACACGTCAAGCGGGTCAACTGTTCGACGGTGCGATCGCTCGCGATGTACACCGTCGAGAAGAGCTCGTTCTGGGCATAGTTGCGCAAGACGGGATGGACGAGCGCGAGGGTCGCGAGGGTGTGTGCGCGATCGCGGGCTGTCCAGCGAGTGTGGGACGGGGGGAGGGTGAAGGCGAGGATGTGGAGGAGGATCTCGCTTGGGAGGGAGAGAAGCGGTGCGAGTTGGGGCTTGGAGAGGACGCTGGCTGGCCTGCTGGGGCGGGGAGAGGGGATGTGCAGCCTGTGCCCGCGTGGTCGAGGGAGAAGAGCCGGGTCAGTCTCCTCAACTCGCTCGTTCGACTGGGTGATGGTGCTCACCTGTCTGCAAAGTAGGACGTGACGCTGGATGCGATGCTGGCCGTGCGCCGGTGTCTGTGGGTGGGTGTGCGGTCGTCTGCGGCGAAGGAGGTGGGGTAGGTGGCGGGTGGTGCGGTTGCTCGTCTGCGGGTGTAGATATGCGGGTCGAACAAGCTCAAGAGTGCGTCGTGTTCCTCGCGCGAGTAGCCTCTGGCCAGCATCCCTGGCAGCGATCCCTGCAGCGAGAGTGAGAGTGAGCAGCAGGAGGAGACGAGTCGCGTGCACCCGGTTGAAGAGTTACAGATCGTGGCAGTAAGGTGCGAAACTCTCGCTTGGCACCCACGTCAACTCACTACTTTCTGCCTCGATCAATCGCACCCAACTCTCGATCCCTCGCTCGCGTCCTCTCCTCCTCGCCCACCATCTCGCTGTGTTGGACTTACGGGGCTGGTCGACTCGCTCACAGCTGCCACACACTCTACCGCCACTGCTACCCACCCGCCGATTCCCGCTCGTGCCGTGGCAATACCGCTGGCTTGCGTCACCTACAACACGCTCGCCTCTCGCTCTCTCCTCGCCTTCGAACGGAACGGACACCGACACCGTCGACGGACCACGGAGACTTCGGTCACTGCACTGAGATGCACGCCTGACGCAGCAACGGAGCGCGCTGGGTGGGATGAAGGTGGGTGGACGCGGACTTGCTCATGAGCAACTCGTTTCTCTTCTCTCACCGCCCTCGCGCACTCTAGCTGACTGTGCATTAACTGACAGGGCTACATGACGACACCGCACCTGTTGCGACCACTCGCATATGCTAGCACTCGCGATTCCTCCCTTCCTGCTACTCCTCACCTCACCCATTTCACCCGTCTTTTCGCTCTCAAACCGCCTCACTCGCGCACACGATGCTTCCAAGCTCCTGGCGATGCGAACTGCTCTCCGCGACCCACCGTCGAGCACGCCGACACTATGCGCGGCTCGCGCCTGGGCAGCTTCCCAAGGTCCAGACCTCTTCGTCCCTTTGACTTGTTCAAAAGCTGAGGGTGGTCCCCGTTGTGCCTTCGCTTCCCTCTGTCCGCAACACTCTCGAACGCTCTCTTGCACGCTCGACACGCTCGTTTCTAACCACGGGTCTATACACGCGACTCTCGACTGCACCGCTTCCTCGCTTCCTCGACCGGCCCCCCGTCTCAAACGCTCTTATCGCGCCGACCGGTCGGCCGAGCTTCACTCGCTCTCCAGCACAGGTGCGTACTGGGAACGCGCAGGAGACAGGATCTGTGGGCTTGCATGGAAGCTAATGCATCTCGCACGGCCGGAACAGAACAGCACTCACTCGACGACCCCCTCCTCTCCTCGGCACCGCACACCCCCCTCGCACAGACGATGTCCCCTCCCCTCCTCCCACCCGAACTGATCTCCGACATCCTCGACACCTTCCTCCTCCTCTCCCCCTCTCACGCCCTTCGAACGCCCAACCTAGCCCGCTTCGCACGCGTTAACCGCACTTGGAACGCCGTCTCGATCCCGCTCCTCTATCGGAACATCTACCTCGATTCGCGCACGAGGGAGGGCGTGTTGGATGCGTTTGAGGCGAATCCGGACCTCCCGAAACGGGTGAGGCACCTTACCCTCTCTGGTGGGAAGCTCGACGCGGAGGAGTTCAAGAGGTTGCTGGACGTCCTCGCCGCCTGCAAGGGCGTGACACACCTCTCGTACCACTGCTTCGACCCCTCCCTCCTCGAAGACTTGACGGACTTCGTCGCGAGTCAGTGGCCGGGACTGCGGTACCTGAGGGCAGACCAGTCCCATGCGTTGTACAGCCTGTTGGCGAGGTTACCGGACCTTGAGACGCTCATTGCGAGTTATATCGAGTTCCCTACGCCTGGCGTACCCGCCTCGCCTCCGGCACGCGTCTCGACCCCCTCCCCTCCTTCCTCCGGTCGTTCATCCCCCTCTCCCTCCCCCTCGTCGCACCCCGTACGCCCAACATTCCGCCTCAAGCGCTTCGACTCCGGCTCCTCCCCCCACCCCTCGCACTTCCATCTCCTCACTTCGAGCTCGACCTCAACCCTAACTTCTCTCGACCTGCCCATCTCCTCCCAAACCTCTCAAGACCTCGAAGCCTTCAAGGGATTGAAGAGGCTGACGTTGACGCTGGCGGAGAGGTACATCCGGCCTCTTCCTGGGTTGGTCGGGGGGAGGGAAGACGCGCATTGTTTGAGGCGGGTCAAGCGCCTTCTTGCGCATGCGGGGAGGTCAGGAGTCCCTCTGAGGACGTTGGAGATCTACGAGCCTTCGTACGCTCTCACGAAGCCCTTCGCACCCTCGGTATTCGAAGAGACAGACGTCCTCGCTGCGGTTCCGAAGGGCGTGGAGGAGTTGGACTTCGCGACGCTCGATATCGGGTGCTGGTACATCAAGCGTGCGTTTGAGCGCGAGGGGGAGGACAAGGTTTGTGAGGGCGTGAGGTCGGTCATTTTGGCGCGGGGGAAGAGGGAGGAAGAGGGCGCGGAGGAGATGAGGAGTGTGTTGGGTCGGAGGGGGGTGAAGGTGCGTTGGGCTTAGGCGGGAGGGAGCGGGTTTGATCTTTTGGGTTCTCTGGTGTAGAGGGTTTCCGGTGGGCGCTGGTCGCTCGCTCGATTTTGGGTATCTTAGACGTATGGCTCCGACTGCATCCTCAGGCTCGTTACTCGCACGCCTTTCCAAGTCGATAAAGATACGCTCCTTCGCTCCTCTACGCTTCAACCTCCTCCTCAACCCGCTCCTTGCCCCCTCGGAACACCTTCACCACCCCCCTCTCCGCTCCCTCAAACTCGTTCTCGTAGCCCACGAAATTCTCGAGCGTCATCGTACTCCCCCCGCAAACGACTACCACAACCGCCGGTGCGTCTGCTGGAGGGGGAGAGCCGGGAGTCGAGAAGGAGAGCGAGGGGAAGAGCGAGCGGAGAACGGAAGGAGTGTAGAGTGGGACGAGAGCCGCGGCGCAGGCTGGTTCGGGGAGGTATTGGTGGTCGACTGCTCGGTCGCGATCTCGTCAGTCGAGAGAGGAGGAGCGAAAGGAGGGAGAGGACAGACGCTGGAACTCCTTCGCTGCGTCTATAGCCTTCGCATCGCTCATCGTTACGCTGCTCACCCCGCCCTCGTGTTCAAGCGCAAGCTTGACCGACGTCTCAGCGACTTGGACTGCTCCGAGCGTCGAAGCGATGGAGTCGATCTTGTCGAGGCGGACGAGCTCGACGGACGGAGGGTTGTAGGAGAAGGAGGAGCGGAGGGAGGCGAGGAAGGAGGCTGCGCCGGTCGTCTCGCATGCGACGACGTGGACTGCGCCGGGAAACTCGTCGTCAGCTCGCTCCCCGAGCTAAGGGAGTAGATGCCAACTCACCGTGCGGCGCAACCGCCTTGAGACCGGTAAAGACACCCGAGATGAGCCCTCCTCCGCCGACGGAACAGACGACGGCCGCCGGCTTTCCCGCTTGGAGCTCGTCCATCTGCTCGATGACTTCGTTCATCATGCGGGAGTGGCCTTCGAAGACGAGCGGGTGGTCGAAGGGGTGGATGTAGATGCTGCACGGACATTAATCAGCAGCTTCCGCATGCGAGGCAGAGTAAGCGAGACGCACGCTCCTTCCTTCTTCTCGACAAACTCCCTCGCCGTGGCGTCCGCCTCAGCCCAGTGCCTCCCGCCCACAACAACATCCCCCCCATCCGCCCTGAGCTTCTCAAGCACATGCGCTTTCGCAGTAATCGGCACAAAGATCGTGCACTCGAGTCCAAGAGCGCGCGCAGCGTGTGTCGCTGCAAGCCCGGCATTTCCTCCAGACGAGGAGACGAGGTGTGCGCGGACACCTTTGGAGGCAGCTTCTGCTGCGAGTGTGGAGGCGACGTGGCCGATACCGCTGCGCGCAAGCGGGGTGAGCGTAGGGGAAGGATGGAAGGGAGGAGACGGCAAGGCGCACCGGATCTTGAAGGACCCGCTAGGCTGGGTGGACTCCATCTTCAAGTAGACGCGGCTGCGGGCGAATAGAGAGGTTAGCCTTCATCGTCGCGGAAGAGGCGAAGTGACTCACCATCCTGCTTTTGCAGAGAGCGAGGGGGAGAAGACCAGCGGCGTCTTGACGCAAAGCTGGAGAGCAGGGGCGGCAGTCGGCGTCGCCGCAGTCGTGGCCGTCATGATCGTCGTTCGAGGCGGAGAGGAGAGGAAAAGAGCGAGACGGGATGCGTGTCTTCGTCGGCCGACGGACCGGCTACACAACGAAGGTGGGGAGACGTGGAAAGGCGTGGAACGTCGCGCTGGCAGGTCGGCGTGCCACTATCGTCTAGCCGAGCAGTCAAAGGAAAGCTCTGCAGCGATTAGGCGAGAGCGAGCGTGAAGGAGGAGGACAACCCGCTGGAGGAGAGGGTTCTGAAAGTCAACCTTCGACAACTCGCTCAGCATCAGCCAAGAGCCGCTTAGCGCACGTCTACTGCCTAATGGCAGGACTTGCAAGCCGGCTGCCGACCTCTCCAACCCGCCAGCACCCGTTGTCGCCGCTGGACATTTCTTCATCATCAGCTCGAGTCCAGGAGGTGGTCGTCACGACGACGGGCTTTGCGGGAACAGGCGAGGGCGTCAGGCAGCGGAGAACTCGGCAAAACAGCGGACCTGCACCGTCGTACGCCGAAAGCGAGTACCTGGAGATCGTAAGGAGGCAGAACAGTGCGTCCCGCTCCTTTGGCCTCTCTTCCAACCGCTGTATTTATCTAAAAGTGCTGTGCGCTCTCAGGGACTCGCTCTGCAGCAAACTCGCTCAAGCTGCCGCGCCATCACACCGCCTCAAGCTCGTATCCGTCCCCCTCGCCCGACCCAGATCCCGCCTCGACTCTCGCGACCCCCTCCAAAGACCCACCAAAGCTCTCGAACGAATGGGAGTTTTCTGGATGGGGTCACTCGAGCTATGTCGAGCTGACGGGGGAGGAAGTGGCGCACGCTAGGCGCGAGCGGGAGCAGCAGATGCGAAGGGATGGAGACGGGTCGCTTGGGTCATGGTACGTCCAGCTTGTCTCCGCGACGACCCGCGTGGTCACTAGACTGATTCCAACTTCAGGCTCGCGAGCGGCGTGGCCGGCGTGGCTGTCGCTAGCAGTCCTCTTTATGCCTTTCCCGCCCTTGTCAGCGTCGCAACTGTCTAGTACGTGACTGCGCTTCTGCGTTGGAGATATCTAGACAGCCGTGGAGCGACTCGAGCTGACAGACCTGGGCTTGTTGTCCGCAGCTCGCCAATCTCGCTCTTCGTCGCAACCCTCCTTCTTGCCTTCTGGCGGCCCATTATGGCGGAGCTTGCGGCAGCTTTTCCAATATCAGGTGCCAACTACGCTTACCTGTAAGTCACAGCCTTGCTCGCGTCGACGGAAATTCTCGAGTTGATGCCTCTTTGCGACAGGCTCAACACCTCCACCTCCGTCTCCTTCGCTCTCATTGGCGCCTCTCTTACCCTCCTCGACGACATCGCCACCTCGGTTGTCGCTGCAGCGACAGCTTCGAGCTATATCGTCGAGCAAGCCAAGCACGGCGTCGGCGAGACCTGGCTCACGATGGTCCTGCTCTTTGGGATTGCTGGGATCGGGCTCGTTGGAATGAGGGGCTCGGCGAGCGTCACGCTAGCTACTCTGACTATTCACGTGAGCTTTGCCGTGGTCCCGTCGTCAAGTGAGCAATGCGCTGATGTCTTGCAGCTGCTTACACTCGCCATCCTCATGCTCGCGTCCGTCGCCCACTGGGCGAGGAACGGTAACTCGACGCTTGCAGCAAATTGGCATGCTGGTCAAGTCGGGAGTGCGGAAAAGATTGCGAAGGCGATTTATCAAGGCATCTGCATCGCTTTCCTAGGCGTCACTGGGTGAGCACTTTGCTTTCCGGCCTCTGTTGCGCTCATCTGACAATTAAAATTCGCTGCAGCTTCGAGACCGCCCCCGACTACTGCTCCTCCCTCCGCCCCGCCTCGCACGTCTACCCGACAGTCCTCCGCTCCCTCCAGTATATCGCAGTCGTCATCAACGCGCCTCTGCTCCTCTGCACGTTCGCTGTCTTACCTCTGGACGAGATCCTTGGCGTACCAAGCGTCCTCGGAGCTCTTGGGAGGACGAGCGCCGGGGGCTGGTTGAGCATCTTGGTGACGGTGGATGCGGTTCTAATTCTTGCGGCAACCGTCCTCGCAGGTGAGTTCAGCAGACACAGCAAATCGAGCTTTGGACCTGCGCTGACCTTCGATATCGCAGGCCTCGTCTCCGCCACTGCCCTTCTTCACCGCCTATCGCGTGATGGCTTGCTGCCGCAGGCTCTCCTCAAACCGCTCCCCGTGACTGGCGTACCGGCCTTTGCCGTCGCACTTTTCACGGCGCTTTGCATCATTGTGTACGGGAGCAGCGGGGCGAGCCTCAATGTCGTGTCGAGCATGTGGGTCCTTTCCGAATAACGTCAGCTTGCATTGCGCTCATGACCTTGCCCTGTACAGGTTTGCCATCGTCTTCCTCGCCGTCATGTCCTTCTACCCCGTCTCGCTCCTCCTCCTTCAGTACCACCGCCCAACCATGCCCCGCCTCGCCCGCCGAACGCCCTTCCTCCTCACCGTCTCGACGCTCCTCCTCGCACTTGCGCTCATCAGTGGCGTCATCTCGCTCAACCCCACTTCAGTCGGCTACTTCGCAGCCTACATGTGCGTCCTCACGCTCGCACTGTGGACGGCGGCAAGATGGGGCCGCTGGTTGCGCGTGTTTCGGTGGGTGTGCGAGCACGGCCTTGGATGGCGACGTGGAGCAGAATGGTGCGTCAGGATGATGGCCAAGGCAAAGGAGGGGAAGGAGGTGGTCCTCTTCGTCAAGGGTGACGAGATCAACACGCTTTTTGAGCGGATCTTGTATGTTCAGAAGAACGAGACGACGTCGAGGATAAAGCTCGTCCACTTCTACGGCCCGCAGTCGGCTTCGAATCCGGCCGCTCAAGCCGAGAAGGTCGACAGCGGCGAGGAGGAGGCGGTCGAGTCGTCGGGCGGAGCGACCGTCACCTCTACCAGTATAACAGCTGCACGAGTACCGCAAGACGGACACGGCGACGTTCGAGCAGACGATTTAGACGATATCCCAAGCGAACTCACACCCAACTGGCGCATTCTCGACGAGGCCTTTCCGTCTATCACCATCGACCTCGTCTTTCTCCGCGCGCCTTTCACGCCCGACTACATCCATGCTCTCGCCATGCACCTCCAGCTGTCCGTCAGCCGCATGTTCGTGGGCTGTCCGTCTGAGCGGTGGGAACGGGAGAAGGATTTCGGTGTGCGGGAACTTGGCGGCGTCCGCATCATCTCCGGGTAGATTTGCTTCGACTGTTGTTGTACATGCAACGTCTCTGCGCCATCGCTACAGCCTACGGGCCTTCGTTTGACGCTTTCGAATTTGGCCTCCTCTCGCAGCGTCATGGCGAAGTTGCTTTCCCTACACTCCATCTCGCCTCGTGACTCAGAGTGCCGAAGACGCTGCTCGCGGTGTGCTGCTCGACTGCTTGATCCCCGACGTGCGCAGCTCCGGCCTCGCCAGCGCCCACCTCGACAGCAGGTCGACTTCATCAACTGGGCCGGCGATGAGCGACACTGACCAACCGCCGAGCAAGACGACGCTGCTCAAGTGGTCCAAGGCGCTCTCTCGCTTGCTCGGACAGTCCAAGGAGCGGAAACAGCAGGCGCCGTCGCGAGGAGGAGCGCTCCCTCCGTACTCTCCACCAGCACGAGGGCTCGAGCCGGGCCAGGACGGGCGCGGGCGCGTGTTTGGCGTCAGGCTGGAGGAGAGTCTGCAGTATGCGAGTGTCGCAATCTCCATGGTCGCGCCGTACGTCCTCTCGCTCGTTTTGGGGCCCTCGACGAACCTTCCCTCCTCGGATGCGGGGAGAGGATGTTGACGGAGCGAACGCGGATCTGTAGAGGCCGAGGGGATGCTGACGAACTCGTTGTGACCTGCAGAGACGGCAATCAGTACGTCTACGGCTACGTGCCAATCGTCGTCGCCAAGTGCGGCATGATGCTCAAGGAGACCGGTGAGTCCGCTTGCCTCGCTGCGAGACTCGCTGTAGCGTGGACAGGCGCTGTGTTGGAGGCTTTATGGCATGCTGAGATGGAGCTGACCGGTAATCACCCGCAGCGACTCAAACCGAAGGCATCTTCCGCGTTTCCGGCTCGAACAAGCGCATCAACCAGCTGCAAACCGTCTTCGACACGCCTCCTCGCTACGGCAAGGACTTTGACTGGACAGGGTACAGCGTGCACGATGCGGCGAGCGTGCTGAGGCGGTACTTAAACTCGCTTCCCGAACCCGTCATCCCTGCTGGTCTCTACCTCGACTTTACAGCCGTCCTTCGTACGTCCTGCTCTCTTCTTCCGAGATACATACGAGCTAAAACGCTGTCGCGCAGAGAAACCCCAACCCATCGCCGCCTCCATCGCCGCCTACCGACACCTCATCTCGCTCCTCCCTCCCGCCTCTCGCTACCTCCTCCTCTACCTCCTCGACTTTCTGTCCGTCTTTGCCCGTTGCTCCGACAAGAACCTCATGACCGCCTCGAACCTCGCCGTCGTCTTCCAACCCGGCCTCGTCTCCTCCCGCTCCGGCGGCCAGAACGCCCTGCTCGGCTTTCCCGGTTTCGTCGAAGGCAAGCCGCCTCCAAGCGGGAGCGCAGGCGCGGTCGCTGCAGCTGCTGCAGCAGCACGAGCTGGCGGTGCGCAGGAGCAGGCCGGCGAACACGGTCGAGGGAAGGAGGTCCTCGAGTTCCTCATCGAGCAGCAGGCGCACTTCATGCTCGGTCTTGAGCCGCCTGTCGACGAGGAGCGCCAGAAGCGCAAGGGAGTCGAGGCGGTTGGTGCGCCTCAAGCGGTTCAGAGTATCGCTGCGCAGGAGATTCTCGAGCGTCAGGCGCAGGAGAAGGCGGCTGCTGGTGCGAAGGACCTTCATAGGCGAGGAAGCGAGAAGAGCGTCGAGCGGAGACGGCTGCGCAAGTCGGCGGATACGAAGGAGGGCGGAAAGGTCAAGCGGAGCAAGACTTGGGGTAGCTCGACCCGAAGAAAGAGGGCAGAAGGTCGTGATGGCTCCCGTGCGTCCCGCTTTTGTCAGCACTGTGATGCCAAGCTGACCTGTTCGCCTTCAGCTTCCCCGAACGTGACTCCCGCAACACATTCGCCGCAGCCTCCCTCTACTGCCACCCTCGCTCCTCCCTCTTCACAGGGCCATTCACACGGCCCTGCCCTCGCACCTCCTATCGCTAATCCCGGCGACACCTCCCCTCGACTGTCGCACCAGCCTTCGGTCAAGAAGGCGCGCAAGTCTGCCGGCTCGACCTCGTCCCCGAAAGTGCAGGCGTCCCCTCTCCCTGCCCCACCTTCGCTGTCCCCTGAACTCGCCGGCGCTCCCGCGCCCTTTGCTCCCCAGAGCCACCTCGCCGCGCCTGGCCAAGATGCGTCTGGCAGACGAAGCAGTGCGAGCGGAAGCTCTCACGGCCGACGACGACCCAGTGCCGAGCAGCGGTAGTCCGCCCATCGTCCTTCTTCCGGTTCTCCTCTCCCACGCTCGCCAAACCCCCTCGCGTTCCCCTTCACTTTACTGTTGTCCATTCGCACTCAGCGCAAACCTTCCGACTCTGTCCGCCTTTCTCCCTCTTCACGCCGCGCATATATACTCGTTCGCTCTGTCCAGCCTTTTCTGTTCTTCGCATACCCGTACACGTACATTCCCTCGTGCCGTTACTCGCTCACGCAGACACTGTCGACCAATTCTCTCCGCTTAATCCCTCCCAGCGCAGTCGCTGTCAATCGTGCCATACTTGCAAGTCCATAGATACAGTACACGTTCTTGCACATTGTCGATGCGCTTGTCCGCGTCGTCGTTGACGAAGACGAGAACTTGCGAAGGTCGTCGCTTCGCCTCGTCGCGACTCCTCGCTTTCGCTGTTCGTACGAGGCCAGCGTCGAACCGTCTATCGATTCTCCTCCGCGCTCAAGCAGAGCGGACAACCTCGCTGCCGAGGATCCTTGCGACAAGTCCTGCCTCTGCAAGGTCTGCGCTGCCTCGCAACGTCCCGTCGTTGACTGGTGGACATCCCTGGACTCACAAGTACCCTAGCGAAAGCCCATGAAACGAAAGGGAGCCAGCCTGAGTGTATGCGTCCACTGCACCGGAAACGCCGAGCAACTCCTGCTCTCGCTCCTCTTTCCCCGTCTCCCTTCGCTCCTTTCGAGACTTGACAGGCTGACAGACCTTCACACTCGCTTACACCCCGCCATGCTGTTCAAGTCGACCCTCATCGCAGGCGCATTCGCCGTCCTCGCCTCCGCTCAGTCCTCCAACAACTCGATTCCCGCCACGGCCGACACGCGCGTGCTGGCGCTCACGGACGTGCAGTATGCTAACAGTGGACTCGGCGACTCTGGGTGCGTACCGGACGGGTGATTGAAGGGGCGGCAGACGAAAGGAGGACGCGCTGCTCACGCGAGGTTGTTTGGTCGTCGACAGCAACGCCGGTTTCGGCGTGCGCTTGAACTCGAAGGCGCTCTTGACGGTCGTCCTGTCGTCTGGACAGGTCATTCAGTGCGTCCAGCACGACTGCAGTTTCCCACCATCCCCTCCTGCTGACAACCTCTTTCCCACGAAACCCTCTTTCCTTGGCATTGTCGCAGAAACGGCCAGCAGTATCCCGTCGACCAGCTCCAGGAGCGCCCTACCGTTTACGTCACACCGTCCGACAACAACGCGGATTTGTTCAACTCGTCGAGCAAGTACACCTTGACGCTCGCCGATGCCTCCTCGCTCGGAGACGCCGACCCTCAAGGCAACTACCGGTGCGCCAGACCACAAAGACTCTTTCAATAGCGCGCTATTCAGTCGATACGCAGCCACTTCCTCGCGAACGGCTTGACCGGCGCCGCAGGATCCGGCAACAACAAGACCTTCACGCCTCAGGCCGGCACGACCATCACGAACTACGCCGCTCCTGGTCCTCTCCCTGGCACTGGACCTCACCGCTACGCGTGGCTTCTCTTTGAGGAGCCGGCCAACTTCCAGGCGCCGAGCAACCTGTCGACTTCGGGCGTCTCGCCGTCGCACTGGTAGTGCGTCGCATCCGTGGCTATGGTCCTATTTGCAGCTTACTGATGGCATCCATAATTCCGCAGCGTGAGCTCGTACGTCCAGCAGACCGGCATCCAGCTCGTCGCCGCGAGCTTCTTCACCGTCCAGAACGGGAACCCGACCGGTACGTCTCGCCGCCCCCATGTTGCATGCGCCGAAGACAGCACAGTGCTGTGCTGTCCTCCGAGCCTGGTCCTTGAAGGAGAGCGAGACAACGGACGCTCATCCGCGCTTCTTTCGCAGGTTCCGTCGCCTCGACCGCGGCTGTCGTAAGTCTTTCGTCTCGCAAGGTCCCCTGAGTGGCACGCTGACCGCTCTCACTCCCGCAGAACACCGCTACTTTCTCTGCCAGCAGCGCCTCCGGTTCCGGCTCTGGCTCGGCCGCTCCCTCGCAGACCTCGGGCAGCTCGTCGCCTTCGGGCAGCAGCAAGCCCTCGAGCGGTGCCGCGCAGATCGCTGCCTCCCTCGGCGCAGGGTTCGTCGGCCTTGCCGGCCTCGTTGCGCTCCTCTAAGCGAATCACGGTTCGAACAGACACTTTTCGCTTGCATACCGTGTCCGGCCTGGCTTGTTCCTCCCCTCGTTTTGCAAGACGACGTTTGCAGCAGTCTCCTCATTGCAGGCCCCGCCAGCTCGTCTGCGAGGCGCACAACCAGCCGCTCGCCGTCGGTCTTCGCACGAAAGTTCCGCTCCGCCTGCTCGCCTCCCGCGCTTCTTTCATTTTCCGTCAAAGCGGTTCCCCGCTCTCTAGCTGCCCTGGCACTCTACGACGCACCGTCGGCACCGAAAGAACGGCGCGGGTGAAGTCGCCCCATCGCCCAATCACGTCGCGAGCGTGGACAGCACTCGTCGAGGAGCGAGAGCGGCATCGTAGGGCTGACTGGCACTTGCTGCAAGTCTTTCGAGCCAAATGAACAGCGCTAGTGCTGCTCAGGAAGGAGGAGCGACGGGAGGGAGCGAGGGAAACCGCCAACGTGCTGTCCGAACGTGCATGAGGCGAACTCGCTGCCTCGCATTCCGCGCTCGCTCCTTCGCCCTCCTTTCTCCTTCTCTGCACCGTACAAGCTACTCAAACGCGCGCAAGATGAGCGCAGCGACGCCTCCCGCTCTCCCCAAGCCGCTTTCGGGCCGCGAACTCGACCTCCTCGAGAAGGCCAACTCGTCGCCCTCGACCGGCGCGTCGAGTGGCCAAACAAGCGAGCGACGGTCGCTTCGCATTGCCATTGTCACGGAGAACTTCTTGCCCAAGATCGACGGAGTGACGAGGACGCTGGCCATGCTGCTCGAGCATTTGCAGGCGGAGGGTCACGAAGCGTTGGTGTTGGGTCCTGCGAGTACCCTCGTACGTCGCATCCTCCTTCACTCCGCGTATCTCAGCTGACGACGGCTCCCACAGACGTCGTACGCTGGCGCTGAGGTCGTCTCGACGAAAGGCATCCCTCTCCTTGGTGTTTACCGGGGCTTGGGACTCAATTTCCTGCGACCCCGCTTCATTCGCAAGCTCCGTGAGTGATTTACAAGCTGCTATGGATGCCCGGAAGGCTTCTGACCAGCCGTCTTCCCATCGCAGGCGAGTTCAAGCCCGACATCATCCAATTCACCGACCCGATCTGGCTTTGCGCCCAAACGATCCCGATGGTTCAGTACTACTTCCCCGACACGCCTCTCGTCAGCTCCTACCACACGAACCTCGCCATGTACGCCACGCTCTTCGGCTTCTCCTGGCTCACTCCCGTAATGTGGTCGCTTCAGGTGCGCTCCTCTCGCTTGAATCGTTCCGAGTCACTTGGGGCTGATGGTTTCTGTTTTGCAGCGCAACCTGCATGGCCGGTGTAACCTCAGCTTCTGCCCTTCGCCGTCGACCGCTCGCATGCTCGAGCAGCAGGGCTTCCAGAACTTGCGGATATGGCCAAGGGTGCGCACTCTCCCTGCGTAGTACCGAGGGCGCGCTGACGATATCGGTGCAGGGCGTCGACGTCGAGATGTTCCGACCAGAAGCGCGCGACTACGCTCTCCGCCAGAGCTGGGGAGTCGAACCGCAAGACCTCGACGCGGACCGACCATCTCCTCGCGTCCACGCTTCCGACAGCCGCATCTCCTGCGACGAGCTGCCACCGCTGAACCTCCCTCCGCCTTATTCTGCCCAGCCCGCCTCAACCTTCTCAGCGACTTCTCCCAGCAAACTCGTCGTGCTCTACGTTGGCCGCATCAGCTGGGAGAAGAACCTCCGCCTGCTCATTGAAGCCTTCCGAGGACTGCAAGAGCCCGACCTCGCGACGAACCGACCGGCCTGCCAGCTTGTCTTCGTCGGCGACGGTCCCGCGCGAGCAGAAGCCGAGTCGCTCTGCAAGAAGTACGGCCTCGACGCGCTCTTCCTCGGCTTCAAGAAGGGTGAGCAGCTCGCCGCTGCCTACGCAAGTGCCGACATCTTCGCCTTTCCCAGCTTGTGAGCCTCCTCTCACTTCCGCTTTTCTGAGGGCCTCTCTGACTTTCCGCTTCACAGCACCGAGACCTTCGGCCAGGTAGTCAGCGAGGCGCAAGCTTCGGGCCTACCTGTCGTCGGCTTGAAGGCGGAGGGAGTCTCCGACCTCGTTGACCACGGCCGAACGGGTTCGTTGTTTCCCTTCCTCGCTTGTGTAGGTCGCGACGCTGACACTGGTCCTTTACAGGCCTCCTTCTCGATCTCAACGATCTGAGGCCAGTCGCAACTTCCGGCTCGCAGCCTCCCGCCTACTCTGCCACCCCATCCGCCATTCCTTCCGACCCGCACGCCCTCCTCGACCTTTCCTCCCCGACCTTCCCCACCGCCGTCTCCCTCTACCGCTCGCTCATCGCCTCGCTCGCAACCAACCCTGACCTGCGACGAACGATGGCCGCGGCAGCATACGATGTCGCGTCGAAGCGCTCGTGGTTCGGCGCCATGGAACAGCTCGTCGACGGCTACCGGGACCTCACGGCGGCCAGGGATGCTCGTCTCGCCCAGCACGAGAAGGACGAGCTCGCGCTCTCGCGAACGTCGACTATCGAGTTCGACGTTGTCTGCGACGACAGAGCTGAGAAGGTCGACGGCGAAACCGCCCAGTCCACCGGCGCCAGTACGCCACAGCGTCGCCGTCGTCTCCTCCGGCTCGACGGCGTGTTCAAGCGCAGCGGACGGCGCTTCCAGGACGGATCGGTCTCGCTGGCGCCGCTCAAGTGGCTCGCGCCCAAGCCTGCGGTCGTCGCTACGAACGGCGGCATCGTCTTGACCGCCTCGAAGGGCGACGACGGCGCTTCAAGCAAGCTCATGGGTGCGTCCGTGTCACGGGCTTTCCTGCGAATCGAAGTTTTGACTCGCTCCTTCCGCAGTCCACCTCTTCGAGGGCGCCGTCTTCTTCTGCCTCCTCTACGTTGCCGTCAGCTGGATGGCGCAGCTCGAGGCACTTGCCTTTATCCGCGTCTGAGCCTGCACTGCCTCGTCATCTGCCTACACTTTCGACTTTTCCGTAGATAGTGTTTCCCCTTCCTTTCCTGTTCCTCCGGTCTAATGCGTAGATCCCTCGTGTCGTCCGTCAATAGATTTTGTTGCTGTCCATCACTGCGACGTACGGCTAGGAGAGACTCTCGCGAACGCTGTGGGGTCACGAAAGTCTGGATGAAGTCTACTTGCAGCAACAGGTGTACGACTCTATGATGCGGATGCGATGGCCCGAACGGGACTTCAAGATCTGTGGAACGGATAGCGCGACTCAGCGAGATCGGGGCAGGCAAGGTGAAAGTCACGCACCCCGGGACGCAATGCTCGACGTCAATGCTCGAGTTTCCCCACCACTCCCAGAACGACGAGATGCCGAGGATGTAGATGACGATGGCTTGTACGCTCGTGCCGGCGTCGAGCGCGGACGAGAGGACGTAGGCGTACTGCGGGGTGTAAGCGAGTCAGTAAGCGAGGCGGGGAAAAGGTGGGAAGCACTTGCCTTCTCGAACCAGCGAGTATGGTAGCGCAGAGCCCAGAACTGCGAGAGAAAGGAGACGAAGAAGCCGGGGATAAGGACATTCATTGGCGTTTGAGGCGGTGCGATGGCCTGGAGGGGTGCGAGGTTAGCGAGATCAAGTGACTGGGCGGAGTGGAACGCACGCCATGGAGAACGAGCGGAACGCTAATCTTCTTCCAGAACGGTTTGCCCGTCCTCCTGTAGATGTACCACGGCACGAGAGGGAGGAGCGCGCCGAGGAGGAAGCCCTGGACGCAAGAAGGTCAGCAAGACGTCTTTCCGACGGCAGCAGCTCGACTCACCCAGTAGAGGACGTGATACTGGCCGGAGAAGAAGCGCTTGGGCTGTTGGATCAAAGCGGTCAGCAGAGGAAGGAGGTCAAGCGAGGCGAACGAGAACGCACTCCGATCAACCCCCAGATCACCGATGCGCTGAAGAAGATCTCCGGCTTCCGCCCATCCCACTGCTGAGTCGGGTCGGCGATGCTGCCGTCGAGGTAGGGGCGTTTTGCCGCGATGACCCCGCGGATGAGGAGGAAGTTGATAACGGAGCCGACAGCAGTCCCGTAGCACTGGCAGACGAAGAGGTCGCGAGGCGGGACATGCATGTACAGCCCGAGCTTCACTGCGAATGAGGAGAGTTAGTCGGGTCTTGCGGAGGGGCGAAGGAGAGTCGGCGAACTATCGGACGTCAAGTCGAGGCTTTGCAGGAGGCACATGTAGCCGTAGACCTCTGCGGAAAATAGCGTCAGCGGCGTTGACACACAGAAAGAGGTGAGCAGCCTGACTGAAGCAGATGTTGGCGATGGGCTTGCCAGGCCAGATGAAGCCGGCAACGAACTCGGTGAGAACGTTCAGGCCGATCGTGGTATTCGTGATGGCGGAGATGATGCCGATAGGGACGAGGCAGACGAGTGCGAGCGAGAGGGAGAGGAGGAGACCCCATGTCGGCAGCTGGAGCTGAGGGTAAAAGGCGAGGAGGACGATCGCTGCGAGGAGGTTGAGGCCGAAGATGACGACGTAATGCAGGCTAGGCACGGGCAGATAGTTGCGCTCGACGACTGCAAGCCAGAAAGGTCAGCGCTGTGTCGACAGCAACAGCGAGACAGGCGCTCACTCTCGACGTGGACATCGGTCGAGTCGCCTGTCCTGCTCGAGAGAGCCGCACGGATGTCGTCCCAATGCCAGAGAGCCACACTCGTCAAGACGCTCGTGAGGACGGCGAATGACACCCCGTACGTCAAGGCGAAGTAAGGCGTCAGTCGTAGCGGGCCGACCTCGGCGTATCGCGCCTCGTTGAGCGACAGGTCGGCATTCAAGATCTCATGAACGTTCAGTCGTCCCGCTGTCGCGTTGTACAGGTGCTGCGAGAGTCAGGGAAGGTCAGCATCCATATGGTCGAAAGCGAAGAAGGGAAACGCACGGCGGCGAGGGGCGAGTCGTAGTCTTGCGCATTCCACCAGTTGGAGAAGTACAAGAGCGGCGCGACGATCCAGATGTTGAAGGCGGTTCCGGCGAGGTAGGAGCACTGGGCGAACCAGGGTGTGTACAAAGGCCCGACTTGACCCACAACGCTCCAATCTAGCGAACCGACGAACCACCCGAATCCGTTGTACCCGCTGCCGAGCGTGCGCATGATCCAGCTTCGATTGTTGAGGATGCAGAGGATGGCGATGCTGCTTAGGCCGGGGAAGATGACGGACGGGAGGAACTGCCAGGAGAAGATGGCGAGGAAGGCTCGTCGGAAGAACTGCATCTGCGAGCTGTCGCTCGAGCGCTGGTCCTTCTTGCCGCCGTGGAGCGTCTCGTAGAGCGTGATCGTGACCAGCTGGCTAGGCCAGAGCATCTGTGTTGGCCGGACGCTGTGAGTTGATATGCGTCAGCGGCACCTCCAGACCAACAGCAACGAAGGCTGACTCACAGGAACCTGTACGTCAAGCCGCTCAAGCCGAATCCGATAAGCTGCGTCGACAGGAGGAGGAGCAAACCTCCGAAGTTGCCGAGGTCGCTGTGGTAGTACAGGTCCTGCACCGAGATGATCTCGCCTGCGTAGGCTGCCGACGCGCCCGACCCAGCAAGGATGCCGACGAGCATGTGCTCCTTCTTGTTCCAGGTGCCGCGACGAAGTGTGTCGGGAAGGAGGCGGTCCATCCATTTGCCGAGCGGGTGGGCGATGAGGATGATGAAGAAGGAGGAGAAGCTTGGTGCGTTACTCTTGAAGAAGAAGAGCTGCGAGACGGCGGCTGTATAGCGGAGTTTACATGAGTTTGGAAAGAAAGACGGGATTGAAAGCGGGACCCACCGCCGAACACGCAGAGCAGCGTCCCAAGGATCCATACGCGAGGTGTCAGGGTCGGCAAAGAAGGGTCATCCGTCTCGGGCACGACCTGCAGAAGGGAGAGAGTTCGAAAGTCTGCGAGGAGGAGAACCAAGGCGAGACAAACGCACCTTGCGCACTATCGCCGCCGCAGAATCCGCTTCTCCGTCGTCTTCCTTCCCGAAAAGCGCTTCGGCATCATCCAACAGCCCCCGTGCCTCCCCATCGTCCTCCTCTTCTTCGCTCGTCCGTCCTTTCGCCTCGTCCCCCGTGTCTAGGCCATCATTAACCCGCCCGCCATAAAGTCCCTTTCCTCGTTCATCGTGTCTTCGTCCGGCAGAATCATGCGCACCCTCCGTCGGCCAGTCGTGCGAGGAGTGAGGCGAATCGGAGGAGCGGTGGGGAAGTTGGACGAGAGGGATCGCAGAACCGGCGTTGATGAGGTCGTCTGTACTTGAGCTGGCTGGGACAGCTCCAAGCGAAGGCATTGAGGCGCGGGCGCCCGAGCTGGAGGGAGGGGAAGGTCAACCTGCGGACGACGAGAGATAGCAGCATCTTTCGAAGCAGAGGATCTCGCCAGACAGCTCGACACAGCGAGTAAGAGTACTACATTGCGCGATGACAAGCCCGTCCGCAGATCAAGCCGCAAACCCTCACTCGCCCCGTCCCTCGACCCTCTCAATCTCGAACAACACGAACTCGTAGTACTCGCCCTCCATGACGCTCGCGTACTCGCCGAGAGCAGCCGAGTCGTCTTGTCCGCCCTTGGGCTTCGTGCCCTTCTTCCCTCGGGAGGAGGGGACGAGGAAGGACGAGAGAGCCTTGACGAGCTTGTCGACTTGTTTCGGTTCGGGCTGCGCCGATGAGAGTCGCGTCAGCTGAACGAGCCCATACTGCAAGAGGAATGGGAAACCTGGGACGCACCGCAACGATCGCGCCAAAATACGCTGCTGGCAACCCATACCGCAGGACGCTCTCAACGTATGCGCGGATGACCTTGAGGTGTACGAGCGCCTGGAACAGGTCGGAGAAGTTGATGCGGGACAGGCGGAGGAGGTCGGCCTGTTTGGAGGGAGAACGTAGCGTTAGATCCCATTCACGCAGCAAGAGGTACTGGTCGTGCTGGCGAGCTTCACAGTGCCGACGATGCAAGCGAGCGACGGGCTTACCCATAGCTCCTTCTCCTCTGCCAGCAAGTTCTCCAGCTCCCGCCGCTGCTTCTCGATCGCCTCCTCGTCGTACGTAAAGTCCCGCACGATAAACCTGTGCGTGAAGCACGGAAAGTACAGTCAGCCGGCCAGCGACGAGCTGCGGATGACCTGCGAGACAGTCCGAATCACGCACTTCTTCTCGCGCGCTTTCTGCGCAAATTCGTCCTTCACTCGTCGGAAGAGCGTGACCGAGAACAGCGCGAATTCGTCGTCTTGCGCGAGTTTGCTGCAAGCAAAGACGACCTTTACGAGTCAGCCGCGACGCGTGGCGTCAAAAGTCAGACGCGAGAGCACGCCGGACGCACGTTGCTGACCGAGGCACGATCATCTGCGTCAACCGCTCGTACGAGTTCTCCCACTCCTTGATGAGGTTTCTGCAAGCCCGTAGCGTCAGCCAGCGTATGCATGGACTTGAAGCTCGAGGGCGGGAGTCGCACTTGGGCACCGCAACGAGGATAGTCTCGAGGTATTCGGACTTGTTCGTGCCGGCAAAATCGGACGCTGAGACGACGTCGGCGAGTGATCGCATAGAGAGATTGCCGCTGTGCGAGATGACAGAAGCTTCAGCTCCAAAATGCCCGGTCTGTAAACCAGTCGAGCGAAGTCTGGACTGCAACGCACGTCTTCTTCCGCAACGCCGTCGCAAGCTGACCCTTGACGACGCCGTATTGCTGAGTCTTGTTCTTCTGAGCATTCTCGATGCTCGTGACCTCCTTCATCAACGCATCGACAATCTCGGGCAAGCTCCTCCCCTCGGTGCGGTACTTTGCCCTGTTCCACTCCCACCTCTCCTCCGTCTGTCCGCGATCCGTCCCGTCAGGCAGGATGTACGAAATGTACGGTCGTCCATCGTCGAGGACGAGGTGTTGCGCGAGAGGCGAGGCGCGGTCTTCGAACCCTGGGAGAGAGGTCGTTGCGCTTGCCGAGCTGCCGGATGAACCGGGCGGGGCGGTCAGGGAGCGGATCGTGTCGACGGTCTTTTGAAGAGCGGAGGTGACGGAAGGGTCTTGCTTGGCGAGGGATTCGGAGAGGGTGAGCAGGGAGGAGAGGGTGCCGGTCTGTGGGGAGGTGCGAGAGCGGTGTCAGCGCGAGTTAGAGGTCCAAGGGCGCAGGATCATAGGCGTAGGAGCATCTCGTCCGTCGGTGATACCCTCCACCGTGTCTAGCACCCCGTCTCCCCTCGCAAGCGGTCCCATCGTCATCAGTTCAGCGGGAGGACTGACCTTGAACTCGGGAAACTCGACCAGACTCGCGCTGCCCAACTTGCCATTTCCGAGCGCCTGTCGGAGCTCGTCGAGCTGCTCGAGCGGGTTCGCAGACTCGAGCGGACCCGAGACGAGCCAGAGAGAGGTCGGGGAGGGGGCCATGGACGAGGAGAGCACGAGTCGCGGCGGTTTCAGTCGGTGGCTGGTGGGTCAGGGAGTCGTAGGGAGCCTATCAGGAGTGTCTGGCAGCCAGCAAGAGATAGTGAGCCGTTGTGGAAGACGACGACATCCTCATCGGCCCCGCCTCGAGGGTCGACCGCTTACATCGACGTCCTCACCGCTGAAAGGCTGCTAAAATGCCGAAACAGGGCTCAAACAAACATGGCTACCTGTCTGAGAACGACATCCAGCTCCCCCGGTCGACGCAGGCTCAGAAGCTCGTCGCTCAACACGACCGGCGTTCGCTCGCTTCCATTGCTCTCACCTGGCTCGTCGAGACTCCTAGGTCGACTGGCGGGGATGAAGACGGATTGTTCGACGAGGTGCAGGAGGATGTGGACGAGCGCAGGGTGTTGTACGAGCAGCTGAGGGACGAGGAGGGAACGGCGGGCAGGAGTCGGGTCGTCAAGGCCATGCAGGAGGACTGGGTGCGTTCCGTCAGAGCTTCGTTGCGGCAGACTCGTACTGACTCCCAGGACGCCCGTAGCGAGACGGCTTGACGTACCGCCAAGTCGCCCAACTCGACATGCAGCGTTCGTCTCCCGTCCTTTTCTCGCGCTCTTCGTCAACTTAATGATATTGTGCGGTTTGCAGAATTCCAGATAAAGGGAATCGGCAAGAGCTGGACAGCGTACCGTGCCGAGCTTCGTACGTCCCGCTTGCTCGTAGTGAGAACACTTCCCTGACAAGTCTTCTTCTCAGCTCCCTCCGCCACTGTCGCTTCGTCGACCCACCTCTTCGCCGCCTTCCGAGACTCATTTGGCGCTTACCACCCTCACGTGCGCACCGCTCCGCTGTACAGCTACATCAGCAAGCTAACACCAACCCCTCGCGCTGCAGTACCTCCACCTCACAACACTCACCACTCCCTCCCCACTCACCGTCCTCCGCCTGCAACTCCTCCCCTCCCCCTCCCTCACATCCCGCTCAACCTCCTCCTTCCCCGCCGCAATCTTCCTCCTCCACATCCCTCTAACGCCCTACTTCCTCCTGCCCACCTCCCTCCCCTCCTCTCTCCGCCCGCTAATCCTCCAAGCGCTCTCAACCTCCATCACTTCCTCCGCTTCATCCGTGGCGCTTACGAAACTTGACCTCGAGGGTAAAGACTGGAAGGCGTTGAGGGAGGTACTGGTTGAGCGCAAGTCGGCGGTTGGGGAGTGGAGGAAGGTCAGAGGGGAGGAGGGGAGGGAGACGGATGGTGGTGGGGTGTTGGTACCCCAGGCGAGGAGGAAGGTCATGGAGGGTGCGTTCCGCTCGACCCTCCTTGCATGAACTCTCGCTGACTTGGCGCTGGCGCTTCCCGCAGACCCGACTCAACTCCCTCCGCCAACGTTAGGCGCCACAGGTGTCCCCGCCCTTCCTCAACCTGGCGCAGGAGCCGAACGAGCCCGCAAGCGCCGCAGGCTGGAGGAGGTCAACTCAGTCTTTGGGACGGGCGCCAGTCGAGCAGAGCAGGCTCAGCAGGACGACAAACTGCCTAAACTCGAGCGGCTGGACTACTCCGTACGCCAGCTCCTCCCCTCACTCACGGCGCTGGACTGATGACCCTCCCATCGCGCAGATCTCCCTCCCCTACCTCAACGAACCCGCCTTCCCCGCCACCGACGTTCCCTTCGATTCATCCACCCACCCACCCTTCTTGATGCGGCTAGAAGGCTCGCATGTCCTTTCTGGCTTGCGGGCGCTTGTGGCGAGCGGTTTGACGGAAGTTGCATCGGACCAGGATAAGGAGAATGCGCCTGGCCGACGCGATGGTGGGAGGCCAAAGAGGACGCCGGGGTTGCCGAGTTGGTTGGGCGAGGTGGCAGGCGAGGGGGTGAATAGGTTGAGTGTCGGGAGGAGGAGGGATGGGACGGTTGGGAGGATTTGAGGGTATGAGTTGCACCAGCAGCCTTCCTGTACATCTGCGCGCCTTCTTCTGTGTTGTCTGTCAATCCCATGGCGCTATACTGCCTTTGCGACCCGCCAAGCAGCGCAAGAGACAGAGAGAAGCGTCCTTGCCTGGGACCTTCTCAGGGGGACTCGGAGGACGTACTGGCCTCAGAACGTTCTTTCGCTTGTTGATTCTGCCACAGCAGCTCCCAGAGAGTGTAAAGGGGCACACACTAGATCAAGCAATGCAAACCACTCAACGCATGCGCATGCGGGTTCGACGACATGATTGGAGACTTACTTTTTCTCGTTTTTCGATCGCTGTAATGGCTCTTTTGTGGGAATTGCGCGACGAATACACTAGGATTACACGGTCGGTGGCTCGCCAGATTACCAAAGGCTTGGTGTCTGCTCGTGAACACCCGGTCGAGTCGACCCACCTGCGCAAGTGGATGGGGCAATAGACTCGTTGAATGGGCGTGCTATTCAGTTAGGTTAACTGAACAAGATAGCGCGTCCAGCCGGGGGTTCTTGTCGGGCAGAGGACGCCGAGCTGGTGAGAGACTTCTCTTCAAGCAGCCGCCGCGCCGCCTCGTCGCGCGAAACCCACTTTTTGCTGCTCAGCCGTACATACTGCTGCTTTCTAGACTGCGCTATACTCTCTCTTGCCACGCCCGAGCGAGCGAGGCGAGACGGCGACGCGACCAACTTTCTCGCCGACTTCACACCGCTTCACATGCTCTGACCCGGCGAGATGCCCTTCTTCCAGGCTCCGCTGCGCCTCGACGACTTCCAGCGTGCGAGCTCTGCCTTCCCCGCCGCCTCGTCCTCGTCCGCACACCGCGACCCGGACTCGCCCTCTCCAAACAAGAAGAGACGCGTCGACTCGGTCCCGCCGGCCCTGGGCGGCAGGAGGAACTCGGCTGGAGCGAGCGGGAGTAGCAGGTGCGCGTGTCTGCCTTGCGCGAACGCCCAACGAGCGAGTCGAAGCTAACCTCGCGCGACGACAGTCCCGCACCGCGCTCTGCAGCTGCCGCTCGCAAGTCAGAGACCGATGCGGCCCGGCGAGCAGAGATCAATGCGCGGTACGAGGAGCTCACGAGGGATCAGGCGCGGTTGCAGGCTACGCTGAGGCTGCAGGACGCGTGGGAGGATATCCAGCGGAGGCATTCGACGATGCCTGGGACGGGGACGCCTGCTCCGAGGGCGAGGGCGGCGTCGGTGGGCGGAGGAGGAACGCCGAGAAGGCACAGACCTGGGAGGAGCAGGGCGATACCGGTCGAGGAGGACGACATTATCGACTTGAGCACCCTCGACTTCGTCGAGGACCGCGGCATCTTGCGCAACAGCAAGGCTGGAGGGTTTGCCATTGGCGCTTACGGCGGCTCTGGGACGGAGGGCATCGTGGTCGGGTTGGATACCGGCGGCGGAGACGACGACGGGACAGAAGCGGACGAAGACGAGGAGGAGGAGGAAGAGCTCGAGGACTACACCGACTCGGACGCCGAGTCGTACACGTCTGAAGACGAGCTGGGCGAGCTCGACGAGCTGCCTTCGCAACCCTCGCTCGTCTTTCGCGAGGAGAGGCGAAAGGAGGCGGAACGGCTCAAGGAGGTTCTCGAGTTTCAGCAGCAAGAGGCGCTTGCGCGAGGCGTGTCTTCAGGACCGTCTAGCCGCGCGACGCCGAGACCTGGGAACGAGACTCTGCCGGCGCCGGTTGCGGCGGCCGACGAGGACGACCTCGACCTCTTTGCGACCTCTCCGCCTGCCGCTTCGACTCCTCGCCGCCGCCAGTCCTCCTCGCCCCTCGTCAGCCCCTCAAAGACGCCTCAACGCGCCTCACAGCCGCCCCCTCGTCCATCTTCGTCAACCTCCACCCTCCGCCGCGCAGTCGACCACTTCCACCTCGCCTCTCCCGCACCTTCTTCTCGCGCCAAGTCTCGTCCGCTTCCATCATCGCCCTCTTCGCGCGCATTCTCAGCTCCTCCGAAACCGATCTCGCGCGGGAAAGCGGCGGGACTGCCGACTCCGCCTTCGTCTTTCGCGGCCGGACGGGCGTCGCAACAGGCGGGACCTTCACGACCCGTGAGTTCAGCGTCCACAGGCTTCACGACAACTGAGCTGACTTGGACTCGCACACAGCCTCCCTCGACCTCGCCCCTCCGCGAAGTCATCTACATCGACTCGCCCAGCCCTTCGCCCTCTCCCGCACCCGAAGCGCGCCGCCCTCACCGCCGCTCTCCCTCTCCCGAACTGTTCGGCGATATGTCTCCTCCCATCCGCCGCGCCGCCTCGCCTGAACTCGTCGCTGGCCCTTCAACGTCGAAGCCAAATCAAGTCTTCCAGCGCCCAACGCCAACTCCGACTCCGCCCCCGCCCCGTCCGGCTCCGCCTCCAGCCGCAGCATTCTCCCTAACGCCTGCTAAGCCGGCAAGCGCAACCAAGAAGCCCCGCACGAAACCGCGCCAGCATGCGTTCGAACTCATCATCGATGTCCCGGCTCGGCGGTCCCGCGCGCCTGCGAAAGTGGCGACTAGCAAGCCGATGCCGAATCTCGCTTCTACGTCCGAGGTGGACAAGCCGGTTAGCCGGCGCACGAGCGGGTTGAGTACGCCGCCGCTCTCGAAGGGACCGAAGGATGCGCCGCGCTCTGCCTCGATGCGGCCCTCGCCTTCGATGACGCAGAAGGCTAGTTCGTCTAGGTTTGCGCCCACACCAACTGAAGTCCTGCCTGCTCCGCCGCAACTGCCGGCGTCTGCGACGGACTACGAGGAAGACGAGTTGTTGCTTAGCTCGCCGACGAAGCCAGCCCGCGCCACGCCAGCTCGTCGCATGTCGCTTCCTCCGCCTTTCAGGACAATGTCGGTCGGACCGTCGGACCGGGCAAAAGCGACTGCGTGGATGTCGGGGGGAAAGAAGGCCAGTTTGAGTGCGCTGGGCGGTCGGGACGTCTTCGCAGAGGACGACGACAGCGAGGACGAGCTCGGCAAGTGGTAGTACACTCAATGCAGCGCTTTTGACGTTTCTATCGTGTCTTTGCGAGAGTTTGTGTTCGTCGCTCGTCCCGCTTCCGCTTCTTGACCTCGTCCGCTTCACTCTCGTCTCGCTGTCTCGCTCTCTTCGAGCTCGCTGTCCACCGTGGCAGGCTCACACCAACCTCAGACGCTCTCGACGCGCCACGCCGTCTACCTCGTCGACCTCCTCAGCTCGCTCTCCTCAGCATCCTTCGTCCTCGCCGCACTCATCTACCTCCTCTCGCCCTCGCACTTCCTCACGCTCATCTTCCGCCTCGCACTCCAGATCCAGTTTACCAACCCGCGCCGCGTACACCCGGAGCGGAGTTTGCGCTTCTTCGTTGCGTTGTGGGGAGTGCAGGCGGGAGTTGCGGCGGTTGGACATGGGCTGTCGGGGAGTCAGGGGACGAAGGGGAGGCTGGGATATGTGCAGAGGGGAGTGATGCTGGACTTTGTGGGCCAAGGTGCGTGTCGAGGCGAGGTCGCTCGCGTTCGCTCACTCGGAGCTCTCGCTGATGCTCCACGCTCTCCTCCCATGCACAGCCGTCACGCCTTCGACATTCCATCTCGTCGCTCTCGATATCATCCTCGCCATCCTCCAACTCGCGACCCTCCTCGTCGCATTCGGCGCAACAGTCCCTTCCGACCTCGACTCCTCCAGCAGCGGCGAAGCAGGGCGAGACTATGGTCCTTTGCTCGGCGTAGATGAGGAGGAAGTGTTCGACGAAGAGGAGGGAGACGAGGCGGGACCGGGTGGAAGGAAGCGGAGAAGGAGCCGGAATGGGTATGAAAGTGTCGAGTTGGAGGATGAGGAAGAGGACGGACAGTGGATTGGCGGTGCAGGAGACGCGTACGGTCCTTGTGAGCCCTTCTCTCGCTCTCCGCGAGCTACGACAGAGCTGACTGGAGTGCCTTTGCAGCCTCCGCCAAACCCCCTTCACCCGCAACTTCCTCCTCCGCCTTCTCCACCAGTTCATCCTCAGCCCTATCCTCATCACGCTACACCCGCATCCCACTAATCGCCGACTTCCGCCTCCGGACAGTCTGGACAGAAATTGCCCGGTCGTCGCCTAGTCGAACAGAAGTCGAGGATCGGGGAGTTGAGGCGATGGAGGAAGGGCGGGCGGCTGGGTGATACACTCTCGTGGGTGTATTGTATGACTATCGCTCTTGCTTTAGGAGAAGATGGAGAGACGAGATGCGTGCGTTACAAGGGAGAGAAATGGCTGCGAGAAGCGGATGGGTATGCTAGAACTAGGTAGGAATCGGACGAGGGGGACGACGCAGGGCGAACAAAGGAGACACGATAGATATGGGTGAGAGAAGACAGCAGCTCCATGCGGGGTATGCGGGACGAAGCGAAGGAGAGGAAGAGCTAGAGACAAGGCGGCGGAAGTTGGCGAGGAGCGCGATCAACCCATGCTGAGGTCCTTGAGGAACTTGTCAAAGTCGTCGCGGCGGACTTCGACGACGCTGGCGTCGAAGTAGCGCTGTTGGGCCTTGGCCTTGGATTTCATCGCGGCCTCCTCGAAAGCTTGGCCGAAGCGGCTATGAAGAGCGGGTGGGTCTTGTCAGTACGCGCTTCGCGCGAGGCGAGAGAAAGCTGAGCGCGACTCACTTCCGTCGAACATCGCCAAACTCGTCAGCCGGAACGACTCCGACCACGAGGAACTTGTCCGTCTGCTCGTTGAGCGCCGCGAGGACGAACGGCAAGTTCTTTCCGCCGCCGTTCCCTCCCGCCGCTTGCTGCTCAAGCATACTGCGAATCGAGTCGACGAGCCAGTGCGCGAGGCGGAGGAGCGTCGAAGGGTGCTGGAAGACGACGAGGTCCGGTCCGTCTTTGATCACGGTTAGTCGGTAGGTGCGGAGAGTGCGGATCGCGGCTTTGTCGAGGATGTAGGAGCCTTGGGAGGTGACGGCGCGGTGAAGAGCCATCGAGAGGGGGAGCGCTTGGCGGAGGAGGGTGGTGCTGAGAGGGCGTAGAGGGTCTCAGTCCTAAATGTCGCACGCAGCACAGAGAGGACGCAAGGGAGCTGCCAACTCACTCTTCCGGATCGAGCGCGTCCCACGCATACCAAAAGTTCCTCCTCCTCGCCTCGCTCTCGTCCCTATCGCGCTTCTCCCTCTTCTCCTGATCCGTCATCTCCTCCTGCTCCCCGGCTTGGACCGGCCTGCGATTCTCCTTGTCCTCGCCTTTCGCAACCCAACTCTTGATCCCCTCGGCCCACTCCTCCCGTCCGCCATGCTGCGTAGCCGCGTTATGTTGGCCCATCCCTCCTCCTTCCGGCGCGCCTCCAGCAGTCCCAACCAACGCTCGTCGCCCATCAACAGCCGCATCGAAATCCAACCGTACGCCCGTCGCAGCCTCCAGGATCGCCGCGAGGGCTTCGACGCAGTCCGAGGCAGACAGGTCGACTCGCCAGCCTGATTTGCGGACGAAGGAAGGGAAAGTCAAGTCCCACAATCCGTAGGCGGCTTTCTGTTCCGAGAGTTTGGGGTAGAGAGAGGTCTTGAGATCGGTCGACATGTGGGCGTAGGTTTCGGACGATTCTTGCAGTGAGAGGCTGTTCGCGCGCCAGCCACAAGCATATCAGCGTCTCGCTACGTGTGTAAGAGAGAGCCGACGAAGAACGCACCCCATCTTGGCGAGCAACCCACTCAACTTCTTCCTCCCCTCGACCGTCCAAAGCTTCATCTTGCCCCCCAAATACGCCGAATGGAACATCGAGTCGTACAGATTCCAATGCCTGAACAAACACACGCGCAGTTCCTCGCTCGGTCGGATCGAGCGGTCGCGTTCGGAGGAACTCGAGTGCGTCGAGGAGATTGTGTGTGTTTGGAGGGCGGCGAGCGAGGAGGAGAGGCGGGCGACTTCGGTCGAGAAGAGGGGTTGGAGGAGCTCGTAGGTTGAGAGGTCGAGAAGGGCGTTGGTGAACTGGTAGGTCAAGCCGAGAATCGCGAGCCTGTCCGCCCTCCCATCCTCCGTCAGTCCCTGAGTCTTCCTGCCGGCAAAGCGGCGATGACGCACCAGACTGCATCGAGATCCGCTCGACCGAGTCCCTCAGCCAGGACGTACATCATCCCCGCGACCGACTGGCCATACGACGACCCCTTGGCCTCATACTTGGCCAACTGCGCCCTATACGCCCTCCGCTGTTCTCGCGTCAAAGGCTTGGGCTGCACAAACACTCGTCAGCCTACGAGAAAGGAAGGAAGAGGAGGGGATCCGACGCACGGAATCGGTTCGTCGACGTTTTCGCTTCGAGCGTTGAGAGTCGGGGTCGTCTGAGTCGCCCGAGTCGGGGTCTTCGGGCTCGTCTTCCGAGTCTGAGTCGTCCGAGTCGGATGGTGGGTAGGGCTGTCGAAGCGCGCGTGCAGGAGTCAGCGAACGCGCGCTTCGTGAACAGACCTTCCCAAGCTAGGCTGCCGGCCTCGCTCGAGGAAAGGCTTGCTGCGAACGCACCTCGAGTTCCTCCCACGCCTCTCGCTCTTTCTTCCACGGCTCCTCGACCGCGCCGTCCTCGGCCGCCTCCTCCGTCTGCTCCCTCACCTCGTCCCAAACAACCACAGAAAGCTCCTCCTGCGGCAGCCCTCCCCCTCCGCCCATCCAAGGCGCCCTCGCTCCCTGCCTCTGTCTCCGCGGATCGAACACAGCGCGGGCGTAGTCGGATCGCGTGAATAGATTCGAGAGGTTGATGGGACGGTGAGAATCGAGGACGTGTACCATGCACGAGGGGGGAAAGTCGAGTGCGCCGGGGGTGATCGAGTCTGGGGGTCCGAAGAGGGCGTAGAGGTCGGCTGTGGAACCGAAGCCGATGAGGAGGAGGTTGCGGACCTGCGAGTGAGGAGGGCAAAGTTAGCGAGGTTTTCGGCGTCTTCCGCCGCCTTCGCCCGAGGGATGGAGGGGGAGTGAGACGCACGTCCTCGTCCCTGAGCTGCAACGCCTCCTCATGCAACTGCACCCAGCTCCCGACGGGCACCGTCTGGTGCGCGACATCGTCCGTCTTGAGCATCCCACTGAGCAGCCTCGCGGCACAGAGCGCGTCTACGTCTGGCGCGACAAAGAGGTAGGTCGTGCATGCTGGGCTTCCACGGGCGCGCGAGAGGATGTGCGAGTAGGCGACCGAGTACGAGGTCGAGGGGATGTGCATCCTCGTCCGCTGCTGGTCGCGCGAGTCGCGTGGGTGGGTGAATCGATGTCGCCCAGTCCAGCTGTCGTGTCGGCGAGTGTGCCAGTTGAGCTGGTGAGCGAGTTGAGCGAGTGCAGCAGGTCGCGGGTTGTCGTGAGCGCGCGCGTGCGAGACGAGACTCGTCGCGTCCCCCTCAGGACTCGAGGGGAGGCTGCAAATTCGTATTACTCTGACATTACACTCGAATTTGTATTCAGCTCATTACAACCCACTTCAACGCTCCCAGCTCGCTCTCTTTCTTCACCAAACTCGACACCGCTCGGTGAGTCCGCGCTTCAACCGGTGCACGGCTCAGCACGCGCGCGTGTGTCCTCTACACGGATGACACCTGATTCTAGATGACGAGTCCGAGGGGCAGGATGGCGGTTCCGTACGGGACCCCTGCCTCGTCGTGAGCGATACCCTCTAGGCTACCTTTTCTTTTGGCTGAACAAACGAACACACACACGCACGAGCACTGCACACAGCAACCATACCGACTCGAGGTGAGACGAGCTGAGCTGACCTTCCTCGTCCTCGTCCTTGCAAAACAGGTTTCTCCCGCTTCAGATGCCCCCGCCGCAGGCTTCGTACCTCTCCCGCACATCCGACAAGGGCTACGACCCCGCCACGCTCTCAGACGACGAGCCAGACAGCGACAGCGGGTCGGTCACCTCGCGCTCGACATGGACTTCTTCCGCCGCTGCTGGCGCTGGGGACGAGACGGCCATCCTCGGGCTCGTTGATGGGCTCATACCCGAGGACAGGCTCGCTGAAGAGCTTGCGGATTGGAAGATCAGCAGGGTTGGGGGCTTACCCGTACGTCCTCGTCAACGAAACTTTGCATTCCTCTCTTCCCACTCGCTAACCCCGTCGTCACCCGCACAGTCCTTCCCTCTGACTCACGCACCCCCACCCTCCTCCTCTCACTGCCTTTCTTGCTCCCAGCCCATGCCCCTCCTCCTCCAACTCTACTGCCCGCTCCCCTCCTCCACCCTCGAACGCGTCCTCTACGTCTTCTCCTGCCCGCGCCCACAGTGCAGGCGCAAAGAAGGAGCTGTGAGGGTTTGGCGCGCGAACGGGGTTTGGAGGGAGGGGAAGGTTGAGGAGGAACGGAGGGAGAGGGAAGAGAGGGAGAGGGAGGAGAGGAGGGAACGGGCGAAGAACCTGGATTTGGGTGGACTCGTCTTTGCGTCGTCGTCGGGGGTCGAGGCGAACAAGTCTGCCAATCCATTCAACCCGTTCGCACCTCCATCGTCCGCGTCGGCGTCGTCGAACCCGTTCGTCTTGCCCGCATCGTCTTCTACCGCTTCCGCTACGGCTTCGACAGCACCAGCAAGCAACCCTTTCGCATCCACCTCGAACCCCTTCGCCGCGCCCGCCCCTCCTCCCTCGCCCGCGCCAGCCGCATCCTTTTCGACCACCTCTCCTCTCGCTCAAACAACCTCCTCCTGGTCCTCGTCCTCGCACTTGTCCTCGACGCTCCCTTCTCATCCCGCTCAGTACCTCACAACGATGTACGAGCCCCCATCTTCCACCTCGACGTCAAAGGGGAAAGGAAAGGGCAAAGAGCGGGAACTGGCGAAAGCGCTGGAGGTGGGTTTGCGACTCGACGCGGAGGACCATGGGATGGATTCCGACGACGACGACGAGGAGGGCGGTACGAGGCGCGCAGGAAAAGGTTCAGGAGGGAGGGTGAAGAAAGGTGCACCCGTCTCAGCAGGGGACAAACGCAAGACTGGCTCAGCGGCAGCAGGTGGTAGTGGGGGAGGAGGAGAGTGGCAGAAGGAAGGATATGAGGTGCAGAAAGTCAAGGGAGTCGATGAGGTGTTCTTGAGGTTTCAGGAGCGGGTTGCAAGGGAGGGGAGACAGGTCGTTAGGTGCGTTTCGCGCTCTGCTCGACTCAGCGTCTGTCGCGTGCTTGCGAGGCTATGAAGCTGATGGGCTCGGCCGCATGTTGTACAGATACGAATACGGCGCCGAACCCCTCCCTTACACGGGTTCTTCCTCCGCCTACCGCATGCTCTACCGGTCCTCCTCCTCAGACTCTCTGGGCCACTTCTCCCCCGCCCACCTCCCACCCTGTCTCTCCTGCCGCTCCCCAACAACCTTCGAAGCCCAACTCATGCCTCACCTCGTCTCCCTCTGCCCGGATCAGGACTGGGCGACTGTTTGGGTTGTTAGTTGTAGCCAAGAGTGTGGGGGAGGTGCTGGAGGTGAGCGAACGGAGGAAGGGGACAATTGGAGGGAGGAGAGGGCGTTGGTTGAGTGGGAGGAGGAGGCGGTTTGAGTCGGTTCGTCCGGCGACGGCGGGTGTGTCGAGTCCGGCGTGGCCATGCAACACGTCTCCTTGTGTCGAAGGATTGCGAGCAAGAGACTCGTTGGCTGCGTGAAGGAGAGAAAAGCCGCGATGCTGGCCTTCGCAACTTTCTCGAGAGGCTTGCTCGACCGGCATCGACTTTGCTGCTGTCTGGCGAGAGCTGCAAGACGTACCTCGACGTGGACTGTCCTCAGCTGGCAAACTCAACACCCGCCCTCCCTCACAACTCAACCTCTCGTCCTCACACGCCTTTGACCTTCACCACTCGCTCACAATGTCCGCCCGACCTTCGCGGACCACGCGAAGCTCAGCATCAGCCACAGCACCAGCAGTTGGGCCCCCCACCGGCCTCCGCACGCGCAAACAATCCTCCCTCGCACCTCCCCCTCCGCCTCCTTCAACATCAGCCAACACCGCCCGCCGCACAACCCGTTCGTCGCGCTCGACTACCCCCGCTCCGCCTCCGGAAGTCAAGGTCACGCAGACACGTGCATCGGTCGCTCGAGCTGCCACAACAACCTCGGCTGCGACGCGTCCGCTTCGAACTTCGTCGAGGCTGAATGTTACGAGTCTTCCGCCTCCTACGACGCCTGGCGTGCGACGAGGAGCGTCTTTGGCTGTGCCCACGTCGGCTGTCAAGCCAAAGACGCCCGGGCTGTTGAGTCGGATGACGAGCAGGGAGTCGTTGAGGCAGCCAAAGACGCCTGCGGCGCACTCGGGCGCGGTAGGACACCTAGCGAGGGCGAGCGATGGGTTTGAGGGACCGAGGGAACCTCTCAAGGTGCGTCCAAAGCGGCTGGGAGGAGAAGGAGTCGCTCACGTCGCTTTGTTTCGCTTCGCAGGCGTACTTGCGGATCAGGCCTGCGCCGCCTGGCGTTCGTTTGCAGAGCTACATCCAGGTCCTGAACGACACGGATGTACTGATGGTCCCGCCTGCGGTGCGTTACTCCCAGATGCGTGCGCTGAAGCCGGACTGACTGGCTCCTCTCGCAGGACCACCGCTTGAACCCCTCGTCCTCGACCTCCTCCCTCTTCTCCAACGCCCTCCTCCGCTCGTCCAACCTCAACTTGAACCCGTCCTCTCATCCGTCCGGCGTTCCCGACGACATCCTCGCCTCGCCCATCCCTCACTCGCAAGTCTTGACGCCCGACTCGTCAACCTTCGGTGCACTCTACAAGTTTACCTCCGTCTTCCCCTCTCATCCCTCTTCTCCAACCACTTCCACCGCCTCTGGGTCGAAAGAGAGCGGCCAATCCCAATCCTCCTTCTTCCGAGCCACGACTCTCCCCCTCGTCCGCGATTTCCTCCAGAACGGCGAGAACTGCCTGCTGTTCGCGTATGGGCCGACGGGGAGTGGGAAGACCTTTACGGTGCAGGGTGGAGCGGGGGAGGAGAGGGGATTGTTGCCGCGCGTCGTGGAGGTCGTCTGGAAGAGTCTTGAGAAGAAGGTGCACTCCCGACTGCGCGATGCGAAAACCGTGTCCAGCAGTCAATGCTGACCGGCATCGCTTCTCCGTGCCCGTCGGACTCTGCAGCGCGCCATGCCTGGACAGTTCACCCCGCCTCGAGCAGCTCCTGCAGGTAAACCGATGACCTCGACTCCGAACGCCAAGTCTGCCGACGAGACTGCGCCTGAGGACCCTGACTGTGCGTTCGCATTCCATTCCCGCATTGCGACTCGAACGCTGAGTTTGACGCTGCACTCGCAGTCGTCCCCGTCGACCAGAACTACGAGTACGCGGTCTGGGTCTCCTGTACGTCCGCGCCGTCTGCCTGGCAGTATCCGTCTCGCTCACACTCTCGTCTGCAGACTCGGAGATCTACAACGAGAAGATATACGACCTGCTCGAGTCGCCCATCCCGGCTCCCACGCCCTCGACGCCCGCTGCTTCCGTTTCTTCAGGCGGCGGGATGCTCAAGGGTCTGTTCAAGAATTTCACGACGGTCAAACGGAGCGCGTTGAGCCTCAAGGCGGACAAGGCACCTGCGGCGGGACAAGGTGCGACGACGAAGGTTGTTGGCGGGTTGCAAGAGGTCAAGGTATCGAGTGCAGAGGTGCGCCGCTCCCGCTACCATCGGAATCTTGATTCGCCGAGGAGCTGATTAGTGCTGGTGTTCGCGAGCACAGGAAGCGCACGCTGTCCTCTCGCGCGGCCAGTCGAACCGCCGCGTCTTCAGCACACTCGCCAACCGCGCCTCGTCCCGCTCACACTCGATCTTCACCATCAAAGTCGTCCGCACCTCGCGCGTCACCGGCTCCGAGTTGACTAGCCGATTCAGCATCGTCGACCTTGCTGGGAGCGAGCGCGTCGTCCATACGCAGACCACGGGCGACAGGCTGCGCGAGGCTGGCAACATTAACAAGAGCTTGATGGTGCTCGGACAGTGCATGGAAGTGCTTAGGAAGAATCAGGAGCGAGAGAAGGGGAGAAAGGTGCGCTTGGCCCACATCACCGCCAGACCTTTCGGAGCTTCCGAAGGAGATCTGACTTTGCAAAACGTACACGCGCAGCCCGCCATCGTCCCCTTCCGCCACAGCAAGCTCACGGAGATGTTCCAAAGCTTCTTTGTCGGCGACGGCAAAGCGGTTCGTCCCTTCCGCCGACTTCCCTCTCGCCGATCACGCTGACGCCCTCATTGTCGCGCAGGTTATGATCGTCAATGTCAACCCCTACGAAACCGGCTTCGACGAGAACTCGCACGTCATGAAGTTCTCAGCCGTCGCCAAGGGCGTCATGACCGTCAAGCGGGGGCCGGATGCTGTCGTCGTCGCCGCTGCTCCCGTCCCGGTTCCGCAAGAGCTGAAGACATTGCCGGAGGTGAAGAAGAAGGCTGAACCGAGGATCGTGCGGCTGTCGCTCGTCGAGGGAGGCGAGGAAGAGGAGATCATCTACGAGGGTGCGTGCTCTTCTCGCCGTTCGACTCCTGCAATCGCTCAACGTTCTCACGCGCACAGAGGAGGATCTGTCCGACGACGAGGACGAGGACGAGTTCTTCAATGCCCTCTTGGACGAGCTGTCCACCCTTCGCACCGCAGTAAGCGTCTCCCGCTTCCGCTTCGATCGTTCAGCAAGCTGATCCCTCCTCAACGCCGTAGCTCTACGAGTCGCAGCTGAATGCCGAGCTCGTCGTATCGAACGTCCGCGCGCAGATCACCAAGGAGTACGAGCAGAAGATGCTCGACATGGAGCGGCGCTTCCAGGACCGGTTGCGCGAAGAGGTGCGTTTCCCCCGCGCTCTTGACGCCCCATGCCGAGCTAACGGATGTCTCGCAGGCCATTGAAGCGGAGAACAAGCTCAATGCCAAGCTCGACATCCTCACCCGCTTGCAAGCAGCCAAGACTCCCGGCCGCGGCGCGAACCGCAAGATTTCGCTTACACCGTCGACCGCGTATGATGACTCGGACGACGGTGAGGCGGGTGAGGGCGAAGAGGAGGAAGAGGAGGAGGTGGAGAAGATGCTCTTGTCGGCGAGTCGAGGGCCGGACACCAGCTTCGCCGAGTCTTCGGTGCGCACGAAGACTCTCTGTGCGCTGCGGTAGACCAGTTGAACTGACGGGATCATCTCTGCAGGCATCCATGTCTCCCCTTGCACACCGAACCAAGGCGATCGGCCGCGACATGGACGACGTCTCGCACCGCGCTGCCTCGAAGGCTCTCTCGCCTCTTGCGCAAGAAGTCTTTGGCGATGAGGAAGAGGAGGACGAGCTCGCCGGGGACGACCGCGAGAATGGCGGGGGCGCCGCTCATGCAGTTCAGCTTGATGCCGAAGCGGACTTGAGCGCCGCTGCCGAGCTCGCTGAGGTCGAACAGCGGGCTGGAGAAGAGGCGTCAATTGTCGAGCTCGACGTGGAGGAGGTCGATGAGGCGGAAGGCTCCAGCGACGACTTTGTCGACGACGGCGCCTCAAACGGATCCGACGCCGACTACGAGGTCTCGCCGCCTCGCAGGAAACCCTCTCCGCTGAAGAAGCCTGTCGTGCCTGACTCGCACACGCCCGTCTCGACGCCCAAGACTCGCGCGGATAAGGAGAACGAGGCGCCCGGTTCGGCTGCTTCGGCGGGTACTGATGGCGCTGGCGGAGACGAGCTCGACGAGGCAGACGAGTTTGGACTCGACAAGAGCATGGTCATTCGCTCGGGCAGCAAGAACAAGAAGTCGAAGCGGTGCGCCGGCCCTTCCTCCTTCCGCAAATGTTGGCGAGAGCTATACTGACTTGCCTGACCTTGCAGGAAACTCGGCGCCAAGGTCGTCGACGTCGAGGACATCGACACGTACGAAGGCATCCTCTCGCCCATCCGCAAGACTCCTTCGAACCGCAACTTCCTTTACTGAGTCCGCCTTCCGCCGACTCGCCTGCGCCCTCCTTTCGTCTTTCGTGTTGTTTATTGTTCCGGCCCTTGCATTCGCGATATCTCACGGTGCATTCAATGCCCTGTCTTGCGGTTTGAGGCGTGCGAAGACAGTGCATCGTCCTCCTTTCGCTTCCTTTGACCTCGGGTGATGGGCTCCATTCATTGCAAGCCCACGCAAGCTGTCTGTACCTTCCACGGCGACAACCTCGAGAGCGAAGCGGATCGAACACCTCGTCGACCACGCGCAAGCCGCTCTCGCTCTCACCGCTCGCTACCATGTCGTCTGCTACTGCCCAGAAGCGTGCTGCGTTTGCTGTCTTGCAGTTCCTCGAGGACTCGCTCAAGAACGGCTCAATCAAGGAGGACGACAAGGAGGGCATCGAGGTTGCGAGTGCGTCCTCCCCACCTCGCGTCGTCAGCCAGCGCCAGAGCTCACGAGACGGTGTTTGTACGCTCGCAGGCCAGTGCATCGCAGAGGCTTTCGGCGTGTCGGGCGAGTCGGACCAGGACAAGCGCGCGTACGGCCTCTCCAAGCCGCTCGCTCAACTCCTCGATGAGGTTCGTTCGGGATCACCGCGCTTGGTCGACGCTTATGTGCTTTTTTCGCATTCTCTGACCTGTGCCGAAGGGTCCCCGATCGCAGGTCGCCGCCCAGACATCGACTGATGCTTTGCCCAAGGAGGCGAGTGCGGAGGACAAGCAGGCTGCCGACGCTGCCAAGTCGCGCGGAAACCAGCTGATGGCGAAGAAGGACTACCCTGGAGCTATCGAGGCGTACTCGGAGGCGATCAAGAAGGATGCCAGCAACCCCGTCTACTGGAGCAACCGGTGTGTCCGCAGTCTGTCTGTCGACCTCGCCAAGCCCTTTCGCCTGACCACTCTTGTGTCCCGCAACACAGTGCCGCTGCCTACTCGCAGGTCCAGGACCACAAGTCCGCCGTCTCGGACGCCCGCGAGGCGCTCAAGATCGACCCGTCCTTCAGCAAGGCGTACTCTCGTCTCGGCCACGCGCTTTTCTCGATTGGCGAGTACCAGGAGGCTGTTGAGGCGTACGAGAAGGGACTCGAGCTTGACCCGACGGTGCGTCCGCCGACTCTGAGAGCGGAGCAATGCGAAGTTGGACGAGCTTGCGAGCTCTTCTACTTTTGCTGCGTAATCTCGAAGTTGTCGAGAGACGCATCTGACGCTATCCCTCTACAGAACGCCACAATGAAGTCCTCCCTCTCGACCGCCCGCTCCCGCCTCCCCGCCTCCTCGACTCCCTCAGAGCCCGCGGCGTCCGCCGACTCCGTCTCGTCCCGCTCGGGTGCAGGCGCTGGTGCCGGCGCCGGTGCAGGAGCAGGAGGGATCCCTGGATTCCCCGGGATGGGCGCTGGAATGCCGTGAGTCCCGCTTCGCACCTTCAGTTTCCGAGCAGTTCTTGACGTGCTCTTTTTGCAGCGACCTGGCCTCGCTCATGAGCAACCCTGCGCTCATGGGCATGGCCCAACAGCTCATGCAAAACGGGGGTCTCGGTACGCCCTTGTCGCAGATGTTCGGCTCAAGGAGTTGAGCGGATTGCTGACTGTTTTCGTCCTGCTTCCTCCCGCTCTTCTACGCGTCTGCCACCGTCCTTCGCTGCTTGTCCCGCTCGCAGAACGTATGATGTCGAACCCGTAAGCTCGCCATCTTCCCTCGCTCATCGACTTGTCACTTTCGCGTCTTTACGAACATATTTTCGACCGATGCTGACTCCTTCCTCAGCATGATGCAGAGGATGATGGAATCTATGGGCGGAGGCGGAGGCGGCATGCCGGACATGAGCGCTCTCATGAACGACCCAGAGTACATTCACTCTGTCGCTTCGCAGCTTTCCCTACTGACTTGGCACTCTCAGGATGCGCCGGATGGCAGAGTCGTTCGGCTCGGCGATGGGAGGAGGTGCAGGAGGTGCAGGTGGTCGCGGTGGACAGGGAGGCAGCAACAACTCGGACATGTACTCTTGAAGAGGGCAGGAAGTCGAGGCGGAACGCAGGAACGGCGTATTGAAGTGCAGTCTGTCTTGTAATCACTTGCACGTATCTTTGGCCATGCAGTCGCTCTTGCTGCCTTCAGCTCGTCGCCTTTCACCTCGTCCGCTTCTTCTCCTCGTTTCGTCTGTTGTAGTTCGGAGCAGCGGTCACTGAGTGTCGAACGCAATTGACCTTGATCCCCCCCGTCCCCTTCACTGCTTCCGCTGTCTCTCGCTCACGATGCGCTCCAAGCTGCCTCCGTGCAAAGTCTGCACCAAGGCAGACTCTGCCAAGTACGCCTGCCCCGTCGACGGCGCTCCCTAGTCAGTCACACCCTCCCTCCTCGACACCGCCTCCTCGAAACTGATGAAGTCGTCTCTCGCCCGCTGTACTCGCGCAGCTGCTCTGTCGCCTGCTTCAAGAAGCACAAAGAGGATGGATGCTTCACCACAGCCAAGTACGAGCCGCCTCCTGCGCCTGTTCTCCCACGAGTCGGTGAGCTCGCCTCGCGCTTCCTCTACCTCTCCTCGCTCGTTGAACACGCAAAGTGCCCGCAGAAGAACGCAACGACACCGATGACCGACCACGGAAGCGGCTGAAGGACTTGCACTGGCCGGCTGAGCCTGATCCGACGCTTTGGGCGGACCCTCTCCAGCGGGACGATGTCAAGCCGCTGCGGCATTTCGAGCTCGAAGCTATCGGTGCGCACACGAGTAGCTCCATTCGACTGTGCGCGCTGTGCTGACCAGCCCTCAATCGCACCAGCCACCTCTCCCGAAATTCGCGCCCTCCTCGCCTCCCCTTCCGGCGTCCGCAATGCCCTCTCCCGCCTCCTCCAGCTCCCGCACCACGCCCGGCCAGCCTCTCTCCGCGTCCTCCTCGGCCTCCCAGCCGAACCAACCCCGAATACCTACCGGCCTGAATCGGGAAGACGGTTCGCGACGGGTCTCGTTCCGCCTGGACAGCAAGAGCGGGACAACTCTGGCGGGAGTCGAGGCGGGCGAGGAGGACGCGGAGGGAGAGGAGGTGCGAGAGGAGGACGCGGTGGTGGACGAGCGGGGGACTATGGGCCGAGAGTGCTGCAGAGTACGGAGGAGGAGCGGAAAGATGTCGAGAAGTTCGCGGCGCGGGTGCTGGAGATCTTGCAGGAGTCGAGGGAGAGGAAGGGGGAGTAGCCTCTCGCAGCTATGTGCCAGGTTGTAAGAACTCGTCTGACTAGCCCCCGGTACGGGACGCGAGTCCTCTCGGTCGACCAGAACTACGGGATGCACAGGGTGTTACATGCTAGACAATGCGAAAGGGTGGAAAGGTGGTATCTACGTGAGAGGTATCTACGCGAAGAGCAAGCGGTATCTACGTTTTTGCGAACTTCGTCCGGCGGTATCTATGTACTTTTTGCGAGTGTGACTGATGTTTATATCGAGAGTCTGCTACGCTCGCTGTCAGAGACAAGCCGAAACAGCGAGCGTGAGAGAACGCACCTGAATCCTAGTAAGCAACGGAGAGCCCCTTGCCCATCTCGATGACGCGAAGCTTCTCGTCGCCTGTCGCCCTCTGCCGCTTGTTCGCGAACCAGTTTCTGACCTGCAGCCTCGACAAGCCTGTGCGGCGCTGGACTTCCTCAACCTGGTGGGAAGCCGGATAATACGCGCCAGCCGCCCACAAGCCTTGGAGAACGCTCAACTCGTACGGCGAGAAGATTGTCCGTTTGTTCGGCTGAGCGGCTTGGGCGTCTCGTTCGCGGATCTCCGAGTCGGCGGGAGGTGCGATGCGAGGGTCGTCGGGAGGGAAGAAGTGGTGGACTGAGTGAGGCGAGAGGACTTGGGCTGGGTAACCGCGACGGAGGATCGAGTAGTCGCCGCGGTTGACGGGTGCGCCGGAGGAAGACGAAGCGGTGGGAAGGGTCGAAGAGCGTGAAGGAGGACGCGGTGGCGCAGCCAACATGCTCGCATCCTCGTCGAGTTCCATCTTGACGGCGCCAAACTCGGACGTCGAGGCGCGCCGAACGAGGTTGCGGTAACCGTCCTGGTTCGAGCGAGGCGTGCGGTGGCGGTCGGTCATCGAGAAGTGTGCGGGTGCGGCGGGTGAAGGAGGTTGACTGGCCGTCGTAGGCGAGTCCAGCTCGATCTGCGAAGCCTTGCGGCGGAGGGAGGCCATGCTGGCCTGAACATTAAGAGGCGGCGGGTGGAAGCGCGCCGAGGACTGCGAAGGCTGGCTTGGACCGTGAGAGGCGGGCGAAGCTGGTCGAGCGAAAGTCGTCGGCTCAGGAATGGTGCGGTGAGACGTCTTCGGGAGCGAGTGGAATGAGTGGGCGTGACGGAGAGGCGAAGGCGGGCGGGCAAAGGACGTAGAACCCGGCACGCCGCGCGACGAGGCTGCCTGCGATGTCGGTACAGCCCCATTCCATCCGTTCTTCGACGACCCTGACAGTCGACCGTTTGTCGCCGACGGTGCTGGAAGACGAGAGCTTGACTGCGACGCCGCTAGGGACGGCAGCTTGGCGCCCGACCTCGCTGGTGACGGCGCTCGTGGCTTTGCGAACGACGCGCCGTTCCCGTTCGTCGCGGCGTGGATGGGCCGAAGGTGGGTGTAGTTCGTCTGCGGCGACGAGCTCGAGTACGCGCGAGGGTCCGAGTTGAGGTGAGAACGGGCGGGAACGGGCGGGGGGAGCATCCGACCTCGTGCGAACGACGGCAAGAGGCCAGTCGGACTCGGTGGCTCATGGGCGCGCACGAGGCCAGATGGGCGCGGATCGTCAGATGTTGACGGCGTCGAGCGCTTCGTCGCCAGATCAAGCGATAGGGCGTAGCTGAGGCGGTGCCCGTTGCGCGAAGGCGGGCGCGAGGCAGGTCCTGCGAAGGACGCTGGCGACGCAGGCCTGCTCACAGCCATCGTCGCAGCGCGAGGAAACAGCGAGGGAGAGACGAGGAGAGAGTCGGAGCAAGAGGGCGAGGTGCGCCAGGCGCAGCCAGTCGGTCAGGAACCGGGGTTGGTTTTCTGTCGACAGAAGACGAGCGAGAGGAGGTCAGACTCCTTTCCGGGCGATAGCGTCAAACGGCACTCACTGACGTTCGCTCCTCCGCATCTACTGAATACTGGCGCCGACATGGTTCAATCTGAAGCAGCAGACGCATGAAGGACGCTGCATGAATGAGCAGGATGAGCCGGACATCGCGCAGGAGGACCAAAGGAGGACCCTCCCCTCGCACAGTCCCCCTCTCACGCGAGCCGGCGCCGCGATCCTAGCGCCAACGGACTCGGCATCCACGAATAAGCATGAGACACGGGGACAGGAGGCGGAGCGAGCGCGAGTGTCGAACAGCGTCAAGTTGCCTTCTCCTCGCTCTTCTCCTCGTCCTTCTCCGTCACCGCCTCCGACTCCTCGAAGTGCACGCTGCCCGTCAAAGAGAACCCTGCCGTCGTTCGAGGACTCGTCGCAGGTGACGGGTCGAGGTCGAAGCTGATACCACGGCGGTGGCTGGACGCCTTGCTCGTGTCCCGGTCGCGGGAGGTCGGGCCGAGCCGCAGCGAACCGCGCAGGTCGGGCTGCTGCTGCTGGAACGAGAAAGACCGTCGAGGATGGAGAGGAGAGGGAGCAGCGCTGAAGCCGTCGAAAGGGTCGTCGCTCGAGGTCGTGCGCTGCGGAGTATGCAGGACGGTCGGGTTGAAGTCCCAGGATGCGAAAGTGTCGCCGTTTGAGGCAGACGCTCGACGACCTGAACGACAAGCGTTGGTGACCGAGAGACGGGATGACCGCAAAGAAGAGGACGCACGACGATGTTGACGGTCTTGCAGTGGAGGCAGGTCGTCGAGAAGAGCCGATACGAGGAAGCCCTTCTTCTTCGCTCCTCGGAAGAAGGGATGTTGCAGGAGCTTCTCGGCCGTTGGTCTGCGGGGAAACGGAGTCAGCTTGGCGCGAACGAGGCGAAGGAGCGGGACGCACCGCTTCGCCGGGTCCTTCTGGAGACAGCTCTCGATCATCTTGCCCATCTCCTTGCTGTACTTGTACTTGCCCCCTTCGCGGTCGAGCTCGGGCGGGTCGTCCATGATCGTCTTGCTGAGCGCTTTCGCAGGCGGGTAGAGCGAGTTTGGCGCGCGGCCTGAGGCGAGTTCGAGAGCGGTGATGCCGAAGGACCAGATGTCGGCTGTGGGTGCTGGGGTCAGCGGCGGATTTTCGAAGAGGAGCGGACGGCTACGCACCCTTCGAGTCGTACGCCTTGCGCTCGACGACCTCGGGCGCCATCCAGCAGGGGGTGCCGACGAACGATTTCCGCGGCGCCATCGCATCTCGGATGATCGCCTCGCCTCTTGTCCCAGACGTCGTGTCGGGGAAGAGGGAAGACGAGACGCCAAAGTCGGCGAGCAAGACGGTTCCGTCATCGTCGACGAGGAGATTCGCCGCTTTGATGTCGCGGTGGATCCATCCGTTCTGATGCAGGTACAGGAGACCGTTGAGAGCTTGCGCGAGTACACATGCGATGACGTCCTCGGGGAAACCGTCGGGAAAGGCGTAGCGCGAGATGTCGAGTAGCGAGCCATGCGCCATGTATCGCACGGCGATGTGCAGTTTCGAGCCAGCGACCCACTGTCCACGCACACGCAAGACGTTCGGATGCTTGCTGAGCGCCATGAGCTGCGTCTCCATCCGTAGTCGCTGGATATCGGCGTCCGTCGCCATGCGGTCGACGTCAATGATCTTGACCGCGCAAGTCAGGGGTTTCGGGCGAGGCGTAACGTTTGCTGGACAGAAGGTCGCCATGTGCACGACTGCTGCTGCACCATAGCCGACAGGCTCGCCAATCTCGTAGTCGGAAGGTCGACAGCTGCAGGACGAGGAAGCGGTGTGAGCGGGCGGAACCTCTTTCATCGAGCGCGCACGCACCTGTATAACGGCCACTCGTCCTCTACCGCACCGATGATCTTGCGCGGCGCAATCGCAGGCATGTCGGCGAGACTAGCAGCCACCGAACCGACCATCGCCTCGAGACGAGCGTTGTCCGGCTCGACCGCCCGCTCCTTGCCCTTGCTCGTCCGGCTGACCACTCGTGAGAGCATGGTAATTGACCCCGCGCTGCTCGCCGCACCGCTCGCGCCGCCGCCGAGCGAGTCGGTGAGTGTGGAGCTGCCACTGCTCGTCGTCGACATTGGGACGCTCGTGTGCCCGCCTATGCTCTTGAGACCCGCCTTGGCACTCGATAGCCATGATGCGCCCTTCTTCGGCTTTGACGAGCTCGAGGACGAGGCGCTTGCAATCGCCATTGCCGGACGACGACAAGGTGGGGAGGACGTAGAGGCGTGCTTCAAGCGAGGGAGTCGGTGAGCGTGATGTGGGCTTCGAGAGGCACCGTAGCAAGCCTAGCCAGCGGGAAGAGCGCGAAGCAGCGAGACCAAGTGAGATGAACGTGGGAGAGAGGGAAGAGGCGAGCAGGAGACTTGCGATTTCAGGTGTGAAGACGACAACAAGGACACAGAAGGTAAGCAGCGAAGTACAAAACCTGACATCAGAACGAATCGGCGTAGTAGAAGCGGGCAGAGGGATCGGGAACGCTGTCAACCGTGACCTCGGCAGGTATCTTGATCCTCTCGCCGCTCAAGTCGAGCAGCTTGACCTTGACGCCAAAGTCGGTCAGCGTCTGGATGTAGTCGGCCGTGGCGCGCGTGACGATGTTGCCGTCGGGGCGGAGAAGCGAGAGGCCGTCGACCCACTCGGAGAAAGCCGAGGCAGACGGAGCGGTGAGCTCAACGAGCGGGCCAGTGTGCGTGTGCAGGGTGAAGGAGAGCGACGTGGTGGTGTCGGGTGCCGGCGCTGGAGACGTAGTGCGGGATGACGAGTCTTTCGAGAGGAAGCTGAGTCGCGACTTTGAGCCTGTCGTGCGCCCGTTGCTCTGGCCTTGTCGACTTGCGGGCGGTCGTTGCGGAGTCGTACCGCCAGTTGGCACAATCTCTGTGATTGAGGAGACTTCGACTGCGGCGAGAAACAGCGTGAGCGAGTCGACACGCGCGAACGACGAGCGGGACTCACTCTTCTCGGGCAATTCATCAAGTCCTGGCCCGATCTCCCTCTTCTCCGCCGCATCAACCCAGTGCAGCACCTTCCGGTTCGGCGCAAGTCGGTAGAACCGCCAGACCTGCTGACCATTCCTCCCCTGGGCCTTCTTGCCCGAACCCGCTGCGCCAGTCGTTGAAGGCGAGACGAGGAACCACGCTCCTCGGTGCAAGCAAGCGATGCGCTGGGCTTTGACGAATTCGTAGGATTCGAGGTAGAGCCTGCCGCGGAGGTTGCGAACTGGCGCTTTACTGAGCAGGTCGTCCTCGATCGCGAGTTCGCGGAGCTGGCGGTCTCGCACGGTCTTGTAGTCGGCGTTGAGGAGTTCTCTGAGAGGCGATTTCGAGTGGCAGGACGTCAGCAAGCCGCAATCGAAGCGGCGGTGTCCAAACGATACGACCGGCAGCGCGACTCACTGTCTGACCTTGAACCAGCTTTTCTCCCCACCCGCTCCTCCCAGCACATACTTGGCCTGCCCTCTCGTTAGCGCCGCAACCCTTTCCACCTCGTCCTCCTCGTTCGTCGCGCCACTTTCGACCCACATGCGCGCGAAGAATTGCACGACGAGCGCGTGCAGCTCATAGAGGCGGAAGAGGTAGGGTGAGGGTGTCGGAGGTGGAGAGGATGGAGGAGAGGTGATCTCGAAGTAGGAGGCGAGGACGCGGAGGACGAGAGTTGAGGCGGTTGAGAGCGGGAGTCGTTGTGCTTCGGGTCGTTTGAGCTGGTCGCGTAGAGTCTGTGCGGCAGGCACCTTCCTGAACGGTCAGTCTGCTGTATGGGCGCAGACAAACCGAGACTTTGGCCAACGCACCTGCGCAAACTCATTCTGCGAATCCTCCGCAAACCGCTTCAAAGCCTTCAATCCCAACAGCCCGGCCCCCTCAAACTCATACTGGGGCGCTTCCGTCTTGAACCCCAGCCTCCTCCAGCGGTTCGTCTCGTCCGTATCTTCCAGCTCGCCCGCGACCCAGACTTCGTCGAAGAGGTGGTAGTGTGGCTCGTCGATGGGAGTTGTGAGGGCGACGTGGAGGGAGAGGAGGAGTTGGTGTTGCAGAGAAAGGAGGGCGGAGAGGTCGGCGCCTTTCGTCTGGTCGAGCAGTTTCTGCGCAGCCAGGATTGTCAGTTCCGCAAACAGGTGAACGTGGAGGGTTTGGGACGCACCCCGACTGTCTTCCACGCATCCAGGTTCTCCAACGCATCCGCAACCCGCAAATCTCGCAGCTCGTTACTCCCCCTCAGCAACGACTCCAACAGCCCAAGACTCAAGTTCGTAACCTCGACGTCGCCAGACGAGAGCTTCCCGACCAAGATGGCGAGGAAGTCGGGCTGGTCGAAGATTGAGTCAAAGACCGCTGAGAAGCCGGTTTCGCCTGCGGAAGAGTTGGGAGCGGTGTAGGGCTGCGAGGCGAGGCGGCGGAGGATGGCGGTTGCGGGTCGAGAGACATTGATCAGAGGCTCAGTCGCTACAAAATGAATAACATTAGCTTGCACTCGTCAGGAGGAAAGGAAAGAAGCGGCACTCACTGACAATCTCAACAATCCTCGCAACGAACGGCCTCCTGATCCCCTCCCACCCCCTCTCATCCAGCTCCAACAACCCCTGCAAGCAAACCAGCGCATACGCAAGCGTATTCCCACTCGCTCGCTTAATCACGCCCTGCAGTGCTTCGACTCCGCCTCGCTTGACGTACTCGCGGAGGAAGAGGCGTTCGCGTATCAGGGTGCGGAGGGTGAAGACGGCTGGTTTGAGGGTTGAGGGGTCGGTCGAGCGAAGCTTGTCGACCATCTCGACTGCTTCGAGCATCGGAGAGGAGACGAGCGTGAAGCTGCGTGCCAACAACGTCCGCCTCAGCCCTTCCTCCTCGTCTTTGAGAAGAAGCAATCGCCGAACTCACTGCGTCCCCTTCTCCAACATCTCCCTCACATTCTCCTCCGTGACTAACTCTCCCCCCTCTCTCTCCCTAAGCGCAAACAACCCAGCCGGCTCCTTCACACCCAACTGGCTCGACGCACACAACTGCTTGACGATCTCCTCCAACGGCACTTCAGGATCGATACGGGCTTTGACTTGGCGAGAGGAGTAGTGGAAGTAGTGCGCTTTCAGCTGGGGGCGGGATGGGGGAGCGGGAGCGGCGGGTGGGGAGGAGGAGGAGGAGGAGGGAGGGACGGGGAAGTCGGAGGCTGAGGGGGCGGCTGCGAGAGGTGCAGCACCGCTTGGAGAAGCCATCGAAGCTGTCCCAGCCAGCCCTGAGCGCGGTCAAAGCAACTCGAGTGATGAGGCTGATGCGAAGAGGAGCGTGAGCCTGTGGAGCCGATGAGGGTGTTGCGGTCGACGAGCAGCGGCGAGCGTTTAAAAGCAGCCAGCAGAGCGCAGACAGACTCTGCACGACGACCCAGACAGCCCCGGAAGCGAGAGAGAGGAAAGGCGCCTTTGCAAGTCTCGAGGAAAGGGCACAAAAAGAGAGGAAGGGGGGAGAGGTTTTGTATGAGTTGGTAGAAGGCAAAGCGCCACCGTCGAACCCTCAACACACTGCTGCTGCTGCTGCGCCGCACATCTATACGCCTCCGCCCCACGACATCGCCGGATACACACGCCACGTTCTGCCTCGACGACAAGTCCTGCGAGAGGTTTACTTGGCAGGAGGGTTGTCTGCACGCAAGCGAGGGTCAGTACAAGCTCAGAGAGCGCGAGGAGAAGCACGCGCTACGCACAGACGAGTTTCCGGCTCTTGATGCCGGCCCACTTGAACTTCTTCGTCCAGATCGAGAGCGCCAACAATCCGGAAAGGATGATCGTCGCCTGCATGCCCATCTTCTTGCGCTGGTCGAGCTCGGGCTCGGACGCCCACGCGAGGAACGTGACGACGTCCTTGGCCATCTGGCTCGTCGTCGCCGGCGTGCCGTCCTCGTACTCGACGAGTCCGTCGTACAGGACTCGGGCCATGCCGATCGCACCGCCAGGGAAGTAGGGGTTGTAGTTGAGGCCCTCGCGGATCTCGACGCCGGGAGGGGGGTCGACGTAGCCGGTCAGGAGCGCGTAGACGTAGTCCTGTGAGTCGACAGCGTGCGCGGTTATCAGTTCGCGCCCTCTAGCAGAGCGCGTCACAGAAGCGAATGCGGACTCACCGCACCGCCGTGGCGAGCCTTGGTGATGAGCGACAGGTCAGGCGGGAGTGCACCGGCGTTACCCGAACGGGCCGCCTCGTCGTTGTCGTACGGGCGGGGGAAGTAGTCCGAGAGCTTTCCAGGGCGCTGGAACATCTGGCCCTGGTCGTCGGGGCCGTCCTCGTACTCGACCTCCTCGGCCATCGTCTTGGCCTCGGTGACGGTGTGCGAGACGCCGACGAGGTTGCGCCACGCGACGCGGTCGAGAGAGTGGCAGGTCGAGCACACTTCGCGGTAGACTTGGTAGCCGCGGCGGATGCTGGGGTGTGGCGAGGCGAGCAGGTGGGGAAGGCGAGGGCACGAGGAGGGGAAGGAGGGGGCGGGAGGATCGAGGGCGTTGGGTCAGTAGCTGCGCGGCATTGTATCCTCCAGAGAACCGCTCCACGCTCGGCATGCACCCTTTCGCACGCGAGAACCGCCCATCGCTCCCGCGAAACGAGCGCCTCCTCATTCGCCCAGCGCAACCTCCCATCACAGAATCTCGAAGGAACGCAAACTCACGCCGAGTGGTCAAACGTCTCAAACATGCCCTTGTGCGCCCACGGGTAAGCCGGAGCGTGCAAGCCATGGTCTGCGGCGCTCTCGGCCTTGACCTCTCCGAACAGAGGGTTGCCGTACAGAGCCGAGTACCACGCGAGCGTCCCGCCCGAGACGAGCGAGAAGGCGAGGGCGGTGCGCGAGGACTGCGAGGCGCGCGCAAAGGCCGACTGCGGAGGTGGACGGGGGTGAAGAGGGTGCGAGTGATGGAACGGGGTCGAGATGGCGAGTCGGCGGTTTCAGAGTGCGCGGCGGCGAGCGTGGGTGTGCAAGTGGTCAGTCCGATATCCTAGATGGTACTGGTGCACCCGGCACGGCTCTTGGTGGGCGTGTTGGGCGAGCGATGGTGGTCGGAAGGACGCGGTGGCATGGGAGGAGCTCACCTGGGCCTGCTGGGCGTGCGAGTGGGCCTGGCGGGAGAAGGCGGCCGCCTTGAACCCGTTGCGGAGAGTGCTGAATCGTCCGCTCATCCTCAAACAGCTGGCAGACTGGGGCAGCGAGAGCAGAGGGGAGGCGAGCGAGGCGAAGGGAAGCGGATTGATTGGCTTCCCTCGCTCTCACACCGTACGGCACACTAGTAGAGTGCTGTAACTGTACTCTGGCACTCTCTCGTCACTGTCCAGCCTTTGAACGGGCGCAGGAGGGCGTGTGGAGCGAGAGACGGCGACCTGCAGCGACACCGTACCCTCGCTCGCTCGTAACGGCACGGGATGGTGCGCTGTGAGCTTGTCGTGCACGAGAAGAGCCTTGCGATCCCTGCAAGCCAGCTACGGCGTCGGACGAGGCGAGTTGAGCGTCACGTGACCGTGTCCTCGCTCTCCTCCTCGTGTGCGCTCACCTTGACCTCGACCAACCCGCTCTCTCTCGCTCGACTGCTTGACTGCTCAGCTGCACAGGCCCCACGATGGCTTCTGACGGCGCAGCTCTGCCCGCGCGCCCACAATTCAAGCCCGCCAAATCGCGCGCCTCAATCGCCCACCTCCCCTCGCTCAACAACACGCCTTCCTCGCTCTCCCTCTCCTCCGAGTCAAAGGAGAACCCCGCTACCAGTGGAGCTAGTGTTGGAGACGCAGGGAAGCGGAAGAAGCGCGCGCAGAGTCTGGGTGGAGACGCCCTCGAAGAGGCCAGGAAGAGGTTGAGGGACGGCAAGGGCGAGACGGGGCTGACGCTCGCTGCTGGACTCGAGTTGAGTCCGGGAAAGATCGAGCGACGAAAGGCCGTGCGTCCACACTCTCCCTCGAGGCCTGCGAAGCGAGCTAACGGTCCACAAGCGCGTGTTTACAGCAACCCCGCCGCTCAATCCTCAAACAACGTCCCTCTCTACACTCGTCCGACTCGCACCAAGGAAACCACACCATCTCCTTCCCCCCTCCCGCGCCTACGACGAACGCCGCACGCGTCACAGCCTGGTCTGAAGCGCACGCGCAAACGACGGACCTTTCGGCGCTGTCTGCTTTCTCCGCCGGCGGGGTGTCGAGGAAGGGAAGGAGATCGTCGCTTAAGCCTCCTGCGCCGGCAGAGTCGTACGATAACAGCGATGCCTCCTCGGACGAGGACGAGGAAGACCCGAACGGCAGTCTCGACATGGACATGACGCGGTTCGAGACGACGGCGGCTTACGACACGGACGGGAGGAGGTACAGTGTCAGTCACACGCGGAGGGTCAGCTTTGCGCCTAGTGCGGCTGTCAGGTGCGTTCGCCTGCCTTTCCTGACCTTCGCAAGGGGAACTGACGAGTAGGGATGTGGCAGGACCTACACGCCCGACAAGCCTACAGCCGACGCTCAAGCACTCGCCGCAGCACGCGAAGCCGCACTCGCCGCCGCTCTCGCCGTCCAACAAACCCCCTCCTCCCCCTCTGCCTCTGTCTCAGACGAGGGAGAAGAACTCGTCGACGAAGGCTACGAAGAGTCCGAGCCGTCGATGGAAATCGCCGGAGACGAGCCCACACTCGCTTTCGCGCGCCACTTTGCGGGCACGCAAATTCCCGTTTCGGTGCTCGAGGAAGGAGAGGACGAGGACGTCGAGGAGCCTCCCACCGGTGCTACGACCGCTGCGAGCGCCCAGCTCCAGTTGTTTGGTACGAGTGCGCCTACTCCCGGACACCCGAAGCCGAGGTTTTCGGAAGTCGCGAGGAGGGAAGACGAGGACGATGAGGACGTGATGCGGCAGTTGGGATTCGCGAGGGGTGGGAAACCCCGGCCTAGCCGAGTTGAAGGAGTTGCGTTTGTGGAGGAGGATGGAGAGGAAGAGGGGGAGGGGGAGAGCAGTATGGAGCAGGAGGATGGGGAGGGGAAGGAAGATGAGACGGGCGCGATGGAGATGACTATTGCAGTTGGGGGGATCCTCGGACAGGCCGGCGCCGATGGACAAGACGACCAGGAGGACGACGACGACTCGAGCTCGGAGAGCGGCGACTCGGAGGCGGAAGTCTCGATGCAGCTCACTTCGGGCGACCGCACGATGGACATGACCTTCGCGACCGACATTGGAGCGGCGAGCGAGCGCGACGAGGACGACGAGATGCAGGATGAAAGTGCGGACATGCAAGACGAGGAGGACGCGACGACCGCGATGGTCGAAGCGACGGCCTACGGATCGATCCTCCCGCCTCAACCGCCTGCGTCCGCTTCGACCGTCGCCGCTCCTCCCCCGCGCAAGACGCTTTTCGCCCCTCGTCCCTCGATCGCACGCTCGCCTTCGCCCTTTGCGTCCATCACGCGCGCCACTTCCGCTCCGCCCGCCTCGCCGCCCAAGTCTCCCTTCCGCCACCGATCCCCTCCCAAGTCGCCGGGGCGCGCTCTGTCGGTCCCGCTCGGCGATGCCGCAATCCGGTCGACGACGCCAACGAAGTCGCCTTTCCGGCAGAGCATGCGCGAGCGGCGGATGTTGAGCGTCAGTCCCGGTCCGCCAAGTCGCTCGCCTCGTCGAATCATCAGCGCAACCGCCTCGCCTGCTCCTCAGCCTCATGCGCGCCGCTCCGTCTCGCCCGCCAAGTCGGCTCACCCTCCTCTCTCGTCGCTCGCCGCCAAGTCGATCCCGCCTCAATCGCCAGGCATCACAGGCCGTTCGCGGTCTCGCTCTCGCTCGAGGTCCGCCTCGCCCGTCAAGCAGCAGCAGCAGCCGAACACGCCAGGTCGCGCAGTCTTCCAGCCTCGCACGCTTGCGCCGCCCATGTCGGCCGGTCGCTCGCCAGGCGGAAGTCTCTCCCTCCGTGCGCTCCTGTCGCAGCCGGCGCAAGCAGCTTCCAACGCGCGAGTCGACGAGCTCCGTGCGGCGGAAGGAGCAGGCGGAGACGACGACCTGAACTTGACCGGCAGTTCGTACGACGCTTCGTTCTCTTCCTCCGCTGCGACAGCCGAAGAGGCCGCCGCCCGTCTGCCCGACTCACTCGACGCCTTCCTCGTCGCTACCGGCACCCACTTCGCCGATGACGAGTTCTTCGAGGTGGTCAACTCGGAATCGACGGCTGCCAAGCGGAGGAAGAGTATGGCTGCGACGGCGCGGGCAGGCGAGGAGGACGAGGACGACGAGACGAAGCAGATGGGTGGAGCAAAGGCGGTCGAACCAACGTTTGCGGATATGACGGTCGCTGCGGCGGTCAAGAGCCTGTTCCACCAGCTCTACAAGTCGGTGCGTCTCGTCCTCCCTCTTGCGCTTGATCGGGGCTGATCTAACATACGGCTGCAGGAGCAAGGGGGCCTCCTCGAGGGGATCAACCAGGCGCGCCAGATGCTCGAAGACTCGGAGCAGCGTCTTCGTTCCGGCGTCGTGCCGCAGGTCTTCAAGGACTGGGCGAACGCGACTGACGAGGCCAAGGCAATCATGAAAGTGCGCGGCCGCTGCATGCCTCTTCTGCTGACGACCTTTGCTAACGACCTTCACGCTCGCAGACCCAGTTCGGCCAGATCAAGCTCAACTACCTCCTCTCGAACAAGCTCGAATGGAAGACCCGCCGCATCCAGAACTACGACCAGGTCGTCGACATCATGGCGCAGAACCTGCAGTTCATCCAGCAGGTTAGTCACCTCGTCCTCCTTGACCACAGCTTCTGCTGACGAGTAAACCTTCGACAGGACCGCGCCGTCCTCGCCGAGGTCCAGACGCAGTTTGAGGGCGTCATCCCCTCGCTCGAGGCGCGCCACGCCGCTCTCCTCGCAGACTTGACGGCCGAGCGCTCGCTCGACGCTGAGCTCTCGTCGATGTCGCCCGAGGACGTCGAGATGCGCGAGAACATGCTCGCCGATTCGGAGGAGCAGGAGTGAGTCAGGCAATCTCAGGCGGAGCAGAGGACAGGTTGCTGACTTGACCTTCGCCGCACGATAGGGAGCAGCTCAACGGCAACCCCGACAAGGGCATCCCCGGTCGACGACCTGAACTCGACCGCATTGAGCAGCACCTCCGCAGCTATCGCGAGACATTCGAGAAGTACTCGACCGAGGAGCAGCGATTGCAGGCCGAGATCGCCGACCTTGAGGAACGGCGGCGCGACAAGCGCACCAAGACGGACCTCGTCCGCCTGCAAGCCGAATCCGAGGCGCTGCAGCACCTCCAAGGATGGCGTCTCGAGCAGTTCAGCACGCAGCACCTCGCCCTGCGCCATTGCGACGAGTTCCTCGTTGGCTTTGAGCTCATTCCCGGCACTCTCGACGTCGTCGCCGCGATCTTCGAGCCGCTCCAACTGCCTCGCAAGGCTCAGTCGGCACTCGGCGCCCAGGTCACGGCTTTCTTGCTCAGCAAGGTGAATGACGAGGTGCAGCGAGTCCTGGCGGACGGGCGCGAACCGAAAGATGCGAGGGTGAGCTCGCTGCCGCTATGCCTGCCTTAGCAAAGCTAACTCTCGTGTGACAGGCCCTGTTGCGCTACATCGCCTCGCGCGCATGCATTATCCGCCACATTCGCTACGAAGTTACCCTCGCCTCGCTCCGCTACCCAACCTCGTTCCGCCTCGTCTCGCACAACGGCTCGCAGGACGACGCAGTTCTGGAGATCGACATTGACGTCTTCTGCGCCCAGTCTCGGCAGGCGTTCGACGTGGTCGTTCCCTTGACGGCTGCCGAGGTCCTCGAGGCAAAGGCGCCGGAGGACTGGGCCAAGGGCATCAGCGCGAGTGTCAGGGCGCGCTTCGGCACGGACATCAACGCGCTCGCTCTCGCGCAGACCGTCAATGAGCGGCTCGAAGGAGGCGACGGGCGAGGTGCGCTCGTCGAGGCGGTCGTCCTCGCCGAGGAGGAGTGCGACCAGGTCGCTGCGTGAGCAGGACTTTCTGACTTGTTACCTAGATACCCCTCGCTTGTTCTGTCTTTATCCCTGGCTGTCCGTATTCGTCTGTCCACTGATGACCCATAACTTAGCTCCTTTGCGCTCTGAAACGAGTAGGCTTTCTCTCGCGGATGAACGACACTGAAGTGAGGAAACTCGTGTACATTGCTGCCGTGGAAGGCTGCAGAGGCTATCGTAGACCGCCGAACCCTCATCCCCTCCTCCGACCCAGGCTGCGCGCAAAGAACGTTAGCAATCACCGGCAGCGATATACCTTTTGTTGGAACATGTGGCGGAGGCGGAAAGGCAGGACGAATGCATGAAGGGTCTGCGGCCCGCAGGACGAGTTTTGGGGAGACGGGCGGGTTAGCGGATAAGGCGAGACGCGGCGGCCGGAACGCATGCTTGAGGAACCCGACGAAGACGGAAGTGAGACGAAAGATGGAAAACAACAAGGACCACGACGACGACCGACGACGGCGAAAGGACGGAACAAGTAGGCAGGACAGATGCCCGAGCGCGAAGAATGCGAAGGTGCGCGGATGCTGATGAAGGCGGGTATCGCGATGGCGGTATCGACGAGGTACGAGCGAGCGTTATGGTGCGGTCGAGAGGTTGAGCCGGAGGTGGAAAGAGGGAACGGCGAGCGACGGTCGACGCCAGGCCGCAATGGATCAGGCTGAAGAGACGGCGACGGACTCGGCAAGACGCGGCCGTTTGGCTTCTGCGGAAGAGACAGTATCGTCAGCACATGTCATCGAATGTGTAGAGGGGACCGGAAGGCACCATTCGACGCCTGGTCATCCGCCCCCTCCAGCCCTTCCTCATGCTCGAACTTCCGGCTCCGTTTCGGGCTCGTCGGCGCCGGCATTTCCTCGCTCGTCACCGTAGCAATTTCGCTTGTAACTTCGACGCCGTTCTCGCCCGCCGTAGCGGGAGCGGCGGAAGCGTCGAAAGCCTCGTCGTAGTCAATCACGACATCGGTCTGCTCAGTCGGTTCTTCAGTCTCCTCGGCAGCTGTTCGTGAACGATTCATCAGCTCGTGTAACCGGGGGTGTGAGAGAGGAAGCCACGCACCAGCCGAGAGAGTACCGTTGGCCCCGACAGATTCGACAGTAGCGTTGTTGACAGCATCTTCGGAAGCAGTCTCGGCGGGCTCACCCGCAGCAGGAGCGTCGGCAGTCGGCGTCGATTCGTCGTCGTGCGTGCCGTTCGTCTCGGTAGGCGCGATGTTGTCGAGAGTCTCGGCAACGATCGTCGACTCTGCACCCTCGTTGGCAGGGTGCGACTTAGCGGATCCGGCATCCGTCTGAGTCGCCTCGACGGTGTCGACGGTCGATTCAGCCGGCATTTCGGTCGAAGCCGGTTCGCCAGACCCGGCGACCACATCCTCCGTCTCGGGAACTTCCCCCTCCTCACCAACTTCGAGCGTCCTTTCCTCCTCTCGCGCATCTGCCCCGGCCTCTTCGCCCTCCGCTACCTCGACAACCTCCTCAACCTGCTCCTCTGCTCGTTCCTCGTTCGCTTCCGCCTCCGCCGATGGTTCCTGCTCCTCACCCTCTTCTCGCGCCTCGGCTTCTCCTCCTTGCTGCTGCTGCTCCAACAGAAGATCCTCTTGCGCAACCTCGACGACAGCAACGACGTCGTCGCCATCGAGTTGTGCAAGCGCCTGGTCGAGGTCAAAGTCGTCATCGCCTCCTTCGCCCTCACCCTGTCCTCCTTGCGTCTCGACCGCCTTTTCGCCTTCGTCCTCTCCGACTTGCGGCAACTCCGAGTCAGGACCGTCATGATCGTCCGCGACACCTTCCTCCTCCTCCTCTCCCTCCTCACGAAACTCGCCCTCGCTCCCCTCCTCCGCAACAAGCGTCACGCTCTCCTCCCCCTCCTCCAGCTCCTCCTCTCCCTCGCCCTCCTCACTCGCACCACTCGCGATCCGCGCGATGTGCTCAGCGAGGGCGTTAAAGCCTGTCGCGAAGCACGGTTGGGCGTAGATGCGCGCGTGAAGGCGGCCCGGGATTTGGCAGCCTGTGTGGATGCGGTCGAAGTCGAAGAGGGTCACTTGGCGAGAGTAGATGTTGTCCTGCGAATGACGATACACGTCAGTACGGAGGAAGCGGGAAGAAGGAAGATGGGCACGCACCTCGCTAAGCGAGATACCGATTTCGTCAAACTCGACGACGAGCTCGTCGCCTTGGTCGCGCAACTCCTCAATCTCCTCCCTCACGACGCGGAAGAGCGTCTCGAGCGGCTTGTAGTACAGCTCGTGTCGCGCCGCATCGCCGAACAAGAGCGGCAAGTCTTCCTCTCCTTCTTCCGTCTCGGTTCCGGCATCTTCGCTTGTCGAGCCGATATCACGAGAAGGGTGGAAGAGCGTCCAGGTCGTCGAGTCGTGCGTGAGGTAGACGACGGGCACATCGCGCAAAGCTGAAGTCGACGGGAGAGTCGGGACCTCGATTGAGAGAAGCGGGTCTTTGTCGACGAGCGGTCGGAGTGAGTGCTCGTTTGAGCCTCCGTCAATGCCGTTCGCACCCGTCTCGACTTCCGCAAGATTGACGCCGGACTCTGGCATTGACGTCTTCGGCTCCGCGATCGTCGCACCGCCAATTTCGGCAGACGGCGAGGTTTCGTCGACATGCGTCGTCTCCGACAACTCGACGACGTCAAGCTGCGCGCCCGCAGAGGTCGCCTCGATGGCCCCGACGTCGGTCGACGTACCGGTCGCCTCGGTCGGTTCTAGGTCGCGTGCGGCGGATCCGCTGTCTCCGACTGACGGCGCGAGCACGGGCGCTGCCGTCTCGACGATAGCAACGTCTGTCTCGATGGGCGCAGAAGCGAGGGGAGCGGGAGTCAAGATCGTCTCTGAAGGAATCGGGATGGGGACTTCGGGGGCAGTGGACGCCGAGGGCGGCTGGAAAAGCGTCTCGCTCGGGTTGTCGAGTTCGATGTGCGTCGTCAAGGGTTCTGACGCGATTACTGGTGTAGGAGAAAAGACGGGCGCGGCGGAAAAGGCTTCGAAGGGTGCGGAAGTGGAGGCGAAGGACGTGACGGGCGCAGACGAGGTCGGGAGCGTCTCGTCGTCGTCTGCAAGGACTTCAGGGTCACCCTCGTAAGCCGTCATGAACGTCGCGTCCGCCTCGTGGTGCGCCTCGTCGTCGCGCATCTCTGCCTCGTCAACCGTGGTCCCCTCATCGTTCATCTCGGCGTCCCCACCTCCTCCTGCGGCCATGGGCTGCTCGCCACCGCCGTAGTCAATCGTCATGTCTGCGTCTGAAGCCTGCAGCGCGGCGACAGAGGTCGATGCCTCGGCGTCCATGCTGACTGGGTGATGGCGCGTTGCCAGGGTCGCCGAGAGCGTGTGTGGGCGTGCGAGCAGGCGTGCTGGGTCCAGATGAGCTCAGAGAGGCGTCCTGAGCGACCTGGTCACCTTCTGGCGGCACCTCTGTCGTGAGCGGTCGATGGAAAGCGAGAGAGCTTCGAGGTGGGTTGGCCTCTCTCCCGCTACGACGGCGACACCGCTGCGAGGGGGCTTAGCAGACGTAGAGCTGCTCAAAAGAACCCTACTTATCTGTGCAGAGTAGTCTCAGCTCTCTCCACGCTGATTTGACCGACCTTCTTCTCCTCCTTGCTCGCTTGACCCGGGATTTTCTGAGATGCTCGAGCTGGCTTTCGTACGCTGCGTTGTCTGCGTGGCTTGCTCGAATGCAGAGTCCACGAGGTTGTGCGCTTCCACGACTTTGCTGGTCACGAGACCGCGGGACTGCCTTCGCCAGCGTTCGTCGACCCTCTCTCTCTCTCCTCGACCACTCACTCGCACCTCGCAAATCCACTCGGTGCGTGTAGCTACCGCTCGACAACGACAACCAGAGTGCGTGATAGGCTCGCGACTGACTGCCACGCTTGTCCCGCCTTGCCAGCCTCGACCACCGCAAGTCAGTCTCCCTCTTCGCCGTCTCGTGCAGCAACGCCTCGGACTGACCATCAAATGCTTCTCCTACAGACACAACACCCGGAACTACACCATGGCCCTCCAGGAATCCCGCAGCCGCGTCCTCCCAACTCTCTGGGTGAGTCACCGTCGCTTCTCGAGTGTTCCTCGTCGCCCTTGCTCACCTCCTCCACGCCCGCAGGACCACGTCTACCGCCGCCAGTTCGCCGAGATTGACAGGATGCTCGCGCCGGGCATGATGTGCGTCGCTTCCACCGCGCTTCCCCTCCGACGCAGCTGAACCTGGGCACGCAGGTGGGAAGTCTTCCCGGCGTTCTACCGCCCGTACTTCGCGCCGCTCCCGCTCGAAGGAGTGTTCGACCCTCACGAGACGGTCAACTACTTCAAGACGATCCGCGAGAAGCTCCTCACCGAGCCGAAGGTGCGATCTCTTCCTCTCCCCTGCCGCGCACCACCAGCTCATGTCGTCCCGCCGCAGACCTTCAAGATGGGTGAGCAGCGCCACGGCGAAGAGTCGCTTACCGCCCACTTCCGCACCGAGGGCATCGATGCCAACGGCAAGCCTTTCGACGTCAAGCACGACGTCTTCGTCGAGTTCGTTCCCGGCGAGGACAAGATCAAGCGCGGCGTCGAGTACCTCGACAGCGGTGCGTCTGCTTCGTCCTCTCTCTCTCACTCCCGTCGATGCTGACCTCGCCACGCAGAGAGCCTCAACCTTCACATGAAGCGCGACGCCAACAAGCAAGAGTGGGAGGAGAGGACTCCCGCGACCAGCGCCGTCGAAGGCAAGGCCGCCCAGTCGACCATCGAGGCTGGCGCCACGCCCTCGGCCTCGCAGGGCCAGTCGCAGTCGCAGGCTGAGCAGGTCAAGGAGCCTGCCGCCTCGCAGACGGGCCAGGCGTCGCAGCAGAAGTCGTCGCAGGCTTGAGGGAGCGGTCAAGCTCTCTCGCGTCTCGCTTGTTTGGGTCTGCGAAGGGGGATGTAGGAAGGAATCGCTTTAGTTCTCGTCGTCTCCGCTTGTGTAGCTTCTCTCGCTGTTGTCATCGCCGTCTTCTCTCCGCGTCCTCGCGAGCGAATTGAGAGATCGAGCGTCTCTTGCAAGGAAGACAGCTACGCCCTTCAGCCCATCACGTCGCTCCAGCTCTCCTCCATCCACTCCCAAACGTTCGTGACCAACCGCGTCCGCACGATCTCCTCCACCTTCTCCCGCAAGAAAGCCGGTTTCTCGAAGCCCTTCGCAGGCTGGAGGTGTAGCGTTCGCGTTCGAGGCGGCGGACCGGGCGGGCTGCCCGGCATGATTGCGCGTATAGCGGCATAAAGCGAAGCAGGAGTCTTCGAGTAAGCTGTTCGCAAGTCGGTCGGCGCCGACGACGGTCCGGGCGCGCTCGCCTCACTACTCGGGACTTGCGTGACGAAATCGACGAGCGCTGCCTCGACCGACGCCTTGAGACGGCTCTTGAGGAGCTTGTACACCGGGTCCTCATACCGCAAGACCCGCTCGACGCTAGCCCGCAACCTTGCCTCTTCCTCGCTCGAGAGGGTCGCGCCCGACGCGACGAGCATGGTGCGGCGGTGCGAGATGACCTCGTCGGCGAAGTTGGCGATCCGAATTGCTGAGGGAAGAGTGTCGTCGTCCTGAGCGGATGGCATGCCGGTCATAGGGTCTATCGGAGAAGCACTGGGGCCGATTTCCGCTTGAAGGATCGTCCAGATGCGCTCGATGAAGGCTGTGAGGTTGGCCGGTGGGGTCGAGGACGTGCGGGAAGGGGGAGGAGCGGTACCAACGAGCGTGGCGAGACACGCGACGACGACGAGAACCTGGAACTGGTTCTGGAGGTAGATGAGGGCGAATGACGCAATATAGAAGATGGGCGGAGGACGATTCTGTTCGTCGGTAAAGTCGACTGTCTGGTCCTTAAAGAACATCTCGACAAGCGACTTTGCGACCAAGTCTTTCGAGAGGACTGGCGGCTGTCCTGAGGGCAACTCGGACCCCATTTCCTGCAAGAGCCATGCCCGCGTCTTGTCGACGACGCCTGCCGGTCCGCCGAATACCAACAAGATGATTTGCCTCTCCTCCGTGTGCGCAGTCAGCCGCAAACTATCCAGCACCATCTTTTCCAAGTCGGCATCGCTGAGAAACGACTTGTCCCTGAGCATCCGGGCATGCGCCGCCCGCAACTCGTCCTCGAGATCTTCGACGAAGTCGAGAACCCGTCGTACAAGGTCGACAAGGGAGCGAGACGGCTCAGACGAGCTCTTGGCGAAGACGATGTCGTCAAAGATCGCCGAAATCGTCTCGCTCCGGGCGGCTCCGCTGTTGCGCTTGAGCACGTCGACGACGGTCTCAAGCCTTGCCAAAGCCGCGACTGCATCGAAACCAGTCTGGTTGACCAGATTGAGCGGCGCCTGCGCCTCTGCTTTGAACCGTTTGGCCGACTCCTCGCCCTCCTTTATGGACAGGTACGAATCCGCGAGCGGCAAGACCGCGTCCTTCACGTCCTGCCACAATTCGTCCCACGCTTTCAACTTCTCTGCCACTGTCGAGGCAGTCGAGGAGAGTGCTGCTTCGAACGGCTCGAAGTAGGCGCGCTTGAGGTGCTCTGCGACGCGGCTTCGGAGAGGGTCGCGACGCTCCGAATTGTACGATGGCGAGGCCAAGATCTTGCGAGACACCGAGCCTAACGACTGTTGCCCAGGGAGGAGGCCGGACCCCTCCGTGCAGATGTGGTAGGTGGAGCAGGCCGTCAAGAGATCTGACGGAGATGACAGGGGCAGGGGCGGGTGGGCTGAGGGTAGTTCAGGCGTGTTCGTCGCAGGCGAAGCTCCCACAGAAGCATTCGCTGAAGTCACTGGATGTGTAGGCGTGGGCGGTGAAGGCTGAGATGGCGTAGGAATTCGCCGTGGGAGGTCGGCGGAGGGCGTCCTCGAGTGTCGTCCCCCCGTCGCAGCCGCTCCCGCGCTTCTTTCGAGCAGTTCAGCAACCTCGAGTTCGACTTGGCGCGTGTCGGCCTCGAATTGTCCCCAGGAGACAGGCCCTCCCGCTTCGCGACCCGCAGTCTGCGCCTCCTTTAGCCCTTCGCCCAGCTCCTGCAACCTGCCCCTGAGCCTGACGAACAGTTCTGCCGGTGCTGGAGTTCCCACGGCCCGCAGGTCGGCGTACGCGCGCTCGAGGCGGATTGTGAGGTGTGTGAGGTGGGGAGGCGAGGAGGAGGGCAGGTCGCGCAGCTGGACCAGCAGGCGGTCGAGGTGGACTGCAAAGGCACTCATGGCGAGCTAGCACGGGCTCAGCGTTGGTTCCAGCGAGTACGAGCGTGTGGTCGCTGACCAAGCGGGGACTTCTTCCCTCTCCCTCGTCAACCTCGCTCACTCGCACTTGACAGCGCCCGCAGGCCTGCTGAGACTGCTTGCGAGGGTGTCATACAGCCAGACGAAGCGGGCAATCCACTCGCCAGTCCCTACGACGCGCTCCTCGCTCTTCTCCCCACACACCCCCGTCTTCATCAGTTATGTCGACTACAGCACGAACAGAGCCCGCGATAAGCGATGCGCTGGCTCGAGACTTCCCAGAAGTGGCTCAGTTACCGTGCGACAACGTCTTGCGCGCCGGCGAACCCTGGCCATGCGAGCTGACCTGGTGACGGCCGACGACAGGAAGGAGGACTTGCAGACCCTGCTCGAAGACCCCGCCTACTTTGACGCCTACTTCAACACGATGTCGCAAGCACTAGCGTACCACCAGGCGATCGAGCAGAAGATGCGCGAGAACGTCGACTTGGCAGGTGCGTGCGCGGTCCTGTCCTCCCTTCCTCACTCGAAGCTGAAGCTCTGAAACGCCTCCGTGCAGAGAGAAGCGAGGCGATGAAGCCGGACCTTAAGCGGCTACGTGAATACACGGCGCGGCTGTTCAACGAGGCGAACGAGCTGAAGCAGCGATGGGCGTACCTCGACGATGCGCAGCGGGAGGCGTACAAGGTGCGCTTGTGGTTTTACAGCGTGGTCTGTGGCATTGCTGATCCGACCTGTCCGCCTGCAGCGCTTCTCTCAACCCGCGCAGCTGTCCCGCTACCGAGCTGCGACAACTGTCCAAGAACACCTCTCCGACTCGCTCGTCTCGGCGTTCCTCTCCGGCGAAGGCGACGACGAGAGCTTCCTCAAGCAATATCGCGAGGTCCGCAAGGTGTACCACAAGCGCCAGATCGGCCTGCAGAAGTGGGACGAGGGGAAGGTCGTCTGGATGGGCTGACGCGAGGGCTAAGCAACAGTCTTGTCGTCCGCGTCTCTCAGCTCTTCTCATGTTGTTGTGCAATCAGCGCGTCTAACTACAGTCCGGCCTTCAAGAGCATCGCACGCTCCTGTATTTCGCTCATGACTTCCTTGTCAGCGCTGTTCTCTTGCTCCTTCCTTCACTTTCAGGCGTGTGCGCGTATCAGCCTTGCCGTCCCGTCCGGAGCAACCTGTGAAGAACAGCGAAACTGAGGCAAGCTCGATTCCTCGAAGCCTCCAAAGCGAGCAGTACGTGATGGACAACGTCCAACGACATACAGACTTGCCCAAGACTTCGTCTTTCTTCCGCTCGACAGGGAAGCAGAACGGTCAAGGAATGGATAGTCGCGTCTGAAATGTCACGGAATGCTGGAGCACTATGAAGAAAACGGAAGATGGCGGGCTACTGTCTCCCTCCTTGCCCCTTGCCGCACATGCATCCCGCTCCGGCCGTACTAGCGCCTCCCCTGCACGAAAAATGGGTGTTCCTCGAAGAAGCAGCTCAGCGACTCTGTGCCCTCCTCAAAGAGACGGGTTGGGTCTGTCTTCGCCTCAAAGGCTGTTCCCTTCTGGCCATACAACGCCCACCTTTGCGATCCATTTGGGCCTTCCGAGAGGTGCTTGAAGAGGCCCTGGTACGCAATATCGCCCCAGTGACGCGGATCAGCCATGGTGTGACTTTGTCCGTTCAGAAAGGCGACGTGCGCGACGCCTGTAGTGCGGCGAGGGAGGGGTCAACTCCCGCGCTGACCTTATTAAAGGAAGGGAGAGAGATTCTGAGCGACTCACGGCCTGCGCCTGGCCATGCAGCAACGTAGAAACTGCTCGGGACGCGCAGTATGCCTCGCGGACGAGGAACACCTACACGCGACGTGCCCAGGAGACTGTTCGGCGAGGGATAGTGGGGGATCTGCTCCGTAGTCGTGTATCGGATCCAGACAGCGCAGCGCTGCGTCCAGTGTCCTTCTATTAACGCACGGGGTCAGCAGAGGACGCGGATCACCCAGAACGAGACGAGCCTGAATGCACCGGTACTTGTTTGGATCACATCAATCAACCAACTCTTGTAAGGGTCAAGAATCCCGGAGCTTCGGGCGCCATCGAGGAAAGCGTAGATGCGGTAGACGAGCGACTTGGCCACCTCGATATGCCTGCTTCCGACTAGGTCTTGCACTGGAAGGAAGGAAAAAGTCAGTAAGCCAGCTAGGCGGGAAGGAGAGTAGCACTCACGGACAAGCAGACTTGTTCCAGTCACACGAAGTTGGAGGTCGTGGGAAAAGTTCGCCGGGAAGACTGTGTTGGCGAAGTGCTGCTCCAAGTCAGCGGCAGCGTAGCTCGGCGGTGCAGCCATAATGTCGCGATCGTGCTGGCAGAGGGAAGGGCAAGGAGAAGGGAGAAGCATGGAGGCCTGTTCGCCCGAGTCCGCGGATTCTGACGGAGTCGTAACTTAGCCTGTCACGCGACCAAGCCGGGCGGGCGGTGCCAAAGACGAGGAAAGTAAGTCATGGAGGAGGCGCTGCACTGGTTGCTCATGCGCGCCGTCCCGGTTAAGCCGGAAGCATCGATGCGTCTGCGTTGCCTGGTTGACGGTCGCGAACTGGACGCGAGAAGGCGGCGCGCGCCTTCGAGAGACCTAAGAGATAGTCAAGGAGCCTAGCAAAGTGAGTTGGAGAAGAAGAGGGCGCCAGCGAGGCCGTCTGCGGGACGAAATACGGTTGTTCACACGCAGACGACGTCTACGCCTTACGCAAGTACGCCCGCTCGATGCGCCGCAGCTCGTCTGCCGCGTCGATGAGTGACAAGTCCTTACCGTTCGCGGCCTTGCTCGGCAGGATGGCGAAGATGTCGGTCGTGTCGACAGCGGAAGGTCCGGTTTCGGCGTTTGGGGCGAGAGGGACAGAGAAACGTCGGTGAAGGGACCAGCGGCTAGAAGAGAGGCGTGTGACGGATTCGAGGGCGCGAGGGTGGCTGCGAGAGCTGGGATCAGCGGGACGTTTCACAGTCGTGCGGAAAAAGGTCGCGCACGCGTGCATGGCGACATAGCTGTCGACCAGGGCGAGCTCCGCATCTGCGTCAGCTGAGGCTGTAGCTGTAGAACCAGTCTGCGAGACGCTGTTGACGAGGAGGTCGTGCTTGACGAGGTGCCGGTGCGGGTAGCGCCTGCAGGACAACAACAGATGAGTCCGCCGGCGCCACAGGTAGAAACGGTCTCGACGCACGGTTTTGGTGGGACAACAATCTCGAGCAGCGACTCCACCGCTTCGAGCAAGCGCTCGGCGCGTCCGTCGAGCCAGGCGAGAGCGGCATTGTCGGTCGCCGGCAAGATGGCCAGCGCAAGGCGTAGTGCGCCGCGCTAGACGTGGATTGTTCAGCAAGTGTGTAGAAACAAGAGAGTAGGTTGACGCACCTCGTAGAGACGAGCCTCAAAGAGCGTATCCCGATAGTCCCCCTCGCCGCAGAACAGCCTGACCGCCGAGGGACGCTCCCCCTCCTCTGAGTCGGGATCTTCCGGTTCTTGCTCGGACACTTGGCTCCTTACCTCCAGTCCCGGCACGGCCAACTCGGCGACGACGACTGGCTGATCCTCTTCCGTGGGCGTACGACCGATGGCGTCTGCAAGCTCGCTCGCATCTACCGATGGCGCAAGCTCAACCGCAGGTGTGGATGGCTTCAGAGCGTCGTCGGTGGACGAGGCAGGAGGATCCGTCGCGAGAGGCGAGGTGGCCGCAGCTGCTTGATCGTTTCCCGAGTCCCGACCGGCTGGAGACTTCTGACCCGCATTGACTGACGATTTCGACGTGCTTGGCTCAGTGGGTGCCGACAACTCGTCGACGGAATCAGTTTCGCTGGACCCGAACCCTAGCGCGCCCCAGCTGACGTTCCGCAGGCTCCACCTGCTTCCCTTCGCATTTGGCGCTTTAAGCGAGGCGGTGGACGTTCCGTTCCCGAGCGAGTGAGCATCGTTCGCAGACGTGCCGGTCTCCTGCTGCCGCTTTGCAACCTCCTGCTGCTCCGTTCTTCGCAAGGCGGCGAAGCCCGCTCGTAGTGTGGCCGGCTTGCTTGACACCTTCTCAGATTCGGTGGAAGACGCCATGCCAGGCAATGCAGGCATGGCGAGCGAGAAAGGGCGTGGCGCGAGGAAGGAGTTCATGCCAGCGGTAAGGCTGGACCATCTCCCGCTTCCTGCGGAGTCTTCGCCGGCTGATGAGGCTGACGAGGCGTCTTTGGCATCGGAGACGACCATCAGGGTCCGCTTTGGCGGGAGGAGGCGATCCAGGTAGCGGACGAGAGAGAGGAGGTCGTCCTGCGAAAGCGGCGGTGGAGGTGGACGACCTGGTGCTGGTGGGGGCTGATCGGCTGAAGGGGGCGGCAGACGAGGGATGGAAAGGACGGTGTCGCCGTGCAGCAAAATAGGTAGAGCAGAGGAGTTGCTGGCGGCGAATTGCGCGAGAAGCGGGCCAAGTTGGGCGGCAGCCTCTATCGAAAGGATGGCACTTTTCGGGACAGCTGGGCGACCCCTCCGTGTCAGTAGTGATGCATGGTTCAATGTGAAGGTGCTCTTGCGTACCTTGCAGCAGTCGCTCGACCTGAGACTCCAGCATCGACGTCTCCCAATCCCGCGTCCATACGTCCCAGAACTTCCGCAGCTTTCCCATGGCCGCTTCTTTCCCTTCCGCCTCGAGAGCGCCTTGTATTGTCCCAAAGCGCAGCCGGAACTCGGAGTACGCCTGACGAAGCGACGCCAGCAGGACCTCGTCTTCTGCAAGGCTTGCGGGCGAGTCCTCCTTCGAACCTTCGCTTGCGTCGGTTCCTGTCGATGCTCTGCGTGGGTGGCGAGTTGATCGAGGGCATCGTATTGTCTGTGCGGCGAGGACAGTGTCAGAACTGAATGGAACGGAGACGAGAAGAGGGGAAGGTCGAAACGCACGGCATGAAGGTGGAAGCCCGGCTCTGCCTCAACCCAGAGCATCCTACGCTTGTTCGAGCGTACCGAGCGTATCCGCGCTGCTTCATCAGGCGAGAGTGTCCTGCAGCGAAACTCCCCCACTTCATCAGCGAACGTCGAGGGAAGGATTTGACGAGACGACACGCACCTGGCAAAGCTGGAGACGCCCAATATGGTGCCCATCGCTCGATTCCGACGTGCAGCATCGTACGGCTGCGCCTCCAGCGGCGTCGCGAAGTAGAGGACCTTGGCTGCTTCGAGGGCCTCGTCGCTGAGTGCGGTTGCTCGCTCGCCAGCATCGAAGACAGGCTCGTCCGCGTAGACAGCAAGCAAGCTCAGCTGCGGCCAGTCCGAGAGCGTCGAAGCCTGCCGGCGGCGTGGAGTCGGCATCGGTGAGCGGACGAAGGGAAAGAGGTGCGTCGAGCAGGCGTCCTGATCCTGCTCGCCGGAAGCTCCTTGCGAAGATGCCAAATGGTTACAGAGACCTGAGGATGCATACAAGTACGACATAGGGAGCAGATAACGAGAGAGTCGTTGTGCAGGCGTAAAAGGGATGAGAAGCAAACCATGGCCATCTGGACGTGAAGAGAATGGGATGACACCGGGTAGTGTCTTTTGTCGAGGAAGGGGCTAGCGGAGGGTCGACAAGACGCCCTCATGGATGGTCGGCGGAGGGGGACTCGTCTCGGCGCTTCTGGCGCCCCCGTTGCTGCTCGCCGACGACGCCCTCGCACGCCCTTCGGAATCGCGAAGGCGGGACTCGAAATCGTCTTCGCTGAGGAGCTCCGAGTTGCTGCGCAGCCTGTTGGACGCCGACGGATCAGGCGGGTCGAGCGAGAGCCGTTCCAGCGGGACAACGTTCTGCCAGTCCGTCTCCGTCTTGGACCGCTGCATGAGCGGCGGGGAGCGCAGCTGAAGGCGATCGAGCTCGTCGTCGGTCAAGGAGAGGGGCTGGTCCAGGTCGGTGCCGTTCGCGAGAGCGGACAGGGATTCCGCGGCCGACTCGAACGAGGTTCGCTCGCTGTCGGTGTGGGACGCCTTCATCCGTCGGGGAGATGTAGTCGAATGCGAGAGATGTGAAGGGCGAGCTGGACCGGTGGCGCTCGAGTGGCGCGAGTGCTGACGAGATGGGCTCCGCTGTCGAGGGACGGAAGACGTGCGACGGCTGTGCGTCCGGTGCAACGAATGCTTCCGCAGCAGCCGCTCTGCTTCGCGATCCTCGACGAGCAAGTCGCGAGAGAGGACTTCGCGGTAGCAGATGAGCTTGGCGAGGCTGGCGAGGGAAGCAAGCGGAAGTCAGCGGTCTGCACGAGTCAAAGGCAATAAAGCGTGACGCACTGCATGCGGGTGTGGCGAACGCGCTTCTCGATAGGCGGGATCGCCATAAGGACGCGCTCGCGAGTTGCAGAGCGGAAGGGCGTCAAGATGGCGAGGTGCTTGGCGAGGCGAAGATCGGCTTGAAGTCTCTCTTTGGCGGACCTGATCTCGACGTCGAGGTTGTTGATTCGAGACTGCAGCGTACGGCGAATCAGCTTCATTCTCCGAGAGCTGAGGTAGAGCACACGAAGACTCACTCTAAGCAAATCGGCTCGCGCCGTGATCGGCTGAGACGCGCCCGCGATGCCGCTAGCGCTCGTGCCCAACGAGCCAGCACGAGGCGTCATGAGCATGGACAAGGGTGTCTCGTCGTCTCGGTCCTCGATGGACGGCCTGGAGATGTCATCAGACCGGCTGGGAGTGGCCGAACTGGATCTGGGCGTGGTAGACGAGCCGTCGTGCAGAAGATTCGGGCTCTGAGCAGTCGCGAGTGAGTCTTGCGCAGCGCTGCGAACCATTCGAGGCGTTGTTGGACGAGACGACGCCTCGGACGCCGGCGCGCGAGCGGAGTCGAAGGCGGGCTGAGGCTGGAACGGCGAAAGAGATGGGCGAGGCGACGAAGGAAGTGGAGACGGAAAGGCGGGCTGGAGAGGGCGGATACGGATGTTGGCGGACTTGAAGGCGGCGGAGAAGTTGATCGCGCTCAACCAGGAATTCAGCTCGTCCTCATTGTGCGCCTGAAACAAGTACTGCCGTCCAGCTGGTGCGACAAACCGGAAGACGTTTCGGTACTTCGAATAGGTCTGCGAGGAGGAAGTGTGAGCGGCTTGATGGCTGCCTAGACGGAGGGGAGACAAACCGCATCGTAAATCGCCGCCGTGTTCGCCAGCGACAGGACAGCATCAGGCTTGAAGGAGCCGGGATAGGTGAAGCTGAGGACGGACGAGTCGTTCGGACGCGGCGTCGAGTCTTGCGCGGCTGCACGCAGCGACTGCTGCAGCGCGGCTGCGAAGTTCGGGTCCTTCTGCTCGACACTCGGGGTCAGCGATGGCTTGGGGCAAGCCCGGGCATAGCAGGACGCACGAAGAAGAGGAGCTGGCTGCCGGTGAGCACGACGCTCCAGCCCCGCCACTTGCGACTCGCCGCCTTCTTCCCTCCCTCCGCCAGATCCTCCTTGCGACTGAGCAGCCCGACCTTGGTGATTTTCAAGGACGAGATTGGCGGCCTGTCCTTCTTTTTCGGCGCGTCCGCAATGAAGGTGCCGTTGCTGACCGTTGGTGTCAAGGGGGAGCCGGCGAGGGCGGGATCAGGCGAAGGCGGGAGCGGCACGGTCGTGACAGGCGGAGAAGGAAGTGGCAGAGAGTATGGAGCAGCCGAAGCAAAGGTGGAACTATTTGAGCGCGAGGTCCGCGGACGGTTCTGAATCTGCAGCACGGGTGCACGAGCAAAGAGCGAGTGCAACGACGTAGTGTCCTGCGAAACGCGCTGCGTGAGTAAGCTGATACACCGGACGAGCGGGAGAACCTCACGAAGAAGGACGTCGTTCCGCTGAAGGAGAAAGGGCTTTTGGACGGGATGTGACTTTCGACGTCGACTCGGAAGCGTCGCGTCTGATTCGTCGCAATCAGGTGGTACGGGTCGACCTTGCCCTTCGAAGCATTGTTGGTGAAGAGACCACTGTTGGCAGCTGCGCTGCTCGCAACGCTGGCGGAGCTGCCGCTGGGTCCGATGCTCCCGCCTAGGAGTGAAGCAGTCGACGTTGACGGACCGAGGAAGCCGGCTCCGGGCATCCCGTCATCGACAAAAATGAAGGGCGCGAGCGTGATTTGGTCGTACAGGTACTGCAGACGAGGAGGGAATCAGGACGAGGCATCGAAAGCTGGCTCTTTCGCCTTACCTCGAGAATCTCCGGCGCAACGCCGTCGATGCGCGTATTCTTGATGTAGTCGGCTTTTGTCCTGCAGGAGGTGGACGATTCAGCTCAGGGCCGAGAAGGAAGAGAATCGGATGAACCCACATCTTGCTCTTCGCGTTCGGGTTGAAGTGGTCGGTGTTGAGCATGACCATCGAGAAAGCGAGGACGTAGGGGACGTCGCTCTCCTGCTGGCCATCCTTGCGCGCCCCGAACCGCCCTTCCTCCGTCCCTTCCGCAGAAAGCCCTTCGTCGCCAACGTCCCGCTTCTTCGGCGGCGGTCCGAACAGGCCGGGGTTGCACTCGACGTATCGGCGAGCGAAAGCCTCCATGACGCGATCGATCTGCTGCGTCTCGGACGGCAGCGAAGCGGAGCACAAGAAGACGCGGAGGGCGATGTCCAGGGCGAGCTGCTGGAAAGGAAAGTAGCGGAGGTACGCTTGCAGGGCGGCGGCGTAGAAGGGGTCGGCGCTGTACGAGCAGACGCGTGAGCATCGGTACGACGGCACTAAACCCCACGAACTCACCTCAGCGACAGAATCTTCGTCACCTCGCCCTTTGGCAATGGCCCATTCGCCTCATCGCCCTCTTCTTCGTGCTTCTCAGCGCTCACGCTGTCCGAATTTCCATTCGAGTCGAGCATCACCTCCTGCGCATCGCCGTCCGCTGTTTCGACCCGTGAAGCCCGCCGACTCGCGCTGTCGCCCTCGACCAGCCGCCTGACGTATTCTTCAGGCGATTCGCCGTCCCTCGGCTTGGGTGGCTTGCGCACCTTCTTCGGCTCGGGCGGAAGATTCGTGCTCAGGCTGTTGCCGCGAGACCGATTTCCGCGACCTGCAGAACTCGTCGAGCCATCCGCCGTGACGGGTCGACCTCCGCTCGAACCTGGCGGTGCCAAGCTGGCGGATCCGCCTGGTGCGCCTCCGAGCGAGAAGCTGAAGCGCCGATTCGGATCCGTCAATGCGCGCATCCGGCCGCCGACTGAGCCGCCGTAATCGGGCGGCGCAAGAGTCGACGAGTTGACGCTTGACGCGCTACCAGAGCGCTCGCGCATCTGCACCTTGGATGGCGAGGTCGTTGCTGAGGATGGGGACGGGCCGATCGAGTGAAGGCTGGAAACGCTGCCAGTCCCTGCTGATCCGCCGCCGCCGAAGAAGCTGCCGATGCCAGCACCGACGCTGAGGCCTCGTCTGCGCGAGCTGTTGGGCCGAGCCTGCGACGAGGAGCGCTTCTGGTCGAACAGCGCGCCAAACTCGCTGACTTCGCCGGCTGTCGACAACCCAGGCGATGTCGCCGGCGTGCCACCGCCAGTCGTTCCAGTCGTCGCAGCGCTCGAGCTCCGGCTCATGTTCTGGCTCGCTGCCGCGCCGCCGCCGAAGAAGCTGCCGAGCGAGCCAAAGACGCTCGACCTCCCGCCTAGGCTTGCCCCGCCCGTCGTGCTGTCTGCCGTTGTCAGACGAGATGCGCCGACCTTTTGGTGCGCCTGCGCGAAGTATCCGCCTCCAGGAGGAATGCCGAGTCCGCCGACGACCATGTTGCGCCCGCTGAAAGCGTACGCAGGCGGCGTCGAAAGCGAGGGAGACCTGCGGTCCGAAGCGTCCGACTGCGACCTCGCCGCTCGAGTCTTGATGAGAGTGCGAGCGAGAGATGGGCTTGCCTGAGGGGCGGTAGTCGAGCCGGGAGACGGGAGAGGCGGGGGCGCCTCGGCACCGGGCGAAGACGAGGTGGAGAGCGGATTGAGGCGTTCCTTCACGGGAGAAGAGAGGGGCGAAGGCGTGAGAGGCGCAGTCGAGCCAGCGAAGGCGACACGCGAAGTCGAGGGGGGGGCATACGAGTTGCTTCGACGCAGGCTCGGCGGAGTCGATGCGCTAAGTCCGCCGCGAGACAAAACGTATCCGGGCGGCGTAGGCGTAGTAGGCGAGGCGGACGTCTGAGCGGGTGCTCGGATCATCAATGTGGAACCGGAGTCGGAGGACTTGGCTTGCTCGAGCGGTGGAGCGATTGGCAAAGGCAGCGTGTGCGCGCCGACGAGAGGCGGACGAGACGGCGACACTTGGTCTACAGGTGACGCAGGCGCAGGCGTGTCGGTCGGAGTTGTCGTGATAGACAAGGTCGGCCGCTCGCCCCTCGACGGACTCCTCCTGCTGCTCGTCGGCGGATCAGACCTGCCCTTCTCCGGCGAGTTGCTTGGTGACTCGCGACCGAACGCCCAAGACATGCGGTACGGGTTGTTGGAGAGTTGGAGAGAAGGCAAGGAGGGAAGGGAAGGAATGCTCGCGGTTGGAACGCCGTCACTTGCGAGGCTGTTCTCGCGAGTCGTCCGACCGCTAAGCGCAGGCGACTCCGAAGGTGAGTCCACTAACGTGCCTTCGCCCTCCGCTCCCGCATCGTCGGCAGACGA